AAAAGCTTTGCAAACTAGAACAGGAGCATGGCGAGATTTGTGATTTGGTAGAAGATCTCTATGCCAGTCTAGAGGAGTATCAAGAGAAGTGGAGGGTCGCAGATGCCAGAGCTAACGAATCTGACGCGTATCTTCAAGATATCTGTTTAAGTCTAAAAGATATACTTTCATTAATGAAAGCAGATGCTAAAGAGCCTATACCGGATGCAAAATCATATATTTCTGATGCCATGGAATTGATTGGGAATAAAATAAGGGAACTCTTCAAGGAAAGAGAATACGAACTCAATGCGCTTCTTCAAGAAACACATGAACAATTTAACATTAATAAGAATGAGTTATCTGACACCAAACTTCTTCTACATCAGCAACTTGAAGAGACCCAAAAGTGGAAAAGTGAAAGCATGAAACTTAAGCTAGAGCTTGACTTGCTAAAATCGGATCGTGATGGGAGCACTGAGATGCGACTTTTGGAGTATCAGAACAAAATTGATCGTCTACAGAAAGAAGTGGCGAATTTATCTGAACCTTTAAGAAAGGATTCATTCTCAGACATCTCCGAATTGAGTGGCATATCCTCCAGAGATCGAGAAAGATACATCCTTCTTCAGAGAGACTATGAAAATCTCCAACGATTGTATCAGGAACGCGGGGACGAGCTTCATCAAGTCCGAGAAAATTTTGAAAACAAGATCTCATCTTTAAATGGAAACTTGAGTAACCGCAAGCGCGAACTTATAAACCTTCGAGCCGAAATTGCTGATATAGAGGGACTTCAGCGCGACTTAGAGAATGCTGTTAGTAAACAGCGAGTACTAAAGTCAGAAAATTTCAAGCTTTCTTGGCAGGTGGATGCTCTAAGTAAAGATAAGACGGAATTGCAAAGTAAAGTTGCCGAAATCAGTGAGAAATTATCAAAATCGAGCCATGCTCCGAAGCTTGACGAAAGCTTAGCTGAATCTCACTATAAAGCATTGTTAGATGTCGACATTCGCCGGTTCGAGAAAATCTATAATTCTCTAGATCTTTTAGCTGAGGAGTCTTCATTGCGAGAGCCAGAGCAAAAGATAAAGAGATTGCTCAAGGCGACACAGAACGGGCAGAACATTTTTCAATCCCAGCGAAGTACTTAATACAGTAAAGCGAGATCACAAGTTTGTCTTCGATTACTTTGTGAGAGCTGTGGATGCGATGGTTAAAGAGCATATTCGCGTTTTATTAGAGACGTCAGAGAATCGACAAGAAACACAATTGCGGGACAAAATCAAGGAGCTAGAAGAAGCCAACGCCAAATTGAAACAAAAGCATGCAACAGACGCTGATGAAGAGATTTCGATCTTTAAGCTTCGAAACCAACAGCTTCATGATAAATGGAAGTACGAACGTGAGCAGCGGGTCCACGACAACTCACAAGCTGCCACACGCTTCCGAGAGCTCGAAGAAGAGAACCGGAAATTACGGCAACAACTATCTAAAGTCTGAATAAATGACGAATTAGGCTATTTTAAAAATTATGTATTCAATGCTACATACTTTGCACCTGCATCTGCGCACCCATGTCTTAAAAATTTTCAACGCGAAACCCACTTTCTCTTATATTCAACATGACTGAACCTTCTTACGAGGATCTCGAGAAAGAGATCTCTATCGACGATATTGACTTCTCTGACTTGGAGGCAAAGTATGCTGTAAATGCTGATCTTGGCTTGGAGACTTATGTTGTGGTTGACGGTGCACCAAAAGCACCTCTGTCCAAAGCTCCTTTGTTGGAAAAAGTTTTGAGAAAGTTCTTGAGCAAGGCCGGTGAACTTGTTGAGGGCGAGGCAGGTGTTTTTCTTCCTATTGAAGACAACATGACCAAGGGTTACCTTTTCGCCCAGTTCAAAACCCCAGAGATGGCCACAGCCGCTGTGCAACAATTGAACGGAAAGCCTTTGGATGCTAAACACAGATTGTTTGTGAACAGATTTTCCGACATCGAAAAGTACTGTACTGAAGGTAGTGTTCCATCAACGTTTGTGGAACCTGAAATTCCTCCTCAAAAGTCATTTGGTTACTTGAAGTCTTGGTTGCAAGATGAGAGCGGAAGGGACCAGATGGCCATGCACTTTTCAGACACCGTCGGAGTTTACTTCAGTAACAAAAAGAACGATCCAAAGGCAGTTACAGAGCCAAGAAAGGGTTTCACATCGAAGTACGCCAAGTTTTCGCCAAAGGGCACATACTTGTTTTCCATTCACCCTCAAGGTGTCCAGTCTTGGGGCGGAGAGAAGTTCGAGAAGATTAACAAGTTCGTGCACCCGCAAGTCCGCTTAATCGATTTCTCTCCTAGCGAGAAATACATGGTTACATTGTCTCCAACTGGTATTACAGCACCAGAAAGTGCTGCGGAGGCCAAAGAATTCCCCTTCGGACCTGAGTCAGAAGGCCACAAGTTGGTCATTTGGGACTTGGCGACTGGGGAACCAGCTAGAACTTTTGCTTTGCCACCTCACTTGGAAGACCAAAAGGAGATGCCATGGCCACTCGTCAAATGGTCGTTTGACGACAAGTACTGCTGTCGTCAAGGTCCTGATGCTTTAGCTGTGTACGAAACTCCAAGCTTTCAATTGTTGGACAAGAAATTGGTCAAGGTTGATGGTATTGTTGACTTCGAATGGGCTCCTGCTGGTGTTAAGCTTTCGGGCTCGAGAGATGAAGAAGGTGAACACATCTTGTCTTACTGGACTCCAGAGACTCCTAACTAAACCGCCAGAGTTGCTTTGATGCAAATTTCCAACAAGAAAAGTTCTCAGAACCATCAACTTGTTCCAGGTCAGCGACTGTAAGATGCACTGGGCAAGACGAAGGTAAATTATTATGTGTGAAGGTTGACCGTCACACCTAGTCTGGAAAGACAATTTTCTCGAACTTGGGAGTTTTTCAGAACTACTGAGAGGGATATTCCTGTGGAGAAGTTGGAAATGAAAGATGTGTGCATTAACTTTGCCTGGGAACCCAAATCGGACCGCTTCGTTACCATCAGTAGATTGGATGATGGCAACAATAACCCAGCCATTGCTAAAAACTACCGTTTCCTTCTTTTCCTCTGAGCGTGGCTCCAAGGACAAGGCTGTCAAGTTCAAGAAGATCAGCAGCATTGAGAAGAAATTCTCGAACACTCTTTTCTGGTCTCCTAAGGGTAGATACATTGTTGTTGCCACCATTGGCAAATCGAGTGGTGAATTGGAATTCTTTGACACTGAGTACGAGAATGAAAAGAACCCTAAGAAGACCGAGGTTAAGTTGTTGAAGACCGAAAAGTTCTCCGGTATGACCAATATCTCCTGGGATCCATCTGGCCGCTTCGTTGCCGCCTGGTCTTCATCTTGGGTGCATGCCATAGAAAACGGCTACAAATTGTACGAGTTTACAGGTAACTTGTTGAGAGATGATTCCATTGATCAGTTCAAGGACTTCATCTGGAGACCTAGACCAAAGTCCTTGCTCACAGAAGACGACATTAAGAAGGTCAAGAAGAGCTTCCGTGAGTACAGCGCCCAATTCGACGAAATCGATGCCATGGAGGCAGATGCTGCCACTAGAGAAGCCCATCTTGTTGCGTCGTAAATTGTTAGAGAGAAGTGGAAAGGCTTACAGAGCCAAGCACCAACCCAATGTTACCGAAGAGTACGATGGCGGAGGCTGAGGTCGTGGGAAGAGATCAAGGAAGAAATTATCGAAGAGAAGGAAGAAGTGGTAGAGTAGTGTACACTAGAATGGGTATCAAACATATAGTTTATATATACAAGAACTAAGTGGAGATACAAGTAGGTCATCAGTCTAACTATCAAATGTAATCCATAGTTTGGGTGGATCTTTAGGCAGCCCGTGTTTGTAATTGAAGTCCGTGCCACTTTGCAATCTCGTCTTTCAAAACTTCGTTGACCAAACGATGCTGTTTCACCATTGGGATGCCCTTGAATTTTTCGCTTTCCACAGTAATAGCAAACATGGAGCCACAACCACCAGAAACATCTCGAACAGCCAAGTTTTTTGGAGCAAAATGTGTCTTGAGGATGTCATAGATTTTTTGCTCATAGGGCTCCATCGGCGGAGTAGAATAATGACGAATGGTCATGAACTGCCGAGACATGCTTAATGGCAGAGCAAGACTGGAAACAGTCAGCCTTGAACGGATAAGAGAGGCAAACATGGAGATGAAAACCGTAAGCAAATGAGATGGCACGCTTAGAAAGCGCGCTTTATAATTTGATTTGGGTGAGTATTGCATTGAAGGGTATGCAGTAGAACAATTAATCGTTGAGTCCATTACACCGACATCTTGAAATCCAATACTAGACAAAAAGTCAAGCCGGATAAAGACAGTCGTCGACTAAGTATACTTCGGCATTCGATTGCGTGAAAAACCAAGCTCGTCGACTAATCCTTTCTATCAACTTCGCGCACAACGTTTCATCCACATGTCGCTTCGAATTGTCATTTGCGGCGATGAAGCCGTGGGCAAATCTTCGCTCGTAGCAACTTTTGCCAAAGAGGAGTTTGTTTCTAGCATCCAGGGTGTCGTTCCTCCAGTGACTATTGCCAAACAAGATTACAGTGCTTTATGTGACTACCAGTCCGATGTTGAATCGGACATAGAAAAGCTGTACAGCCAGCGGATTTCGAAAAACCTTCCAGATGCCACGATCATAATCGATACACTGGCATCAGATCACGCTGGTCTCCAACGGGAATTGAAAACAGGCCGATGTGATTTTACTCGTATATCTGGACCACTATACTTACGAACGTATCTCACTCTACTGGATGCCCATGTTTCGAGCGCTGGGCGTCAACTTACCAGTAATTGTATGCGCCAACAAGTGTGATTCTGAAAAAAAATGGCGGCCCAACATTCAAGCAGCAGACTTCTGAAGAGTTTGTCCCCCTTATCAATGAATTCAAAGAGATTGAAGCATGTATTCGGTGCAGTGCCAAGGATAACAGCAATGTTGTGGAAGCTTTTTATTTATGCCAACGTGCTGTAACGCATCCGATTGCACCGATTTTTGATTCGAAAGAAGGGAACTTAAAGCCTGCTGCTGTAGATGCACTCAAGCGGATCTTTTTCCTCTGTGACAAGGACCAAGACGGCTTTCTCAATTACAAAGAGTTTTCTGATTTGCACTTCAAATGCTTTGGAACTTCTGCTGCAGAGGAGGATTACATGAACATTGTAAGCAAAGTCAATGAAGTAATTCTACCCGAGGCCAATGATCCGCAGTACATTTCGGAGAACAGTTTCATAATCCTCAATAAGATGTACGCTGAACAAGGACGACATGAGTCCATATGGGGAATCTTGCGGGCATTCCACTATACAAATTCCCTTTCTTTGAATGACAAGTTCTTGTATCCTCATCTCGACGTTCACCCAAACTCGAGTGTCGAACTAAGCCCTACGGGATACCGATTTTTGGTTGACTTGTTTTTGAAATTCGATAAAGACAATGACGGCGGCCTTAATGACGAGGAACTTGCTAATTTGTTCCTTCCCACACCTGGAATCCCAAAACTTTGGCAAGAATCACAGTTTCCGTCGTCCATTGTGCGCAACGAAGAAGGATACGTCTCACTTCAAGGCTGGCTTGCCCAATGGAATTTGACGACATTTTTGGACCATCGCACAACTCTTGAGTACTTAGCATTTCTCGGGTTTGATGAGGAAAGTTCTGTCAAAGCTCTCCGTGTGACAAAACCAAGGAAGATTCGCCAAAAACAGGGTAAACAATACCGTGGGGCTGTGAATGACCGCAATGTGTTCAACTGCTTTGTATTGGGCGCCCCGAAATCCGGAAAGACATCTCTTCTCGAGCTGTTTATTTCTGGTTCTTACAGCGAGGTGTACCTGCCAACGATTAAGCCTCGTATTTGCGTGAAAGATATCGAACTCCGTGGCGGTAAACAGTGCTACTTGATCTTGGAGGAATTGGGGGAACTTGAACCTGCCATACTCGAAAACAAGCAAAGGCTTGACCTGTGTGATGTCATTTGCTACACCTACGATTCTTCGGATCCTAGTCTGTTCCAGTACTTGGTGGAACTTCGACAAAAATACAGCAAGATGTTGGATGACGTGCCATCGATTTTTGTGGCGTTAAAAGCTGACCTCGACAAGCAAGAACAGCGGGCCGATGTGCAGCCGGAAAACTACACACGAGACCTTTTTTTGAGCTCGCCTCTTCACATTTCCAATGCATGGACTACGTCATTACACGAGTTGTTCATACAACTTGTAGACGCTGCTAAGACACCTAGCGCCGCAACTCCAGGGCTAGAGACACAAACAGACTCTGCCGATTTAGAAAATCTCAAACATTTTTTAGTGACAGGTGGCGCCGTCGGAGTGATGGCTATTTTCTCAGTCTTTATATGGCGAGGACTTCGGCTGGCAAAATGAGGGGTGCACGCCCGCAAAGAAGGGCATTTTTTCTGCGATGCGCATCTATCATTTTCTCCACCAGACATGTCTGAACAGAAATTCAAGCCCGTGACTGTGAACAAGCCGATCCCTAATACCTTCGACTTGGGAAACTTGGCTACCTTTGATCCAAACCCTTTGGACAATGCAAAGTTGAAAGATCCGGAACAGAAGGAAGCGTATTTGGCCTCCGTCACAAGAGACAACCTTCAACTTCTTATTAACCAGGTTTTGTCCTTGCCTATCCAGACTACTACAGACACTCATGGCTCATCGACAGGCCAAGATTCTACCATGACTCTCATACGCTTACCAGAACCATCCACTCCTTTGCCTAGAGAAAAGAGCATTCCAAAGGACAAGCCGCTCACCAAATGGGAGCAGTTTGCTGCTAAGAAGGGAATCAAAGCCAAGGCTAAGGATGGTAAGTTGGTTTATGATGAGGCGACAGGAGAATGGGTTCCAAAGTGGGGCTACAAAGGAAAGAACAAGGCTCTTGATGACCAATGGTTGGTTGAGTTGGACGATAAGGTGAAGGGTACCCCAGATGAATTGATTGACCCAAGAAAGCTTAGTCGTATGGAGAGAAAAAAGTTGGTGAAGAAGAATGAGGCGCAACACAAGAGAAACTTGAGAAACCAGCTGGCATGAGAGCAGGCACAACTGCCAGAGTGTATCATAGAATAGCATAAAGAACATTTGGATACTGTTGTAGGTACAGCTTTCTGGCTAGACACTCCACGGATGAAGGCAGTCTGTCGACCAGGCGTTTTGATATAAAGATATAATGCCTAACACAAAGTGAATCTTGCAGATACGTGAAGACGTCGCCCTTTCAGTGTTAACGAGGAGTCTGCAATAGATTGACTAAAGCTGCATCGGGATGCAAAAGTGATATTCTTGATGTATAGGGATAGATCTACAGTTGACTGCCCGTTTTGGATATCACATACGTATGCCACTCTAACTCGCACAAAAAGTCTATCCACATAAAGTAGCTGAAGACAGAAGCTCTCAAAATCCTGATAGGGTATTTCTTTACTTTTTTGACAACAACTTGTAGTATCGAAAACATGGAGGTGGTGGTCGTCTAGACTTTCGACCATAGCCTGCATAACATGTATATTTTCCCCAAGAGCGTCGATAACACTTGAGTACTCTTCATCGAAATGACCGAATCTTATGATCCAAAACAGTACATGCCTATGATAGACGTATGTATGAGGACCACCATATAGAAATAACCCATTCTAACATTATAGGCTATACTCACCGCAGCAGATCTCGAAAAGATCACTGTCAAGCGCATTCGGAATGCTCTTCTGGAGCTTTTTGCAATTGACTTACTTCCACATAAGGTACGTTTCTGACAATTGATATCGGCAATACGGAGAACCCAAATACTAACTTTTCAAAGAAAGAGATGAATGATCTCATTTTGGAGCGCTATTACAAATTTTTAGACCAACAAAAAAGCCCCAAAAACATTGATGCGAAGACTAAAGAGGAGATAGAAAAACTGGACGAGCTAATGGCAATCCAACTACTGAAATCCGATTTACGTGGGCCAGTAACTCGTCGAAAAACTCCCGCCAAAACAGCATCAAAGGTTGTGAAAAAGAAAGTCAAAAGAACACCTAATACAGCTTTCAATGCGGAACACACGCTTTCACCACAGCTCCAACTGGTTCTAGGAGGTTCTCGTATGAGTAGACCACAGGTGGTCAAGCAATTATGGGTATACATCAAAGCAAACGGTCTTCAGGACCCGGCAGACAAGCGGAAAGTGAAGTGTGATGAAAAATTGCAAGCGGTATTTAAGAAACTGACAGTCGGTATGTTTGAGATGAATAAGCTTTTAGGAAAGCATCTATTTAAGGACGACGAAATAGTAGGAAAACGGAATGATTACGTGGTTTCGCTGGAAAGTGAGGACATAAGTGATAGAGAGCAGGGGAGTGAGAAGGACAGAAAAAGTGAGAAGGAGATTGAAAGTGACGAAGATGAAATGAGTGAAGTGGAAGACTGAACTGGAAAAGTCGACATAAAGCAATGGATTGCGGCGGCTATTCAGGGTATTTAAAAGATGATAATGGAGGAAGCATCTGGTCTTGGAACTTGGAAACAATCATGCTGCTTTGGTGTACATACTAGTTCTTTTTTTGTGTTTCTTCAAGATCTTTTAAACGCCCTTTGCTTTTATTGGCTCCTGCAAAACTACAAGTGCTTCTTGAATGGGGAAACTAAGTACGGTTTTGACTGCCAATGTGATGTTATATCAGCAGCATTGAGGTACCTGAAACCTCGGTTCATTTGGTCAACATAATTTAAAGTTGCATTACAAGTTGATCAATATGTAAGAAGTTCCGAATACTTTCAATATTTGCTTGGACCGTCGGAGAGAATAGGTGCCACTCTTAACGGGTTGAAAGATGCTGGTTTCAGTGTGATGTACTCCTACTCAAAGTAAAAATTGCATTATTACTTGATCACCCTCTAGAATAGATTAGCCAGCACATTATCTATGCTTCAAGAAATACACCAATTGCATTTAGAAAACAACAGTGGAGTATACTGCCCTTTGCTGAGTATCGAAAGTAGAATTTGTGTCTCTTTTCAGTTCTTTAAGAGTACTTCTTCGACCGTGACTTGAAAAGGGTGCGAAAGTTAAGTAAGCTTGGCCTAGATGTATTCAACTACTCAATTTGTCCAGGGCTATGAAACCTAAAGGTTCTATCTACCAATGCCCAATAAATTCTGATACATATGTATTTTTTCATCGATCTTGCAACCGCATCTGATCACTAGAGCTGATAAGGTGGTCCAACCATTTTCGGCTCGCGCTCCACATCTCACACACACTACCACTATCCTACAACCGGAGCACTCTCTTGACACACACCGCACATTCATCTAAACAACCTATTTCCCGTGGTATTTACCTCACGAAAGCTAGCATATTGTCACGATTCCAGTATAAAAACACTATACTCTCTAATACAGGGCACTGTTGATCGTGACTACAACAGACGGCAATCGCTGAATATACTGTCATCTCAACATGGCAAGCACAATCCGTTCACTACGCAAGGCAGAATCGAGGACACAAAGTCTTCTTTCCACGGTGGAGGACACACAATATGATCTGGTGGATGTTGACCGGCTATACGACGCTGTTCTAAAACTTGTACTCCTCGAGTACATTTGTGAGGCCCGTTTCTATCGGCCTCGGGCTAGCACGAAGCCTCCTGAGCGACGCTCGCGTATGTCTCGTATTGATGCGGAACCTCAGCTTCCACCTCACTTTCTAGCTGATCTAAAGGCCCAACTCAATCAGGTGGCCATGAAAGGAAACGGATTATGAGCCGGCTACGCGTCGACTGCTTCTTCGTTTTTACGGCGACCTTCTTGACCCGAACTTTGCTGCGGACTTCCGTCGGGCAGGATCACTTGATATGTTGGTAATGAAGTTTGTTGCTGCCGCCAATAAAGAAGTCGTTAAAGTCGGCCTGATTCCAGCAGAAGATGTCAGTGGTGTGGTGTTCCTGCAAGCGGAGCAACTACTCCGAATCATGATCCGGCTCGTCCAGCGAGAAAAAAACAGTGAAGTGTTGGAAGCAAAGCTCCACGAACATATGGCATCTCTCCAACCTTCAGCACGAACATCCTCTAGCGATCTTGCTAATGGAACGTATCCTGAACCATCATTTGCCTTGTCAGACATGGACCAATCGTATTTAAAACTACTCATGGAACTTTTCGGCGTTGACCGCAAAAAGCTTGAGTCAGACATTGCCCGCCTCAAGACGGTTGTATCCCAAAAAGCTTTGCACAAGGACATTGAGCAAGTTCTTTTCTACGTGTCCAAGGATGTAGGATGGCTCTCTCCGGGCAAGTTCGCTTCTCCTGAAGCATATCAAGCATGGAAGGAGCGTGAGACCCAGTATTGCGAGGCGCTAATGAAAAAGTGCCCAATACCACCGCCCAAGAAACTCTTGTCTCTCCCACCACCTCCAAAGGGTGACGAATTTTACGTTATACCATCGCCACTGGCAGTGCGTGCTTTCATGGTTCAACTTGGTAAACTTTGTTTGATTCAGCACAGGAAAGAACTTCAGTTTGGCTTCGAGACGCCGTCTGAGGTACTGTTATTTTCAAACAAATCAGGAGAACTCCTTTCACTCTGTGCCCGTGTGTGGCGTGTGGATTATCCGACGCGAGCTACATGTCTCTTTATTGCAGCACACTTGTCGGGTCTTCTAGTGGACCCCTTATTTGCGACCGGAACACGGGATTTGGGACCCATTGACTTGAATACCACCACAAAAGTGCTTCAGACGTGCAAGCGCTGGGTTGAAGAGGGTAAGCTTAATTGGGACGACAAACACTATTGGACACTCAAAGATCAAGATGAATGGGCAACGTATTTGGGCTATACATATAGCGAAGTCTTCCTCAGTATCAAAGACTGCCTAGGTATGTTGTTGAGCAAAACTTCAAAGCCGAAGTTCGCTCCTTACTTAATCTTTCTCGGGGAGTATGTGGAAAATGACTCTCTATTCCCAAAGGTGGAAACGGGGCTTGTCACCAAGTGGCAAAAAAGACTTAAGAAAACACTTTTGCGTGTAACAGAGACACTGTACGCTGAATGCTTGAGTGCAATTCCCAGGGACTCTACTTTAAGTATAGTGAATGTGTTAGATGCAGCGGATGTGTTAATTGAAAATATTAAGATGCTTCAAAAAAGATACAAAAGTCCTTTGCTCGGTTACTTGAATGTCAGTCACACATACGCCGATCTGGTTACAGGAATGTTCGCCTCAGATGCAAAAAATATGCTTGACCATATTGTGGCACATGTGAGGGCGAAAAATGAGTTTCTAAATTATGGTGATGCTTTGGAAGCCTACAAAACTCTTCAAGAAATTCGTTCGATCCACCAACAAGTTTCGCCATCGAAAAAGTTTGCTTTCAAAATAGAGGATTTTTTCTTTCCGTATCTTGAGGCTTGGGTGTCAGAGAGTGGAGAGAAAATCCTGTCATTTGTCAAGAATGCCATTGAAGAGGATGAATTTCAACCAATAGATCTTGACAACGATAACAAGAAGTACTCCTCATCGGTTCATGACATTTTCAGCCTCATCAAACATTATCTTGATATTTTGAAGGGTTTGAACTGGCAGAACCAATTCCATCTCGCCAAGATTTATACTACTCTAATGAAAAGTATCTGCGATTCTTGTCTTTTCTATGCTAATGAGATGTCAGATATGGTCATGAAGGATTTGGCGAATACTGAGCAGCGCTCTGACTGTGAAATTGCAACCGGGCAGAAAGGCTGGATTGCTGAAATGAAAAATATAGTTTCAAATTTCCAAAATCTGGCAGAAAAGCACGAATCAGAAAACCCCATCAACTTTTCATCCACGACGTGTGTTGGTCTTAATAACATTAGTGAAGTGTTGAAACAGTTAGCCAAATTGGAGCAATTGTTGTCCCCAGAAGACGTTTCTAATATAATGATTAAGAATGATCCAAGGTCCCGTCATTTTTATACAAGCCACGTATTTTCCATTAGAGTGGTAAAGGCTGAAAATTTGCGATCTGTTTCAGACGCATCAAACATCAGACCGTATATGACTCTTATTGATACGCTGGCGAGGCGAACAATTGCCAAGACAAGAACATTGGATTCTGAGAATCCCGAATGGGATGAAGAATTTGAAATTACCTTAGCACCTAAGGCCACCATGACATTATCAGCAACTGTATGGGAAGAAAAGTTCGGGACGCACGCTGTGTGCGGGAGAGCTCTTTTGCAATTAGAGCCTAGAAAATTCAAACACGACGGTATTGCTCAAGAGGTGTATCTTGATCTTGATTCTCAAGGAAGAGTTTTGATCGAGATTGCAGTTGAAAGTGAACGCGAAGATGCTGTCTTTGCCATGGGAAGAGCACACCGTGCATTGAGAAGAAGTGAACAGCGTATCATCAAGATGATTGTGGCCAAATTCTCAAAGTTCATTAAACATTGTTTTTCGAGATCCACATTGAAATTTGTCTGTGGTAACAGTGGGAATATCAAGCCTACTCAGGAACAGATGGATGAAGCTATGAAACCCTTGTACAATTATCTTAACATGAATTTACTGGTTTTAGCTCAATATCTTTCAAAAGAAATTTTACTTCGGGTTATGATTGAAGCATGGAATGTTGTTGTTGCAAGTGCAGATGAATTGCTTCTTCCCAAATTGACGAGCGCTAGAGTTCTACGCAACTCCACACTCGGCTACAAGAGGACGAGCGCAAGTGGTGGAAATATTAAAACCGGTTGGCAGTCTGCCGTGTCTTCGGCTGTGGCCAATGTGACAAATTCTATGAACATTTTAGGATTCGGTAAGACTTTAACCAATAATGAGATTGAAACGGTTATTTCGTGGCTTGACTTTCTCTGCATCGATTTCTTTCATAATGAAGGTAATGGGCCTCCGGTGGAGGATTTGAAGACAGAGCAATACCAATCCCTACTTTTGATTCCAGTGTACTATGATCGTGATACTTCCTTTTTGATGCAAGAAGTGGAACGACTCTCACCAGCATATCTTCGGATGCTAAGAGACAAAAATAATGTTTACATTTCGCAACATCCAGGATCTGATACAGCAGCCCTTAGAAGTAGAGCAGGTTCAATCGCAAGAAGTCTGACTATCCGCGCAAACGCGACAGCCCGAGCTAGAGCAAGGGCTGAAAAAGAAGCCCGCGAGTTGCGCTCTGATCCTTTGGCCGCTCAGACGTCTGCTGAGAACATTATATTGCGTTTACTACTTGTTAAAGACGAAAAACAATTCGTCGCCAAACGGATGGAAGAGAGAGAAAGATTAGCGCATACGATAGCTACAGAGAGATTGGCTAGAGCAGTAGCTGAAGGAACTTTGTTCCGCTAATAGGATATAGTATTTTCAATTACAGTGATCATTCATTTAAGATGTCTTTTTCTGTACAAGATTAAAAATTTTAGTATTTCTAGACATAATCGATACTGTGCTTAATTGGAAGCATCTTCCATAGTGGTGTCATTGGCATCTTGCTGAATTGTCGTGTCATTATTCTCTTGAACAACAGTTGAATCAGCATCAATGGTGACATCTGGATTCGTGGATTTAATTTCAGTCGGTTTGGTATCGATGGCCATGTCAACATCACGTTTGTCTTCAGGTTCCTGACCATTTGTGACTAATGAACCTTCAGTTGCTTCGCTAGATTTAGGCACATCTGCCGCTTCAGTAGATGTTACCGCTAGATATTCATTTGCACCTTTTGTTAAGAGAGTTTGAAACTTTTGATCAAGTTTCTCCGTTGCCTCTTCGCTTAATGATGACGCCCATCCCACTTCTTTATCATTGATAAGATTCTGCAAGGCAGCAAGTTTGTCACTTTTAGTCTTTCCTTTGTCTTTCTGCTTAGTATAGACAAGAGTAGATGTAAACTCATCACTAGTTCCAGGCTCAAAGAACAAACGGAATGAATTTTCACAAACAGATACCTTCAAACCAGAGAAAACTTTTCCTTCACATTGGTCCTCGTCCACCGCTTCGATGAAAGACTTATGGAATGGCATGTTGATCTTGGAAGCAGGGACTCCTTCCGTAGGATGGTACATGACATAAGATGTAACATAGTAGTTGTACCTTTCTGTGGCATTAGCATGATCATTGATTGTCAAATCATCTAGACTGACAAATTGTATGTTCACAGAATTTTCGGACTCAGAAAACGCAATTTTGAACATGTTTTCATCATTACTCATCAATGATCTAACTTGCATACGATACAAGATTTGGTCCCTGGCGCTAGAAACAAGAGTATTCCTATCTTTCTCAAACAAAACGACCATTTCAGAGGTTTTAGAATCGGTAACCATCGTATGCATGTGCTTCACCAAAGAAAGGACAACCTTATCAATAGTGTAGCACTTGTATGCCTTATTTCTGTACCCTTGCCGTAAACTTTCTTCAAACCATTGATGCTCAATTTCACCATCCAAAAGTCGTTCTGCCAAAGATAAAACTTGCTTGTAACAATCGCTGTTTCCATCGATCAGTACACCCATGTCTTCGAGCTGATGGGAAATCAAATTCAAGTCTTTTGCAAATTGAGGAACCTTTCTAGAACGAATCTCTTTTGCAACTGCTTCGTTCATTGCCTTTACCTCTTCAAGTCTTTCATAAAGCGTTCTTAAATGACGGAAAAAGACGTAAATGGTTGTGTTGCAGAAAAAATTGAATTTATCCCTCCTGGATTCATTCCTAGTTTCACCTAAAGAATAATTAGATGACGTGGTACGGATCCAAAGCTCACCAAGCTTCTCAGCTTCTTCAGCTTCCTCTTGCTCATCCGACTCATTAGCAGGAGAATCGTCGTGATCTTCCTTCCTGGATTTGGATTGTTTTTTCAATACATCACGCAATAAATCAGGATCACGATGACGTTTCTTAGATTCAGTTGAATCACTCTTACCATTGATATCAACGTTGTGAGAAGACTCAGGACGTGGAGCGTCACTATTTTTATTGGTCCTTTCCTTCTCTCTTTTAGAAAGAGCCAGCTCAATAACATCACTTGAGATGTTAAAAAAAACACTAATAAAGTGCTTGAAAAATGAACCTAATTTTTCCCTGTCGTTGGCTGAATAATTGGAAGAATGGAAGATATAAAATTCTGAGAGCCGAATTATATCGAAGACAACATCATAATCAGTAAACTTGTAGTTCAATTGTTCTTGAGGTTTTGGAGTCAAAGGATGTACTCTCTTGTTCTGTTGTTCCACTTTCACAGTACTGATCTCACTTACCAACTGTTTGGCTGTCAACAATTTTTTATCAGCTTGCTTAAATGTCAATCCCAAATGGTCTAGAGATTTATAAAACACTTTTTGTTCCATTTCTCTCCAGACTTTGTTCCATTCTCTTTGAGCTCTCTTCCATTCCTCATCTTTTTGTTTCAACCTTTTCAACACAACTGGGACAGCAACAGCAGGATTTTCGTGTAAAGCATCAATGACTTCAAATCCCCTATCCTTGTCATAGATTTTACGGATCACCTTCTTGTATATCGTTTGAGAAGTGTGGCCCAACCCTGGAGGAAGCTTAAAGCTTGCTTTCTGTTCTGGTGTCATGTTCGCAATACGGTTTGCAATCGTCTCCAAAGTCTGGATGGTCCTTAAATTTGCTTCCATATGATAATCAAATTCCAACCTTTCTTCCTCGATCTTGAACAATATTTCCTCATACTGATTCTTTCTGTGCGAAATGAAACCAGAATCTTCAGACGCCCATGTGGGGTGGCCAACCCATTCATCATTCAACACTTCCCAACACATTTCATCTCTACCAGAGCACGGCATATATGTCTCAACTTTTGGTAATTGTCTGTACGATGGACCATATGCTTTACACAAGGAGAGTTCTAACTGGTGCTTCTTGAAGCTAATGTCCTCGATGTGTAGAGATTTTTCCTTATACCCGACAAATTGCTTGAACCAGTTAAGCAAATCCGGGTAGTTATCGCCAAGAAATGAGTCCACTCTTTCAACCAAAGTTTCTTTGTCAATGATGTCTTGAGAGTACAAATTCAAAACCTTCAAAAACTCGTTGTAAGTTTGTTTATTCCCAACAGCCTTTTTGACTCGATCAAAGAAACCTAATTCTTCCAGCAAAGAAGATGTTGGGCCCACGGCAGACGGAGGAACAGGCTCAGGAATACCTGGAACTAAAGTAGGATTTGCCTTGGTGGAAGATTTAGCCACTGGGGCAGAGTACCCAGGGGTACCAGAGCTTTGCTTTTGTACCATGTTAGCTTGTGGAGCACCTCGAATACTAGAATACAGAGCTTCTTCGTTGTAATTGTTCTCGTATGCAAAATGTTCAGGCTTTTTAGCTAGACCATCAGACATAACTTGACCTCCCATGCCAACCTCCTGGGCACCAGGCATTTGGTACGTATTGGGGTAATGATGCTCAGGGTTTGGAACTGGAGCATTCATATTTGGTTGGAAATTTCCTAAGGGGGGTAACTGTGAAACACCGTTTCCACCATAGTATACTTGCTTTTCCGAAGGATGAACATGAGCCGGTGCTCCATGGGCATTCATTAACTCCTCATGAGTGTTTTGTTGTAAGAGAGGTTGATTACCACTGTCAGGCAAAAATTGCTTGAAGTCATTAAGAAGATCTGGCGAGTTTGCAAAAAGTTGTGTCACTTGTTCATACACTTCTCCAATAGGTTTCTGTTCGCGTTGATACGTCTGTAAAATTTCCAAAAACTGCTTGTAGATATCGGGCTGGTTGGCAAATCTAGTTTTGATTTTGTTGACGTAAGATATAGCATGATTGAATTCGATCTGTCCACCAGGTCCATGTTGCGTCTGTTCCTGTGGGTACTGATGAGGTTGCGGTTGCTCAGACCATTGCGTATAAGGATTAGTGGAGTTTCCCCCTATATTAGGCCGTGTTGATGTGCCCGTTGGAGTGGTAACGCGAATTGGGTTTGGGTTTGTGGGGTCCATTGAGCATTCGATCCTGTAGCCAGGAGGCAAGAAGGTATTGAAGCCCTGGATTAAATTTGGATGGCCGCGAAACAATGTAGATACGCGATCGATGACTCCCGGTGTGTCGATACTCTGAGACTTGAAATCCTTCATGATGTCCAAGAAGTTGTTATACACGTCTGCTTGGTTGAAAAATTGGATTTTCACCTGATCCAAGTATGATAACGCATCCTTAACATTCAATGGCCGATAAGCAGATGAAGTTGAAGAACGGTTCATAACGCCCTGAGGGATTGCTGGTGCACTTCTCTGTTCTTGGGTTTGAACACCAGGATGTCCCGGCTGTCCTTGTTGGTTTGGGCCGGGCTGTGTGTGCTGTTGCAGGTTCTGGTTCAGTTGCATAGGCAGCGCCGATAGTTGCTCCGGCTCCTTCTTCACCTCTTTCTCCGCAGACGCTTGATGTTCTTGCGAGGGAGGTATAGGCGTTTGGTGAGACACATCCTGGTTTGTGAGCGAGTAAATAGAAGTGCTCGGCGAGTGGGAAGTGATCGTCGCGTATCCTGGGACAGAAGGAAGAGTGGTGGTGACTGGTTGCCTTCTGTCCTCAGATGTGCTAATTGAGGGGATAGTGAAAACATGGCCTGGAGAATTATTGGCGCGCGAACCCAACGCCGGAAGACTAGTAAAGGATGGGAATTGCTGAGCACCCGCCTCTAAAGTCGCCGGAGGAGGCAACACTGGTGGATTCTGGCGGCTGGAATGTTAGTGTGGCTGACAAGATGAGGATGCAACCCCCTGGCTGGAAAAAAAAAAAAATGGAAAAATCCAAAAACACTGACAGGGGATTGTCAAAATACGTACTTAAACAGCTGGCCCAAAGGCATGCCTTGGTTCGTCCAGCGATTTTCTTGGTTGGTCATGATGAAATTCCGCTAGGGCCCAAGTCAAGTAAAGGCAGTTTGGGCGATGCAAGAAAACCAAAGGTCAAATGGAAGAAACCACAGAAGACGTGAGGAGCGATAAATGGAAAGAGGCGTACAACTTGTTTTGGATGAAAACAAGCACTTATCTTTGGATTGACGCCAACGATGGAGATTGAGACTGAAGACCAATTGACACTTCCGAGTACAGTGCGTGAGTCGGGTAACACCACGCGGGTGCTGGGTTCGTTTATGCCGGACATTTGTTCTCTTGGGCGTTGCTTCGGGTACATCAGAAAAAAGTCCCAAATAGGCTCTATACCATACACAACGACAACCTGTACGTGAAGTATCCCAGCGTTCTTGGCTTCCTCCACTTGGGAATTCTAGTGTAAAGAAATGAAGAAAACTGAAGTATAAGACAAAAATTATGACCGTAATGTGATGTTTCTTCTGTAATATAAAATTAATTGACAGGATAACGATTTACTACACACTTTTTTCTGATTTTGGTAAAATGATGCGATTCTTGGGTAATGATCAAAAATGAGAAGCATAATCAAAATATTAGCTTTGGTGAATACTAACAGGAGCAAAAGAATAAGGCGAACCGTAACTATAAGGAGTACTTTTGCTTGGTGTATTCGGATACTGTCCTCTATTGCAAGTTAAAGTGTGTCAGCAGTTCGCCTTACCCACTGCCTCCCACGCAACATGCAGTCTGCTTGTTCAAATGAAAAGAACACTTTCATCTTCTTAATCAACATCTAAAATGAACGCCCCAGACAGATTTGAATTGTTCATTTTGCCTGATGGTGTCGACAAGTATGTAATTTTACGACTCAGGTATACCGCTTTCTTTTGTTCTTGACTAACGCCCAGAATCAAAATCATCCCCGACACTAAGGTGCCAAATGCTGCTATCATCAAAATCGAGAGAGAAGACCATACGCTAGCCAACTTATTACGTGCTCAGTTGGCAAAGGATGAAAAAGTTCTCTTTGCCGCATACAAAGTCGAACACCCTTTGTTTGCCAACTTTGTGATGAGAATTCAAACGGAAGATGATTACACACCAAGAGAGGCGTTGAAAAACGCATGCTCAAGTTTGATTTCCGAGTTGGACGTTCTTAAAACGAAATTTAAGGATGAATGGGCACTTAAGTCATTGCTCAGTAATAACGACGACGATTATTAGATGTATACTAGAACAGATATTTAATGAACTACTACAACGGGTGCTTGCATGTTTTTAATTTTTCTGATCAAAAGCTTGAATCTAATAAAAGCTAGGACTTGTATTCGAAATTGGCACTACTCAGTCATTCTATTATATGGCGTATATTATTCATTAGTTGGAAATTTTGGAACGGATGGCCTGCTCGATAGTTGCAATCTTGTCCATACAATCAGGCACTTCTGTCTGCAAGAAATTTCCCTGTTCCATAACCAATATCAATGGATGCGTTTGGATTACGCGGTTAGGCGAAATATGCGTGATGGCTAACCCGTTTTTGGAGATGCATAACTTGTGGTGATCTTTGAAGTTGAATTGAAAACTTCCATTCGTTAACTCGAACATAATATAGTCGCTATTACGCGTATACCGGTGTAAGAAAACGATTTCCTTTCTTTCTTCATTTTCGCTCACCTTCGATAAGTTGCTGTTCATATACTTGGCGAAAAAGTCCACAATTTCAAGCTGGCGACGTGCTTGTGATGGAGGATGGCTCACTGAATTTTCGACGCAGGTCCAACCTTCTTTCTCATGGTGAATCAATTCCAAGAAGCGGTCGCTGTTGTGAAGTTTCAATATGGTATTTTCATCATTAAACAATACACCAATATCATCGTTGTTCATCTGATAAGAAAAGCCGTACTTGTTAGAGTAATCCACCCATTTGGAAATAAGAGTAGGGTTTTCGCACGTTGGAAGTTCTTTAACATTCAACTCTAACTTATCCTCAGAGTTGACAATGTTGTGAAGTCTTCTCATATTGTATGCGGATTCTCTGAGGCATTGGTCCAATTTTATAATGGTTTTATTAAACTGAGAGTTGAAATTAAGCTTTCGAAGAGATCTGGCTCCATTCAGACCCACAAGCGCTGCTGGAACAGAAATCTCTTGGTACTTCGAACGAGTGTCACCCGGGGATAAGGACTGTGGAAGAACAGTGCGGGGCTGGTCAGATTGTAAATCAGACTTCAATATTTCAACAGGATTCTTCAGCTTAGGAGTGTAGATACCAGCAAGAGCTTTTGCATTCGTAAAGTTGAGGGCACTTTGAGCTTTGGAAATATCGGAAACACCTGGTGGGGTTCCAGTCAAAGCTTTTTCCACTGTTTTGGACGGGAAAGCTCCCTTGAACCATGGGTAGTCTAAAATTTCATTGATGGATGGGCGGTTTAATGGATTTAAACTTAGTAAGTCTTTAATCAATGTGCGCGCTTCTTCAGAGATTGGTTTATCTGAAGGGAACAGATACTCTGTTTTTTTGATCCTCTCGTAGATCACATTAACATCTTTGGCTTGGAACGGTGGCTTTCCGACTAACAACGCATACATCATGATACCGATGGCCCAGATATCTACTTCAAAGGAATGACCAGTTGTTTTTCCTCCTAATACCTCTGGGGCGATGTAGTTGGGAGTACCACAAATAGTGTATTTTCTGGAGTCTGTCGAAGGCAACACGGAGGCCAAACCAAAATCACCAATTTTTAAATTCATGTCTGGGTCGAAAAAAATGTTGCCAAGTTTCAAGTCTCTGTGAATCACTCTACGGGAGTGTAAATACTTAACTGCACCAATAATCTGCACCATAAAGAATCGAACTTCGGATTCAGAGACTCTTTTTCTTGTTTTCAAAAGTTCCATGAGCGATTGGTTGGGGCATATCTCTAGTAAAATGTAGACATTGACATCATCTTCGAAACAGTCAACAAAGTTGACAATGTTTGGATGCTTAAGTGACTTGTGAATTTTGATTTCCAGCAAGAGCTTAGTTTTGGTTTTTTCGTTTTTGATCAGGGCCTTGGCAACAGTCTTTGCAGCGTAGATCTTACCCGATGCATCTTTCATTTGGAAGCATCTAGCAAATCCTCCTTCGCCTAAGAAGTTACCTCTACGGTAGTCAATACCGTTTCTTGTTCTGACCACTGAAGGAGGAGTCTTGCAAAGAGCGGAAAGTTTCTCCTTCTTTTTCTTTGGTTTTTCTTGAGCACGGGGCTGTTGCTGTTGTTGTTGATAATGCTGTTGATTGTGATGGACCTGATACTGATTTTGTTGCTGGACATGATTGTCATGATACAATTGGGCATTGTGAACAGGTTGTTGGTGATAATAATCAAAATGAGGTTCTTTTCTTCTAGTAGATTTGATTGGGGTAACGCTAGCGGCACGATTGAGTTGCCCGTTGTTGAGCGGTTGCAAGGGCTGTGAACGAATGTTCATGAAAGAATGGATCAAAATTTGGAGAAGATCGAAGAGCTAAGAATTGGCTCGAAAAGGAACAGGAAGACTTTTTGGAATAGAATCACCAAGGAGAATGAAGGTGGTGAACTTTATGTTTGTGAGCTCGTTTGAATAACGAACAATGCAATAGATTTAGTTATCTCTTTTTCTATCAAAGCCAGAAAAGGTGAGGCACGGCGATCAAAAAGTATTTATATCTATTTTTGCTCGGAGACGAATTTGGTAATTGCAGAGTAGTTCCCTTTCGTCAAAAAAGAATACAAAGAAACGATCGGTGTGAGAGACTGAAAAATTGTATGGGCTAAACGGTTTGGCTCTAGTTTAATGTTTACAAATATACCGGATCGAGTAATCATCTCGAGAAAGTATTTACAAAACCAACTAATCGAGATTTACAGACTGCATGCAGCACCGCATATCCGTGTGAATGACATCGACATGAAACTCAGCATATATATCATAGTAGTAAAATCATTATTTTAGATACCCTAAACCCATATATCATATGAAAAGCATGCAGTGAGCTCAGCAACCATACACAAATTCACAACGTAAAAGCGAAGTTGATAATTTGGATCCGATGAGAATCAGCGCACTAGATTTCCTAAATAGGAAAAGATATAGATTTAATATCAACAAACAAATTAAACCCAAGAAAGACAAGTTTCATCTTAGCGACTTCCAGTACTGTACAATATCGCTAGAGAAATGTGTAAGATACTGCAAGTGATGCTTGTTCTCGTGTTAAATGCATTCAAACGACTTCACACCTCAATAGATAGCAAAAAAGTAGTCGTAGAGACAATTTATCAGAGGAACCAAGGATAATAAGAATAACGAAAATTAGGGAATCACGAAACCAAGAAAAACATAAACCACTTTTTTTTTTTTTTAAACCAGCGCTTACTGGCGACGTGCTTGTGTCATGTCATCTGCACCTTTATTTGCAAGAGAATCCGCTTGCTCATTTCCTTCAATTCCCAGATGGCCCCGTACATGTGTGATAGAAAAATCATCACCATGACGTTCCTTTGCCTCACGATATTTAGTCAAAGCGGATTGCACAAGGTCTTTGTTGGCGACTTTCTCTCCACGAGTATTCACCCAGCCGTTAGCTTCCCATTTATCTGCCCACGTTTCCACACAATTTTTAGCATAGGCGGAATCAGTTAGGATCTCGTAGCCAGTAGTGCTGTCTTTGGCGGCCACATCGAGGGCATGTACTAAAGCATGCAATTCAGCTCTTTGGTTAGTAGGCTTTATTCTGTCAACATCATCAACTTCATGTAACCCTTGTGAGACGTTTCTTTTGTCATTTGGCCCAAAGTAGACACCGTAACCTGCATTGGGAATCCCACTTTTTCCATTGCCTCTAGCAGCACCGTCCACGTAAACTCTTTGGCGTCTTTTCGACAGAGAATCGGACAGGGTCCCAGACAGAGATTCTCTTGAAATCAGATGATCTACTGAGCTCTCTATCTTGTCAAATTTGCGTTGGTAACCACCGGTGGATCCTTGGCTGTTTCTAGCGCTTTGATATCTTGGCTTAGATCCATAATTTGTGCTTGCAGAATAATTTGAAGGTTCCGGTTTAGAAACTCTGCCCAGCAGCCCTGAAGAGTATGATTGGTACGACAGAGATGAAGATTTAGAGCTTCCGCTCAGCACAAACCTCAGAGCCTCCTCTGCACTGGAAAACTTTTTGTATTTGGCGTTGGAAAAGCCTGAGACTTGCAGTTTGCAATCATCCCAGGACCTGTAAACACCTGCGTTACGGCCATTTGCCACTGCGTAATAGTAGGGTGTTTTTCCCATTTGTTGGCAGAGAATGGAAAGTTTCTTCAGCTTGGAACAATAATTAGGTTTCAGATATCGTACATTCTCTGACGGCGCGCGCCTCTTTTCCTAAAGAGCGAGGAGGGGTATATCATCCTTGTTTGTAAGACTAGTCGTTTTCCCGGGAAACCTTTGTTCTGCGAATTAGGCGCAAGTATTGAGCATCTTGAAACAACATGCAGCAAGCTGAAGAGCGTCCAGTTTGCCATCATAATCAGCACGAAAACATGATTAAAGGACTTTAGAACGTGACTTTACGACGACATAAAGAACAAATTACTATTTTTCAGTTGCTCTATGGAGAGCATAAAATTAGTACTCTGTAATTAGATGAATGCCTGAAATTTAGCACTGGTAATTAGATGGCTAACATTTCTCAAGACGCGTCAAACACGAGAGAAAAAAAAATTCGAGAAATCGTGCGCAACACATAAATTTCTACTTGCGATGGCCTTGCGATATATTCCGCAAACAAAAATATCAAACCCGTTCCTGGTTTTAAAAGCCTGATAAGCTGTATTGCAAAGTGGTTTCGTTCATCTAGTGATTCTGTTTTCTCCCGTGATCAGAATTGCCTGTTTTCCTGTTTTGTTTTGTTCTCACAAGATAGAAAATGAGCGACTCCGAGGAAATAGTGCTTTCTCAATTGCCTAAGCCTCAAAATGGATCTTTAGAAATTAAAGACGAAACCGAAGAAGCACCATTGGCGCTGCTTAACGGGCTGCCCAAGAAGAAAAGAAAGTCTACATCTAAAGAAAATGGTTCATCAAGCAAGAAAAAGAAGACGTCTAAAAAGAAGCAAAAAACCACTAAGGTGAAGGAAGACCCTGAGATCAAGCTGGAAACAACAGATGTGGAGCCTGTCGCGAAAGACAGTGATCGTAAAGCTTCAAAGAAGTCCACAGCCACTCCCAGAAAGGACACAGAGACCCCGAAGCCTGAGACTTCGCTTGAACCGGAAACCCCAAAGAAAGATTCACAGGAAGCAGAGGATTACAAGTGGTGGGAAGATGAGAAGTTTGGAGAGGGCCCAGACAGATGGCAAACCTTGGAACACAATGGTGTCATTTTCCCTCCACCTTATAAGCCCTTGCCTTCGTACGTGAAGTTGTATTACGATCTGAAACCCGTGAACTTGCCGCTTGCTGCAGAAGAAGTGGCCGGGTTTTTCGCAGAAATGTTAGAAACCGATCACGCGAAAAACCCCGTATTTCAAAAGAACTTCTTTGAAGATTTTCTCCAGGTTTTGCGTGAGAACGGCGGATGCGACGTGGACATTACCGAATTTGACAAATGTGACTTCTCTAAGATGCATGCGCATTTCGTTAAAGTACGGGAAGAGAAGAAGAACATGAGCAAGGCCGAAAAGTTGAGACTTAAACAAGAGCGTGAAGCGTTAGAGGAGCCTTACCGTACTTGCTTGTTGAATGGAAGACGTGAGAATGTAGGAAACTTCAAGGTTGAACCTCCTTCTTTATTCCGTGGTAGAGGTGCTCATCCAAAGACTGGTAAATTGAAGAAAAGAGTTTATCCGGAGGATATCACATTGAATTTGGGCATAGAAGCTCCAATTCCACCAGCACCCGAAGGTCACAAATGGGGCGAAATTAGACACGATAAGTCCGTGGTCTGGCTTGCTATGTGGAAGGAAAATATTTCCGATTCCTTCAAGTACGTCAAACTTGCTGCAAACTCGTCCATCAAGGGCATATCGGATATGAAAAAATTTGAAACTGCACGCCGATTAAAGGATCACATCGAGAGAATCAGAGATGATTATAAGAAAATGTTGAAGGATCCTTTTATGCAAAACCGACAAATTGCCACTGCCACATACCTTATAGATGTGTTTGCTCTTAGAGCTGGTGGTGAAAAGGGTGAAGATGAAGCGGATACTGTTGGTTGTTGTTCTTTACGGTATGAGCATGTTACGTTGAGACCACCTAACACTGTGATTTTTGACTTTTTGGGTAAAGATTCCATTCGTTTCTATCAAGAGGTCGAGGTGGACAGACAGGTGTTCAAAAACTTACGTATTTTCAAAAAGGAACCCAAGCAACCTGGTGATGACTTGTTTGATAGGATTACACCTGCAACTTTGAACAAGCATTTACAAGCTTACATGAAGGGATTAACTGCTAAAGTTTTCCGTACTTACAACGCGTCCAAGACCATGCAAGATCAAATGGATTTGATTCCCAATGAGGGAACAGTGGCAGAAAAAGTGATGAAGTACAATGCTGCTAACAGGACTGTCGCCATCTTGTGTAATCACCAGCGTACAGTAAGTAAAGCGCATCAGAACTCGGTAGGAAAAATCCAAGAGAAGATCAAGGAAATGGAATGGCAGAAAATCCGGTTGAAGAAGATGATTTTGGTACTCGATTCATCGCAGAAAGCTAAAAACCCGAAGTACTTCGAAGAACTTGAAGACATGACAAGTGAGGACCAGTTAATGGTTGTCACTCAAATGATTGAAAGACAACGTGAACAAGCGAAGCGTAAGTGGACGCGAGACAACGAGAAAAGGGCAATGGAAAAGCAGGAGCTATTGACTGAAGAGGACTTGCAAGAAAAACTCAGTAAAATCAAAGCATCCGAGGAAGAATATCGACACGAAATCGAACTGGGAGAAGTTGAAGTGACTAAAGGTGCATCAGTGGAGAAGTTGAAAGTACAGATCGAGAAGATAGAGAACCGGATTTTGAACACAAACTTTCAGCTTAAAGACAAAGAGGACAACTCAGAGGTTTCACTTGGAACGTCTAAGTTGAACTATATTGATCCCAGATTGACGGTTATGTTTGCGAAGAAGTTTAACGTGCCTATTGAAAAGCTTTTTACCAAAACATTGCGGGAGAAATTTACATGGGCCATTGAGTCTGCAGACGAGAACTGGAGATTTTAGCATATTAGCATAGAGCTGTGATCACACATAAATACAAAAATAATCACGATTTGATACGAGATTTGATTCGGTCTATTCAAGTAACTATTTTTGGTCTTTTTTTTTTTTAGTTTATCGGCGAATCTACCTATTGTGCACCATTGTTCGATGCCTGCAATTGTATCCAATTAGGAATTTCTGGTTACGTGCCTTTATGCATGCAATCGCGATTCTTCATCAATAGATACGCGCCGTCTGTACAAGCCGCATGAACAAAGCTTTACAATGCTTTGGAACTCGGGTTAGTCAGGTTGATAAGGAGGTGAAAATAAAACCGGGATTCAAGGTACTCAAGGAGCACGAGTCAATGATACCCAAGGATTTAAGAATACAGAATTATCTTCTGGACCCATTTATTTTCCCACGAGAAATCGCGTCGCAGGGACGTAAACAAAAGCGACGCGCATGTGTGACATTTATTACTATTACTATACCAAGCGTAGATATGCATAGACTTTTTCTCAGCGCATCTTCTCTCGGATTTCTTTTCTCCTTGTCTTTTCTTGCTTTCCATACAGCTTAAGAAAATCTGGTTGATTTCTAGATTTGCTGCTCGCATTCCGACCCATTACACTCCTTTACCATGCGAGTTTTTCTCCTTTTCTTAGCTTTCATTGCTGCTGGGGCTGCTGGGCCCCTTCCAGCGTCGACTGGACTAACCCATTACCACCAACATGGCAATCGCTATCTTTTGAGACGGGATGACAAGAACTCCGATTCTTCACATAAGACAGATAGCACAGAGGACCATACGAGCACACATAATGCTAAAGATACGGAAAGCACTAAGAGTGAAGAAAAGGACGAAAGCACAGAAACATCTGATAGTGCCAAAAGTACTGACGATGCTAAAAGCACCAGTAAGAGCTCTGATAAGCCGAAATCATCAAATATGCCCACTAGTTCTAGCGAGAGCTCGCAGAAATCCACGAAGGATTCGAGCCAATTATCCTCAGTCACTGAGATGCCATCCGTTAACACTGAAATGCCATCGATTTCAACGACGTCGTCATCAACATCCTACTCTTATGCCGTGACAGTGCCGCCACTGTCTGATCATAACAAGAACCCATACATTCAATATTCTCGTGCCCCGAACAACGTTGTTTTTATTGTGGTAGGTGCAATTCTTGGTGCCTTAATACTCGCGTTTGTCGCAGCTCGTACGACTATGTGGTGCTTGAGTAGAAGAAAAGCTCAAGTTGATAAGGAAGTATACTTCCTGAATGGATCACACATATTTTCTTGGGGCGGCAGTGGCGCTTCTTTTCCAAATTCGTCACAATCATCTCTTATGGAAAAAAGCCTGTTTTCGTCTCACATGCTTCTGAAGTACCCAAGTTCAAATACGCTTAATTGGGACACTTCCACCCAAGGTCGCCTGTACCGCGAGATGCTGACGCCTCTTGATAGAAGAGGATCTATGACTATAAGCCCAGTTCTTGAGATGATGCAAGGACTGCGATCCCAAGTTGATCTCACTTTACTTCATCCTAGCTTGGATTCTGCTGCATACCATAATGAGCTGCCTCCGGCCTCATTTCCCGAATCGGGACTGAGCAATAAAAGTAAACGGCTCGAGAGGCCACCGTCCCAGGTATTGGATGATTTGCTTTCAGGAATAGATTTGAGTAAGGATCCAGGCAATTTATAGACAATAGAAGAGAGGATAAGACCTCAAATAATGACCAGTAACTTGTAGTATATAGAAAAAGTACAAGTTGGCCAATAGTCTTGCAAATGTACGAGAAGGCTGATAAATTCTCAAAATTGTGTAATAAAAGTCCTGTAAAAGTTAGACAATTTGGCCATGTTGATTGACCACTATGACTCTGGAGGGGGAATCCGTACAAAAGCCATATCTACTGATTATGAGCTCAATTTAATACACTGGAGAATAAGAATAATTTCTCTTGATTTGTAGCTCACTTCGTATCTTTTTTCCGTCCTAGATTTCTCGAGTTAGTGTCTGTAGCAAGGACGCTTTCCATGCGCAAAATCCCCCGCACTTTGCTTCCGTGCATATCGGTACGTACACGTTGCTCCCTTGCTCCGGCCCTTATCCAATAAAGCCGTCATACTTCGACCGCACCGGCTATCTTGTACTGAATCCTTTTTCTTCATATTCAACAATGAGTTTTAAAGCAGCAAACACCATTTTGAGAGCGCCAGCTAAGCGTGCTATTCACATGTCCCTCCGTGTCAAAGCTAAAGGAGATTCGTCTACAATTGACTCGTATAGATTGCCCTCGCAAACTTCCATTAACGAATGGGAGTTCAAATACGACTTTATTCCCAAAGTGGCTCAGCCTAAAATTCCACCTATCAATCCGGAAGCAGTGAAACAGGACATTGCACAGACGAAGAAGCAGCAAGTAGAGGCTGAGTTGTTCAATAAGGAACTTACATCGTCCATCAAAGTGGAAGCTAATGACGCTGCAGTGGTGCATGGCGGAGAGCCCGTTGGAGCCGAGGTTGAATTTCTCCATGATAAGGGGCTGGACCCAGTGGATGCATCTACGAAAGCTACAACGCCTCAACGGAAGAAAACTACCAACCACGACAATTACGTGCAGACTTCTATCAACCCGAACATCAATAACCCAGATGTAGTGAATCTCGGTCACACAAACAGCGTGGACCACAAAACTGCTCCGGTGCAAGAGGCCAAGGTTGTTGATGATGTGGAACATCCACAGTCTGTCGAAAGTAAAACGGCAGAACCGGAAACTGAAAGCTCGGGAAACACGGCTAAGATTCTTGGTGTCTTGGGCTTGGGTGGCTTGGCAGGCTACTTTTGGTTTGGAAAGACTGAGAGAAAGTGAGAAGCTCCCGAGGCATAGACATAAATATATGCACTAGAAGATAAACGAGTAGGAGTTATGGGAAATTCAGCAACAGGTCAGTGAAGACCGTAAAAGGGTGCTTGATAAGGACAACTACGTTGATGATAAAGAATTCCAACTATTTCGTAGTATAAATATATATTTGTCCATATATTACAGTTTGGTGATACTCGTTAACTACTCTTTAGTGTAGGCAAGGTACTGTGCTCAATAAAGTTTAATGCGAAACAAAACAAAAATCCTTGCTTTTGTATTGTGCTAATCAGCTAATAAATATTTACATGGTCTTAATAACGACGCGAGGCCTCCTGGCATGCCTTCAACTGTTGCAAGTAGAAGTCACAAACTTGCATGTTACCGTTGTTCTCCTCCAAACATCTGGTGAAGGTTCTGGCATCGGCGTCACAAGTTCTGGCTTGTTCTTGGTAGTTTTGTTGGGCAGCTTGTTGAGGGGCTTCAGCAGGAGCAGAAGAGCCTCCGAACATCGAAGTGATACCAGCACCAAGGGTGTGGCCGATAGTGGAACCGACGGCAACACCGGCGGCAGTAGATGCCATCTGGCCGAACAAGCCTGGGCCCTGCTGCGTTTGAACAGGTTGAGAAATCGCAGTTGGATGTTGTTGTGGAGGGGCCACAGGAGCAGCAGCTGTGTGGGCAGATCTGGATTGCGTTCTAACTGGAGCGGATCTTCTTTGTCTAGCCATGATGTATAGTTGAGGTTAGTTAAAGATTTGATGCGGGTGCGAAGTTTTTATAGGCTTTAATCCAGTGGCGATTGGGCCACGCGCTATGTCGCGCAGGCCAAATGTCGCACCAGCCGTTAAAAGAATGTCGCGCCCTGCTTCCAGCACTTTCTAAACAGGTCGAAAGAAAGAGGATGGAGGGCCGGATAACGTATGGTCACAAGCACAACCAAAAACCATTGTTTGAGTTAGCTTTCTATAGAGTGAACAGATTTCAGAGAAGCGCCAATGTTACTTTGGAGAAGGCGGCTGTTCACACTTATTATTCTCTTTGGCCACTGGAAACTTCCTGGCCTCGAATGAATGTGGAGTCGTGGTTGTATTCCACTCTCGCTTGAAGAAAATGGGCGTTTGCCGTCAGGAACAAAACGAATCATTTATCCCCGTATTATGGGAAGTACTCATTGACTGTAGAGTCTGAAACTGACAACGGTGATGCAATGAATTGAGTAGTAATCTGATGGAGTTACTCCTTGATAGGAATATATTCAGGCGATCCTAGAGCATATTAGTATAATCGCCGACCATTTGACAATTGATCCCCCCTCATTTCTGTTTCAGTAATAACAGCCGTTAGTATTGCGTTAGCAATCACACAAATGGTTGATTGCTGAAGCATTCTAGCAAAAATATAAATCACTTTGCTAATCTCGCCATTACTCGTATTCCAACAGCAATATCCTTAAATCAGCAACTGAAGGACAACGCTGCCTCAGATAGAGCTATTTCTTCCTCTCTTTTATCTACAACCTTTTGCACAAAGGAAACAGATCTTGTGCGAACGGTTTCCCCAGTCCGATCCGGTACACTTCCCTGCACTCCAGCATCTACGTCTCCCCTCCAAAAGCTCTTTCCACATCCCTTCTTACTTCAGCCATGACATTTTTTTCCAGCACTCCACCTGTGCATTCTATATTTTTACGTTCTCTACGATGGGCATCGAGCTCCGAACGTACACATTACCAAGTGCTCGAACTTCTGCCTCACGCTTCATTGAAAGAGATCAAAATGCAGTTTAAACGGCTCCTGAAAAAGTTCCACCCCGACGTGAATGCTCGATTGCCCGAGGATGAGAAAGAGGCTAACAGTGCACGATATGTTCAGATGGTACTGGCGTATGAGACATTGAAAGATGCCAAGAAGAAGAGGGAGTACGATGCTCTGCTTTCCAGGTCTACTTCATCTCCAAAGCCTCGACTGGGACCATCTGAATGGCAGAAAAAGTATTACGGAGAAGCCAAGTATTTCTCCCGGAGCCAAGCTTCCACACACCATTCGCTGGCAAATAGACGGTATCGTGTGCATAACTTCTACAATGGAACGGATCCCAAATCTCATTTCTCTGGCCAACACAAAAACCATGATCGACACGACGTACCCCACTTCAATTACGAGGAACATTTGGCGAAGCATCTCAAGTTTGAGCAACATCTAATAAATAAACAGCTCCTGCCCGAAGATCGCAAAGCAATTCTCCGCCAGTTGGCCAAAGACGGAGACATTTCAGGTGTGAGTGAAGAGCTTATAACTAAGCACTTGATGCGCCAGGCGCAGCGTATAAAGGTTAGTCTGGGCCGACCAGAAACTCAGCTGTCTCGGAATCCATACATGTACCAAGGACCACAGAATGGAGAGTATCACGAGCATGAAGCCCTGCTCGGATTTAAGACGGCAGTAGTACTTGGAGGAGCTGGATCAGCGTATCTTTTGTACCATATGTTGGGATAGAGAGATATTATAACGGTAATGAAGCCAACATATTCACGTTCACCAATTCAATTGATGATGATCGCAAATACGAGAACATTCACATATTCATATTTATATCTGCGAGAAGTGTCAGGACGATGCAATTTCTAGCAGACATACACATTTCACAGAGTATTAAAACTGTAAGACGATGCACCAGCTATTTGGGAGAAAGAGGATTTGAAACAAACGGAAGAAGCTAAATATGGTAGAATAGTTATGAGTGACATAGACTAAGTACGCACGAACATGTTAAATAGTGTAATGAGCTATAAAGAACAGAGGACACGCGTCGCTCCAGTAATGCAGGGAATGTGATGAAATAAGGACAGGCCGAGTCTAACGATCAACCTCGCCAAACACCAAGTCCATGGTACCAATGATGGCCACGGCATCGGCCAACAAGTTGCCTCTAGCCACATGGTCAAAAGCACCCAAGTGAGCAAATCCTGGTGCTCTGATCTTGCATCTGTATGGTCTTTCCGAGCCGTCCGATACAACGTAGACACCCATCTCACCCTTAGGGGCTTCAATGACTGTGTACGTTTCACCCTGCGGAACAGCATAGCCCTTAGTGAACAACAAAAAGTGGTGAATCAACGCCTCCATATCTTCCTTCATAAGCAGTCTTGGAGGTGGGGAAATCTTGTAATCCTCAACCTTAACTGGGCCCTCAGGCATGTCGTTGATGCATTGTTCGATAATACGCAATGATTGTCTGAACTCCACCATTCTCACCAAATAACGATCGTAACAGTCACCGTTCAAGCCGACAGCAACGTCGAAGTCCACCAACTCGTAAGCATCGTATGGTTGGGCCTTTCTAATGTCATAAGGCACACCAGAACCTCTGAGCATCACACCAGACATAGAATAGTTCAATGCATCTTCAGCAGTAACCACACCCACGTCCTGCGTTCTATTTTTCCAAATACGGTTATCGGTGACCAACTCTTCCGTTTCATCGATTCTGTCACCGAACTGTGTGGCCCACATGTAAATGTCATCCAAAAGACCAGCAGGTAAATCTTGCGACACTCCACCAGGACGGACGTAAGCCGTGTGCAATCTGGCACCAGAGACACGTTCATAAAACTCCATCAACTTTTCTCTCTCTTCAAAACCCCACAAGAAAGGCGTCAATCCACCAACATCCATAATGTGCGACAAGACAGACATACAGTGGTTCAAGATACGGGTGATCTCACCAAACATTGTACGGATGTACTTAGCACGCAAAGGCACCTCAACGTTCAACAATTTCTCCACAGCTAAGGCAAAGACCAACTCGTTCGTCATCATCGAAACATAGTCCAATCTGTCAAAGTAGGGCAACGCTTGCATGTAGGTCTTGGATTCAATCAATTTTTCAGTACCACGGTGAAGCAATCCAACGTGAGGGTCAGACCTGACAATCTCTTCACCGTGCAACTCCAAAATCAATCTCAAGACACCGTGGGCAGCTGGATGCTGTGGACCAAAGTTGATGGTAAAGTGTCTGATCTTAGTGTTTTGCTTTTCCACTTTCTTAGGGTCATCGTCACGGCCCCAGACCATGTCTACCTCGTCCATCGCCTCAGTAAAGGTGGTTTTGCCGAGGACTTGGCCTTCTGGAACGGAATATTTCTGTGCGGGTCTTCCCATGGCATTATGGAAAGGCTTGACCGACTCTTCAGCATGACCTGCTCTCAATTTGGAGGAGACAGAGAAAAAGCGAGAAGGAGCCTTCACTCTGGCCAAGTTTCTGATGGAAAACATGGGAATGGGTTGGAGTCGAGGTTGGACGAAAAAATGTTTCAATGTGCGTAAGTGTTTAGTGTAGGTACTTTTAGAAAAAGCCGCGCCTTCATTGGATGGACAACATCGGTACCCCAACTACATACAGTACGCCCCGTTAACTATCTATGGGATCGGCCAGTTGTGTCTAACTTGGAGTCGGCAAGAAATGACATGGAAACAGGATCGAGTCATTGGAATATTAAAGTCTTCTGTGTACCTTTGAACATTTATTACTTTGCGCGATATGATAGATATACGATGAAGCTCTTATGCCAAGATTTAACGTTTGTCAAATACAGTCAACAGATAGAAATGTTATCAAAAAAAGTACATTTGGAGCTTAATATCAATCACATACGTGCTTCTGGATTAAAAAGCCGAATATATGTATCCAGCAACTACAAATTTTAAGGTTGATGCGGTGGCTCAATGGCAGAGCTTTTGATTCCAAATCAAAGGGTTGCAGGTTCGATTCCTGTCCGTGTCAAATTTTTTTTCCACATCTTCTTGAGGAACGTTCTAGTTTTTCATTTTTCCTGGTTATTTTTGATCTTCCGTCGTCATGGCTAAGAAGATCAAGAAAGAGAAAACACCAATACAGGAGGTTAAAGATCCTAAAGGCAAAAAGAAGGGATCTAAAGATCAACACCAACCAGAACCTGATAACGGTACGCCTAAACCTCAGAGAGGTCTTGCAATAGGAGATAACTTTGGATGGACCGGGAAGCTTCCAGCAACCTTACTTTTTGAGTACTGCCAGAAGCAGAAATGGAACAAGGTTGTTATGGAGATGCGCAAAACATCTAAGGGATTCATTGGCATAGCCGACCTTAGTTGGGAGAATCCAAAAACGAAGGAAGTGATCCACGTCAAAATGTCACCAGATACAGAATTATTACCCCCCAGAGAAACGACCAACGAAGCACGCCACTTTGCTGCCACTTATGCGATGTTCAGAATAAATCACGTCAAGAACTTGAAGATGGTGCTTCCTACCATATTTCGCAGCTACTGGTCGGATCTTGAGGCTAGGAGACTCAAACTTCTCAAAGAGAATAAGACAGAGCATGACAAAATCTATAATGCGAATCCATTCCAGGTGCTCTTGGACGATCGAGCAGAGAAGGAGGCTCGAGCGAAAGAACGCCTAGCAAGAGAGAATAATGATGCGAAGGTCAAGAAACCCACTACAAGCATTTCTCTTGTTGGAAACAAACCAAAAAGCACCAGCAAGGAATCTAAGGACACCAAGAAAGTTACAAAGCCGAAAACTATGCGCCTGTTTCCTACAATTGGCAGAAAAGCATGGGAAAGTGCTCCGTTTATTGACTTCCCCAGCCATATTCGTGCTTCAATTGAAGCTTCTATCAAACATCATATTGATTGGGTGGAAGGGGAAGCAGAGGACAAGAAGGACGTAGACTCTTGGGTACAACTGTTGGTTCTGTTAGGGTTTAGAAAATCACACGTGTCTGAGGCTCTTTCATATACCCATTCATACGTGGATGCTTTGGAGTGGCTCTTGTTTCATGTTCCTGAGGATGACTTGCCTCCTTTTTTTGCTCGCAGAGACGAAGATTCAAGCGTGTCGCTAAAGATTTCTACTAATATTCAAACCGAATATCTTCTTCAGCGGTTGGCGCTCTCAGGATTTGATATGGACGAAATAAAATCCACTTTAGAGGAATGCGATGGTGATGAAATTCGTGCTAGCATTGCACTAACACATAAGGTAATAGATTTCCAAGCGCCTTCCATGGAGTTACAAGGTGATGAGTTCGAAATGTGGTGCATGGAACTTGACGGCATCGAATCGATTGGGAGTAACAAGATTGAGTTTTTTGATTCAAGCAAGAAGATAGTTACTCTTCTGCTTAATGCACGTGGTATTACTCCTGGTATGCTTCTGGCAAAATTGTTTTTCTGTGAAGAATATCCTCACAGCTTGCCTGGTATTCAGCTAGTTGTGAATAATGCCTCTTTCAAACTTGCCAATTACATCAAGTTGTCCATATTGCGTCAGCTCTGTTCATATGTGGTATCGAACAATCTTCTTGGCAATTGCTTCATATTCTCTTTGGTAGAGTGGCTTGAAGAAAATATTTCAAAAGTTATTGAGCATCCGGGGCCTTTATTGCCCCCAGAAACATTTCAAAGTAAGGAACCTGGTGGCAAATCTTTTACTAGAAAGCAAGATAAGACCGTAAAGAGCTCAAATTCAAGGTCTTTCACGCTACTGCCGGGCGATATTGAGGCAATGCGCAAAACTTACAACGAACAAATGGAATCGCAAGCTATGAAAGACTCGCTTTCGAAAAGAAAGAAATTACCCGCATGGCAAAAAAAAGACCAGCTTGTGAATATCATCAATTCGAATAAAGTAACTTTGGTGACCGGAGAAACTGGTTCAGGAAAGAGTACCCAAATAGTTCAATTCATTCTAGATGAGTTGAATTCTAAAGGAAACTTTGAAGGAACCATTATTTGCACACAACCTCGACGTATCTCAACCATCGGATTGGCTGAGCGTATCTCCGAAGAAAGAATACTGATGGTGGGTAAAGACGTTGGGTACATTATCAGAGGAGAAAACAAGACGCTGAAGCAAACAAGGATCCTGTTTGTGACAACGGGTGTGTTATTACGTATGTTGCAGTCTTTTCTAGCTTCTAAAACCAAGGAGACATCGATTTTTGATAGACTCGAGTATATCTTTATTGATGAAGTTCACGAGCGGTCTGTTGATAGTGACTTACTCTTGGTTGTCTTGAAGAAAACTATGAGCAAGTTCCCCAAATTAAAAATAGTTTTAATGTCTGCCACCATCAGTATTGACACGTTCAAGAACTTCTTCCCTAATGTGAATCATATTCACATTGAGGGGAGAACGTTCCCGATTCAAGACCACTACCTCGATGAAATTCTCGAAGATTTGGACTTCACGATTACGACATATGACGATCAAATCATCAAACCCAAAGCAGACTCTCATTTTTTTAAAAGTGGAAACCTCAATTTCGATTTGATTGCTCAACTTTGCATCTATATTGACGATAAATTAAAGGAGGAGAAAAATACTGGGTCGATTTTGGTTTTCTTGCCTGGTATAATGGAGATTAACAGGTGCATAAGAAGCATAGAACAGGCTTATTCTAAGGCTGGTACCCGTTGCTGGTGTTTGCCGTTACATTCTGCACTTTCTTCGAGAGACCAAACTAGGGTTTTCAATTATCCTCCGAGGGAGACCAGAAAAATCGTTGTGTCCACCAATATTGCTGAAACATCTATCACAATCCCCGACTGTGTGGTTGTAATCGACGGAGGAAGATCAAAGCTGGTTTTCTTTGACTCGAAGGCAAACACTACTAAGTTGGTAGAAAACTGGTGTTCAAGAGCGGAAATGGCTCAAAGAAGAGGTCGTTCGGGCCGTATACAAAAAGGAACGTGTTATCACATGTACACCCGGGAAACAGAACAAACAACTTTGGCTCAGCCAATTCCGGAAATTAGAAGAACTCGTCTCGAAAATCTTTACTTAGTGGTGAAGGCTATGGGCATCAACAAAGTGGAGGATTTCTTGAATAGTGGGATTGATCCTCCCGAAGCACAATCTTTGAAAAAAGCAAAATCTATGCTTAGAGAGATCGGTGCTTTGGAGTATGATGATTCGAATGAAAATTTGACTCATTTAGGAAGGTATTTGTCATTTCTCCCAACAGATTTGCAAGCTGGTAAGCTTATGCTTCTTGGATGTATTTTCGGATGCGTCAATATTTGTTTGACCATTGCAGCCATATGCTCCAGTGGAAGTCCATTTCTAAACAGTTTTGATGTCAAAGACGAGGTAAGAAGAGCTAAGGGAAAAATAGGTAAAAACCAGGGCGACTTATTGGCATCTGCCTTTGCATTCCATGAATGGGAAAATACACCTAGAGAAAGAAGAAAGAAGTTCATTGCTGACAACTACTTGTCCTACATGACACTTCAAGATCTTCAATCCACAAGAACACAGTACCTCCTGACTTTGAAGGAGATTGGGTTTCTACCTTTTAATTATAAAGTTGACGACAAAAGCAAGCTTAATGCTAACAATGATAACTATACAATTGTTCGTGCCATCATCACCGGATCATTTACGCCTCAATTGGCTCGGGTCCAACTTCCAGATCCCAAATATGCACAAACTTTAGCAGGCGCGGTCGAGATCGACGCTGACGCTCGAGCAACTAAGATTTGGATCAGAAATGAGAAGTATATTGAACAAACACATAATGAAGGTCCCGTCGATGAGCTTCCAGCAACACGGGCTTTTATTCACCCGAGCTCAATGCTTTTTTCTTCATCCGAAACTGGCGTAGCTCTTCCTAGTTTGGAGGATCTTACATTAGAGGACGGTACTATCGACATGAAGAAGGCAAGAGAACAATACGATATGACCCCTCAAGCTTCATTCAACTCGCAAGCTATGCACAAATCTCCTTTTGTCGTATACACATCTTCCAATCACACGACAAAGTTATATCTTAGAGAGATCACACCTACGAGCACTTTGGCTGCACTTCTTTTCGGCGGGGAGATTTCGTACGACATGAGTACGCATGTTGCTTCTGGAAAGCGATGTCCAGGAATTGTTTTGGATCGGTGGATGCCTGTACGAACATGGTGTAAGAATGGTGTTTTGGTGAAACGGCTCCGGAAACTTTTGGACCAAGTAATCGAAAATAAACTTTCGAATACAAATCTGGAGAAATCAGAAAGCGAGGATGACGAAGTGTTGAGCATTGTGAAAACAGTGCTTGGGGTGGAGGTGAGAAAAAGATGAATTTTGGAACTTTATAGATGGTTTTAAAAAGTTATAGAGGTAATAGAGTATAAAAGTACTAAATGATGAACCATAACAATTTGGGTAAAATCTGAAATGAGAAGTAGGCAGGTGCAGAAAGGTTTGAATATGCGAATGAAAAGATGGATATTCCTCTACTAGATCTGAACATAACATTTAGATGATACGCTTCTATTCGCATGCGAGGAGGAGACGTCATACTTATGATCGCTATAATTGAGTTTATCCTTATATTATAATTATTCGGATGTGAAATATTAGTTGATTGCCACTCTGTGAGCTTACTCAGCAGATAAGATAAGGCAAAGGCAAGGAATTCATCACCATCTACAGACTAGGTGAAAACAAAATAAAAGTGTAAGAGGGTAATACATACTTATCGTATTACCAGAGTGGTAATTACTAGGCGCAAACCCATTGATTGTATCTTCTTCACTCTGATCAGGAAGATCTGTCAAAGTCCAGATCTGCATCGAAGCCGTTGGGCATCTCCAGTCACGTGCGATACTGTCATCCATCACCACAACTTGCTTAGTAAACAGATGCTAGATTCCATTTATTACGGTTGAAACTCCGAAATAATTTGATCCGCAGAGATCGAAACCCTATTGCAATAATGCCGCCTTCTGAGCGGAGCCCACTTTTAAACAAAACGGCGGTTGTCGATGAAGCAGTGCCCGAAGAGTTAGACGATGATCTTTTAGATTTGCCCTCCATGGTACGCCAAACGGCGTACCTTGTTGATAACCCCAAGATCCACGTGGCTACGTTTCGGTTTTTCGTACTAGCAGCTATCTTCATCATTCCTGGTGCATTTATTGACACAGTCAACCTGTTTCGGACAACACTGGCAGCGTACTCTATATTTTTTGTTCAGATCGCCGCCCACTGGGCAGGACGTGCCATGGCACGTCATCTACCCAAACGGCAAGTGGGGATAGGCAGGTTCCTGTTCAACTTGAATCCGGGTCCGTGGTCCGTGAAAGAGACCGCCCTTGTGACAATTGCAGCCAAAAGTGGTGCCACAGGAAATTTGGCTACAAACGCCTTGGCCATGGTAGAAGTTTATTTCAAGACTCGGGTTCCTGCAGCAGCAGCAATTGGCATTATGGGAGCAATCGTCTTTGTCGGATACTCATACGCTGCTATCGCGCGGCCCGTAGTCAGTTATGACCCACAGTTTCTGTGGCCACTGGCACTTATGCAGACAGCTCTTCTCCGAAGTCAGGAGGAGGGCGATAGAAGTGGCGAGAAGGCGCAGGGTTCAGAGAGTGCGAGTTTCAGCGAAGTGGATGGAGAAAGAACAGTTTTGCCAGATAACGTGATAAGGAAGAAACTGCCTTTCGAATCGGGGGAAGACGATGGTAGCTCTGATATTTTGAAGGCTAACACGCAATGGGGTAGGGATCAGGAGACTGATAGCGCAGACAATGACAGTTTGAGTGATATAGACAGAAAAGTTCCTCATGTACATGTGAAAGCAACCAAATCCGACAGCGACTCAAGTGATACAGAAGCGGAGGACTTTCACAATGGCTGGTCCACTCAGGGAGTCTTTTTCATTTGCGCTGCTGCTCTTTGTTTGTGGCAGGTTCTTCCCGAGTTTTTCTTTCCAATGACGCTGTCTCTCGCAGTATTATGTTATATCGCGCCTCACAACGAAGCAGTTAATTTCATAGGACTGGGATTGGGTGGTATGGGTGTACTCAACTTTCTGCTTGACTGGGCAAACATTACATCGCTGGTTTTGCTATATCCATACTGGCTTCAAGTTGTACAGTTTGTGGGCTTTGTTGCGTCTGCATGGGTCTTGATCCCGGTAGCCAAATGGACAGGTGTAGTAGGATACAAGTATGGTCTTATGTCTAACAGCCTTTTCACAGGTGATGGTCTCCCATACCCCGCAGAACGACTTGTGACATCTACTGGCGCTTTCAATGCTACAGCATATGCCCATTATGGCCCGGTGCACTTAGGAGCTCAGCGTTCGTGGAATATGTTTTTTGACTACGCGGCATATGTTTCTGGTGTTGTTTGGGTCGTGGTTTTCGGTTGGAAACAACTTCGGCATAGTTTTGCGAATAGCAGACAAGCTCAGGGGTCGAATCGCTTTGACGACCGTCTCAACCGCCTCAATAGGGTGTATCACGATGTACCCACGATATACTACATGGTCATGTTTCTTCTATCAATCCTGGTACTCGGCGCAGTGCATTGGGCAGGTTACCTCTTTGTGCCTTGGTGGACTATTGTTGTGGCTTTGGGAGTGGGTCTGATAATTGTGACACCCTTAATGTGGATGTATGCGCTCACAAACTTTCAACTCCCCATTGGTACCTTCAATGAGCTTCTTTATGGGCTTTTGGTGCAGAACCAGACAACGAAACACCCCGCTGGAGCTGCATTTTTCGGCTGTGTTGCTGGAAATGCTTGGTACCGTGCACAGCATCACTTGGAGCTGATGAAGTTCGGGTTTTATACTCATCTACCTCCTCGACTCATCTTTTTGGCACAGATATATGGCGAGATCGTGGGAATTCCAGTCAACTATATTAGTTTGCGGTGGGTATTGGCGTCAAAGTGGAATTATTTGACGGGTGCAGCAACTGATCCCCTTCATCAGTGGACTGCCCAGAGTTTGGTAGGTTACCATACTAATGCCATCCAGTATGTGGTTCTTGGGCCTGCACGGCTCTTTGAAAACTATCCTCTCTTACCTTACGGATTTGTGCTTGGGCTTGTTGCGCCCATTATTGTTTATGGTCTTCACAAGCGATTCAAAAGAAGTCCGCTTCGCTTGGAACTCTGGAATACAACCGTGCTCTTTTCATCGATGAGCCACTTTTACGGAAACATCTCTACAGGTTATTTTTCCAAGTTTATTGGGGCTTCAATAGTGCTGTTATACTATTTCCGCCATCGTCCTCGCTTATGGCGTCGCTATAATTATTTGGTGGCTGCAGCTCTTGATACAGGCTATAATTTATCGCTTACCATATTATTTATCGTTGCATGGCTTGGTTTCCGTGCCCCTGTGTGGTTTGGAAATGATCCTCGAAGTGTGGAACGTTGTTTTGCATTGAACTGATAAGTAACTGAAAATTTTCAATATTTCTCTGCTCTGGACGGTTAAGAACTTTTCATACATTGTCGCAAGAATAGATCTTTTTAGAAAACTAGGGGGGCAGCTTATATTTTTGTACTACTCTGCTGTGAAGAGAAATGCATCTAATAGAATTTTACGACTTAATACTGAGTACCTTAAATTTAATATAATCAAACAAACTTTTAGTATGGCTAAAGTATTTGTAATTTTAATCATCAAATCGCGTTTTGTTGACCTCGAAAGATTGATGAACAAAATTTGAAAGAATATGGTTCATCAATAAGCTCTCACTACTAGAAATATTATCTTCTCTATCTGTTAGTTGCCAACATAATAGCAACTCTTGGCCCCAGCATAGAAATATTACACTGTTTCTACAAGTAGTCTGCTCACAAGGTAGGTAAACACACCCGTGCACCATGCGCACAAAGTATCAAGTACTCACTATCAAAGTTAACAACTTCGTATCAGTACTTCTTTCCGCATGAGTCAACCACCTAACATGATCCAGCGGATCCAGCCTGCTGATGTCACACGGCTTTTGGATGCTTTAAAGGAGGAACTTGCGCAAGCCAAGGCTGCTGGTACAGACACCGCCAAAGCGAGGCAACATTACGCCAAAGCCAACCAAATAAAACAAGTTTTGGTCAATTACCAGCAACAGCAAAAGGCTGCTGCTGCTCGTAATGCGAGTGGTAATTCTGGTCCTTCAACATCTGCCTCAAATACTGGATCCAATATGGGGTCTAATGTGGGCTCTAATACAGCATCAAATATGGGTAACATAGGCGGCAACTCCAACATGGGGGGCAGCGCGAATCCTGGTGCCAACTTGAGCAACAATCAAGCAAGTAACATGATGGGTGGCGGTAACTTTACTTCTGGCCCAAGTGGGAATACTGGCGTCAATACAACGAGCAGCAGCTCAGGCCGTTTGGGCAGCCCACCTACAGATGCTCGTGCGGCCACTGTCACAACAGAAAAATACAATCAAGTCCGTGCACGGCTTCAGGATTTGGAGCGCACTATTCGTGCTCTTGAAACCGGCCGTAGACCAGATATGTCAGCCGAAGAAGCATCGCAGCTTGACAGCCAACTAAGCGAGCTCAAGTTGAAGTATGGACAATACTCCAAATTCGCACTCTACATGCGTAACCAATTGATGGAGCAGGCACGGGCATCATCGCCCCAACAGTCACCACCAGCAGGTACCCCTTCTAATGCGGGGGTGCTGCAAACCGGAGGGGTTGCCGCCACCACCGGAGAAAATTCCGCACCTGTAGCTGGTCCAGCAGGTACAGCGATGTCTGCCTCACCTGCCGCAGCGTCTCCAGCAGCAGCATCTCCAGATGCTACTAAGGGCCGTAGTGCGTCGCCTGCGACTAAGGAGCCCTCTGTGCCAGGCTTTAACTTGGCTGGCATTACGAAACCAAGTGTGCCGCTGATGCCGATACTGTCTACGCTCAATGTGAAACCTGCGGTGCCTGTCACCTTGAAACCAGGAGCGAACAATGTGCGACCCACATTATCTGGTGGCAGTGCTTCTGGGCTTGGACAAATCATGGGCACTCCTGCAGTCATGCGTATGCCCACATTTGACATGGCCCTGAGCGGCCCTATGCCAGACAATGGTGGCCGTGTGCTTACAAAGAGAAAATTGACGGAGTTAGTTAACACTATGGGGGCGGACGACGGGGACGGTAAGACCACTATCGACGGCGATGTCGAAGAGCTTCTCTTAGATTTGGCAGACGAGTTTGTGTCACTGGTAACATCATTTGCTTGCCGTTTGGCCAAACACCGCAAGACAGATGCTGTCGATGTCCGCGACGTACAGTTGCATCTCGAGCGAAACTGGAATATCCGTGTGCCAGGTCACGCTATGGACGATATCCGTGCGGTACGCAAATGGCAACCAAGCCTGTCATACAACCTGAAGGTTTCAGGTGTCGAGATTGCAAAAGCAGTCAATGGGAATATGAACTAGTATAGATGATAGTCAGTGAAATGATAGGCGAATGAGTTTGACTTGGGAGTTGATGTAATGGATTATGGGTACGCACTTGTGGATTTTTTAGGCCGGAAGGAATACCATAATTACTGGAAGGGTATGATACCGGATGATCTCCCTGTATTTTGAAACCCAAATATAATTTTACGTATAGTTATGTATTTAAAATAATCCGTTTCGAATGCAACTCTTTAGACCCATATCTACTTCCCAACGCAATGATATTCGGGTCGTAAACCCTTCTATTGCTAAGTAATTAAGAATTTTCCACTGTGTGGTAAGACTCATCATGTTTCTCTAAGATACCTTGCTGAACCCAGAAAGCTAGAGCGTTCAGTGTCGCATACTCCGAAAGTCCAATAGCATTGGCGACTTCAAAAAGTTTCTTTTCAACATTAAAACCATCAAACTGATTAATGACAGTAGCCTGTGTTGGTGTCACTGTAAATGTGCGCTTGCCATGCGCAAAAACTAAATCAAGAGTCACTGTGCCGTATTCTGGGATCAACGCTAATGAACGGCCCTTACGCGTAGAAGCATAGCGTTTGTTGTAAAGTTCGAAAACTCCTTGCACGGGCACACTCAAAGTTGACGTGTCGCCGTCTCCAACATTGGGCCAGTACAATTTTGATAGCACTGCCAAGCGGAGTGGTGGACAGGAAACCGCCATGTTGAGTGCACTGCTTTCCACCATATCCCGGACCATGACATCTAAAGTGGCAAACTCTGCGCTACCAAACCGGGCCTTAAGAAGCTCAACGTTATGTACAACGTCTCCAGAATCGTACTCCTTCCAATTCAATAAGCGGTCACCTAAAACACGGGTAAGCTCCTCAATGAGCATTGTCGACAGTGGAAGAACGGAGACAATAGCATCAAGAACATCTGCAGCCTTGCCCTTTTGAAAATCGGGCAAAGCATCGATGGGGTCGGGAACCCACGCGATATCAGAAAGGTCGTCGAGTTCTGGGGGTGATGGGTTTGTAGTGCTGAGCTCGTGTGCCAATTCTGCAAGCGGGTTTGAGGATTTACTATCGAGCATGCCAAGAGCAAGTTTTGGCACCAAATCCATGCGCAGACGCAAGTAACGCCTTAACGGGCGTGCTACTTTGTCTAAGAGAACACCCGAGGTGTCCATAACAAGAAATGCTCTGATGGTGCGCATGTAAGCAAGAATCACGGCATCTGTGGTGGATCCCAGATGCAAAAGACGAACCATACACGCACTAACAAAGGTGTCTACGAGGTTCGAACGTGACGCAGCGCCTGCACCGTCGAGACATGTGTGCAACTCAGCAAGAGCAGCTGAACTTTCAGGATATGCTGCAACAATGTCATAGATTTCACGTGTGCGGAGAGCTAGTAGCTCGTTCTGTGCAATTCGTGCAAGTTCATTAGTAAAGACTGCGCTTTGGTTGATATGGCTCTGGTCCAGATCTATCCAGTCAAAACCAGAGAGTAAGGTCCGCTCAACGTCGTCCTCCACGAATGAGAATGCCTCTGCCGGAGAAGCAGCGCCGCCTGCAGCGACATGGGAGGTTTTGGGCAGAGCAAAGGGAGGCGAGGCGCCGCGCGCGAACTCGCGAGCCCAATCTTCTAGCGCCCCAAGAACAGGCTTGTTCCAGCGGCGAGCACACATATAATCAGCCTGCTCACGCACTCGCGAAACACACACCGCCACCATTGCAGCCCGCACAGAAGTGGCCAAGCCAAGTCGAGACAAGGTGCGCACGAGTTCTGCATCAAGCTCTTGGGACAAGCAAACAGAAATCTCCTTTTCTATACGTGGCAGTGATAGGTAATGTGTGTACATGCCTGCGAGTGCACGAGAGAAAAATTGGGCTGCGCGGGCCAGTAGAGGCAAGTGGGCCGCTTGGGCCAAATAGCGGCGATGCAGGCGCGCCGCTAGGTCGACCACAGCAGCAAGCGGCGCAGACGCTGCGAGCGGCGCAAGGCGCGCCTCGAGGTGTGGGCGAATGGCATTGAGCCAGAGGCGCACAAAATGTAGCAGTCCTGCCGGATCATTAAGACATCGGCGTGCAGCTACTCGAATTCGAGGGGTGGGCGGTGAAACTTCAGCATCAAAGCTGTTGGGTTGTAGCCAATGGAGAAGAAGCTCGATATCGTTTTCGATTTCGGAGTCAGGCAGAAGATCGGCTAGTCCTGGAAGAGGTATCTCACGTGCAATCAAAGTAGCAGAGAGAGTCATGGTGGAGACGTGGCTGAGGATGGAGTAGGGATTAAATGAATACGAAAAGAATTTGGGCGGGTAGGAACAAAATGTGATCGGCAGGAAGTAAGGAATGGAACGATTGTATGTGAGGAATGTCAACCAAGTGAAAGTAGATATCAGTCAAAATAATGATCTCAAAGGTGATGATACGTTGATGATCCCAGGCACCTTGAAGGGAACGAAGAGTTGTGTAATTACTCCTTTCGATTGTCGTAAAAAGTGGTCGTTGGTTCACGAACAGTACGAAGCACAGATGTGCAACACGAGTACTCTAAAATGAGACCGTGTACGTCACGTGCACACTTGGGTGCAAAAAGTCCACAGATGGCCAGAGTAAAGATCAACTAAGAAGCAGTTATGTAACTTCAAGATGTTTGAAGTTCAGTTGATAATTCTTGCTGTTTTTGTCTTTCTTCTACAATACTTTCACCATTTTCCACTTCAGTAGCATTTCTGATTTCCTTTGAGTGACATTAGGAGATAATAATTCTACTGTGCGAATAGTCTTCTTAGCACATCGTAAGCTGAGTCTTTCATTTGTAGTCTTCTACTTGTTATTATTGTTTGTTTTCGTAAAGTCTTTATTAGAACTTTAGTCTGAGTTACTTGGAAGATAGTAGTATCTGTTTTACAAAATTTTATTCTTTTGGCCGGGACGAAGAGAAATGAATGTACTGCTTCTTTATTTTCTGGAAAGAAAACAAAGAGAAGGTTTGGGGAAATCCACTTAACTGGGAAATCCGCTTAACTGAAAGCGACTTACTGACTTATTGCGTCCACTTGCTGCTATCGTAGACGATGTCGGAGTATTAGAACTAACCGATGTTAGGCCCTTCTTGATGCAGGCTTGGAAATCACAAGTTCTCAGCGCGCGAACTCCACCAACTCAAACCTCGAACTTATTCCACAGGGCATAAGCGGTATAGATTTTGCCTGTCTCTTCCTTCGTTATTGGTATCTCGAAGAAGCGTGAAATATACCCAACGCCTCATACTAGCATATCCTGTTCTTCCATACCTAGCACGTATCCATAAAAGAGTTCCCATGTCACTCTCCCAGCAATTCCGCAAAATCACGTCTGCACTGGCGGCCGAGGCTTCGGCATATTTGGATAAACATAACGGGAACCTTAATGCTGCCGTGGATGCATACTATGCTAGCGTCCCATCGGAAGCACTTAAGGAGCTTTGGGAGCGCTATCACGACGCGAATGACCAAGAGTCCATTTTGATCGATGGCACGTTACAGTATTTGGCAGACTTGGGGCTTGCGCCAGAAGATCTGCGATGCTTGACCCTTGCATTCTTGTTGCGGTCGCCCCAGACAGGTGAGTTTTCGCGCGACGATTTTTTCTCTGTGTGGGGCGCCAACGGCATAGACTCTTTGAAGGGTATGCGGTCGTACATCGACAAACAGCACTACGAGCTCCGCGCAAATCGCAACCGCTTCGAACAATTCTACCGTTACGTTTTTGATTTTGTGCGCGGGCGCGGCGCCGGGAAAACGCTTCCTGCGCCTGATGCTGCGGCATATTGGCATCTTCTTTTTATTGATTCCATGGCTTCGAACGAACATCAGGATGAGGTTTTGGTGAAGCGAGTGGAACAATGGTGCGAGTTTGTTGAAAACGCTGCTCGCCCGGTTACTAGAGACACGTGGAATATGTGGTTGCGTTTCTACTACGAGGTGATGGAGCCCGCGCCCAAGACCCTTGCGGCTTACAACGAGATGGACGCATGGCCAAGCTTGGTAGACGAATACGTTGATTGGTTGCGCGAGAGCGCTCAGCTATAATGTACATGGAAAGGGAGGATTAGAGTAGCTGCCTCGCTTAGGCTAGTTCAAGAGATTGTCGATGCTGGGTTTTCGGAGCGTTAACAACGCACGTGTGGCATCCTCAACACGGCTGGGCTCGACCTCCTCGGTGTCACCCACGTGCTGAATGGTGTTGGTAGCAGGGACCTTGGTCTTGAAGAACATCTTGCGAGGTCCAGCCACCGAAGCTGGACCAGTAGCAGCACTGGCAAGAGCAGCGTCGGGTAGGTGAAATGTACTCTTCACCAGTGATTTATTAGGTACTGTGAAGGGCGAAGTGTTCGAAGACACGGACCCACGTGAGCTAGACTCAAACAGGAACGCCCGCGTTGACAAAAGATTGTCGCGAGATGAAGCTCCGCCATTGGCCTCACTTTCCGCGAGAAGTGTGAAAATGGGCGCCATGTCTGGCGTGACGTCTGGGGTAGGAAGCAGCGCCTTCTGTGACTTGTGTGCTATGAATGCAGCAGTGTCGGACTTGGCGCGCGCCTGCCTCCCTTCGTTTTGTTCGAACTCGTTCACCTCCGCAACTGTTTCACATCGGCTTCGCAGCAGTGATGTGGTGCGTACCATCGGTGCAGTCATTGCAAGTTCAGAGAAGTCAAAATCATGATCAATGTTACGGTACTGATTCACATCGAGTGCTGCATCGCAGAACCCCACATCGTAGTCGTACTCATCCAGCACTTGGCTTAACGCGTCATGTTGTTCTTTCACAACGTGGTGCAAGTATAAGATATATTCGACGGCAGCCTTCAAGATAGTCAATTTATACATGCCATCAATCTTTGCGCCATTGTTGTTTCCAGTGCCCAGACGCTTCCCGGTGTCAGCACTACGACACGCGGGGATAAGGTACTTTAGAGCCTCGAATTCTCGGTTGATTTTGATGCGCCGGCGCTTCTCGATCACGGAATGGAGCTGTTTTGTCTCATGGCGCCGCTTAGCAAGTTCTTCTTCATCAACCAAAGATGACAGTCTTCTTCTCTTCTTGCGTGGCTGCTCATCAGCGTACGAAATGGTCGGAACCATTTCACGGTTCGTGTTATCACCATAGCCGTTGGTGAGAATTTCATAATTATTGTCCTCAGGATCGATATCCTTGTTCAACTGAATGATCGTGGTTTTGAGTAATGGTGGAGCTGTCAAACGCATAACGATGTCAACAAATTTCGAAAAGACTTGCGTAACCAAATATGGGTTGGATATAACTGGACAGGGTCCTGAGTGGATGTGATTTAGGTCTTTCCTCTATCAACGAGCGAAACAAGCCAAACCAATATAAGCACAAGGCGAAAACTTCCACACGACTTTTATAATTTGCCCTTGTGCAATAAACTATCGCCGTTGATGCACGTTTTTGATACCCACGTTGCAGCTGGAGGGGCGACGTATAGAGTATATAGTGGTCACACGAGAGAAAAATTGCCCACATGGGTCTTGTGCGACTAATTACAGCCTGTTCTGGCTGCAATATTGCAGCAGATAACGCGGCGCACGTGGGGCTCTGGTCAGTTGCACTGGTGCGTCCAGATACATCCTGCGTATAACAGACCACAACATTAGCCTCGAATAATTCACTGCAGATGATTTTATGGCTGCAAATGATGAGTGCGATTTGCTTGCCTAGGTGCTGATGATGGATTTACTCAAAGCTTTGCCTTGATTTAGCTGAGAATCATATTCCGAGTCTTTTATTGTCCATGTAATCGTAACCATTGCCAAGGAATCACTTTATCTGGGCATTGGGATTGTAGTACACCGTTAATAGCTTTTGTACTTGCCGATGCTTCCCATTGCCTGAGAAACGCACAAAATCATTTGCAATATATAGTAAAGAGATAATTAGAAAGCAGTGTAAGGTATGAAGCGAAGTCTCTAATTTATATTCAATGCCACAGATTCGTTCGCATATACGATGCGCGCCAAGATAAGTACCACATAATATCAACGAGGTGCATAATTTAACTGGTCAAGTCAGCCTCAAACACCTTATAGAAGGTGTCGATTACTGGAATACCCTCATTTTCAACTTTACACAACTCATCGTGTGTCGCCATAACAATGTTTAGACCTCCATGTGGCGTACTGATGACGGAAAGAGTAATGTGCGTGGTTGTCACGCCCTGACTGAATACCATGTCGTCAACGGCCCACAGACCGTGCTCAATGCGCACCATTCCCACGTTCGAAATTTCGATTGTAGCGCGCTGATGCTTGCCGTCAAACTCGCCACGGAAGTGATCCCAGATATTAATGTAATTGAGCAATCCTGTCATCCAGAAGAGCGCGCGATTGCCTGTCAGTGCAGAGAGTCTTTGAGACACAGTGCGAGCAGTTTCATTCAAGTCCAGTCCTGAAGCTACGTAGTCTGTAGCAGGAGATACATAGAGTCCATAGCGGGTCGCATCAATTTGATTCGGATAATGCCGACGGCCACATACAACAAGCTTGAGCGAGTGCACAAATGAACCACCCAAAGCAGGAACAACACTATTATCCAAGGCATGGCAGACACTTGCAGCAAGGTAAGAAGTAATCGTGACACCCAACTTGCGGCAACGTGCCAAAAGCGAAGCAGCTTGCGCCGCGTCAAGATGAACACGCCTAAAAGCACATGGATTTATTGCTGTAAGTGGCAGCACCGAGATCATTCGTTTGGGTGAAATACCCCACCAATATTTCCAAAGCTTCTTCAATGGCGTTGGCAAAAAATAAAGACCAATGGTCTTGAGGGCAAACCACCACGATGATTGATACAAATTAACAACCTCAGAGCTTGCTGGAGGCATGTCTACGTTGTCCGTGCTCAGGTCAAATAAAGTGTCCACGAAGGCCACCTCTGATGAAAGTTCGGTTTCTCCATTCTCGCCTAGCTTATCAGTGACAGCTGCGAGAGCTTTCACCAAATCGTCAAAGAAGTGTACCGCCGAACGACCATCGAAGAATACGTGGTTACAGGCAAACGTTAAATATTGTCCTTCGTCAGTTTCACACACGTTAAGATACCATGACGGGGTTGATACGTCACATGGCGTGCGCACTGTCGCCAAACGGGCCAACTCTTCGTCGTTTAACGCTGGCACCGACGCGTGACGCACAACGTCGCTGAAAGCGAGCTTCTCCACAAACTGCACCTCGTAATTTGTGCCATTTGCTTTCGCGTCTTCTTCGCGGGGATCAGCGGTTTTGCAGCCATCAGCTCGTACCATATGCAAAAGGTAGTGCGGGTGAGCAAGCACTGTGGCTCTGAGGGCCTGGGACAAGACAGCATCATTAACAGGACGCGACAAGCGGGCGGAAATGTTGAACCCCTTATTGAGATAGCCACACGTGTCTCTGCAAATGTAGTAGCGCTCAAAAAAATCAGGAGCACGGGATGGTTTAGACGCCATTGTTAAGGTGTTGGTGAAAAGAGATACTGGAAGAGACGAGAGGGAAGAAAGGCACGGATGACACTGGATTCTTCAATTGCCCACAGAATAAGTATTCAAATGAGGTTTTAGCGAATAGTCTATTGCAGAGACGGGAAAGGGAAAGGAAGGTGACTCTGAAAAGATAGAATGGATTGAGAATTAGGGGCATTATATGTCGATCCATGTGCGGAAATAACGACTCGCGGAACTAAGGAATAGAGTCTCCTAAACATGCAAAGATGACAAAACAGGATAGGTGTAGCCCAAGATGTTACCATTCTCGCCCCTAAAAGATATCAAGTAGAGTATCTGGTAGCTATGAGTTGTTGCTATCGTGTTCGTTGACCGACGAAAAGACAAGAAATGCTATGAGAATGAAAAAAAAACGAGCCAAAAAAAGGAGAAAAAGAGGACGAAAAAAAAAACTAGACAGAGAAAAGGACCATCTACGTATTACTCTAACGTAGAGGCGCATCCTAGCCATCAACATTCCGTTCTTTCTCTTGACTGGGTCCAACGTACTGCATACACATCATGACTTCCTTCCATATTTTCTCATCGCATTATCTCAAACCTTCTTCACTCCACATGTCGATAATATTGCCAGGCGACTCATTAGCGTCGGAAGTGGAAGGCCAAGCTGAGATTACTATTGGTCCAGGCATATACAAATATCCAAAATCACACCAGATTATCCCACTGCAGGCTGGAATACTAAAATCCACTTCTGCCAGTAAAAAAAGTAATGACAAGCTCTTATACATCGAATCCAATTCCAAGCGATACATTCCACAAGTCAATGATTTAGTTATTGGCTACATAACCGGAGTTTACGGAGACTTTTTCAAAGTGTCTCTTCAAAACCACTCTGCTCCTGTGCAACTTTCCATGATGGCATTTCCAAATGCCACGAAAAAAAATAGACCCAACTTGAAAGTGGACCAGGCTGTATACGCCCGAGTAAGCGAGGCTCTTCCAGATATAGATACAGAAATCGAGTGCTTTGACCCGGAGACAGGAAAAGAAGGTGGTTTCGGTTTACTCGATGAGTCTGGATTCATTTTCGATGTCAACATGAACTTTGCCCGAGAACTCTTGTTTAACAAGAGCTGCATTTTCTTAGAAAAGCTTGCATCCAGGTGCTCGTTTGAAATTGCTATAGGGATCAACGGCCGTGTGTGGATCAAATGTGGAAACGGTCTCCAGACAGATGAGTTCGTCTCGGAAAAAAACGAAAATGGCGATGAGGATGAAATCATGACTGATGCAGCAGCAGCAGAGATATCGCTCAAGGATATGAGAATGACATTGGCTGCTGCTCAGTATTTAAAGCTGTGTCAGTATGTCCTGACAGAAGAAGCTTCCACGGAATTGAAAAAGGCATTCCGGGGTGTTTTGTAATGTAAAATAGACTATTGGAAGTGTGAAATTTCAACGCTAATGGAGAATAGAATGATTTGAAGTCTTGCTGTAGAATGGCATCTTAAGACAATGATCGCATATCTTGATCAATATCTTCCGCCTGACAAAGTTGAAAATCTAGGAACATAGAAGGCTACTGTAAAAAAATTCGATCGAGATTATTCCTGCCTTGCATGCTTCTTTCCCGTCCGAAATCTTGCATCTGTGAAGTTATATGAACCATAAATGTATGTGCGACTTTCTCATCTCGTTTCCTAGTCGAGGTTTAGAACTTTTCTGCCTTGGTTTAACACCGTTATTTCAGTGATTTCGACCATCCTTTCTCTACTTCATCAGTCTATTGGTCTCATTATACCAATTGTTAGATTATTTCCGCTTAGCTCTCCTCGTGACCAATCACTCTCATCCCATCACATTGGCAAATATGGTGAATGTCAAAAAGAAACAAGCATACCAGGACTCGCAGATCCAAGGCACGAACGACTCCTCCATATTGTCTAAACGTTCTGTTGAAGCTATATATGGTCCGGTTTTGAATCCAGATGCTACTCGATACCTTGAACTTCTATTGCCCAAAGCTAAACGACGTTCTCCGGGGGACAATAGGGTTTTCTGGATACGAATGGAAACCGTGAAGAGAGCTATTTCATCGATTGCATCCAAATACCCCAAGCAAAAGATTCGGGTCATTAACTTGGGTTGTGGTTTTGATTCGCTCGCCTTCGAACTCATATCTCTGGATCCACGTTTTGAATGTCTCGATTTCGACTACCCGGATCTCGCCGAAAAGAAATCAGCGATGATCCGTAATGTTCCTGAGATTCTTGATACTCTAGGAGCACAGATTGATATGGAAAGCCTGTTGGGCACGGTTTGGGCTTCGCAGTCATACAAATTGGTTGGTTGCGACTTGAAGGATGCCGACTTGTTCCATAAACAGATAGATGCTCTTTTGGATAATGATGGAGCTGCAATATTTCTTGCAGAAGTTTCTTTGGCATATATGGTGCCTGAAGATGCTAATAGGATCGTCCAAATATGCGGTCAAATCCCAAATGCCCATTTCTTGTCTCTCGAGCAAATTCTACCAGCAGGCAAAGACCATTTTTTCGCCCAAAAAATGCTTTACCATTTTGGCCACTTGCTGTCGCCATTACAATGCGTAGAAGCATATCCAAGCAAAGAAAAACAACTTGATCGATTCTCTAAATATTTCCACTTTTCAGAAGTGCTTGATTTGTTTGAAGCGTGGGAACACTTTTTCCTGATTGAGGAAAAACGCAAGGTTGCTCTTGTGGAAGATTTTGATGAATGGGAGGAACTCATTCTTTACTGCCAGCATTACATAATCCTACATGCTACTGTGTCTGAGCAGGCCATTTTCCCCCGTCCAAATCCAGAGTTTGAATTGCCATGTACGGAGCCAATCTCATTAACATGCCACTCCATGGATTTGTCAGTGAACCTAAAGTTTCCAGCAGCATCTTCGTCTGGCGCAGTTTATGTGCATGGAGGGCTATCGCAAACCAGAACAGACCAACTATTGAAGATTGAGCATTCTATCTCTGTTGTAACGACGAAAGCAAAACCTTCCCCACGTATGTCACATTGTATGGTGAGTCTTGACGATGGAACTCTTCTTCTCATTGGTGGACGGACACGACCAGGATTTCAGCTAAGTGATGTTTGGTTATTTTCAACAGCGAACCAGGAATGGTCCCTTTTAGGGAACATGCCCGAGTCTATGTCCAGACATTCGGCAGTCTGTATTTCCACAGGGAAAGCTTTAGTGTTTGCAAATGGCAAGTTCTGGGAGGTAACCAAGGCGCCGTTTACCGTCACAGAAGTTGCAACAGAGGGACATATCCCTCTGCTAAAGAGTTATTGCATAGTATATGATTCTCTCTCCAAGACAGGATATGTGATTGGTGGGATGGAAAACGACATTGAGCCTCGTCTTAGTGGTGCCATGTACAAATTTGTATATGGTGACACTATCGCCGTGTCTTTGTTTGTCGAATCATCTCATTTGGCACGAATTTCAGCAATGGCAAAATTGATAGAATCAGATCTATATCTAATGGGTGGAACAGGGAAAATGTCTCCTCGCCGTTCTGACACCATACTTAAAATTTCTCTTTCCACGGAGAAGGTGTACGCTGTTCCAATATCTGATACAGTGTGGAAGACTGTTCCTGTCTTTGTTGGCTCTCAATTGGCCGGTAATACTATCGTCGGCGGTGGAGCAGTATGTTACACTTTTGGAAGCAGCTATAATAAAACATATACTGTTGACTTCTAAATACTCTCTGAATTGCATATTTTCATTGGTAAACAAGCGGTAGAGTTAGTTTCATTTTTCAACATGATCTTTGTTAATTCACTAATTAATTTTGTTTACCATTTTAATGTTCGAAATTTGAACAGTACATGTATCAGAATAATATTGCTGAACGAAAATTTCTTTCAACGTTCCTCTCGGTGGCCAAGCTGGCTAAGGCGCGAGACTGTAATGGATTTGTAATCTTGAGATCGGGTGTTCGACTCACCCCCGGGAGACGTTTTTTTTGTTGAGGGTATATATTCATATTTTGAAAAGACTTACTGTTCTTTTGAAATCCTTAGTGCTCCTGTCTCAGGCACACTTTGAGAAGCGTATGTCATAAATTCACTTGGGCTTTTTTTAAGTGAGACGAGCCTTAACCTCAGTGTACGTACAACAATTCTATTAAGCCACAGTTCTGCAGGAGAACCGGTTCAATGCAGTGTCGTCCACTATAGTAACTTTGGCTTTCCTGTATGTTCTGAAGAGAGACAGTGACTAAGTGTATCGAAAAGTGCTACTTCTAGCCAACCAACTTTGTTTAGCTTTCTTCGAAAATCCAAAGGTTTTCCGACTATACTGGGTATGTATTAAGACTCAAATTAGAAGTATGTGATAATTGACTTACCTTTGCTATGATCATCACGTACGCTAGGCCGCACAGAGGAAAAGGCGTATCTATTTTCACAACGAGAACTTTAAGAAATGTTGTTGTCATATATTTTACATGACGAAGTAATTTTCGACTAGATATGCAAAGAGGAAAATACATATAAAAAAAAAAAAAAAAAAAAAAAAATTAGATACGAAATCGACAGTCGGGATAATCTAAAATTAAACTTCGTATCTTCCCGGAAAGCTGACAACCGAGCGAGTACGGTTCTTCTTGCGCAATTCAGCGCTTTTAATGGAACGAACAATAGAGTCATCAAAATCTTGTTGCTGTACCTGAGCATCTTTATGAGTATAATATTTGATGAGCACAAACATGATAACCAGAAATACAAGCACAAAAATTATGATACCAAAAAACCACCACAATGAGTTATCGTTATTTCCTGGAATGAGCACATTGGTACCAAAAATACCCGTAACAACATTGATGGGAATAAGCAAAGTTCCAAGAATCGTAAGGTTCTCTAACATTTCACTTGTCAGCAAATTCAGATCAAAAGACTCAACTTGCAATTGCGCCAAATAGTTTGCCTGCGACCGGCTGAAAATCTTTTCATACGCAGATAGACTCTGGTACATTGTCACAATATGATCCTGGATATCGCCCAAGTAAAGGGCAATATCACTCCTCGGGGATATCACTCGTCCATCAGCGTGCTCCTGACAGCGTTTGGCGAACATTTTGATGACATCGGCTTTGTTGGCCAATAGTTTCATCAAACCCATCACCGTGTGCCTGCACTGCCCAATGCGTTTCAACATTGATCCAAAGTCTGTCAGACGTGTAATGAAGACAGAGTTGTCTATGGCATCGGCTTCATGCTCAATTGCTGTGATCACTGGGGCGAAACCATCCGTGACCGCATCTATAAGTGCATAGCAAATCCAATCGGGACTCACATCCACATAATCACGGAGCTGGCGAATACGCCGCCGTACGTTAGCCGCTACACCGGTAGGAGAAGTATGGAAAGTGACCACGCCCGCGCGGAAAACGACCACGTACATGTGTACCGGCTCCAAGTACTGCTGGGATTCCACATCTGCATCAAATGTGTGAAAGGAGATGAAGTAGTAACTGTGGAACATTTCCACCTTTTCTCGAGGTTCACTCATGCGAATATCTTCAGCAGTCAATGGATGGAGGCCAAACACTTTGGCTAAAACATGTACTTCGTCTTCGGTTGGAGATGTACAGTCAAGCCACCACGTGCCTTCACCATGGCTGAAGAAAGTAGCTGAAGGACCTTGGATAAGCAGTGCAAGGTCTGGCGCATGGACTGTTTCCTCGCTCAGCGAGTGAAAGTATGAAAACCGGTCATTTGATGCAGAAGCCAACTCTGGTGATCCCGGAAGCGGTCTTTCTTCCGAGCTTTGCAGCCACAGATGTTCTGCAGTTGCCTCCTTATCACTCTCCTTTGCCTTTTCAGAGGGGGTAGCATCGTCTGGTTCGAGCAGTGGCTCATTCTTCACCTCCGTGTTTCTGGGTGTATAACGAAGAGCATTTTGTGATATATCACCAGTACGTGAACTGCCGCTAGCCATTACCAGTGATTGAATTTTCTTCTTCGTTGTCAGTCGAAGGAAATCGTCGAGCTCGGCAAAATCTATATCCCCTGGCCGTGCCTTAGCACCTCGAAGTGGGAAAAACACATCCTTTTCTGTTTCCTGGGAGGAATGTGACGCTTTACTGTCTTCCAGGTCGAGGGAAACCCGGGTTTGTCTGCGATTGATTGCATCTTGAGCCATTTTGACCGAGATAATTTTGGACAGTCTGCGTTGGACCCGCAATTGAGAAGCTGGAATTTGATACCCTTCCTCATCAGACATATTAGGGAGGCTTAACAAAATGGATTCAGGCAGTGGCGGCAGAGCCTTTGGGCTCAGAAGATGGACATAAAAACGTAATAGAGATGAGGCTCTGCGATATTAATCTTGAGGCATATGCAGGTACTATTATTATGAGGCTTAGGCGACATGTGACCTGTCATGGAAAATTGGTATAATTTGAATTCTTCTGCGACACTTCTTCAATGTCGATCCTGGTTTCACTCCCCAGATGATAGACTCTCTTTGCCCTATTTTCCCCATGCCAGCCATTTTGAACTAAAATGTTTCAACTCAACATCAAGTTTAGTCCAGCTGCACAACAGGCTCATAGACAGTAAACCTTAAGTAATACGACGCTGAAGTAGCCTATAGGTATCTGAGAGAATTGAAAATGGAAAAATAATGCTTCACACTATTTCTTTTTTCTTTTTGTAGCTCTGCGTGCTGCTCAATATTCCACTTCGGCTTTTATGTGAAGACCAATATCCACCAGTTCAAAGCTACATAGATTGCACACGAAAAGAACGAAAAATGAAACTCTTTCAACAACACAGGGCTAATTTGAGCTGAGTTTTGCTGTATAACGTCTTCTTATACTTATAGGAGGACTCATTTATTCCTTGAGATTGTCATCGCCTAATACTGAGACATACTTCTTGAGAAGGTTTGCATACTAAATAAGCTTGCATCTAGTTTCTGGGGAAGATTGCAATCATTAGTTCTTTTGCATTGGGGAGAGAGAGAGAGTTGATTTACACCACCTCTTCTGCCCCCTGGATATCCTTTTTTTTCATGTCTATGGTTTGAATATGGCCCGGAAGCAGAAGAATACATTTGACAGGTTTATATACCAGAGACTAATGTCTGTCCTCATCTAAGCCTGCATTTAAGAATGACTAAACGCTTGTAGTTGCATATGTTGGTCATTAGCCAATTTGAGACGAGAGAATAAACTTTAGCGCATCCAATGCATGATCTTGCGCTGAAAAAAAAGAGTGCGCTAAACGTTCAGCAAAAGTTTCCTGTTTCATATATCATTATGAAAACTGAACTAAGATTTTATTTTCCGCGATGTTTTCAGCGAGTCTACTGATTTGTATGATGGAAAACCTAACGAAGAAAAGCATTTGCGTTGAACAGTTCATCCAGTCATCACGGAATTCTTTTCCATGAATTAAAATATAAGTGTAAGTAGGTGTTGAGAAGAAGAAAGCCGCAGAAGAAGATACCAAAAAAAAGAGACGAAAAAACATAAAAACATACAGACAGGCTAAGAATCAAACAACATATTTACTTTAACCAAGGAAACTTTTCAGACTCTAAACTTACAGAGAAGGTAATGGGGTACGTGGACACCATCAGACTATGACATTACATAACCTGTTTTAAGGATAAGAGAAAAGAAATAAGTTGCGTAAATAGGACTCTAAAGATGTCTTTTCTTTCTTCTTTGAAACATGCTCGTATTGCAAGCTAGATGTATAAAAATAATGTCAGCTGAGGTAAGGTTGGTTCTAGCCAAGATATCCTCGCCTAATACGGATGGTGCATCTATAAAGAACAGTCCATTAATAGGGATTCATAGAGGATCAAGGCAGGTACTTCACAAAACTCATTTGTACCCTCTCTTTGACATGACCCCAGGACGAGTTTCGGAAAAACCCTGACGTAGAATAACGATTTTTCTGTTGTCTAAGGTGAACAATGGATCCGCCATAGGGTGACCACACATGCCCAAGAAAAAATATATGGATGCAGATGCACACCCGAGTCAGCCAATTAAACAAGCAAAAACAGCCACAACAGAAAAAATGAAAGAATAAATACAAAAAGAAAAAAAGCATTTCAGGTGGGCATGAACTTGTTACAGAAGGAGGCCCCTTTTTTTTTGGGTTTTCTACACCAACCGGGGTCTGGAAGGGTGAAAAGAACCGGAACAAGAAAGAACAGTGCAGGGCGGCGCCGAAGCGCGAAGAAGGAAAAAGCCGGTCTAAGTGTCTGCGCGCCGATCGAAGCACATATGTGGGGCAATTCTGGTACGATTTTTACGGAATGGCCCAATGTAGGACACCTGGTGCGCCCCATTGCGCCCGATTGTGCGCACACCCGAAAGACAAATTAAAGGCACCAGATCAAACGAACAAAGACCAGCAAAAACTTAAGTTCATGGCGGGTGGGCCACTCCACCTTCCTTTCTTTCCCCTCATTTTAGTACGGTTTGCGCAGGGTCCGACTGTCAGCCCTTAGTGCATCCTGTACCGCAGTCTTTGTTTTATCACCTGTTCCAGGGGCCCTGTGCGGATAGCCGCTGCGCGCGCGGCCACAGAGAACATCAGAGGACCCGAAAGCGCTTTATGAGCAGCACCACACAGTGACGCATGATTCGGCCCCGGCGGGCAGGAGGAACATCTTCCGGAGCAAGCAGTATACAATAGGACAGCGCGGAAGAAAAATTATTTGTCCGAGTTTATTGTCCTGTCTTCATTCGGCTCTTTTCTACGCCGATACCGATCTGCGCGCAAATACAGGCTGCGCAACTTATCGTGGTGCATCTCCTTCTCCCTTTACTTTTGCGGTTTATGTTTGCATTTTCTTCAGCCCTGGCCGAGAAAAACGGCCAAGGCGGGGCTTCGTCCCAAGCAGTAGAAGGAAAGACCAGCCCCAAGAGTGCGATGCAGAATAGAAATACTGAAACCGGGCCATCCGACTCAGGAGTCGTTTCAGAAAAGGACGAATTGGACCCTTCACAAGCTCCATTCGAGATGAAAAATGGTTCCAAGCAGAGTGAAACGACGAAGCGAAGCTTGGACGAAGGTCTAGCCAAGCCGCTACGTGTTAAAAAGGCGGATAATCTGACAAAGACTCCTCTGGGAGACTCATGTCTGGGACAGTCAAGTGTGGGCCAGTTGAGTTTGGGAACAACAGGTGCGAGCAGCTATACAAGCGTGGAAAAGAATAACTCTAAGGCAATGGAAGCCAAAGTCTCCGGGAGTAAACCTACAAAGAACGGAGATAACAGGGCCCACCAGTCTAAGCACAACATTGGCCTGAACCCACTGCCGGCCAATACCGCCAAAGATGGCGCAAATAATGATATCCAAACCAATGACGCCTACAAAAATTGCCAGAATAATGGTCAGAGTAATGCACTGGAAGATGCCCCAAATGTGAAAAATGGCCAGGCCTCGGATAACTCCAAGGATACCCAAGGCACTCAACCCAGCAAGACAGAAACAGCATCTGCCCATCATAACAAGGATGACCAATGCATCCTCGGCACAGAAAATAAAGAGTCAGATTCGGAGACCCCTTCACGCAATCTGACTGGTCTGCCGGGCGAGTCACGTCATCTGACCAGTACTTTGGCCGAGTCGCGCAACCTGACCAGTCTGTCGGGCCTACTGGACAATGGCGCGCAGTCAAGTCCGGAAACGTCGCCCGAGAGTCCACCTTCTGCGGGCGCGCGCAGCTTTGTCGCCGTGCGCAAGGGCTATTTTGACCGGCCTCGGCAGGCGCCCTCGCCCGTGCCGCTTTCGATGCGCTTTATCCACAAGCCGCTGCGCTCACAAGAGGAGTACACTAAGGCGTCTGATCCGACGCGGCGTAATTCCGCCATCAATGCTGGCCTTGTTGATGCCCCAGCTAGTCCTCTGCCAGTACCTGAGGATTACCCCGAACACCTGCTTGTGCGGAAAAAACTGGGAGAGATTGTGAAGCTGCTGTTGAAAGAGCACACACCTCGGTCCCGCTCGCTCCCACTGACCCCAACATACAAACTGGTTCATTTTGGTGGCGACGCAGACGTGCGATATTTCTCGCAGAAAGACCGGCCTGCGGCTATACTGGCACTGAACTCGCCCGTTTTAGCAACTGACGACGACGATATGGACGACCCAGGTGCTGACCTTGACCTTGAAGTGACGTGGGACAGCTCGAGCGGTCCTGCAGATTCCGCGGGCGGCCTTGCTGCACCGCCCCGAGATTCTGCGTTTCCCCAGTGGCTGGTGGATGTGCTCAACTTTCCCCCCTTGTCTTACCACGAGCGCATGGCTGTGCGCCATATGCCAGTGTTTTTGGAACACATGTTTGTGCTGGCAGACCAACGCTATCTTTTGGGCCAAGTGGCTGTGCATAACATGGCGTATGAGAAGAGCGTCGTAGTGCGATACTCGCCTGACGCTTGGTCAACCACAAAGGATCTTGACGCCATATATGTGCCCGACACTCCGCCTGTGCTCCGGGCCCATAACTATGACCGATTCATTTTCAAATTGGACTTGGCCAAAATTGGTGAACGTTTTCCTGCTGGCGGAAGATGGGACTATGAGTTTTGCGTACGTTTCACCACACCCGACTGCGAATACTGGGACAACAACAGTGGTTCTAACTACATGGTGCGGCTCGAGAGGCGGCCCCGCCCTAAACAGCGTGCAGTGAGTGCAGCAGCAGTTTCGAAAGCTGACCGCTCCCAGAGACCCAAACCAAAGTATCTGGCATCCTTCTTGCGCCGCCAAGGCGAGTCGGACTTCGACCGCAACAACTTTTATCTTCTGTCGCCGCTTCTTTCAAGCCTCGGCGTGCGGGACGAATCGGAACTTCCTCAGTTCCGTGCGCATACGGATGAGCTGGTCTCGCCCAACTCTGCGCCCGTGTCGCCGCCTGACTCCCCAGACCCGCTCTCGAATACACCCAATGACCTTGCTGACCGGCAAAACCTCTCGCCAAACTCGCGGCCCTCACAGACCTCCCGCACGCCCAAGGATATCAGCTCCATGTCATACCGTGAATTGTTGGACTCCTTTTGTTTCTTTTCGCCCTCTCGCGATGCTTCGACATCAACTCTCGTCATGAGCGATGAACCCAATGTATCGTTTGATCGTGACCGTGCTCGTGGACCATCTGGCGATCCTGATGCGCCATTTACCGTGTCGTCGTTTTTACGCCATTGAGGAAAGAGCTTCCCCCGGTTGAATTGGTGATTGCCTGTTTTCTAAGACTCTTTTTTGGCTTTGTTTGTTCGTGTTGTTACTTGACACATTTCCGTGACCATTTGGTCGTTACCGGATGACCGTTTCATTGCAGATATAGGTGAACATGGTCGAATTCCTGTTTATACACCATGGCTATATATCATGCTGATCCCTATGCATGTATTTACTGTGTGTGTTTGTTGTCCTACTTATTGGGGATCTCAAGCCCACTTTGCATTTCTATATACAATGAGTTATTGATTGATGCTAAATTTATGGTGAACATGCCCTTGATTTAATAGTGGTTTTTCTCATCTTTAGCTTGTGTTGTAGTGTATTCCTCTCAATATTGTTAGAACACCACCCCGAAGAAAGACGACAGGCTTTGAAAATGTCGTTGTTTCCTCTTCCACATTTGGTGTACTCACTTTTGTCCAACTAACTTTCACTCCACCTCACGCATTCCTAATAATAATATAAATACATCTTTCCTTTGGGCAAGTACTCCTGCGATCGTTGAACTAAAGATATTGTCCGTCACTATTTGAATGGTCAAGGAAATGCAAACGGCTGCAATCCTACATTGCGTCATAGATACTACAACCTTTGAATATTCAAAAATTACCTAAATTAACTCCTATACCGTCAATAAACCAACTTCACGGTTTGAAGCCTTTCCTAACTGAAGTTATACATCTTGATGTTCCCATTCTCCAAACCTGCCGCGAAACTGTGGCTTGATAATCCAACACAGCTCACGCTGGCATTGTTCCCAAACGTATGCAAGCATTTTCCATCTTGCAAGTCCCATACTTTTACCAACCTGTCGTGAGCACCCAGAACAATGCGGAAAGTGTCAGCCAGGATTGACCATACTCCCTCAATGTGACCAAATTGCGTACGTATACATTTTCCTGTGCGGACGTCCCACAACTTGATGGTATTATCCAACAGAGAGGTTAATATGTGAGTTGGATAATTTCCATCCTCAGGAAGCTCGCTGCAAACGGATGTGTTCTCCTCCTGGCGTGATGGGCGGCCCGCGCCCTCACTGTCGCTCTCATTAGAATCCGTTATCAAATCACCGCCCTTGTACACAAATGGAATCACTGTTTCAACTTGTCCAACATGGCCATTACTACCCACACCGCCAAAAACACGAAGACACTGGTTTGTGGCTAAATCCCACATTTTCACTGTTGTGTCATCCGAAGCAGAAAAAACCGTGTTTGATGCTACATCGATCTTGACACAGTTGACACTGTCGCTATGGCCTCGAAGCGTGTAACAAGTTCGAGAGTCCACATGCCACACCTTCACTGTGCAGTCAGCCAGTCCAGAAACAATCGTTTTGTTGGAAAAATCAACACTGGATACAGCATCATCGTGGCCGCGGTATGTTGAGATACACTCACCAGTGTGATAATTCCATACTTTGATGGTCAGGTCCAAGCCACCCGTGATCAACTTTTGCGAGTCGAAAACCAATGCCCTCACACCCTTTTGATGGCCCGTTAACGTGCGGATACAGGTTCCAGAATCCACATCCCATACTTTCACCGTAGCATCGTACGAACCCGATATGAGATACTTACGGTTGAAGCGAAGACACGTAACGCCATCGGTATGCCCCTGGAACTGTTGAATCGTGTAAGTACCATTCCGCCAATTTTTTTCGAGCAGATACCGTTCACTATAGACGCTTTTCCATGGTCTTTTCGTTTTGCGGCGCTTAGCATCAGGCTCTGTTTCACAGATCTCGCGGGCTCGCTTCATGTGCATCAATGGTAAACCCCAACCGCAGTTTGGACACTTGCGGTCAATATGTTGTTCACACATGTGGTGCCAAACACGGTCGTCGTCCGCAAGTTCTTTCCATTTGCGTGAAACTTGTGCCGCATTGCAGAGCGATTGACAATCCAAGTAACACAAAATTTTGAGGGAAATCTCCACCGGGAGTGTCGCTATAAAGTCTATCCTCACGAGTTGGCTGATTTCCTGAGAGATGGTTGAGAGCTGGGGGAAACAACATTGACTGAGCAAACCACGCAAGATTAACAGACGGTGTGCGTGTGGGGCAGCAGAGAAGATCAGCCATACGTGACTAACGGCCTCCTGGTCACGCAAAGGAAGTTTCTCAAGCTCGCTCTGGATGCTCTTCATTTTAGCAGCATCTGCTTGCTTGTTGCATACGATGTCTGGATTGTGGCGGTAGCAAAATTTGTGTATGTTGTCTTTTGGGATATTGGAGTGATCCGTAATGTGTTTGGCTAAAAACAGCGTGACCACCAGCTGGTCTTCATTCTCCGCCTTGCAGTCACTGATGATTTCTTTTTCCGGCTCATTCCACTGCTCGGATTCGTTTTCTGGTGCAGAAACCCCTTTCTGGAGGATTGCCGTTAGATTTTGTGTGGTTTTGTTTGAAGTTGTGTCGTGTGATAAGCACGGATCAAACAAATTCATGGTACTGGAAGCAGGCCTTGAATAACTATTTGTTTGTGGAAAAGTCACTTGGCTATATCTTTTATTCGATAGTTGCTTTGTGATGAAATATGTATATGCGTCCTTAAAGGAAAAGAGTAGTGTGGCTATAAAAACTGTGGCTCCAGGAACGGGAAGACTTTGGTACGAGTTTATGTGCACTCCCATGCGCGGCCTACTAAGCACAGAAGCTCTTAAGCGAGCATCACGTAACCACTATAGTTTGAATAGACTTTGTTTTTTTGTTGGCCAGGGTCATATGGCTTATACTAGAAAGAATCCATGAGCCACTGTTTTGTTTCTCTTTTTCTTTGCCCGCTCACTCAAATGTACTTCTTCCAATAGCTTTGGTCTTCGAATATGGCAAGCGCACGTGCGTATTCCCAATGACAAGCTGCATGACGTTGGATCAGATGTAAAGTCTACTACAGAGGATAAAGAAGTTTACAAAGAGAGTTACACAAGTGATACTTTTGCTAACTGCTAACTCTGGATGTGTCTTTGTTATAGAAACTAGAGAATAATGATCTGTGGTGCTTTATAAAGTTATGGGGGGTTTAGCACCTCTCTTATCGGGACAGTAACCTCAGACACAAGTTCGTCTGATTGGAAGTTATGGACATGGGAAGTACCTCGCCTGAATTGTGGCACTTCTAAAAGTTCGCCCTAAACTCAGGAAGGGGTTCTCTGGCCCAGAAAAGCCACACAAAGTAGTAATCATAATGGTATATGCAGGTCCCGTGGCATTTGACATGTCATTCAAGATGGTTCACCAGGATTGAATGTGCTCTTGCTCTTCGTATTTGCTTGGGCCTTCGAGAATTGGTGTCATTCCGATGAGTCTATACTTACGATTTTCTGCTGCCACTACAAGACCATTGCATCAATACAATCAGCAGAACATTGGTATTGAAGAGATCCATACTGATTGCAGGTTGACGTTGCTTTCTGGAATTTGACCACCTTATTTGCCTAATTCTACCTGATTCCTTTCTGCCATTTCGGTAGCATGTCCTGGTGTGGAACCTTCTTGACTCTGCTCGAAACTTCTACATCTTTCTCGATGCTTCTAACCTGCATGAACACCATCGAAAAAAATCTGGCTACTAGATGAAAAGAACCGAAGACGCCGCCAATTCTCCAGAAAAGAAACCACGTTTAGAAATGGCTTCAGAGAACGAATCACAATTTACTCCTGTCGGCGAGCAGGTTCAGAATATGGACAGCTCGGTGAGGGAGACCGGAGCAGCCGATGTTGAAGGACATCCAGTGCAAGAAGTTGAGTCCATGTGTATGAACTGCCACAAGAACGGTGTCACCCGCATGCTCTTGACCCGTATCCCATTTTTCCGTGAAATTATTGTCATGTCTTTTGAGTGTCCCCACTGTGGATTCAAAAACTCTGAGATCCAAGCTGCGGCACAGATTGCGGAAAAAGGGTCTCGTTACGTTTACAAGATCGAGTCCAAGGAAGACTTCAGCAAGCAGGTTGTCAAGAGCGAAACTGCAACATGTCTGTTCCCTGAGTTGGAGCTTGAAATTCCTCCTGAGCGTGGCCAGTTGACCAACATTGAAGGTCTTCTCACCGAGATGATCGACAATTTGAAAGCAGACCAACCAGCACGTAAAGATGCCCAACCAGAGGTGCATGATAAGATTGAAGCTTTCATTGCCAAAGTTCAAGAGCGTCTTGATGGCAAGGGCTTGCCTTTGACATTTTATGTCGATGATCCTGCCGGCAACTCGTGGATCGAATATACCCCAGGTCAGCCAGCTCACAAATGGTCCATGTACGAGTACAACCGTACCGCCGAGCAAAATGTATTCCTTGGACTTATCTCTGCTGATGACGTTGCCCAGCACAAGAAACTTGAGCTGGAAAAGAAGAAATCCGCAACAGAGACTAATGTGAGTTCACAACTTGGGAACGAAAACCCTAAAGCCACAGGTTTTGTTTCCGACAACACAGACATTGAGAACTTCGATAATGAAGTCCAGACTTTCCATGCCACATGTTCCGCATGCTACCAGCCATGTGAAACTCATATGAAAACAGTGAACATCCCACATTTCAAAGATGTCATTATCATGTCCACCGTCTGTGACCATTGTGGCTACAAGTCTAATGAAGTTAAAACAGGAGGTGCTATTCCTGAAAAGGGAAGACGCATCACGCTCAAAGTAACTGACCCAGAAGACTTGGCTCGTGACATTTTGAAGTCGGAAACTTGTGACATGAAAATCCCCGATTTGAATTTGGACTTGACCCCAGGAACTTTGGGCGGTAGATTCACCACCATCGAAGGTTTATTAAGTCAAGTTTACGATGAATTACACTCGCGTGTTTTTACGCAAACATCTGATTCTATGGATGATGAAACTAAGCAAAGATGGACTTCCTTCTTTGCCAAGTTGGAGGATGCCGCACATGGCAAAATTGGTTTCACTATTTACATGGAGGACCCCTTAGCATCTTCATACATCCAAAATGTTTATGCGCCAGATAATGATCCTAACATGGTGATTGAGGACTTTGAGAGAAGTTTCCAACAGAACGAGGACTTGGGCTTGAATGACATGGACGCGAAATAAGGGTATTTTAATGGTGTTTAATGTATTTGAGGCATGTTTGGGCTTAGTTTGTATTATTTATAGCACAATAGCGGGGGCGTTGCTCCTTTGCACAAACCTATAAACGTGTTTACCAATAATCCGGTGTCCACTTATTTTTAAGGATTAGTATGGACTGGCTCTTACAGAAAATTCAATGTCCTATGTTTATATTAAATGCTATAGAAAATCATCTTGGACATAATGCTAAATGAATACGTCAGAAGTCTTCGATGCCCACTTCGTAAAATGTGTTCTGTTTTCCCTCTGTTGAAATATTCAGAATTTGTGATTTTCTTTTCTCCTCCCTCTGCCGATGAACGTAAGCCCACCGCGTAATATATCCTTGAAGTAACTCTTTACATCTCTTTTTCTGTAGTCTTTTTTCTAGTTTTTGCATAAAAAGACGTCTCTCCAAGTAATCAATGAGGACAAGACACTCACCCAGATCAAAAGAGTTGTACAATGGGAGCTGTACCAATAGACGAGTGAATGATATTCCCGGTTCTTCATGTAACTCCATGTTCATGATGGCCTCTTCGATAAATCTCTCGTACATAAATCTTCGTTCTCTGATTTTCGGAAAGTCCATAGTTGCAACTGTTTCATTGATGGCATCATAGTTTATCGCCACATCGTAGGGATTGTTTGGGTCATTTCTGTGTATCCATTTCGAACAAAGCTCGGGGATACTAAACATGCCATGATAAAAGTGAAAACTCAAGGAGCCATCTAAAGTGTGTAGAAATTTTGGAAGATCTTCAGGGTCAATGAAACCAGTTCCTTTTGGGTCAAATTTCCCCCACGACTTTTTGAACTTCCTTATTTCAGATCTGGCTACCAACGGAGCATATTTTGATCCTCCGCTAATGTAACTGAAACTGTCCAAAAGTAATGAAACGAACAAGTTAAGCATAATGTACATGGAAATCACATTCCAAGACATGAAGAGCAAATATGCGTATTCCTTGTTTCCACAATCCGAATCATCCACACTATTGTCGTATGTACAGAAAGGCACCTCTAAAGTGAAATCATCCATAATGTAATTCCATCCCTCACCCATGGAACATCTGAATAGAAGAATTAATGTTTTTGGTACCGACCTCACGTTTATATTTCCACTTGTATTAGGACCAATCTTCGTCATTCCAAAAATTTGGTTCAAGGCGATCGCGTACACCAAATAAAGAATAAACCAAGTGAACATCAAAGAAAGTAACCTAGGAAGAGAGGCAGCTGCAAACTTAAGAAGTTGGTTGATTCTATCGCTTCTTGGGAAAAGGAAAATCAACATTCCAACCAAAAACAACTTGTTGAAGTTAATAAATACCGACCCGGAATTGGTAGCAAAACTAAGCATGGTTGATATCCAAGCACCAAGCGAAACGATGAATGAGAAAATGTTCCACTTGTTGCTAATGAAGACTTTAAAGCTCTGGGCAATAGCTAACATAAAATAGTGGATTACAAAACAAGTTGAACTCACCATAAATGCTAGTGCTCGAAACACATTGAATGACTTATTCGATGGGTAAGTCTCACAAAGTAGGGATACCACATGGATAAGCAAAACTGTGTTTAATGTGTTTCTCCAAATTCTATTTCTTCCCACAGTTAAGTTGTAAAATGCTTTCTGGATACCTTTCAACGACTTGGGGTCCCGCCTTTTTGAAGGTTTGACTCGCAAAAGGAATCGCTTCACATTATACCACTGGATTTGCTCATTTGTAAGATAGGCTCTACCAGTTACCTTAGCATAATTATCAATAATGACAGAGACGAACACTGTAAGAATGAAAACCACACTCACAAAATTGAAAAAGATAACAAAAACACCGTTAAAAGCATTGTAGAACATTTGCTGTGGTGTTCCAGATCCTGTGCTTTGCATAACATTGATGAGGAGATCAGTCCACCCTTCCAAAGATACAATTTGGTATAAGGTTGAAAACGAAGATGAGAATCTGTTCATTTGTAATAGGGGTTCGGTGTATACCCTGGGACTGTAGATTTCCCAGTCATAAACGGTGTTTGAGTATTCATTCACACATTCACCGAGATATGAAACACCGTCGTTGCAGAATCCAAGGCGGTCATTGAAAATGTTGAGCGCCCATATAGAAAAAGGAAAAATCAAAGTAAGAGACATCATTGCAGCACTTACAATCTTTCCAAACCCGGATATAATAGTGTACTGGAAATTGTTCTTCGCTGTTTCACTGATTGTTAAAATTCTCAATGCTCTCAAAGCCTTCAAGCCTCGCACAACCAAAGAAAGAGGGCCATCGTCTTTTATGAATGCCACAAACTCTGTCCAAAGAGAAAGCAAAGCGCAGAAGTCTAACCAATTCCACGGAGACCTGTAGTATCCATTTGGAGTAAAAATTATGCCGTCTGCTGTAATTTTTATGAGATACTCCATCGTGAAAACAAGAAGAAGCACAGAATCAGTGTATAGAGCCCAGTTCCACTGTCCATTCACGTGTCCAACATCTCTCCTATAGAGCGGAGTGACATAACAAGCAGCAAGAACGATTCCGATAGTAGACAAAAACATCAACAGTGCAAAAATTTCACTTATCTTCTTGTGCGGCTCGACTCCATCAATTCTTTCACCATAACTTGAGGGAACAATTCGCTGGCATATTCTCCTTAAACGATGGCCAGGTGCCAACATATAAAATACTGTGTTGAACATGGGATTATCTCTCAAATATTGATCTTGCTCTTTCTCAATCCGTTGCCTCTCTTCCAAAGCCCTCTTAGCGAAAGTTACTGGATCAAATTTACCTTCGTACGTTATTTGAGTCCTGTGTTTCGTAAAGAAGGGATTATGAAAGTATGCCAATATCCGCCTTTTGCGCTCATTGATCCATTTTCGAATGGGTCCACCTTTGTCATCCTCATCCAGATCATTCCTCTCTACTGTAGTATCATTTTCTAAGAAATCGTTCACAGCACTTCCACTCATTAAAAGGTTTGTAACAGCTCTTTGCATGTTCTTTTCTGTGTTCGATTTGAAAATTCTGGCCTTCATTTTACTAATCCAGTCATTTCTGGTCTGGACGCTTTGAAGCTTCGTAGTCACGTCCTCGATAAATTGCAGAAGCTGGTGCTTTCTCTTACCTTCATCTGAGACCTGCAATGCATTCGCAATAACGGCAATAAAAATATTCATCACAATGGAATTAGAAACAATAAACCAAAAAATAAGAAACACTGACCCAATTGCTCTTTGTGAAGTGGATCTAGCATATTCTTGAAGGGAATACATGATATCAGCCCAGTTTTCTGTGGATGTGATGACATATAAAGACATGAAAGTATTGGGCAAGGTATGCATCGCAAATTGGACATCATCGACATCTGAAAGAGGAACCGTTCCTTCAAAGAAACGAGCCAAAATAATACTCGTGAGCACCAAAAGAATAAAGTAGAACAATGTTAAATCAAAGATTGCTTTTGCGTTACGCAAAATTTTCAACCAAAGATCTCTAGTAATGCTGTAAGCCAACACAATTCTGTAGAACCTCACAATTTGGAAAAACGAAAGCCAGTAATAGGCGTGTCCTAGTTTATTTTTCACTGGATCAGCAATTATCACAGTCGTTATAAGAGCCAAAAACAAATCAAAGCAGTTTCTCTTAGAATAAAAGAAATCTCTCCAATAAGGCATGAACAAGGAAAATCGTAATACAATATCTGCGCAAAGGAAAGCCGTCACAAACTCTTCTGCTCTGTAAATGAAACGCGACAAATCATCAGACATAGAGCTCAGGCGCAAGCATTGAATAACTAAGCCAGTAGCAATCATTACTAACAGTATGATTTCAAACTGGTAGTATCTCTTGAGCCATGGCTTCTTCAGTATGACTGAACGTACTCGCTTACTATGAAGCTCATCATTGAACATCCATATTTTGAACAGAGACATCTTTTTGTTCCGACGCTCTGCCCTTTGTCGTTTTTCTTCGGCTTGTTCCATCTGAACCACTTGAAATGACGACACAATGATTGCAATAAAAATATTCATCAACCATACAGTTAAAATGAAGATTGCGAATATGAAGAATAAGGCAGCGGCAATATTGTCGGTATCCATTAGTTCGTACATGAGATCCGAAAATGCATTAACGGACATGATGACAAACACTAACTGCATGGATTGAAAGATATTATCAAAGTTTACAGATCCCGCATAAGGATTTTCGCCACTTTGGCATACAGAGTTCATGGGACACCGAAAGCCCTTGATCGACTCTGACGCTTCACCGTTACGGTTCAAGAACGGTTTTGCCTTTCCATCAAGTCCAATATACGATCCACAAAATTGCTCAGTATTTCTAAACGTTTCTGAAGGGTCTGTAGGATTTGTCCAGACGCAGTTCCGGGAAAGAGATGATTTGAATGATTGAACGCCAATAATTGCAAAAATTACCCAAAAACAAACAATGACTATAGTAATATCCATCAATTGGGGGATCGCTGCATAACATGCTTTGAGAATAATGTTGGTACCTGTAGTCAAGTTGCATAAACGCAAAATCCTTAAACAACTAAGGGCTCTGAAAAGCATGAAATGGTGATCGTAATCCTGACGATTAACAGAAAGAATCATGGAAATCCAAAACGATACTGTTGAGATGGCATCAAATATTTGCCAGCTATTATGCAAATACGCTCTGCGCAAATTCATTTCTTCCACCTTCTTTCGAATTGTACTGGATTTGAGAAATGTATTTTTCAGGTGAATACGGAGTGATGGTTTCACGTCAACGACAGAAGATGCAGAATCCTGACGATGAAATCGTACTCTTCGCTGGATGTCGGACCTTCTTCTTGTCAAGTTCCTATCTTGGCTAGAAGAAGTGTCATTGAAAGGGTTTTGCAGAGAATCACTCAGTGATTCAATAAATGGGTTTTCGTGATATTCTGTAGAGTTATCAAGTGGCAGATTCAAGTCTAGGGAAGTTTCACCGAATCCGTTTGATGGATTTTTGATATTTGATGTACTTTTAGACAGTAGTCTAAATCTGTTGCCTTTTCCATCTTTACCTTTTCCAAATCTATTGGAATAAGTCAGATATACTTCACGTATATATTGGATTACCAGTCTTGTGGTTTCTGAGATCCAGCTGCTTGGATAATCCAAACCAAGCTCTTCAAACATGATTCTGTCATCGATAAGACCATACGCCACAATTTTCACTCCTGCTTCCATAGAGTATAGGAAATAGATAAATGCAATAACATACTCGACCCAGTTGTTACCATAGTAAACATAGCCATCTAGCTTTGCCGGGTTCCACTGCCTGAATATCAATAGGGTCGTCTGAATGAAAAGAAGAACTAAAAGAGTTGCATTTGTTGCAGAATGTGCCGCTGCCCGGTGGCACCATTTTCGGAATGGCAGGCTTGGTGCAAATATTCGAAGCGACCGGCCATATAAATAAAGGTGTTCAAACCCCTCATTGGGGCTATTTCCCATGCTGAAAGGATTTTCATGTACTATTGCTGTAGTAACATTAGATGTGGAATGCTGTAAGTTTGGGGTAATTTGGCCACTCAACTCGTCTGTATGTAATTGTTGTGAGCTAATCATACTGTCGCCGTCTCCAGAGGGCCTGGAAGGACGCAAAAGGGGCAGGTGTGAGGGTGTTCCGAGAGAAGTCAAGTTTGGGTCCATAGTTTCAACCAGTTCCAAGTCTGCCATGAATACAGGTGGCTTTTCTGACATGGGTGTCGCTGGATTGTTACTACCGGCAATTCTATCTGAAATTCTCGAGATTATATTGGGGATTTTCGATGGCGAGCCAGGTAAATTGAGCTTCGCTTTTTCATTGAGTCTCTGAAGTCCAGCCTCCAAATCAGCATTTCCCGAATGATCCAACGTTATTAGTGGAATGTCGTAGTTGCTTTGTGTCTCGGGGTAATCGGGATAGTAGTCATAATTAGGATAGTGGTCCCAGATTGAGGGAGCATCTGTAGGATGTAGATATGCGTTGGATGATGCTTCTCTCAGACTCCTCCTTGAAGACAGAATTTCCATCAGATTTCGACTGTTGGCAGGTGATTTCAACCAGTTGGCCTCATGCCCTTCATTCCCCAAGGCGGAGACTAATTCGTCTTGTACGGTAAGTGGATCAGAGGTAAAGGCGTCGCGTAAGTTGTCGTACGAACTTTCCACGACAAACCGGGGCTGACTATGTCGATTGGCCACTTTCTGCTCCCGTTCTTCTCTAGTAGCATCCGTGGGTTCTTCATCTCTAAACGGATTCCTCATGGTCACGATATATGTTTGCCAAAGTCCAACAATAACAGAGGCGATCGTTAATTCGCAAGGTAGTTAGGAGTAGTTTGGTCAACTCTAATGAAAGAGAGAGAAGGAGATGTGGTGGGGAAAGCACTAGGTAAAGTTAGCTACTATCTAGAACAATACATTCGTCCTTTACATAGACGTGTCGTGGGTTGGGTGCAGTCGGAGGTAAGGCTAATTTTGATCTCCAAGCGATAGAGAAACATCGCATGAGTCACCACCAGGTGGATTTTGTCTGACTTCCACATGTCCTTCTTAGAAGATTAAAGAAAAAGAAAATATGAACAAGAAAGTACAATTAGTCAAGTCTGTATGTTGAAAGGCTGTGCTGGACAAACAGATGAGCGCCTGCATTTGGCGCCAAAGCGTTAGACGGCATCAGTATCCTCGCTTGATAAAGACACAGGCCAAGATAAAGGAGCAGAAAATTTTTCCAAGACAATGAAGTGTAATGGAAAGAAAAGGAAAGCAGTACTTGTATTTGTAAGAATCCTGGTTTTTTTTTTTTTGCGCAGAACCTCTGTCTTCATTTTGCCTACTCGTATTTCTGTCAAGTCCCATACAATAGTCATTATACTCTGAGCCTCACTTACTAGTGCCACCCGTACACCTTGCTTTCGAGATTAGTCGCACAACAATTTTTCTTCTTCACTCTGCCACAACATGTCCCTTTTGCGGAAAGTCAACTTGAAGCAGCTCAAGGAAGTCAAGAGGCTTTCGGCAAATATCTTTGGCGAAACCTATAACCCTGGTAACGTCAGAAACGGTGCTAAGGTTTTGCGTGCCCCACTAAAGGGACCGGAAGTTGTGTCGTGGTATGGAGACAATGATGCTGCACCAACTTTTAAGGACTTCAAAGAGTGGTTTCCTGAGTTAAAATTAGTTGATCCAAAAGAAGCATACAGAGTCAAAATGGTGGCTGACAGAAAGAAAAGAAACAAGGGTGCGCCAAAGAAGAAGTCCAGTTGATTTTTTTAAACTACCGTTATGTCCCCTCCCTCATATACTTCAGCATCTTGTAAATATTATGAATATGAAATCACTATCGAATTCCCGGTTCTGCTAAATGTGTATCCTGTTATTGGTCATTATGTGGGCTTGTTTGTACTATAGATTCTCTTTTTTGTTTGGAAGGTGTCAGTGGGATCTTGTAGAGTGCGCTTTGCTTGTTGTCCCCATTCATTGTGCTGAACGTCTTTCATGAGATTAACCACCTTGCTGTTCTCTTCTGTATACTGAAACTTGCGCATGATTTCCATATTGGAATCATCCATAACACCGTTTTCTTCCCTGTCAAATTCATGTCGGACCTGTCGCCAAACGACACCACTCGGTGTCTCTTCGACCAAAGTAGTTAAGCAACCATTGTCGGACTCAACTATGTAAGCATTTGAAAATTGATATCTGCTTGTTGCAAGTATTTCAATTCCAGATGATGTAAATATGGCTGCATGGTCACTAAATACGAACAATAGTCTGTCTTTGGAAAGGAGTTTTGTCTTGAGAAATCGCAGCGGGGCTGTGATGATTGCTTCGACATCAAGAGTAAGTGGCAAATCTCTTTTTGCTGCAACAAGAACAATCAGGTTTTCACTTGCTAACAAAAAATGGTGCCCAGTGGAAAATGCAATGTGCCATTGCGGTGGCGCAGAAATCAAAGGGCCAGATGTACGTTGGTACGCAATGGATCTGTCACTATCTTGAACGTAATGCCATACATTTCGAACATTCTTCAAGTCTAAAAGCATTTTTTGGGAAACAGTCATGTGTGAAATATCATAAGTTCGATAAGGTATTGCTAGTCCACCATCAGACGCCATTGCAATAACATAGTCTGTGTTATCACTTGAAATCCAAGACGAGCACCAGTTAGTCTTCGCTTCGGTTTTCTCATAATCATATGTTGCAGTTGCTTGTACAGTATGATGTGTCACGCTACCCACCGGAATATTGTGGAGAGCAAATATGTTGAAGACTTTAAGACTGTATTGCAGAAGAGAAGTATCAAAATACTTTAGCCACTTCCCATTTTCTGACCAGTCAAACGTGGACGACAGAGAGGGGAAGAAATTCAAAGGCAAAACAGCTAACACTTTGCTGATGGAACCCTGATTATGCAAATGAAAAATAACAGGGTAGTCTCGACCAGTGTCAGCCATAATGGACCTCAGAGCCAGGTTTTTTTCATAATATGGGGCTGCAATTACCGACCATATGTGTGAGTCTCCAGGACGAATGATGATGCTGTTATAAAGTGGCTTTGGGATTGTGAAGAGGACGTGGGTGCAATCTAGCGAGTAGACACGCGCATCAAGTCCGTATGACGAAAAGACACATATTTGGGTACAGTTAGTGTAAGCACCCTCCGAATCAACGCCAGGGATCCACTCTAGTGCCAGCACGCCTATAGGATCTTGTTCTATGAAAACAGGAAGGTCTTCAGTTAAGTCAAAGACAAGCACGCCGTGGAGATTCAGGTCAAATGCGTAGACTGCTAGTTTTGTGCAACGGTCATTTGTGGCGATTTCCCATTGGATCAAGCCTACTTGGACTGGGGTATTCGATTTCGGTCGCTGGTTGTCCTGTTTGTGGAGACGGAAGCAAAGATTCAAATTATAAGATCGAATTAATGATCCTGGCAGAAGCTGGTGGATTTGAAGATCGGTGTCCTTAACCAAGGCGATGTAGCTTGCGCAATGGGACACCGCTTGTTTCATGGGCTGTGATGATGTTTGTTTATCAACACTTGTATGGCGGATTTGCACCCAGTCGCGCAAGGAAAAGATCCAAACGATTTTGGCGCGAACGCCCAAGTTATTCGGCACGAGAGCTAAGCCTTGAATTTACCCGTCACCGAACTTCGAACACCGCAAATGTAGACTTTTCCAAACGTTTCCGTCCCTTCGTGAATTGGCTGTCATGCTCAACTTTTCGCTTGCCGAACCTTGTGTTATTTGCTGTTTCCGTAAGTCTTCCTGTGAAGTGTCTGTATGTCGACCTTAAGCTTTTGGTGTAGATGCTAAATATCCCAATAGCATCCTACTTCCTACTGAGGCTCATATTTTGTACAGAAAGAGCATCTTTTTTTTTTTTCTGATGTTGGTGTACGTTCCTGTGTTGATATTTTGGCGCACTTGTTTTTGCAACTACAATCTGTCGCTCCTGCAGGCAATCCGTTGCAAGACACTCGCAGAAAAACAAACCCCACTACACATATACTCTTCACGATCCGACAGATCTCGGCTTGTTGCGCAATATAAGTCTTCGCTGCACTTCACTCATTTATTTCAAGCTGCCGCCTGGCGAAATCCCCCTCACAACTCGATTGTCCAACTTCGCGTGAGTGTTTCCTGATGCCTCCGAAAAAACGGGCCACCCAAGACGTCAATGGGTCTGGTGGCAGAAAGCTGACGCTTCCAGGAATAAAGCACATGCCACTGCGAAAGAGGTTTGAAGCTTCTGATTCGGACTCGGACTCAGCCGAAACCAATCCAGTGCGCCTGAGCCAGACTATTTTGGGCACACATAACTCTCTTAAGCAATTGCTATCAGCACCGGCGGCGGCAACACCTAAGAAAGTCCCTAAGAAGAGGGGCCGCAAACCCAAACGGCAACAAAATGCACCAGATCTGCCTATGAATACGGCATCAACACCAATATCTCGACTAGAGCAAGCTACAGCGTTACTTGATCTGCCCAACTCAGCGAAGCGGTCATCCATCAAGTTCGATGACATAGATGAGCAGCCTGCTCCTAAAAAGAGAGGTCGCGGCCGTCCGAGGAAAAATCCACTCCCAGTTGATACTCCCCAGATTCTTCCGCGTCGGAAAGTGTCAAAAGCACCCCGTCAAATTAAAAAGGCCCCTTCGCGAGTAACAGCGTCCGTATTTGCAGATGACTCGGACAGCTTTGTTGAGCAGGTTTCTCACCATACGCTAGATCTTGCAGATGGTCCTTCTGATGGACCAGCAAAAAGACGCACATCGTATAATAACCGTGGAAAGAGAGTTCTGTCGGTTGGGAATGGATATGAGGGCAAACCGCATAGTGAAGTTCCTGAATCGGAGTACTACAAAATGCTTGACTCCGACATGCCCGAACCGAGTCGTATGCGTCAGCTTCTTGTCTGGTGTTTTCGCAAAAAACTAGAGAGTGATAACGACGGTGAAGGTGGTCTGGACGGGGTATCTGATACCGCACGAGGCATTTCAAAGATAATAAAACAAGAACTATTGGATGACTTGGTTGACGGGGCAATATCTACAAGCTGGTATAGTCGTGGACAACAGTCGGACACAGAAGTGTCTGGCAAAAGGATCATCCGACCAAATCCACTTAATGAATCTAACAAGGAGAGCATGGAAATATTTACACGCAAGCTCCGACAACTCGAAGGTGAGCAAGATACATGGCGCCATGCGTTTGAGCGCAGTGTGGAGCCTCTCAAGAATCTTGTCGTTCGTTCAGACGGAGAAGACCGCGAAACTTTAGCTGAATACCTAGACAAGCCTGGTACACGCGAGATGGTCACTGAAGTTCTACGTAACCAGTTGATTCAGCGACTTGAAAATAACAGAGCAGCGGCGCAGGCAAGTGTGAAAGACGAACTTCAGCCGGCAGTGGATGGACTCTACCATTTGCTGCATCGCATGAAGCTGGGTGTAGAGCTCGTTGGGCGAGTTGAACGCGAACGACTCTCTTCACAGGTGGCACATATGGTGCGGAGGTATATGGATAGAGCACGTGGACGTGGTGTAACACCACTTAGTAGCAGGGATCTTTTGCGGGGCATTCTGCGGATGGATGCACCTGAAAGGTGATGTATAATATGTAAGTATAGTGTAATATAGGGCCGCGGCCGATCAAAAAAAAAAAAAAATGAGATTGTGAATAGAGAAAGACGAAATTGGTGCAACGGCTGAATATTTGAAGACAACACAAGGAAACTCTGGTTATGTTTACGATGCACAAAAACGTGGAATTCAATGGCCTTTACCAAAAGAAATTAAACGCGAGAGGACTTCATAGAAAGAAGGTAATGAACTAAAACTGGTTGCTCTGTTAAAAGGGTAATTAAGCTTGTCTCATCTTAGAATTCTTGTTGCGCCATGACTCTGTCTTTCTTTGTGGTCTGGCTACATAATGTCTAAAGTAGGAGATAAAATGGGCCCATTGAGTACCAATAGCTGAGACAAACTTGAGCACTCAACAGTGATTAAAATGCTATAGCTGAGGAAGAACTTCGGTCAATCTAACAGCTAAGACATCAAGCGTCAAGCGGAAGAGCCAATTAATCTTAAACAAGAGGAAAGAAACGAAAACACACAAAAAAGAAATGAACAAGTAAACAGTTCTAAAATTGGTAACCAAAAGCAGAAAAGGGGCCCCATACACAACAGTCGCTTAAATTGTCGTTGAGTACAGCAAATTGCAAACGTTAAAGCCAAAGTGGGCCGTTTCCGGGTCGGTTTGGAACGAAAACCCAACGTCGAAACTAATGCGGAGAATGTTCGCGGAGTCGCACCGAAATGCGGAGAGCAAACAAGACAGCAAGATACGAATAAAACAAATAGGAGAATCAATCGGGCGAGCACAAAGGAAAACAAAGAGTTAAGACACATGGGCTACCCAGAAACGAAAGCGAAAGAAAGAAAGTCTAGACTGAGCGAAAGCACGACGGAAAACGGAAGGATTTTCGCTGCAACAATCGTTCCGAGAATGGTGCCAAGGGACTGCTGCGTCACTTAAAGCCAGAAGAAGTAACCCACACAACGTAAGCTATGTGTACTGAAAGAGCAAAAAGAAAGAAGGAAAAAAAAACTTAGTATGAACCTTCAGCCCTATTTGCTTTGTCACCTCTTCCAACTTGGGCTTCACTCACCCTTCAGCATTCAAATCTTCTTCAACTGGAACACCATGCCAGCTAGCAACCTTCTCCGCAAGTAACGACACCCAAGCCTCCGCAGGTGTTATGTTCCGGCCGGGCACGCGCGCTCGAAACCATGCGCAGGGCAAAAGTTGGTGGGCGCGCACCCACTTGTCTTCTTCCCATGGTATAAAACAAACGCCATTCGGCGACATGCAGCGGCTCGGAAAATCTCGCAAATCTCGCAGAATACGAATGTTGGTCACCCTGCTTGTGTTGTTTGCGCTTGTCTGGCTTCTTGGCCTCCTGGCAGCGTTTCCCGTCAAGGAAAGCGTTGTAAGTGCAACTGGTCACGGCGCGGCCCAAACACTGGGCGCGAAAGCTGCTAGCGACAGCAAGAACGAAGACAGCCGCAGCAGCGGCAAAGATGGCAATAACAACAATAACAATAACAACAATAACAACAATAACAGCAATAACAGCCACAAAAGCGGCGCCAAATACAATGAGGGCACTAGCAGCAACGACAAGGCTAGCGGAGGTGAGCTCCAAAGCGCGCTTTTCGCACCTGTTCAATACGCCGAAGGTGCATTTTACGACGAGGCCAGCCACGTCTTGGGCACTAGTAACTTCCCCATTGCTAACCAGTACCAGAGACAGCCATATGTCAGCAACGGATATTTGGGCAGTCGCGTGCCCAGTGTGGGGCACGGATTTGCCTATGATACACTTACGCCTGAGGGCGCGCCAGATGATATCTCCAACGGGTGGCCCTTATTCAACCCACGATACGCAGGCGCATTTGTGGCGGGCTTTTTCGATTTGCAGCCTTCCACAAATGGCACAAATTTCCCCTGGCTCCTCCAGTATGGCGGCGAGAGTGTGGTGGCCGCTGTGCCCCAGTGGACAACCCTCATGTTGGCTGCGAACGGATCGCACTTGGACCCGCAGCACCCTTCGGGCGTCTCGAGCTACCTGCAAAACTTGTCTATGGCCGACGGTACTGTTCGCACCGCCTACGAATGGCGCGCGCTCAATGTGCATTATGACGTTTGGGCGCACCGCACAGAGCCGAGTCTTGGGATCGTGAGAGTTTCGGTCACAAGCGGTGCTGATTCTCCTGTCCAACTCCAAGTTGTCGACCTGTTGGACTTTGCAACTGCACAGCGGTGCGAATTGGACCATGTGGGAGTCGATAATGATGCCGTCTATATGATGTACAGGCCACAAGGTGCCGAGGCATATGGTGCGACATACTCCATAGTGGAGGTGGAAGAAGCTTACAACGAGACTAACGTTGACAAAAATACCAATGCAAAAGGGAATGACGCCAAAGGCGAAGGAAACAACAAAATCAAGAGAGACGTGAGCCAAAGTGGCATTGGTGCTGGCATTGGTGCTCACGTTAGTACCGACGGCGACAAAGACGATAACAAATCCGAGACTAAAATTGAATCTACCTTTTGTGTCTTTGCCAACTCTTATGCTCAATCTAACCAGTCCGTTTCTCATACCGTCTCGCTCACTCTTTTACCCGGTCAGTCTATCATTTTGACTAAATATGTGGGTGTTGTCTCATCAGATATTGATCCAGACCTCACTCTGGCCGACGCAGTTTTGGAACGCGCTCGCCAAGTTGCCCGTACTCATGCCGGCAACTATGACACCGCTCGTTCCTCGCACGTCAGCGCCTGGAAAGACCTCCATCGCGCCCCTGCTTTCCCCGATGACCCTCTTCTCTCGTTGGCAGCGCGCGCCTCAGTGTTCCATCTCGCCGCTAATACCAGAGCGAACGCCACAGGCTTGACTGCTGCGTTGGGTGTCACTGGCCTTTCTTCGGACTCCTACGGTGGTATGGTATTTTGGGACACAGACTTGTGGATTCTGCATGGCTTGTTGCCCTTCCACCCTCTTCATGCCAAGAGTTTGGTCAACTACCGTATGCATACACGGAAACAAGCACTCGACAACATCCATAGTCCACTGGCGCCGCATGACGGTTTCTCTGGTGCTGTATATCCCTGGACCAGTGGGCGCTATGGTAATTGCACTGGAACTGGGCCTTGCTTCGACTATGAGTACCACATCAATGCTGCGGTGGCTATGGCCGCGTGGCAGGTTTACCTCAGTGGTGCTGGTGATGAAACATACCTCTTAGAAGTTACTCGTCCACTTGTACGAGATGCGGCTCGCTTCCTCTCCAGCTATGCTGTTTACAATGGCTCCCTACAAATGTATACCACAAGCAATTTGACAGATCCAGACGAGTACGCCAACCACATTGACAATGGTGCATACACTAACGCAGCTATTCTGGCAACGACGCGTTGGGCCCTTTCTATTGCCCGTCACCTTGCTGACAATGATACTGATCTCTACGAGTCTGTGCCAGGTAATGTGTTCTTGCCACGATCTTCACATGATCTGCTGGTGGTGTTGGAATACTCAGGCATGAATTCATCAGTTGAAATCAAGCAGGCTGACGTGGTAATGTTAACCTATCCATTGGACAATGAACTCATTACCGAACGTGAGGCACTTGCGAACTTGGACTACTATGCGGCGAAACAACTGAGTGTAGGACCGGCCATGACCTACCCTATATTTTCTGCTGTGGCCAATGCTGTCCTGCAAACGGGCTGTGCTGCACTGTCCTATTTGCAAAATGCTGTTCAGCCGTTACGTTACGAGGACATTACCGGTAAAGAGACTGAACAGAATTTTGATACGTTTCGTGACAATGCGTGGGCACCCATCCAGCGTTTCCGTTCATGACAGCTCATGGTGGACTTCTCCAGGCTGTTGTAAGTGGTATCTTGGGCCTCCGGTTCGATTTCCGTGCAGAATCTGGTCGTATTGAGCGCTTTTTGCGTTTGGATCCTGTGTTCTCACCTAAGTTGCCAAACGGTGTCTTCTTTGATACTATTTACTACATGAACCGTACGTTGTCGATGAATCTAACAGAGGACGGACTCACTGTTCGTGACTTGGGGCCTGCTCTGTTCTCACCACTGGTTACAAATGGTACTGCCATCTCTATCGTTTCGGGAACTGGTTCCGCTGAAAAGTCCTTTGAGCTTTCAAATGGTGGTGAAGTGGTTATTCCCGTGCGCCGCACACAACCATTATACGCCGATAGTTTAACGGAATGTGGCAAAGCACTGTTCACGAACATCACTGCTAGTGCTTACGGTGACATTGCTGATCTGATGAATGATGGTGCCAACGCCACCCATTGGCAGGCACAAACAGCTAACGTCACTAAAATTTTGGTCGATTTGAAGGCGCCTTCTGAACTAACTCACGCAGTGTTCAACTGGGGAGACAGACCTCCACGCCACTTGCTGGTTCTTGCAATGAACTCATCTGAGTACTCGCTGACTGAGGAAGTTTTGGCGAACGTGGACTTCGGCAATTCTCTTTACGAAAAGTACTCATATGCTTCGAGGGGTCGTCTAGTGGCGCAGGACGCTCTATTCACCCAAATATACTCGACTGACGTAGACATTTCCGAACCTTTTGATGCAGTCGAAGCTCTGAAGGTAGTTGTACCCACTCGTTTCAATGTCACTACCTTTGATCTTACTGCAAATTATGAACCTCGTTTTGTGTTGGTCGAATTCGATGGTGTACATGATGATCAGGATGTGGGTGCCAAGATTTGTGAGGCGGTCTTTTTCTAACCTTTCATGAACATTCTATAGAAGTAGAATAAAATTAAACGATTGATTTTGAATCACAGAAATCGTGATGTTTTTGTCAAGCTATCTCTCAAATAATAAGATTAAAGGCAGATTTCATTTTGAAGTTGCCTTCTTAAGAAGTGCGCTCTTTGAATTACATTATAACGTATAATATGGATTCCATTTATTACGTAAGGCTATACGTCCATTCCAGCCGTTTTGATATATGGGGAATTTGATTAGACGTCGAATGCCTCTGCCATTGTGACTAAACGCTTCACGCCGGTGTGCCAGTCGCCAACCTCAGATCCATGTTGGGCGAGAATGTCATTACTGATTTCAGTTGCTTTAGCGTAGTCCTTCGCAGTTAAAGCCTCTACCACCATGTTCAATAAGTTCACGGCACCAGGCGACAAGCTGCGCTTGTTCAAAATATCAAACAAGATGTTGAGACGCTTATCCATGTCCGCAACATGCTTGCTATACTTAGCTGGTGCTGCAGGCTTGATGGACTCCATTATCCTGGTGAAGCCAACAAAAATGGGTTGGGATTCTGGGGGAATTTGCGAGCGGTCACCATGACTCACAGAAACCTTCCGAGAAGGAGGTTGACTTGGGTTAGGTGTCTGAACAGGTTGTGGCTGAGCCGGGGGCTGTCTCACAGGTGGTGCAGAAGGCTGTCTCATGGGAGGTGCTGAAGGCTGTCTCATTGGAGGTGCTGAAGGTTGTCTCATGGGAGGTGCGGAATGCTTTGGAGGGGCGGATGGGTGTCTCATTGGGGGAGCATGAGGCTGTGGCAGCGCCAACGCACCTGCTGGCGCCAAAGCACCAGTTGGGGCCAAAACTCCCGTTGGAGCGACGGAACCAGTTGGACCTGACGCTGGTGGTGGTGGTGGTGGTGCTGCTGCTGCTGCAGATTGTGGGGGAGCTACCAGTCCAGTTGGTGGGGCCGATTTGATTGGCGGTGCCAGAGGAGAATTTCTAGGTGGGGCCAGTTGCCCTGCACGGCTCAAACTGAGGTTAGAAGGTGTGCGAGAATGGCCAAGGTTATGCGCTGGGGGCGGTAAGACACCAAGAGGTGGAGTGCTCACAGCTGCCGGTGGTGCGTAAGGGTTTGGAGCAGGCTGCACAGCCGAATGAGCCGGACTAGCCGGTCCTGGAGCGAAATTGTTGCGTGGTGGAGGAGCATACGACAATTTAGGTGTAGCCACCCTTGGTGGAGGGGCGTATGGGTTGCGAGGTGCAGAGGACGCAGGAGGAGTTGCCATTGTTTGAGAAGGTGGAGTGTTCGCTGTAGGTGCATTATTGGCAGAAGGTGGCGGCGCATACTTCGAAGGTGGTTGCAGAGCAGCACGCGACTGAGCGGGCAGAACAGCAGACACCGAGCGCGACGCAGTACGTGACACCAGCTTGGGCGGTGGAGGCATCAAAGGAGATGCTTGCACTTTTGGAGCGACAGGAGGGGCAGGAGATGGAGGTGCGACCACAGGAGGAGCAGCGCGACGTGCAGCCTTCGGTTTGAATGCGTCAGGCAAGTCATTCCAGCCATCTGTCTCCACCTTGTAGCGTTGGGGCGCTGTTGTAGGTGGGGGTGGTACGGCTGATGTCGCTGTGGGAGTTAAGGGTGCTCCTGGAGTAAATGGAGCTGCTGGCGCAGCTGGGGTGTAGGCGTTATGTGTAGCCTTCGGTGGCACATAGCTGGAAGTAGCGTTAGCGGGTGTGAAGCCCGCAGTCGCATTACCAGGAGCAAATCCTGAGGTACCGTTGACAGGAGTGAAGCCTGACGTCGAATTTTCCGGTGTCAATCCAGGTGTAGGATTTACTGGCGCTGATCCCTTGTTGTCAGCGTTAGCTGGGGCATATGGATTAGACCTCAAGTTAGCTGGGACAGAACTTCTGCGAGTCTCCTGTGGGGCGGCATACCGTGCACGTGGTTTGCGGTGGGTCTGACTTTGAGCCGTGACAGGTTGAGTAAGTGGAACCAGTGGAGCTAGCGTCTGTCCAGTAGGAATGGTGGGGAGAGTAGGAGCATGCGACGATCTGCGCGTGTCAGGCGTGTATGATACTCGGCGTGCCGAATCTGCACCAGGTGTGCTGCGACGAGCACTAGGGTGAACTTGGCGCAGACCCGAAGCGCTCAGAGTAGCGTTGGTTGGATGGACATTCTTACCCATTGCTGTAGCAATCCTCTCTCTTTCAGCACGCAGAACTTCTTCAGGCAAAAGTTCCAAGAACCGGCTCGCCACTTCAAAGTGGCCACCGGCCGTAGACATGTTGGCAAACTCCATAACTGCCTTGCACACTGGAGCTGCAGCAGGACCTTCAAGTGGACCATTTATGTGCGAAAGACCACGATAAACAAAAAGCTTCTCAGCAAACAGACTCAACGCAGCGTAGCGTGCGTCGTACGCTGATGTCACGCTGGAGTCCGGTGAAGCCAAGAGTTGCTTTTCTAAAGCAGGCAATCCATCAAGCCAGAGCGACGCAGCCTTATCTACGGCCCCACCAACTAAGTAGCACGCAAGCGCATTCTCGCGTGCACCAGCAGAGTGCAGAGTAAAAAGACGGTCACCCAATTCAACCATTTTAGGGCCAAACTCATCATCAGCGCAGAAGGAAGTAATACCCAAAGCTATCTCACGCCAATCTGCAAGGTCTGCGTTGGTCACCATATCAATCACATCATGAGCAGATGCAGCATAAATCAAGCGAGCTGCAACATCTGAGGCGTTCTCGCGAAGAAAGTGGCCGCGCACCAAATCCTTGACATGTGGACCCTGGTCTAAAGCCAACGCAAATGCATGCTGGATTTTTCCTTCAGCTAAGCACATTTTCACCGCCTCCTCAAGCTTGTTTGCGAGAATGAGGCGTGCCAACCGTGCGTCAGCATCGGCAATGCGGAATTCGCCTGATGGCGCATAGCTTTGAGGTGTTGCAAGATGCGAGAAGAAGTCACCATCGCCCTCGATATCGGCTCCATTAGCCTTTTCTGATTCAGTGTTTGCGCCATTGGATTCCTGTACGCCATTGGATTTCTCACCATTAGCCTTTTCTTCATTGTCTTGAGCACTTTTGAAAAAGTTCTGTCTCTTTTCTGCCCATTGGCGCAAAAGCTCCCAGTCAGCAGCATCTGCCTGCTCTCTTTGAACAGTAAGAAGCGACTGAGGATCGTCTGTCAGTACAGCTTGGGTCAATTGCGTCACGTCAAGCGTTGCTTCAGCAAAAGTTTGCACTGATACTGTGCTACGGCCATTTTCTGTACGAACTGCCACAAGTTTGGAACCAAAACCAAATGTGGCCAGGCATGGCCGTTGCATCCAGCGTGGTGCCTGAATGACATCAAAGACCGGTCTGCTAGTGTCAGCTGCAGCGACACTCAGCCAAAAGTCTGTATCGTCGGTACGTACAGGCTCTGCTGGTGGCGTAGTGTCATGCAATGACTGTACCACAATCTTGCCGTCAAACAGGGCACATGCAAGCACATCGGGAGCATGGGGCGCAAACCGAGCCAAAAAGGTCCAGTTTGCAGCTGAGGCATACTCGCCAATTTTCACGCCAGTTTCTGGATTCCACAAGCGCGTTGTGTCCTTTCCACTCGCAAGAAGCAAACTTGGGTCTTGTGCGCACCAGTCGACAGACAATACGCCCTTTGCAGCAGGTAAAACGTGTGCGGGCTCCGAGGTATTGCGCAAGTCCCACACCAAGACGGCTGCGCACGAATCGCTCTGGCTAGCAGTCGCCAAGCGGGTCAGCTGCTGTGGATGCCAAGCCACGGCAGAAAAATCGGCGTGGCCCAGGCCCGAGTTGTATGACAAGTGCAAAACTTCACGCTTGGCTTTTAAGTCCCAGATACTTGTGTGGCCGCTGCTGGTGGAAGCCAAAATGTGGCTGACAGCCTTGTTCCATGCAAGAGAAGTCACATCGTCGGCAGGCGAAACAGCGCGGCCAGGCGAAAAGGGTTCGGCAAAAGTGCGGACGTCCCACACGTAGATCTCGCCGCGTGGGCCACCTGACGCCAAAACATGCGGCTGGTGTGCATTGAACTGCAAACAGCGCACGGCACCGGTGTGTTTTTCCAGTCGGTGGAGTAACGCGGCTGCCAAAGGCTGGCCCGCAACAAGTTTGGCCGCGTCCCAGAACTCGAGGGCACCCGATTCAAGTGCACCAACAATCACACCATGAGGGTGGCCGTCGCAAGGCCTCAGCCATGCCAAGGCATGAAACTTGGTGTCAAGCTGAGCAGAAAAAAGTGGTTTTCCCGCGTGCGGGCCGAAAATGTTCCAGATCTCAAGACTGGCCGCAGCAGAAAAGTCGAGGTCGACAGCGCCAGCAACAGACGCTGTGGCCAATAGCGGGAGAGCATCGTGACTCCACGCAAAGGTGGAAGTGCGCCCGATCTCTTGGATCTTCATGGAAAATGGGGTGAAGAGAAAAGAGGAGGTCGGGGAGGGTTGGTTAGGTTAGGGTCGTTGCGCTTGGAATTGTGCTTTGTGGCTCTATTCTGCAGTGTCCGGGTTGGTTTTTTCGGTTCTTTGCCGGATATTTTGGTACTTGCCGCTTTCTTTTCTGTGCTGGTTCGGCACTTTTCAGTGGGTCAAGTAAGCGCTAGTGGTGTTTCGTGGTTTTTCGGTGGTTGATTTTGGCCAACGCACTGGACTGCAGGTAGTCTAACCGTCGTTTTGGGTCACCGTAGCCACTAGTGATAAAAGCGACTCGACACGAAGATGAGCCAATAGCTCTTTTGCTTGGTCTTCCGTAACTTCACGTTCCGGTTTGCCTCTTCTTCGACCTTAGTGTTATGGCAAAAGCAGCATCTCGTGTCCTTTCTGATATTTAGGTGCAGTACTTGCTTCTGGACCGACACATTTCGCTGGTGGAGTCGCGTAATAAAAACGGACAATACAGAGGCATGCGTATCAAGTCTAAGTTTTCCAATAACTCTTTTTTGTTCTTTTTCTTTGCTGTGCATTCTAGCTGAATAGGATCTTCCTATGTTATACCTACATTATATGTATGTATTTCATCCGCTTTTCCATTATCGTGTTCCCGTAGAATCTTTGGCGCGGGCTTATTTATACCCGGATACCTGAGGCAGAACGCCAAATATCAGCGAGATATGACATTGTGCACAAATGTAAATTAGAACAGAGCAAACATTCAAGTCTGAGTTTTTCACGGCACTTAATTTCGTGGAGAAGACCATTCAATATATTTTTTTCGTTCGTATGGTAAATATTTGTCCGTAAACTGAGTTTTGCGCAGAAACCATTACTTGGACCGTAAATTACGAACTGGTGCGTCTTTTACACCTTAAAGATCTTCCAACCAATATAATTTTCGAAGATCAAAAAATCAATTTCAATGGTTGAACTTAAGAAAAAAAGATTTCCTATATGGAAACGATTCCGGAAATTGGCCTTCTTCAGTAAAAATTTCGTGCCTCAGCAGTGCAAATGTCAGTCTACCTTTATTAGCATTACTACACCTTCGGAAGTTGCTCAGGCGTTTTGCATGACACAGAAATTATCCATTATCTTTACGTTGATGCTGCCGAGTATTAATGATCGCCTATGGTTATTGTAATCCTTAATGCATTCACAAAAGCATTGCCATGTTTTGATTACTTTTACTACTACAGTATATCGCAGAGTAAACCCTTTAGCGCATAACATCGGAGACTCATGATGATAGCGTCTGCAAAAAAAGCACACTACAACAGACTTGACGAATTGAGTGATGTTTTCGCTCATCTCTATAGCTTATATAGTTGGATTGCCATAAAAAAAAAAAAAAAAAATTAGAAGACACAGTTTCGTTTATTCCTGAGTATGCTCCTCTTTCTCCTATGAGGTCCATTGCGCGCGCCTCACTACTACTACATCTTCTTATGCCTAAAAGACTTCGAACGATCCTTCGCTTTGTCAAACCTCTGCTTCGGGCTTATGTTCTCGCCTACCTCTATATAGTTGTTCCCAAGATAGTCGCAATTGTTGCGCAGCTGGCTCGAAAACATGAATATGACCAACTATTGCCGCGAGTTATCGCTGTGATGCGAAGGGCTTTAGGGCGAGACAAGTTTCCTGCGCTCGCTGGGCGTCTTCTTCTCTTCATGAATGTGATGGAGGCAGCACACTCACAAGCGTTTGGAAACAATGGACTTGCGCTGCGCTACGGCAAACTCAAGATTGCCAATAGTGCATACGCTAACTCAACTTTGGACTCCCTGAGACTTACAGCCACAACAAGGGAAACTGCAAAGCACGCTATCCTGAACACGTCGAAAGTTGCTAAATCGCGCGCTGCTAAAAGCCCCTTGGCCCCTGGACTTCATAATTTGCAAACGTCTGCGCGTTCCCTGTCTCTGTGGCCCGTGTTTGCTGCAGCTTTGGCAGCCTCGCTCTGCGCGATGAGACCGTACCAAAAAGCGCGCGCCGGGCGCGGGTCGCTCGACTTGACACTCTTGGTGGCGACGCGCGCGGCTGATACGCTTTTGGCGCGTGCGCTCCGAGGCTGCAAAGCGGCTTCTGTCGCCGACCCTGCTCTATTTGCAGCCCTGTCGTTTTTCATCATGTATGCATGGTTTTACCACCCGGAGCGCCTACCACACTCGTACCGCTCGTGGATCACTCGCGCCGCTGATATGGACATCGAACTACTAACTCTTTTACGCCACATGCGCACCGGCCGCGCGGTGTATGGTCGAGAAGGACCTGAGGCACATGTACTTGATGACTATTGCCGCCGCTATGGCCAGGACCCAGTACGTGGCCTGACGGCGAAAAACGTTCCCGTTGACTGCGAGGTGGTACACGCCTTCCGCACCCGCAGCTGCGAGGTTCATGCATTGTATCGTTTCTGGCGCGGCTTTGTTTTCGCGCTCAAGCTTTATGGCGGCATAAATGCTGTCATGTTCGTCGCTACAATGCGCCGCCGCCCCACTTGGCGCGCCCTCATGCGCGCCGCATCTCTGGCGGTGAGACTGTCATGTTTCTTGGGCCTGTTCATTGCGCTCTGCTGGTACGGTGTGTGTTTGGCGCGGCGCCGGGTACTTCCAAAGTTGTTCCCAAATGTTCATCCGCAATATTGGGATCGTACGCCGTGTGTAATGAGCGGTTCCCTCCTCTGCGGGCTCAGCTGTTTGGTTGAAACGCCGACGCGGCGGCGTGAATTGGCATTGTTTGTGGCGCCTCGCGCTTTGGGCACCCTAGTACTGCCCGAGCCAACACCGGCTCTGTTGCGTACGGAGAGACTTATTTTTGCTGTCAGCATGGCAGCATTGGTGACTTGCTCGAGACGAGACCCGGATCTGGTGCGGGGTTTTTTCGGTCGTGGTCTTGCTGCAGTGTTTGCACGGTGATCATACTAATCAAGTTTTGAGATACTTTTGCTCAAATATAATGCCATGTTCGAATAAGCACGCTTGGAGACTCTCCCACTGGATCCTTTTTGTCTCAAAAAAAAAAAAAAAAAAGAAAAAAAAAAAGAAGCCAACTGTTCAATGGTGAGATATCATCTCTCTTTATTTGAAGTCCAAACTGACGTTCGATCACACCACGTTAGAGTTTAATCGAGACGGAGATTTACAGTGAGAGTGGCGGCCGGCCGCCAAAAGAAAAATCGTCCCATCAACTTACAATGTTACGAACTAATTTCTTGATACAACTAATACAATACTTACGCATTTATGCATCGTCTCAATTTTCGCGCCATTGATGTGGGTTTTCAAAGAACGTTAATTGTGTAGAGGTGAGTGAGAGCAGTAGACGAAATCTCGTAACCAAAAAACTAGCTAGTTTCTAGTGGTCGCTTTAGCTTTAGAATGTTTGGCTAAGTTGTATAAAAGCATATTTTGTCGTATTGTACATTTTTGTTTGACATTTTTTGAGACAGAAGAGGAAAGACAGGAAGAGACTGACAAAGATGCGAATGAGGCTATCTCAACTTAGCCAACATTTTCATTGAAATCCTTTATTTTCATTTGTTCGACTTTGTTTGTTTTAAAAAAATTAACTTACTACAATTCCCTCATCTCTTCTAGCTTCAGGCCCAAGCTCGGTTTAGAGGTACCCTCTTTCTACACACACCAAAATCGTGTTTCAAGCTCGCGCTTTTCGCTTTGGCTTAAAACACAATGCAATGTTAGATGACACAGACGACGATGACAATACATTAGACATTCTGGCTCTGGTTCTGGCTTCGGTGTCCAACGAACACACAATACTATATAGAGCATGCCATCTTCGAAATAACAGAACGCTTGAACTTATATTCTATGTGGTCGCTGGACTTTGCGACCCGCTGACCCAGCCTGGAGAAACCGATGAGATGGTCTTGAGTATTGACTGTTTGGCAGACTTGGTAATGGCCTTATCATACAGAGTGCTTCTAGCTGAAGAAAGTGGGAAGAAGGAAGCCAAGAATTCCAAAAATGCTCATGCAAATAATGCAAACGATATTAACGATGCTAAAGATCTTGACGATTTCAAAGACTCCAACGACCGTGACGACGCGAAACGTGTCAACGGCAACCTGGTTAAAGATGCAAGTGAAACAGCTGAAGCGAAAGTCTCCTCTGATGGACCAGCTGACGAAGCGGTCAGCGATCAAAATCCAAAAGTTGAATCCAACACAAATGATTCAAGTACCACTATAGACCTAACCCCCACACACGACCAGAGCGCAGCCGTGGCGCTGCTTCGCTTTACGCTATCGCTTAGGCTCTTTGAGATTCTCGAGGCGGCGCAAAAAGTGCTTCGTGCAGATGATGAGCTTCGTGTGCGCTACCTCCAGAACGATAAAGAGCAGCTTGACGAGTTGAGCTCTTTTTGGCTTCCGCAGGTCGGCGATAGTGATGCGAAAATCCTCTACTACATGTGCAGCGTCATAATCTTTGTCTTGTACAAGCTTTTTCCCAGCAAACCTTACAATGTGGCTTTGAACCCGTACACAGATTACTTTCTCCGCTTATGGAAAACGCACACGAGCATAGTTGCATTGGCATTGGAAATGGACCGGGAGTTGGAAGAGGAAGCATGGTCTGTCCAAGGAGAGTACTTTGACACGCCAGAAAATGTCAAGCGAGCGCTTCTTGGGCTGAGCGCCATTCGTACAGTTTTAGCATATGTTCTCAACCAGGCACTGCCGCCGGTCCATGATGACAATGGACAGAAGAAAAATAGGGAACACGACTTGAAAAACCTCCCCATGCTTGATTTTTTCCATCCTCTTTCGCGTACAGCGCGTCATTGCGGCGCTTTGGTTGCCGACGAAAGATTATGCATGGTCGTTCTGCTTATACTTGGGTCCAGGCAACTGTATTCTGTCCAACTGGAACAGGAGGTGACGTTTCCCCTCTTCGATGTTGAAGATTACAACTTCCGCCGAAACGCCCGGCAGTCATTTTTGGGTGCTGCTGGTGACCTAATTGTAGACACTTATCACGGCGACCAGTTCGATGAGGACATCAAATACGTATTTGGATACTACGATTCCGATGAGGAAAGTGAGGCGGCGCTGGAAATGGAAGACGTGGCTATGGCACTTCGCACAAAGAATGGGATAGAGTTTGACGATAATGGCCGTGATTGGCGAGATTGTGTCAGAGGGGAAAACGTCGAGTTTACCGAAGAATTCTTGGAGCTTGATGCGCGGTATAATGCGCTCGTGGAGAAAAGCAGCTCTAACGATTTCATTGGCACGTGGGACGACGTAAAGAAAGCGTTGGAGTTTTTGGAACAGCTAGATATGGAAAACTCAGCAACTTTCTTAGAGAAAATGGGGCAGGTCTACGCCAACACGATTGCCAAGGCTATCAAAGACGAGGACACAGAAACTGACTGCGACATAAACCCAGATAAGCTCTACAAATTCTTTGTCTCGCCTGCACCAGCCATGTTTCTAGACGGAACACACCAGCGGAAAACATATCTTATTCAACTTCGAAGGGTAACCAATTTCGAGCTTGTGCTTGTCAACAACCCTACGATCGCATTTTCCATGCTTGATGAGCTTTTTATGTGTCCTGGCCTTCGACGTTCTCTTATCTGGTACTTGACGCATGGAATCAACCTCCACATGTCACTCATCAATTATATATACGAGTTGGCTGTTGGGCTTCGTGGAAACAATCCAGACAGACCATCGAACCTTCGCTTCTCACGAAAAGGGGGGCTGTTGGTATTGTCCCCAATCGAGCGGCTGATGCTATTGCATGAGTTCTTTATGAGTGCGAGTTGCTGGCTATTCCAAGGGGAGTTTGACAGCTCTACAGAACTCCCTGAACTGCGGGCAAAAAAGTTGGTGAGCTACATGTGTTTGATGATTCTGATGCTCATAAGCCGTAAAGTCATTGTCTTTGATCGGTCTGACGCAGATTTTTTTGAAGACTATTCGCAAGACCTTCAGGTTCTCTTATTCCCTTGGATAGGCAAAGTTCCTGAGGCACGGGAGTTGTTCTTTTCCATTAAGAAGCAAATGTATCCAAGCGAACCGGCGCAAATTGAAAATCTGACCGAACCAGCAGAACGCCCAAATAATATCCATGAGGCCTTGGAGGACTTGGAAAAACTCTCAGATAAAGAAATTTACAAGTACGCAGTCACTGACAAGGCCATGGATGTTTTCACGGATTTTGCTCGCCGCATCTTTTACCATATTTGTAAACAGCACAACATAACCATCAAAGAAAGCGACTTCAATGTTACAACCCTGGCAAACGACGACTTTGCACTCTTTTTGGCAAACTACAACCAATTGGCTCGATGCAATCATTTTGTGCTTCTTCTTTTCGATCTTCTCAGACCAGAAGTCATTGGAGATCGACCAGGGAGAGAAGAGGAAGAGGACGAAGGAGAAGAGGACACGAGGGATCATGTTGTCGATTCGGAATTCAATGATGAGTTTCTCAACGGAGAAGGCCAATTCCAAGAAAGGATAAGCGTGGAGAAGAAGAAAAAGACGAAAAAGAAAAAGAGTAAGAAGAAGAAGAAGTAAAGGAAATCGTTTCGAATGCTGATAGAATACTCATGAGATGACAAGAGGAAGTTTTGATGTTCTTTAGTACGCCAATGAAGCTCGTTGTCTCGAAAGAGTCATAATGTTGAGATTCCCTTTAAGCGCATACATGCACCCGTGCCGCCCGGTCTTGCTCACAGCTTTCCTATCGTGGACTAATTTGAATCCAGGCTAATGTTTTCCCGTGCTACTGCTGTTTTCAAAATGTCCCAAAGAACTCTCATTACCCCAGTCAAGACTGCTGCTGCTCCACCACCTGCTGCTTCTTACTCACAGGCGATCAAGGTCAATGGCTTTATCTATGTTTCCGGCCAAATTCCGTACACCCCGGAAAACAAGCCATTATCGGAAAACCCAACAATTGCTGAACAAGCCGAACAAGTGATCCAGAATGTTTCCAACATTTTGGAGGCTTCTAACTCCTCGTTGAACCACATTGTCAAGGCCAACATTTTCTTGACCGACATGAAGAAGCAATTTGGTGAGTTCAACGGTGTGTACGCCAAATACTTCAACGAACACAAGCCAGCTAGATCCTGTGTTGCAGTCAAGGAATTGCCATTGGGCGTGGACTTAGAGATGGAGGTTGTTGCTGTTGAAAAAGATTCGAACAGATTGTGAAAAGTCACTTGTCTAGCAGAATAGAAAGCTTCTTTCATTTGCAAAAAACAAGTAGAACATGTAGACATTGTGGATCAGTGGACACTTTAACAGTACAAAGTACCATGAGTCTTGTCGCATGAAGCTTGCGGAGAATACTCTCTGTGGCCAAGGACTATAATATCCAAAGATCAATTTGGTATCAGCAAGTCAACCATTTCATGATTGAACAATGGCCAAAAAAACTGAAGTTGAATAGCCATGTGTAACTTTCATGTTTTTAAGAGCATGACGTATCGGTAATTGAATAGGAGATTGCATATCTCCCCTTTTTGATGACCGTACAGATAGTTAGTATGTGCGGGCCTTGATTAGATACTTTCCGAATAGGCGGATCAGCGTCTCCTTCTTCGCTGTTGTAGCTAAAAGTCTAATTTCGCCGTCATCTGTAACTTCAATATATAACAAAGAATAATGTCCCTTTCAGGTTGTACAACCGTGCCACCTACTTTGTGCTTTCACACAATCTCTCCTTCATTTTTTCTGTCCGCATAATACAGAAATTAGTTTTCTACTGATCTTACCACAAAAACTTGGCCAATATGACCCAATACCTTCTTACTTCTAACCCGCTTGTGTCGTATTTCAATGTTCTGCAATAACTGCTTTATTACTCTAAGCTTCATGAACCCAAATCAATGTAATATGGTGTATTATAGGGCTCGCGCCCTAACTATACTATTGACATCACATGATCATGATCCTGCCTCCATCGCTACTATTTCCTGCATGCACATCGCTCGCACCGGGCCTCTCGAAAAATTCTCTCTTGGTGTATTCAATATTGAAGTTTCGCCTAATCCGCTTGAATACCACAATGGCTCAACGTGTTACTTACAGAAGACAAACTCCATGTATGTTTTTCGGCTCTCCTAGGAATATTGTTATGACAAAAGAAAATGTTGAAGCAGCTTAACGAGGGCGTTTTTTCGTCAGCGAGACAAATCAAGATATGACATCCATCCAACGTCGTTCCATCCGTCAGTTTCATCATTCGGAACACATTTTCTCCAGCTTTCCAAAAGTTCTTTTGTCTCGTTTGTCTATGTTATCTGCTTCTATTTTTTTGTCATCCCCACTTGAATATATACTAACAAACCAGACAACACCAGATCCAACAAGATCAAGGTCGTCAAGACCCCAGGTGGAAAGTTGGTTGCCCAACACGTCAAGAAGCAAGCTTCTAAGGTCAAGTGTGGTGACTGTGGCAGCCAATTGCCAGGTATCTCTTCTTTGAGACCAAGACAATACGCTCAAGTTTCCAAGACCCACAAGACCGTGCAAAGAGCTTACGGCGGTTCTAGATGTGCCAACTGTGTCAAGGAGAGAATTGTCAGAGCCTTCTTGATTGAGGAACAAAAGATTGTCAAGAGAGTGTTGAAGGACCAGCAAGAGAAGGAGAAGAAGGCCGCTAAGAACTAAGCTGCCCTGTTGTACTTTATCACTTATTGCTAATACACATATTTGTATACTTGGATGTAGGCGAAGGGGAACTAGTGCTGTAGGAGTAGGGGCAGGATCTATGAATGATTTTCAACAATTGTCAAAGTCAAGACAAAAGCCATCATACAATCGGATTGTGTTCTAATGCCTCATTGTCTAGGTGCAAAGTCCTTGACTTGTGATCATTTCGTTGTTTTTGAAGGTTTCGATAACCTTACTGAGAACATGTATTCGAGAATTAAAGCTGTTTGATGAAGGAACATAATACCAAGAAAAAGTTCTATATCTTTGCATCTCTGCTCGATGCGATTTTAGATCTGATTTGGATGTCGCCTAGAGATATTCGATCCCAGCTACTGAATTAGAAAACACTTGTAACTTTGCACATGAGGGGCAATCTTCAGGTGCAGAAAACTTTCTCATGCGCCTGAGGCTAGGCAATTCATATGCTGAGTCAAAATCTGTCTTTGCATTGTTTACATTTCATGCCACTTTACTGCGATGACATATACGTCTAAATTGCTTTCTTTAATCATCCTCTGCCTTCCTTGGACCACCTAAAGTGAAGTTCCACATACAACTTCCGTGAATAGAAACATTGTGTCAACATGTTTCATTCGTGATCTTCAAGACGAACTTTCATCAAGACAACTTCATTAAGACGAACTTTCATAAAAAAAAAGGAATACGTATGTTTGGGTTGCTTGTCATTGTTCAATATACCAATGGCATGCATTATCGCGCATATGCCAAGAAGGAGGCCCAACGTTATTTCGCCGTGTTGATGTGGAAGCTTGCTCCTCCTTCTTTCATGTTTTCGCTATCCTCGAAAATATAAGGAGACTACATTAGTATCTGGTAGCATCTGTATCTGCCAGCATCGTACGAGTATCTTTACCTATCTTCTTCACATGAAGAAGGCTCTTTTTTTGTTTCTTTTGCGCGCTTTCAAGCTTCCCATCTCTATCTATTCATGGTGTTGTTTGTGCCATTTGCCAGTGCTAATGTATCTTTGACCAGGTTTTCGTTTATGCGTTCTTCTCTAAACGCATTGGCACTTTAAACGTATTGTCCGCAAAGCATATTATCAACATCGGAAGGCGGCTCCCGCTGATATCACCTGCTAGATAAGTCATTTGTCTCACCACCCATGTCATCATCAATGTACAGGATATTTATCTGGTTGAAACAAAACAAGCAAAAAACACACCTAACCAAGTCCTGCGATGATGCTGAAAATCATCCCATATAATTGCAATACCAGCACCTAAGTGAAAATGTGTCCACACAGTTCGGAACTAATTAAACCCAAAGGGGAAATCAAACAGCGGAAGGGTCCAGGAGATAAGCCTCTCCTCCGGGCGGCACGGGTGTATGGCTCCCCTGCAGCCGTTCCACATGCATCATCTGCATCCCCGTATCTGCACCGGATATAAAGGCATGTGGTTTTTCCGCCCGGGCTATGGCTAATTAAGCAAAAATAGAGATGGACACCAGCCGCTTAAACCAACTTCTTTCGAATATTTACATTCCGCCTGCAGCATCTTGCGCCAAAAAAGAGGTGCCCAACTACCACCCTTGTCTTATAGTACAAGATTCGCAGACGGATGTCAACAAGGTCAAACCATGCGGATGTGCAGATCAGTATTGTGTGAAGAACGCTCCTAGTTGGATTCCTCGTCTGTAGACGAGAGTTATCTCTAAGCGAGATATATGCAACTGTGCTTGGAATGCTACTTTCGCTGACAAGAGTAATGATGTAATTCTGGGGCTATATAATTAATGACGGAGGAATACATGGATCGATAGCGTGCACGATGTCTTTGTAGTCCCAGGCTCGTAGTTCATGCGACGGGCAGCTTACTGGCTTGCAGATTGACCGTTTCGACTCACGTACACCATTGTTGCCACACAGCAAATAAGAAAAATAGATTTCCCATGCGACAGTGAAATAATCACATGAAGCACGGATGTGAGACGGGCTCACGTAAATCTTTAGTGCCACAGGCTGCCACCAGAAATGGTACTTTCGACTCCGTCGCCTTCCTCGAGGTCGCCGTTGACAGCCTCTTCCTTGTATTTCTCCAGTTCGCTCACTTCCTTTTGTAGCGCATGGAGTTGTGATCTTGGGCCCCACATAACATATGGGTGGAACAATATAAAAATGAAACAGGAAAATGCAACTTGCAACGCGTCGAGCGACATCAAAAATGCTTCGTGAGTGATGACATATCCACGCCATCCTCCAGCCAACTCAACCAAACGGTAGATACAACGGATGTAGATGCAAACCGTGGACGCAAAAACGGCCAAAGGCACGTAGCTAAACGCCTGGCGTTGACGTACGCTTTCGAACCCACGGATGTAATGAGCATCCAATTCCGGACGCAATTGGCGACCCCTTTTGGTGTCAAAAAATAAGCCAATCAAGGTTCCGAAGGAAAAGCGTATATCCGGTGAGCAGCGGAAGTACAACTTGAACACAAACTCGAAAAACACCAATAAGAAGAAAGACATAGAGACGACCTGGAATGCAATACCTGCCACCATGACGTGGGTTCCGGGAGCCGTATCGTCCGCTTGTGATACAGCATCAGCTGCCATAGCACCACCAACCGCTTGCACAATCAATGAAATCAAGTCACATGAAACGAAAATGTAGGAAAACCATTTGGGGCGAAGAGTTGAATAACCTGGCCCATGTAGTACCAACATTTTTCCTAATATATAGTAAACTCCAGCCATTAGAAATGCGGGCGCTATAGTAAGAACAATAATTTGAACGAGGAAAGGGTTCTGCTCGCTCTCGTGGTTGACGGAAAGAGAACGCGCCAAGTAACCACCAAAACATAATCCAGTGCCAATGACAAATGTAGTACCAAAGTACCAGTATCGTGAAAAGATAGTCAAACCAAAATGGAAGACGAGAAGGAAACCAAAAACGCCAGTAAACAACGCGTTCGGGCCAAAGAGTCAACCACTCTGTGTACTGGTTCTGCTCCCATTCCAACCCTGCCAAGTCCAATGCGGCGCTACGCAAAGCAGCTGACGCAGAAGCTTTGGCGCTACTTGCAGTAGCTGTAGCCAAAACGCTCTCAGCACTGATGGCGTTAAGAGACGCGGAGGCACCTCTCAAGTATTGCGAATATGTGTAAACCGGCCCATTCTTGTGAGCAGTAGCCAAGATACTACTGGCTGAGGACAAGGTATGGAGTAACCCCGTCACGTGCGTGGGATTGATTGATGTGGAATTCACGGAAATCATCAGCGGATAGCAGAAATATGATTTACTATTCTTTGAAAAACAGGGCAGACATGGAGACTTAAAACCACCTGCGGAAACCACGGAGCACGGAAATAACAGAAAACCACTGATGCACCTACTATAATATGCAGAACAACCGGCTGAGAAAGTGCGTATTCTGGGTGGGGATTAGCTATTGTCCTGCACTGTAGCACACCAAATTGCCGCATTGAAGTGCGATTGATGCCCGATGTTTGCGAATCCGGAGATAATCTGTCATTGTTTCCCACGATAACTGATCCGTCCGGAGAATTAGCCGGTTCCGTAAAATAGAGACAAAAACAAGGCTGAGCATCTTTGATTGAACTCACATGTCTTGGCATGGTTTGGCCAGTATCTTGAACGTGTCAACAGCACCGGAGATACCTAATGTTTAAGAAAAAACAATGTCTCTGGGTATGTGCTTTGCATGCCCCTCTTGACCAAAGAAATTCTAAAGTAATCGATACGGAACATTTCACAAGGTAATACCTGATGCCGGGCACCATGAAGGATATTGCACTCTATGCCAGTGTGCGATGGACTGTGGGCCTGTGACGCCTGTATCGGACTGTGGATGAAAACGTGAAGCGAACGCGGCTTTCGAAATTGCGAGAAATGAGATTGCCCAAAATGGAAATGTCATCAGCCTCACCGCGTACTTTCTTGTATTGCATCTCAAGATTGATCTAATCCATCAACCCCATCCTTACTTCAGGCAAGAACAACTTTGGTTCTTAGTTAACGTCTTTTTCATCTTTTGATCCAACAAGCTCGCTCGTGAGCTGCTCTCGTTTCCAGAACTTGAGCAAGAGATCCCCATAGTTTTGAAGGTCTTCGACGGAAATCATGAGCTTGAAGTCCAACAATAACAAAAATTGCAATTCCAAGTAGTTGAGCTCTTCTAGAGGAAGTCCGCCAACCTTTGCGTAACGAAGGTTTTTGTAGAAAATGTCGCTGAAAAATTTGGAACTGACAGTGATTCCCAGAATGATGAGCCTGTGGATATTATATGAGTCCATTACAAATAACTGCTCAGTATCGCCTTCCTTCTTCTCGGCCTTCAAATTGTTCACACGCTTGGCTATCCGATCGAAGTACACCAAAAGAGAAAGAAAGACTTCGTTCGTTACTGGGCAGTACTTGAGCACACGTGTAAGATATGCATGGAGCGTGATTCCGGGCACGTTTGTGCCGTGGAACGCAAGTACATTCGCCAAGTACCGGTTCTTTAACTCGTCTTCTTCCTCTCCTGGCGAATCATCGTCCGAAAGGTCTTCGTCCACATGTTCGATCGTTGTAGATACTCCGCCCGAAGAGACGCCGTCAGTGAAAGATACGCGGCGCTCACGCTCTCGTTTGAGGCGCTTACGCTCCTTCAATTTCTGCCTAACGGCGATGGTGTTTTCGAAGTGATTAGGATGGAGTTTGTCGTTTGCCTCGATGATCTTAGATAAGAGACATGCAAGCATGGTGATGAGATCGTTCACAGGAAAGTCCACAATATTTAAATGTTGTTCGTATGCTTCCCCATTGGGGAGCGACGCAAGGTACTCGCGATACGTCATGTAATGGTCTGCAGAGACGCCCGGAGCATCTGTAGGAGGCTGTATGGGAGCGGGTTGGATTGGAGCAGACTGAACTAAAGGATGAGGAGCAGGCTGGCCAGTTATTCTATCAGACATGGAGTCTCTCTCTCTTCCTGGGTCGGGGAGCCTTTCGGGAAATCGTTCTGGGAACCTTTCAGTTCTCTCGCGGGCGTCTGCTCTATCGCTGAAACTATGCCGCGTGTACAGCAGTGGCGGCGTGTGCACAGAAACAGACAATGTTGCTGTTGGGGCGCCGGGTAGGAAGCCTGGACCGTGTGCCAGGTGGTACGATGGCGTGCACGAGTAGTTGGATGTGTACGAGGAAGACACGGCCGTTGGGGTGTTGCGGCCGAGCGGGATGTAGTTGCCGCCAGGGGTGAACAGGTGGCTGCCAAAGACATGGGCTGCAGGCAGCAGCAGTGGCTGGTACGCTGGAGGCTGGCCCACAAGCTCCTCTGGTCCTGACGGAGCCTCCTGGCGCTTAGATCCAATCAAGGTTTTGGTCAAGTTCGACACGTGACGCGGCGGGAAGAGCGCCGGCGGCGCTGTGTGTGTTTGGGCCTGTGCTTGGTTCTGCAACAGGTGGTGCGTCTGCGTATGTGTTTGTGTATACGATTGTGGTGTTGCTTGAGCGCCCATATCTGTCGGGCCTTGGGAAAAGGGATTCTGGTATGGCGGATTGGACAGGGGAAATGGCGGGTTTCCATTGACAAACAGGGTATTGGCGGCGGGGTATTGCGGGTTTCCTCCAGGGTATTGGCCGCCTGGACCCTCGGAAAACTGGTTCATCAGCAAAGTCTGGAGTTAGTATGGGAAACAATGGAGGAGAGTGCCTATTGCGGCGAGAAAAACGAAAGCAATGATTGACATACGGGTCGGAGAGCAGAGTGATGTCAAGCGGGCTCGGGAATGGCTGCAGCTAAGGGAATGCTGCTCTGCGACAGGGGAAACGCAGCAACGACTTTTGTTGAACAAGAAAGTGTCTCGTTCCCGTTGTGGAAACGGAACATCACCACGGGTGGTGCACGCGTGGTGCACGGGTGTCGCAGAGGATCGCTTAAGCAATTGCCCGAGGAAGAGATACTGGAGGGGAAATTTTGCAAGGGGAAAACATAAGGGTTGAAGATGGGGCTTTTCAGTTTGCAACTGTGGCTTTGGCCCGGTTTTCTGTTGTTCGTTTGGCAATTCTTGGGCCACGGGCGCCTTGGTGGAACTGGTAGTGTATGTCGTTTAGTTTAGATGCGTGTGTGCAGGCTGATTAGCGTTGAGCGTACCTCAATTGACTCTGGCCTAATTTAGAAATCACCTTGTGCGGTAGAAGTGCAATCGAAAATGACTTGGAATTCGGCAGCATGAAAGTGCGTTTGGATTGGACTCAATCGCTTGAAAACTAATGCATGTATTGGAAATTCAAGAGTGGAGAAGACGGATGGGACACATTTGTTTGGTCTAGTATATCATCGAAATCAAGTATTGATGGGGTTTTGGGTGTGTTCTTTCTGCCAATCAAAGCGACATGATTACTTGCGTGGGTGTAAGTGCTTGCATTCCGGCAGTAAAACTCTGAAACGTTCATAAAATCTTTGATACCGGAGAAGTGTCGTCCACTAACTGAGAACGCAATTGGTCTTTCAGTCTAATAAACTGGTGCCGCAGTAAAATATCCTGTGGCATATTTCCATAATTTCACTTGAGTCAAATTGATTCGAGCCGCCAACGAAATAATGAAATGCAGGTGAGTGTTCTCTGCAAGGAGTAGCCTTCTTTTTCTTATTGAACGCCTTTAGTGGCTAGTAGAACAGTAGGTCATGGTTTCCTATAAGTTTGATTCATCCCATGGTATGCATGTGTACTTCCGCAGTTATTTTCTAGTCAGAACACCTCGAGTTGTTATTCTCTTTAGCCTTTTCATGATTCTTGTGGCATTATTTGTTTACTTGGAGTATATGATTCTGGGCGTGGTACCCGAACTAAAATGTCGCTCAAGACAATATTGGTGGTGAACGAGTACAATCGTGTGCAAACTACAACATTCACCAGTGTCAACAACAATATCTCATTCTTACACTGGATATGTTCCGATACATATAGGTACTAGTGTGATTTGACTTTATAGACTCATTAGTGAACTTTCTAAAGCATTTTAACCACAATTATCCAAACTGCGCATCAGCACCCTGCGTTCAGTTTTGTAAAATTCGAAGCTATGCATAGTGAGCAAGAAATTCCTATAAACTGGGTAGCGTTTTCATTCTGTATAGCATTCAATGCCACTTCAGTGCTTAGCTCTACGCAAATTGTAAATTGTGTGTATGCGGAATATCCATCTGTTAAGGTGCACGGATGTCTCTCCACATCAGAAGCTTTTCCATCTTTCTTAGGTTCACCATGTCTACCGCTTCGAAAGTCACATTTGCTGCCTCTTGCCTTTTTGCTGTAGGCTCTTTTATCTACATCAATGTTGAACAGAAAATCGAACGTGATAACTTGAGACAAGGTCCCATCAAGGACGCAGAGCGCATGCGTCAGAAATTATCCAAGAAACAGCTTGCCAATGATTTGGAGCATAAAGAACAGGCCCTTTTGCGAGAAAAGTATGAGCTGGTGCAACCTCTCAGTGGGGAAATTATTCGGGGAGAGGACTAGTCTCCTCTGTTCGTCATTATCGTGTACATAGAGAATAAAGTAAGACAACTAGACAATACTGAAAATGGGAAGGCGGTGGTGGCCGCCAAGGTAGTGAATAGGTAGAGACAGTGGAGATACCTTCCTTCATTTATAATGTTGAGGTATCAATGCAACTGAGGTGCTGAGATCAGATGATGGTGGACGGAGAAATATGAATGAGACATGTAGCTGAGGATTAATGTTGATGGGACAGAGATGGAATCTTCATGCGTGGAGACAAAAAAGGCGAAGAAATCCCTTCCAAAAGAGTAGGAAATGACTGAAGTCGGATTTATATTGGCCGAAATAGGCGACCCGACACGAAGAACAAAGATTCAAGACCAGTCCTGGAAGGTGTGATAGTCGGAGCATATAGATGGTTACATGGGTATTCTTGGGTCATTCTGTACAGTTAGCAGTACTACGCAGACTCTTCCGAACGTACGAACTCATCTTCATCTGGCCCAGACCATCTTCATCAGGCCCAGATCATCTTCATCAGGCCCAGATCATCTTCATCATCTGATCATCTTATGGGTATGTCCGTGGCCCTTGAATGAACCGTATCTACCAATGTTGCAGGTCCGTAAAGCAGAGATTTACAAGAACGTTCAAAAATATTGTACAATACAAAAAATGTCTGTGTGCTTGGAGACACCCGTGGTATGGTCGTAAGACGCCAGCTAGATGTACTATGATACACTGGGGATTATAGTCCGCTTCATTATGCGAGCCATATCCGTCAACCTGCCTCAGGCGAATCACCAAAACGGGTCTTCGAAGAGAGGATGTTGGGCTGTGGGCAGCCGAGTCAGATCTTGGAAGGCTAATATCAGTATAGTTTTTTTTTCTCTTCTCTGCTCGGAATATATACTTGGTGTTGGTGTACGGGTCTTGTCCTACCCACTGACTGAATGGGCTGAATAATCTGTTTAAACGGGCAATTTCGGGTGGCTTCATCCCAGATCATAATTGGCTCAATGGCAGAACTTCGACTTCTGATTAATTTCCAATCTTTTGGTGTAGAATGTTCCTTACCGTGATGTTGTCTACAGCAGTTCGTGCTATGACATCCTGGCAGTTTCTTATTTATTCCTTTAGCATTGTAAGTCGTTGAACGAAATTGTCCAATCTACTAGAGATATTCACTTATATGGACTGGCAAAACAACCTATCCACTTTGATATGAAAAGTTTGAGCGCGGATATATGAAGGTTGCTGGTGGGCTGGTTTTGCACATGTGCTACCTTGCTTTAGGTCCTCTACAATTATGCCTTCACTTCTTCTTCGATTCCTTTTCCCATAGAGCCTAATAGTTGATTCGACTCTGGTTTTCGTTTTTTTCCTACAGTCTTTCTTGCGCAGTTTGTATTGTACGCTTTGCTTCCTAAACATGACCATATTATTCCATTTTCCCTACGATCTCGTCGTCGCTCTCAGTCTCAGGCATATTTGCTTCGTCTCCCGTTCTCCCATCCAGGGGATCGCTTGAGCTTTCGCGGGAGTCACTGATTGAGAGCCGTTTGGAACTGGAGTTGATGGTGGTTGGCCGCTTGAACACCTCATCTCGGTTTTCTGTTAGTTCCTTTTTGATCTTCGGTACGTCAATGTATCCGCCAACGTATCCAGGCATTGGTGAATATGTGGACGGGATCAGCGACGGTGGATATTCTGAAATGGAATGAGCACGGCTCACAGAGGAAGTGTCTGCCATATCCACCGCGTACTCGCGCGTAGAGTCAAAGGAGTCTGTGAATCGAAGTTTCTCTCGCACAGAAACGTCGCTGTCATCGTGGTTTGGGTCTGTCATTCCCACGAGAATAGAGGCAGCCTCTAGGAGCTGAACCTGCTGATGTTTGGATATAAGAAGCTTCTTTGTCATGTTCCATTCGGGCGTGTGCTCCCAAAGATGTTTGGCGAGCGACGAGATGTGCTTGTAGCCCTTTCCGCATGCCTCACAGTTCAACAGTTCTTTGAGTCTGCCGGAATCGCCCTCCGAAATCCGCCGGACAACAAGATTGCGGGGAAGTGATGGCACTGACGTTGAGAGTTTGTGGCCGTGATGGTGATGGCTGCCGTGTTTGTGGGGGGTTTTGGAGGCTACCGAATACGGCGACGCTGACGAATTACGTCTTGGATGATGGATGTGAGACATTGTGGAAAAAGAGCCAGGCTGCAAGAGAAGGGCTATGCGAAATTGGGGGAAACTGCTATTCGGAACGAAAAGTTGGTAGCGTAGGCGTAGGTATGGATTCAGACAGTTAGTTGGTCAAAAAAATTCTCATCGAGCTTTTTTTTTGTGGTTGCGGGCCTAGGTTTCTCGCAGGTTTTTTAGTGCGCAGCACCTCATCTGCACTGCGGCAGCCCAAAATTCATCACACGATAAGAAACACGCGTGAATAGGCCTTCTATAACAAATAGAGGTATAGATGGTGCAAAAGAATATCTGGGACAAAGCAAAATCCGATTCTTTGACCCTCGGGCGGCGCAGAAGATGCGGAGACATGGCGAGAGACATTTTCACGTGACCGAGTCTGGACATTTTAGCGATGCGGAAACTGGAGACTGCATTGCAGAAAGGGCCCTGTTTACGTCGTTATGCAGGCATGAGTCAGAACATAACCAGCACAGTCAAGAAACTGCCAGGGTATTCGAAAATGTCCTTACAGAGGTCTGGAGTAGACGTTTCCGCATAAAGTGCAAAAGAAGGAGGACCGTTGGTCGCAAGTATTGGAAATGAGGGATGGTGAATGAGAGATTAAGCATAAGGTACGAGCGTATGGAACATAAGGTGCGAAATGTGAGTATGGATGAGGAAACGCCAACAGTAGTATCTTATGCGTCGGACACAACATACCCGAGGAAGTGTCGATTCACAAAGGTTCCGTCCGTATCAGAAAGACTCCGTGTCGCCATCGGGAGCCTCAAAGCCCTTTTCTGTTGAATACAAAATCTCCTGTATCTGGCCCACAAGTTCCAACACCAATGCCTCTGCACCAGAGTCTTGGATGGACTGAGTCAAAATTTCAATCTCACGCAACTTGTTAAAGTAAAAGTTGCGTTCTGTCTCCAAGCTTTCAGCCAGAAGACGCAACTCGGCGGCTTCTTCCCGAGCAGCCCGTAAATCGGCATAAGCCCGTGCCAGCTCGTCACCAGCAGAGCTGGCGGAAACCACGCGGCGCGATTTTTCGCCCGTACTGCTGCCGCCCGAAACCCTGCCTGAACTTGCAGTAGCAAAGCTTCCGCTGCCACGGCTGCGCATGCCTATGGAGTTGGCCGATGTTTTTTCGCTCGAGGCGACTCGCGCCTTGTCGCTGGCGCTGCGCGCTCTGTCGCCCGAACTGCGTATGCGGTCGCCCGAATTACGTATGCGGTCGCTCGAAACCGCGCGCGGGTTTTCGCTTCGCGCCCCAAGGTTGCCTGCACTCGCGCCCGTCTCCGTCCAGTACCGCTTGAACCATTGAAGGAGCTCCAAGTTGTCCTGGAGCCGGCACTTGATGAGCCGCTCGACCTCAATGTGCTTCGAAATGCCGTGCCGGTTGAATGCCGCTTGCAAAATCTTCATGTTTTGCCGAGCGTCGTAGTCGCTAAGCGGGTTCTCAAACTTCACTTTCGCCATGGGCACATCGCCATGAATGGCATCCATAATTTGACAATACGCCGCTCCTGTTCCGCATTGCTCAACCCTTGAATAGGGAAGCCTGAACGTCGAATTGAGCCAATGCAAGAGCTCTGTGCGTGATTCTCCAATGGCCATAGAAAGAGGCTGAAGTGTTTTCGTTTGTTTCGCGAACGCGGCATGTGATGTAGGATCTGGCGACGGTCGACTCCAATTTTATTGAATAATTTTGTTCCGTATATGCTCTGGCCTGTTTTTGAATATTGGTATTGTTTTATTCACTGTTGCTAGACATGCCGGGAGACGGGGGAATCCAAGGGAGACTTGCTAGCCTATATGATGCAGCACGTGTTGACCTTCATATTGACATTTCAAACCTCTACATGTCACTTAAGTAAGAACTGAACGTAACTAAAAAGTAAGAGCGAAAACGTTGTGCAAAATGAATTGTATGATGTTAATGGTAACCCTTTTGCAAGCAGAGTCTGCTTATTTAATCTGACGTCTACACACTATTGCGAACGCTTTCTTATTATTCAGAGTCATAATGTTGGCATTTATGTTGGCATTAACGTTGGTATTCAAAAAGCATTAACTTCATTTAACTTTGTTCTAAACATAAACTTATTATCCCATCTCCTAAAAATCATCATAAATTTCACCACCCTTCGCTCCGCTGTCTTGAGTATCAATCGCTATTATGAGAGCTCTTCCTCTTTACTGAAACCTTTCTCTTGAGCCGTTTCCATACCCGGGAGCGGCGTTTCTCTCGACCTTCCGCAATCTCATCGCTCGCAGACGACGACAAACCTTCTGAAAGAAGCGTTTGTCTGCTTGCTGTCGAAGATGACAATGAGTTTTGGCTAGTCTCTTTTCTCCCTCTAATTTTAGCATGATCGATAGAAGTCTGTTTCTTCTCAATCCCGTAAGGGGAAACATCTTTTTCAAAGCTGTTGATGGTAGAATCTTCATCTTTAGGGTTTTGTAAAGCTGCTTTTTCGTCGTCATGTGCCAGTGCTATCATAGTTTCTCTTTCGCTATCTTTTTCGAAAGCACTATAACCCACGTTACTGTAGTCCAGTTCCATGCTCTCCGCAAGAAACTTACCCTTGTCTTCACTTTGCTTACTGTAATTCGCTTCGGAACTGGTTTCCTCTCCCTCCTCATGATAGTCCTTGTCCTTCTCTGTTTCTTTGGCTCGAACACTGTCATCATCACTCTCCCGCTTTGGGTCTGGAATAGCATCAACTCGCGTATTGAGGCCGTAGACAACTCGCTGAACTCTGGCAAATCTCCTCAACTTGCTTTGCCACGTTATTGGACACTTGGTTTTGAACAGCATCCAGAAGCTTGAAGTCGCCGTTTTCGTGTTTTGACTCAACTTCTTTCGCCTTTTCCAAGAGCAGTTTTGTCACCTCTTTGCCCACTCTGCGAATCGATTCCAAGTTCTTGAGATGATCGACATCCGATACGGGAGAGCTCAATGCCAGGGTGAAAGTTGTCTCCGGCGACTTCACCTCAAGTCTTTGTGTGACAATCTTCCCACTGCTTTCCTCTTCACCGGTGCTTTCGGGCGAGTCGAATTTTTCACTGTCCCCTTTCTTGTCTTCATTACCTGCCTTTGTCCCCTGTGAGTCCTTTTGGCTCAGGAACAAAGTGCCATGCTTCCACATGGTATATTGAACCATGGATTCAAAGGCCGCCTTGTCTAGACGAAAGAGATTGGCCAGATCCACGTTCAAAGGCGAGTCCGGTTCTGGATCATCTACTAGCATCAAAATAGCCTCTACTAAATGTTCCAAGTCCCACGCAGGCGACCAAGAATCACTCTTTAAGATGTCTAGGCAAATTTCTCCGGTTGTGAAGTTGACGTTTGGATGATTAATCGGCGTGTCCTTGTTAAAGCGGATGGTGGGTGGCTGAAGCGGATATGTAGAATCTGTAGTGATGTCTAGAGTCCATTTCCCATTATAGTAATAGTGGCTGTCTTCCCGCGTAGGCTTTGCAATAACTGCTTTCCAGTGGTGGAGCGAAGACTCCATATCTATTGGGGCCAAAGATAAGATTTGGTGGTTTGCGTTCTGTGGTGGACTTTTGGCGAGTTTTTTGATCTCCGTAAGAAGCCGCTTTTCTGCCATGTTGCTATGAAGGGTGAATGTAAATCTAAAACTTTGGGATAAATGTGAGGTTTCGGGAAAAAAATTTTGCTGAGTGAAGAATGCTTGTGATCAATTGAACAGTTTCGTTCCAGGCTGGGCACAATTGTAAGCTTGATGACACACCCGTACATCTCGCTTTTAGGTTCTGTCTGCAGGCAACGCTGGACATGCATGACGATAATGCTTTTTTTACCCCATTGGCGACGCATAATGACGCGAACTGGAGTCATGCAAAGCCTCTTTCCGCTTAAGGGCAGAAGTGATAACTCACGTGCTAGTCATGGCACTAGCAATCCTATTGTGGGTATATTTTTCTTGTAATTCAGGCAAAGCAGAGGTGGGGAAATCGTAAGGAAATCGTAAGTAAAAATGGTAAGAAAAATGAAAGCAAATGTGTACTAGAAGAAAGACGCACGAGCAAAACTGTGTATCTGAGAATTGTAAAGGTTAAACTTGTATGGGCAGTTTGCAGATACTTCGAAGCGATTAGATAGCGTCCTTGCTTCTTTTCTGTATTTCTTTTGTTTGCTTTGTCGCATCCGTAAAGGTACTTTAAGGTGAAGATTTGTACCGAGGTGAGAAATAGGAAACTCCGCTCATTTCATATTGTAATGTTGAAAAAAGCCCAAAACTGGGTATAAGACAAGCCTGGGTTTCAGGGCAGGTATGCTTATGGTTCTCCTTTGAAGGGTTTGTTATTCATGTAGCCCCCAAGCTGTTTCATCCAATGTCAATTTGCCAAGTCAGCATTGATCGCATCCATTGCTGAAGTATCACCTTGGCTGATCTCCTTGGTGAAGCCTTGCTGCTCGAAAGCAGAAATTGTCTAGTTCTTCCACGCCTTCACTAACTGGTCTCAATTGTCCTACAGTGGCTACAATTCCGGCGCTCGCTCAGTATCGTGAAAACTTCATTCCTGAATATATATGGTGGACACCACGCTTAGTTCTTCAAGTCCTTGATCTCCTTCTCGAGGTCGTTGACGGCCTTCTTTTGCTGCTCCAACTTTTCCTTCAATTGCTTCAATTGCTCGGACTCGTGCTTCTTGATGTAAGCGGCCTCTTGAGCATGTTCTCTGTCCTTGAACGAGTCGGTCTTGTTTGGGGTTTCAATTCTGGCCATACGAGAAACAGAAATGTTTCTGGCAGCGGAAACTCTCTTGGTGGTCAATTGTCTCAACATTGTGTTTGTTCTGATAGATGAAAAAGAGGTGGAGGAAAGAAGGCGCACTTGGGGTCACCCATAATTCTTATTGGCTGGAGTGTGCAGGATATAGAACCTTTCGTTTCCATACCATAACCGCTTGAATGATGTGTAATATTTAGCATCTGGGGAGTGAAAGTATAGTCAGGTGACGCTTCCCACAGTTGGGAAGAGGCAAATTGGTTTTTGGATAGAGAAAGTGCTGTAATCAGAAGAAGCATTATCCTATTTTGTATTGCATATAATACATGTCCGAGGTGGTGGAAGTTCCGGTTTCCCGTGTGTTAGCCCAAGAAAACGGCCCAGAACCTCTCTCTCAGAGAACATTATGAGGTAGAATAAAAAATTGTACTTGCTGTGACAAGCTTACCGTAAAAAAACTTTTGCCAGTACTCTATTTATTCAGTCAAGAGAATAGACGTTATAAAAACCCTACAACGGGAATAACAATCTTCTATTGGAATGGTGGGTATGTTTAAATATGTACATGATGTAGTCAAGACTGTCGATGGATGTATTCAACGATGATCTTAAAATTATTGAAGGTGTATTAAGGATGATCGTATGTCCAAGATGGTTGAAGTGTATTAAGAATGATCGTATGTTCAAGAAATTGATGTTGTATTAAGGACTATCGTTGTGTTCCCCGGTTATGCCGTATCCAAAGGTGATTCTGTTGTATTTAGCTTTCAAGAGTAAATTCCATGCATAATCGCAGTTACACGCCAGTAAAGCCGCAAATGACCCTATTTCGCTACGAACTTAGACTTCTACTTTTACGTACCTGTAACGATGTGATTAGCTGTTTCTATGCTTACTAATTCTTGGACTCAAATGCATCACAAATATACGTCACGATCTCGATTTGCCGTTCCAGTTGTTTGATGCTTTTTATCTTTAGGCTTCCCTTACTAGCGTAAATTACGCTTCACGCCTCTAAAACCACTTTTTGAATGCGTAAGAAATGGGTGCAAATTCTCCTATGCATCACGTCTCATACTAGCTTGAAGTTCTCTTCACTATGGTGCTCTTGCATATTCTCGCTTCTTCGCCTGTTGTCCTACGCCATCTTTCCGTTAGTAAAATTTCTATGTACATTAATTACAAGATACGTTTTGGCATGTATCTGGCGTGTCTGTGGGTTGTCGACAACAAGCCGACGCTTCTAGCTCTCTTGATTGCAATGCCCAACTTTTTCTGGTTTTTGGCGTTGCACCCAGTCACCTCCCGAGGCAAGATCTGGCCCGTAGAAGACACAAACCGTGATAAAATCTCTGGCATCGAGTACAAATCGAGCGGGTCGATGCCTGTGCGGACGAAAACATCATTTTCGCCATTTCTGTAGTTTCTGGCAGGGTCACGTCTGCGCTTTTCCCATTTCGCTTCCATGTCCAAGCGATCCATCGAGAAGTCAAATGGATCGTACAACTGACCAGCAACAAAGTTCTTAGAGAAGTTCTTTGCAATAGAGATTGGAGGGCGGCCTGTTTCTTGCAAAGATCTGGCCAATCCCACCACTTTCTTTGTAATGGCGCTTTCGTTGGACTCAGACTCGGCCCATGCTGGAGTTTTCATTTCTGGGCTTGACGGAAGCACTTTGCCCGCAGCTAGCGAGCGCGAAAAAGCGGACATGGGCGACAGGGAGAAACATAATGCCGCCGGTGAAGAAAACAGCCTTTTCTGGAGAAGCCGCAACATGGTGATTCCGGTAAAGATGTGTGTGAGAAAAGATGGAAAGAGAGAAACGAAAAACGGTGCGTGCGTGCGCCGCCCAAGTCTCACCGCCAGTCCATACTATCTGCATTGTGTAATCTTTGGCTAGCTTCTTCTCTTGCACCGGTTTTCCGTCCATACACCAAAAGAAATCATATACTCCCCTTTTCAGTCCGAACTTACTATGGGAGAACGCGGTCCCGACCAGTGGTTGGACCAGATCAAAAAATGTCTGTCGCTCTCTGAGTCCGACATGAAACAGCTCTGCGAGCTTGTGAAAGAGCTTTTGATGGAAGATTCCAACATCCAGCCTGTACAATCGCCCGTTACTGTCTGTGGCGATATACACGGCCAGTTCCACGACTTGTTGGAGCTCTTCAAAGTTTCCGGTGGCTTGCCTAGCGACGACAACGCTACTAACTACATTTTTTTGGGCGATTACGTGGACCGTGGATACTTTTCTTTGGAGACATTCACGCTTCTCATGGTGCTCAAAGTCAAGTACCCAAACCGTATAACGTTGGTGCGGGGTAACCATGAGCTGCGGCAAATCACCCAGGTCTACGGTTTTTATGATGAATGCTTGACCAAATACGGCCTGACGACGGTTTGGAAGTATTGCTGCCAGGTGTTTGATTTCTTGACGCTTGCGGCTATCATCGACGGGAAGATCTTGTGTGTACACGGAGGTTTGTCTCCCGAAATCCGCATGCTCGACCAGATTCGTGTCTTGAGTAGAGCACAGGAAGTTCCGCACGAAGGTGGTTTTTGTGACTTGGTTTGGTCTGATCCTGATAATATTGACACTTGGGCGGTTTCGCCGCGTGGTGCAGGCTGGCTCTTTGGTTCCAAAGTTAGCCGTGAGTTCAATCATATCAATAACTTAGAGTTGATAGCCAGGGCCCATCAGTTGGTTATGGAAGGCTTCCGTTACCATTTCAAGGATAAAGATGTGGTCACCGTTTGGTCAGCGCCAAATTACTGCTACCGTTGTGGTAATGTGGCGAGTGTGATGCAGGTGGATAGCGATTTGGAACCTAACTTCAAAATCTTCAGTGCGGTTCAAGACGGTGACTTGGCAGCGAAAAACAACACGGCCAAGCAACAGCGCATAGACTACTTTTTGTGAGGCCGATGTCGTCTCACTCTTTGTGGCTCTGATTTGACGCTAAACCCTTGAATGTTGGATTCTCGGATTTAGAACTACGCATGAGGAAAAAGATTGTTGTTGTCAGTTACTGGTGTTGTTTCCTAGATCTTTAGAGTTTTGTGCCTAGATTATGGACCTTGCTTGGTATCAAATTTTTGGCCTGAGTCCTCCACACGCCCTGCGTCTTCATTTCTTCACCTGGCTCTTTGAGTTTTTCTTCCAAGCCTCAAATTTCTCATCGTTTGGTTTCATCATGGCTTGATCCTTCATAATTGACTTTCCTAAAATTGATTGACCATAATGCAAGCCTCGTCTCCTGATTGTGCCCTTCCTGTCTTTCATGCCTAATGATTACGAACTGTTCCTATGTTTAATTGCATTCCGAGCGCTTTGCGCTTGTTGCCTAAATACACTAGTTGTAATGTATTCTGATTCAGTCTTTGTTAGTAAGGTTATTTCTTCTTTCCCTGGTTTTTACGCTTGATCTATTGCAAAATGACTATTTATTCACTAATTTCTCTTCTTGCTTCTTCTCTTCCGGCCAATAATGTTCTTGACATTGTCGGAAAGTCCACTTTTCTTGTCAGATTCTTTTTCTCCAGTTTTAACCTTCGAATCTTTCTCATCTTTGCTCTTGGCTCCTTTATTCATGTTTCCTTTCCTCGAGGGACCTTTTCTTTTCTTGTTCTTTCTTTGAGATTGTTCTTCTTCGTCTTCCTCTGCATCATCGCCTTCTCTCTTTCTCTTGTTTTGACGGGCCATGAACTCCTTCTCCTTTCTTCTCTTGACGACTTGTGCATTTTCAATCGCAAATTCGACAATCAACTTTCTCTTGGTCAAACCATCAAGCGAAACAAGCTTCTTCTCTTCTTCTGATAAGCCCTCCAAAATTTCTTGCGGCGTAACTTCGTGTGCATTCAACCACCGAAGACCCATCAATGCAGACTTGTGATCTCTGAATTCGATGAAACCATATCCTCTACTTCTTCCAATTTCACTGTTGCCCTTGACTTCCATAACGACTTTAGCTTGTTTGACAACACCTTGTTTCTTGTTCTTCTTTTTCTCTTTCTCGCCCTTTTCGTTCTTATCGTCACCCACCATACCTTCTGCCTCATGTTTCAGTTTCACTGAACGACTGATTTCTTCTTTAGACAATGGCTGTCTCGAACCTTCTTTCACTTCCGTTGCAAACTGGACGACTGCTTTACGACCCAAGGCTTTGAGCGCTTTGCCGGTCATAGCACGAGGAAGATTTCTAATGGCCAATCTAGTCAACGAAAGATGCAAAGTGGCATTCTTGTTCAACTGCTGGACACGCAACTTGTAGGATTTTTCTCTGAGTTCCATATCTGTCTTCGTTATGAATTGTGCCAACTTCGAATTTTCAGTGATACGTCCTTCGTTCAACAAATACAAGTTTCTTCTATCTCTGTCACCTTTGTCCTTTCCCAAGACTTCTTTTCTCTTTTCGGTGTTTCTTTCAGCTAACTTGGATGCAGAATTTCTATCCACAGTAGCAGCAATGGATAAAATCCGACCTTGGTACACATAGGCAGGAGAAACGTCGTCTGAAATCAACATCGACGTATTCGACACCTCTGGTGCATTAGACAAACAATCGTTGTATGCTTCTGCTGTCTTGAAAGCTACAAATGCTGATCCTCTGGCAACTCCTGTCATTTTATCAACCATTGGCAACGCATACTTTACAGGCCCAAATTGAGAAAAATGTTCTTTCAACGAGTCCTTGTCTGCATCATACGGTATGTTTCTGACGAAGACAGAAAATGCTTCTTGAGTGTTTTTCTTCTCGTGTTGTTTGACATCTTCTTCCTCTTCTTCCTCTTCATCATCGGACTTCATGTCATTGAGCTCGTCAAAGTCATTTTCTTCCTCTTCCTCGTCCTCTTCGTCTTCTTCGTCTTCGCTCTTTTCATTTTCGGATTCCTCCTCTTCTTCCTTTTCTTCCACAGCAGGTCTCTCTCTTCCAGTAGATTTGAATTCAGGCTTTTTCTGTTCCTCTTCTTGGATCAGCTCCCACTTGGATTTTTCCACTGCCAAATCCACAGCCACTTCTCTTCCATCGATCTTTAATCCCACGCTTTCTTTCACTGCTCTTTCTGCAGCAGCATGTTTTTTCATGGTCACAAAGGCAAACCCTTTCATCAATCCACCTTTCTTTGCTGGAATGTAGGCATCATGAACTGCACCGTATTTCTGGAAAATGTTTCTCAAGGTGTCTGGAGACTTGCAGGACCAGGGCAAGTTTCTGATGATAAGACGGGCTTTTCTTTTTTCCACGGTCTCCCTTGGTGCGCGTGTTTCTTGTGGGGCTCCCTCTTCCTTATTTTTGTTCTTTCTGTCTCTTCTCTTGGCAATATCGACTCTAAGGAAACGACCCTTGAATTTTTGCTTCTTCGCCTCCACCAATGCAGTCAAAGTATCTTCATCCATAGGAAACGAGACAAAGCCAAAGCCTCTAGATTTTTTTTCTTCGTCGGTAACAATCACCGCATGTTTAACTGGCACAAACTGAGAGAAATATTCGGAGAGTTCTTCGTTGGTGGCATCTTCTGGGATTGATCTCACGAACAAAGTTCTTCTGTCTAAATTGTCGTCACTTTTGACTTCTTCTATTTTGGCTTCGTTGTCTGACATTTTCGAACAAAGTATGCTAGACTAAAGAAGTGCGATGAGATGAAGCATCGCACATCGAAAAAGTCTCTGCCATGCATATAGGGCCAAACACGATACAAAACTAAATTATGGGTACATGGAATAACTAAGAGAAGAGGTGGAATATGAAAGGAAAGCAGCTTGTAATTTTATACAATTTCTGAATACGTCGACAAAATTTCACATCTTTTCCTTCTCATTTTTGTATGCTTACCTCTGATCAAGCATTTCTGTGATGATACTGGTGTACGGGTGCTTCCCCGCTTACATCAGGTAAACATTAAGAGGTCTTGTGCTTATCAATGGCCAAACCTAAATTCAGCAACATTTTGCCTAATACATATGTGCCAGTTCTATCGAAAAAAGTTCTAGCGACAGTCTTGTTGCGTCTCCCAAAATCCAGTATCCTTTCGCTTGTTCTGCTTTGGCCACAACTCAAAAACACCCAGCCGTTATTGAGAGACACCAAATTGTCCCAAAAGGAGTACAACCGGCTAGTTCGCGATGAAGCGAAACAGATGCGGGCCGAAGGATCTAAGTGGAAGAAGGCAAAGCTTGTGGATCGCATTTTGTTTGAGTACTGGCCCAACGGATTGAATTTGCTTCAGTTGGCCCAGATCGATTGTCAGTTGATTGTTGATAACCCAAACGCATACTACTGGATTCTGTCTACTGTGAAAGACGCCTGGGGCGCCCAGGCATCACTTTCTTTGGATCCGCTGCTGTTCTTGAACCGCTTGGCCAGGGAATTGGGCAAGATGTTCATGTCTTACATTTACGTTTGTACACACCCCAATATGCCCTTGATTCTTATCCGAATCCAGGTGTTTGATCTTCTTCCCTTTGGGAGACAATCCTCTCGGAATCCGGAAATGCAGAAGTCGCATATCACCTCACACAAGCCTTATTTCTTGGCTGTGCCAATGAATTCTCCACATTTGATCCACAGCCCAGGAAACGACCTTGTGTCTGAAATTGTCCTTCAGGTTGTCGAATCCAGCTTATCCAAATCTCCAAGAGAAGTTCTCCGCTTGGAAACACCATCATCTCAGAAGGCCGTGCGCTCTCTTGAGTCAATGCATATCCTTAAAGGATGTTCCCGATTTGCAAATAGCATGGGTCCATGGATCCCGTACGCCGATGGAGAAGCGGATATTTCACCTTTGGCATCGTTGGAAGACCATCCTGTGATTCTGAGCCAAAGTGAAGTATGTTCTTCTGCAGAAGAAAAACTCTTGAAGTCCGCCAACATTCGTTTTAAGGGCACAGCGTCAGGCACAATTAAATCTGATGTTCTTTTCGAGGATAACAAATCACTTCGTAAACGGAGAAAGCTGCACACGGAAGATGAAGAAGGTCTACCTCCAAGAACAATTAGGAAAAGTCAGTTCGCTTCCATCGCCCCAATTCGCTTTGCTGAGTTCACTATACAAAATGATCTTCCATCGGATGAACACTCAAATGAAGATTCAAATGGTCCTTCGAACGTGATCTTAAAACTTGTCGGGAATGACGTTTTCGCTGGACTACATGAGTTAGCAACAAAATCTACAGACCCTAAGAAGCTGGTCGTAGATCCAAGTAAACTACCGGGTTGGCTTACTGGAGAAGAAGGAATCAGTTGTGGGTTTATTAGAAACGGCATTTTTACCCTCGAATGAGAAACTATCTCTCGCTAGCATCAATATCTGCAAACTTAATTAGGAAATGAATATAAACGGTATGGGATTTTCAATTCAACCACCATAGCCAAGTCGAGACAAGTATCCTGCTATCAACTCTAGGCTGTCATCATTATGCAATTGCGCCGTTTTGCGTATTTTAACTAGAGCGTCACCATCCTTGTTTTTAAAGGCCTCTTCGGCTGCTGGGCTATAATCTCCGTTTTGGAGGTAAAGATCGATTCTTTTCAAGTAGTGCGATTCGGTACATTGTTCAATGTAGCTCGAAATAAGCTTGTGTGGCGCTCCGTAAACAAGACAAGTCTCAGCAATTACTTCAAATCCAATAGGCGATTTTAGCAGAGCACTTGGATTGGGGTTGCTTGCTGTTATGAACCTGTGTAGGCTGTCAAAATCACCGGCTTTGCAGTAGACTTCGAGAACAAGATTCCAATATTTCTCTTGCAGAAACTTAAAGTCTTTGACAATTTTTGATACTGGTTTGAGCTGGTGCATCTCGATTAACTTGATGATAATTTCAGCCACGGACTTCCTTTCGAAAAATGATTGTTGATAGGTTTCCGATAGCCTTTTCTTTAATTCGAGAACTTCAAGCTCCAAATGAAGCTGTTTGCTGAACTTGCGATTGCCCAATAGGCTCTGAAGCTTCGTCTTCTGTGTTTGGTAAAGTTTCTCAAAAGACTCTCCCTGTGATATTGACGATTCTTGAAGGTAATTCTTCAACTTTACTTCGTTACGGGCAAGTGTCTTGTTTTGATGTTTCAAAAAAGCATCGAGGGATTTCGGTGAGTATTTTCCAATATTCTGCTCCCAAAAATTCCCAATCAAATCCCCGTTGATGAACAAGTTTTCTTGGAATAATGCATTTATTTGTTCATCCTCAGAGAACTCTTCGAGAGAAATGTCTTTGACGATGCTCTTTTGCTCATTTTGGTTCAATACTTGGAAGAACTGGGCAATGGAGAGCTTGTCTTTCAAGTACATGAGAATTAGCCGGCACAAGTCAAATTCACTTGATTGAAAGCATTTTATCATAGCCAATTCAATCTCTTCGATTTGAAGTAGTTGATTCACTCTCCTTATTGTGGAAGGCTCCAAATTTATAAGAAGCTTGCATAAGTCAGATCTTCCTTCTTCATATGCAACTTTTGATATTTCGGACACCGATATGATGTTTCGATTCGGGTTTGCCCTATTTTGGTTGTGGGAGGACATCAACTTTTTGGAAATAATTTTAAAAAGATTGATGTCAGACATGTTGAGCTCTTTTTTAATCTTGCTGCAGCACCAATGTACATATACCAAGCTTCTGGAATCCTCTAACTGCAACAAGTCAACAATCTTCAAAGCTAATAAGTATTGAGACCTGTTCACAAGCATCTCTACTATTGTGTTCCAACCCATTTGCTCAATCTCGGCATTTGTAAGAAATAATCCAATCTCAGGCGAACGAATTTGATTAAGTACCTTTACCGTATCAAGGACTCTTAAATATTTGTCTGAGTCGAAGTACTTTTCCTCGTAAATTTTGCCAAAGGAAACAGCTTTCAAGATCTTCTTTTGCCATGCTGGCAGAAATTCATGAAGGGCAGCCTGTAAGCAACCATCCATAGCTGCACTCAATGAGTTTTCAGTGTTCAAGAAGGAAATATTCGTGTACGCCTTGGAAGGTTGCAAAGCGAGTTTATCAATGCAATCGAGTAGGATCAGAGATGGATGTGAGGAGCCCATTAAATGAAGGTTAATGCAGCACTCAGGGATTCGACTCAAAAACTCTACTTTGTTACCAGTGATAATTTTCAACCCATCTTTTTCTGATTTGATCACCGGAATAGTGAAAGACAAATCGTTGTCGGTGCTTTCGTTCAAGATCGCACCAATGTCAAAATCGTCTTGCTCTATAATATCATAGAAAAAAGATATGGATTTCTGCCCTGGCCCAATGAGTTTGATTTCATCTCTTAATGACAATATTATCGCATCATTCCCGGCCCATTCCATCATATACGGGGCACTTGATTCGTTGGAAGTGTCGTACTCAAGAAGAATACGGTCAAATGTTTTCGTAATGACAAAAATTCTTGATCTTGTTGGGTTGTGTAAAGCAATGATCGCACCATCTGGAGAAGCAGCAACCAAAGAGAACGGTCCATCTGTTAAGCCCTGATCTACAAAGCTATATGCTTCTTCTAATAGATCAACACTCACAAGAAATACGGTAGTATCATAGCTCAAAAGACATTCAAACTTCGAATCAGTGATGCTTACAAGTGCCATCGTGTGGATTTTGGACTGATTTAGCCCCGAGGGAAACTGGATGTCGTAATTTGTAAAGGAATGCAAGTCTGACACGGTGATTCTATTTCTGTAACGTAAAACAAGGAACCGGCCCCAGTTTTGCGCTTCGATCACCAGAAATGGTTCTTCAGTCTGGTTAGTTTCCAAGTTGGTGATAACGTATCTGGGAGCATCACTATCACCATTTTCAGACTCTGAATTTAGTTTCACCAAATCATCCGTGTAGCTATACTCGTTGAAAGAGCCTTGGAAGTCTGTGTAAAGGCGATATTTGCGATTAGCCAAAATGACGAGAAGTTGCTCGTTGTAAAAGCAAAAGTCAACAATATGATCTGACGGCGATGAGTTGTAAACGAGGGACCATACTTTGTTTCCGCTGAGGGTGTAAATATCAATGACATGGGGATATGAGCTACCTTTGGCGGCTAGAGCCAAAAGTGTCGTATGAGTAGATACTGCCACACGAAAGTTGGAGTAAAGATTGTCTATCGGCCATTGCACAGAGTCATAACATGTCTTTATGCTGTAGTAGACATTTTGTAGTTTCTGCCACCCGAGACTTGGGTTGGTAAGCATATTTCTGCCAAGATAGAGAAGGCGTGGTTAGATAAAGGTTGGTCTCTTAAACCTGTGTATGCGGCACGTGACCCACTTTTGCCTATCCTGCGAAGCTCTGAGGTGCTGTCTTGAGATAAATCACTGATTTCAAGGTTTTTCCTTCACTGCTGGGAATCAAAAAAGGAAAAGCGCCAGTTACTCTCTAGATGGAATACGTGACGCTTATCTCCAATGACAACCATCGGTTTGTGGTGATGAAGGAAGTGGCGCTGATCTCGCCTGTTCTCCGAAGCTCACATGAGTTCGAGGAGGGCCAAACTGGCCGCATTTCATTGGACATGGATGCCGAGATCTTGGATGTGGTGGTGGAGTATTTGCACTATTTCTACAAGTACAAGGACCAAAGTGAAGATGCGGCTGTTCCGGAATTCAAGATTCCTACTCACTTGGCGTTGGAGCTTTTGGTGAAGGCAGACTTTTTGGACATCTAGACGCCTTGTCATGGTATATTTTTTTGCTGGTTGTGAGTTCATTGGGGGAAGCGAACTTTTCCGGTCAAACGATTCAAACAATACTCCTCGCCTTTTGCTTTTTTCCGTTTGCAATAATATCAGTTCAGACCATCCAAGACCAGCGTACAGGCTTTGATTAAAGCTAGCGAAAAACCTTTAGTGGACGTGAGAACCAGCGCAGATCTCATTTGGCTCTCGTACTGTGTTCTCGTATGATCACTCAAGTTTGATGAAAGCTGGACGGAAAGTCAAGCAAAACAGGGATATTCAAAGTGCTGGTTAAGCACCTACAAAATATATTATCTCGAGCCTCTATTTAAGAGTCTCTTGTGAATATAAATAAAGCCAACGCGGTAATGAATTAAATCCCATGTCATAGAAATTTGCTATCACTGATAGCAGTAGATGTATTATAAATGATAAATCCAAAACCGCTCGAATAAAAAAACTTTCGTGCAACCATCAATATGACTCCTATTTGCGGTACAAACTTCATTTTCTATTTAGCAATTGCACATTACTCATGTCTGTTGTATTTTTCGTTATCGGCGCTCACTTCGGGCTAACATACATGTAGTCTCACGATTAGGCTTTTCTGCACACCCAACCCCGGATACTACTTTTTATGACGGTACTAGTGGAAAACTTGAGGAAAGAGGTGGACCTTCTTGATACCGCAGGTGCTTCCGCCTTCACTTCGATTGCCACTGAGACATCTGCTCTTCTTGAGGATCTTCAAGAATTGGAAGCGTCGCTTGAAGCGGAAATCGAACAGAGCCGCAACACGGACGGCAAGAACGCATCAACGCAATTACCACTGGGCAAAAAGGCCAAGGTGTTAGCTACACCTCTTGCTGTGGAATCTCTGTGCTCTAAGTGGTATACTCTGTCGATTTCAGCTCTTAAACGTTACAACCACCAAATCAGTAAGTATGTCAAAGTTGTGTCCAGCTCCAAGTATCGCATTGACCTTGATACCGCATACACCTTTCCCCTCATGCTAGATGCTTACCCGACAAAAGAAGAAGGGGAGCTTGTTTCGAAGACGGGAAACAAGCGGGAATTGATGAAAAGCATCGTGATGCATTTGCTCAAATCAGGCCATGGCAGTGCTGTTTCGGCGCTTCTCGCAGACTGCCACATGGAAAATGATGTTGATCGGGACATGTACCAGCAGTTCCAGCAGCTCAACGGTATCTTGGACGATATCCAAGTGCGCCATGACTTGAATAGTGTAATCGCTTGGCTAGAGACCCACAGCGAACGGCGCTCTGCTCATATGGACGAAATTCTGTTTGAGCTACACATGCTCCAGTTTGCACTCTGTTTGACGGGCGAAAAACAAGCAAACGCACACATGAAGGCGTATGTGTATGCCCAGAAGCATTTCCCCCGGTATTTCAAAACACACGCCAGTGAACTTGCACCAGTGATGACGCTTCTTGTCGACGAGCAAGATGGTGGGAGTGAGTTTAGACGGAAAGTGGCGGCACATTTTGCCCATGAAGCAGCATCCGGGAAACTTAAAAGCAAGTTTGTTGGGGACATCTTGCAGCATTTTGAAGAGCTCCACCTGCGGCCTGAACTCTTTGCACGCGTCGCCCATGAGTTTGTTGCTGAATTCTGTTCTGGGATGGCTCTCTCCAGCGAGTCGGCATTGTTTGAAAGCATGCTTGCAGGTTTTGTGAATTTACCCAATTTCTACAAGTACAGTCAGCTCCAGAGACGTCTTTCACGGCATGATCCTGCCCCACAGGAGCTTCCGTTTCAACTTCCGGACAAGAACCACTTTTTGTTCAACCACCACCCGATTTTCATCTGCCCTGTTTCGAAAGAACAGTTGGTGCCACTCTCGGTTCGTGTTCCGGCGACGGACGAAGATTTGCGGGATCGCAAGCGGCGTGCGGTTCTTGTGTCTCCCACTGAAAAGTTGGTACCTATGACGAATCCAGTCGTTGTTTTTGATCACTGCCGCCATTTGGCCTTGAAGGACAGTGTTCGGAGCTTGACCAAAGGAGGCACAGAGGTGTTCAAGTGCCATTACTGTTACAAAAAACACAAGCTTCTGGAAGTGAGTGATGCATACTTTATTGATCTATGAAGGTCGAGTAGACTCAATGAGATGGTTGAGTATACTCGATGAGAAGCGAGGGAACGGTAATTACGGTTTGATTTATGGGATTGTGTAATGCAAAGCAATTGTTGACAATGGATGGCTCATTTGAAAATGTGTAGGTGCATGCGGACATGAAGTTATCAATAGTTCAGTGGAAGGATTATCTTGAGGTCAAATGTCATTGACAGAAGATGTAAGAAGAAGTATAATAGAGTCACCAGTACGAATTATGTGCTTGACAATTACTTACTTTGCACATCTTTCATCTGCGATTATCTTCTATTGTAGAAATGGATTAAGCAAGAAATTGACTAAACAAGCATGTAACACACAAAAAGGTGCACCCTATATTCTCCAGTGAAGATGGATTATGTAGGATTTTAATCAGTATTGTAAGTGAGATAAGTGATCTCGATCGAGATGTAGCTAGTTTCACATTGCCAAAAATTTAATTAAAGAAATTCAACCTTACCCTTGTTAGACTCTGGTCTAGTCACTGCCAATTCATGCAAATTGCTACTGAAAGCAATTCAGTGGGGATTGTTCTTTTTGCTCCGATCAAATCAATGCAAATACTCATTCTATCTTAACCAACGTATTGATCTCTTCTACTTATGCCATGTTAGCTGCCTTGGAGACTTTTCGCACTCCTCATCAAAGAAGTCAGGAATGTATAGTGAGCACATCGCACATCTAGAAATACCATCGCGCCCGAAAAATTCCTCTGTAAGCCATGTACAAGCTTCTATCGGACCAGGCACTGTGTCTTGGAGATGCGTGGGTCCCAATTTATCTGGTGCCAGTGGATTTTGAACCGGAGCATTTCGAAACGGCCATGGCGCATTTGATTCGCGAGCCGAACATCAACTCGACAGTGATTCTTCGCGCAGATATTTTGCTGGAAACAGTATTTGGCGACGATGGAAAGGTGAAGGAGAGCCGTACCTTTTCGCCCGACCTTCCAGAAGCAAAGGAAAACGGGGAGACGTCTGAACATCAGCAGGTTCCAGAAGGCCTGAAGACGCAGAAAAAAGAAAAACCAAACGCCGAGACTGAAGAGCCTCAAAAGCACCATGAACAGGACAAGAAACAACCGGAAGACGCGATGCTTCGTGACCGGGAAACTGCCGACACAAACGCAGCGGGCGAAACCGCCTCGCCTCGCCTTCTATGCCGCGATTTGAATGATACGCAGCCGCGCGCCGTGGATCTTTCGGGCGCACAAGTGGCACTTTCGCCTGCTGTAGTGTCTGTCCGCCGCATAATTCCGCGCAACCCGTACAAAGACCATATTCTCAATCAAACGTGCGCGGTGCACAAGGGCGAAAACGCTGTTCTTGTGGTTTACATCGCCCACATTTCGAGCGCAGACGAAGTGCCCTTTTATTTGCCGCCCGTGGCTGCAGTGGGCATTTTGTATTGCCAAGGCGAGCTCTCGATCCATTACGTGCCATTTCTGCTGGGCACAGAAGGAGCCGCAGAACAGTCTGGAGCGGACGAGACTCCGGCGTGGCGCGACTTTGTGAGCGACGAAAGCTCGCGCCCCATGCGTATTGCGCTTAGGCTCCTCCAAACGCTGGCCAAGCATTCTCTGGGCGCGCGCGCAGGCTACTCCAAGCGAGTTCAGCATGACCTAGTGGTGCCGCGGGTGGCCTTTCAGAACAGATACATTGCGCTCAAGAGAAAGTATCTGGCGACACTTGTGGCGTCTTGGGTCGAGAGCACAGACCCGAAAAAACACGTGTTTGAGGATTTGGCTGTGGCGGCGTTTTTGATTGAGTTGTGGGCGCGCCGTTTTCCTGGCCGTGACTTTGAGTTCCGCGACTTGGGCTGCGGCAACGGCCTTCTTGTGCACATTTTGATTCTGGAAGGCTTCCGCGGGAAGGGCATCGACGCACGCGCGCGCAAGTCGTGGAAGACGTATCCGCCCGCAGTGCAGGCGAATTTGCTCGAGCAAATTATCGTGCCCAGCGTTTTGCTCAAGCCTCACCCGGCGGTGGCACGCATGGCGCCCTACATGCGCGACAATGGGCGCTTCTTTTCTGTGCCCGAGGCTGGCGCGCGCGGCGTGCCTCTCATGAAATACTACTCAGCAGCAAATTTGCTTGAACTGTCCAAGGTATGCACCACTGAAGAGTTTCCTAGCAACACGTTTCTCATTGGAAACCACCTGGACGAGCTCACGTGCTGGCTCCCTCTTTTGGGTTTTCCCTTCATGGTGATTCCGTGCTGTTCGCACGCATTGAGTGGCGCCAAAGCGCGCTTCCGCCCTCGAAAAGTGCACAAGCCGGAGACGGGCGCGGCCCAAGGCGATGGCGCAGATGATGCCGAGAAAAAGGGCGCGGATAAAGAGTGCGGTAAGAATAAGGGCGGAAAGAATAAGGGCGTGCCGCAAGTGGGGCTGTCTACATATGCTGCTTTGGTCGACCATGTCGATGACTTGGCAACGCAAATGGGTTGGGTCGTGGAAAAGGAGACGTTGCGTATTCCCAGCACGCGAAATGCTGCCATCATTGGCATAGATAGAAACGAGCAGTTTGCCAGCGAAAGACCCGACGAGACTGAGATGCGCGTCATTGACATCTTGGCTACTGAGGGCGGAGCAGAGGGCTGGGTTGAGAATCTGATGGCACTCATGAAGAAGAATCCGAAGAACCACTAGAACAACCATCTTTTAGTCAGCTGCAGAACCACGTAATACTGGAGTCTAATGAGGTCGTAATCCAAGCACAATGTACATACTGAAACATTTATCTGTAGATGGCGTTTCGTTTCCAGGCCACAGAAGGAGACATGTTTAATGTGGCTGTATACGTAATTTGGTTTATCCTTTGTTTTTGCAGTTGCGAAAGCATTGTTTGTTGGACGCTGTTTCAATGTCTTTAGAGTCATTTGCATTTGGAAATGGGTGCGAAAAGTACATATTATTGTCAAAAAGCAGATGCGAAGCAAAATGGAAAACTAACAGTGGCCACCAAAAATCGAAATCAAAAGCTATAAGGTCAAAGACTTTATGGTCAATAAAAATAGGTTCTCCCTGTATATTTAGGTCCTTTACGAGGATTTTTGTCTATCCCAGGAGCAGAAATAAAGAGTATTCTTATCCGACAGATGTGAGACAACGAAGATGAAAGAGGAACAGTATCAAAAACTCCGTGCTGAGCTTAACTGATATGTATGCTTTAAAGAAGGAGGCTTTCAACATCCAAGTAGACGGTCATCATCCATTCAAATGCTTCGTCATTGACAAGGATCTATCATGAACCTACCTCCGAAGAAGCAACTTATCATCGAAAATTCAAACACTCCCCTTAGCCACTTTGCCTTGAAGATACTTCTTTACGACTCAGAAACCATACCTTGTCTGAAATATCTATCTACATGTCCATATAAGCTTCTGACTTCCACATAACGAAATCTTTACCCGGCTGTCATTGTTCGACTTCCAAGTCAATGCTCACCCATTTGTTCCCCTGTCTCCATGTTCTTGTCTCCATGTTCTTGTGGCTACTCTACATCCTGGTCGTCTATGTTTCCCGATTGAGAGTATTTCAGCGTACCTGGGCGCACCACCTACAAGTGTGCGTATAATCGCACCGCCTGTTCTTTCAGCCCTACCCATGACCGGATCGTCGTCGCAATTCCAGCAGCTCGAGAAACTCGGCGAAGGCACTTATGCCACCGTGTATAAAGGCCGCAACCGTGCCACGGGCGCTCTTGTTGCGCTCAAAGAAATCAACTTGGACTCGGAAGAAGGCACGCCTTCCACGGCCATTCGGGAGATTTCCTTGATGAAGGAACTAGACCACGAGAACATCGTGACGCTTTACGATGTGATCCACACGGAAAACAAGTTGACGTTGGTGTTCGAGTACATGGACAAAGACTTGAAGAAGTACATGGAAACACACGGCAACAACGGGGCGCTCGACTTGAAAGTGGTGAAGCTGTTCATGTTCCAGTTGCTCAAAGGTATCATGTTCTGCCATGACAACTCGGTGTTGCACCGGGACTTGAAGCCGCAGAACTTGTTGATCAACGCCAAGGGCGAGCTCAAGATTGGCGACTTCGGCCTCGCGCGGGCGTTTGGCATTCCCTTCAACACTTTCTCTAACGAGGTCGTCACTTTGTGGTACAGGGCGCCTGACGTGTTGTTGGGTCTGCGTGCTTACACCACGTCCATTGACATTTGGTCTGCCGGCTGTATTTTTGCAGAGATGTGCACAGGCAAACCGCTTTTCCCAGGTACCGCCAACGACGACCAGTTGAACAAGATTTTCCGTTTGATGGGCACTCCCAACGAACGCACATGGCCGGGTGTATCGCAATACCCAAACTTCAAAACCAATTGGCAGACGTATGTGCCGCAAGATTTGCGCTCACTCATTCCTGACTTGGATGCCATGGGCTTCAACTTGTTGACCAGCTTATTGCAAATGCGGCCCGAGGCACGTATCACTGCACGTCAAGCGTTGCAACACCCGTGGTTCCACGAGATTCTGAGCCTGGACTACCGCTGAGAAATACAGAATAAAGACATCTGCTAGAGGAGCCAAATGGTGTAGGGTGTAGGCCGAGAACAAAGTGAAGAAAAGACAGATCACACGAAGTAATATATAGTTTGAAACTAGTATCACTGCCATGACATCCAATAGTAGCCTACGCATTCATAACATACTGCAAGACACATTGATAGTCTTAAGCGGCATACAGTGATGCCAATGAAATGAAATGTCCGAAACCTCCTTACAGGTGTATTATCACTACACGTCCATTTAAGTTTTTGCTGGCATGACTCGGCCTAAGCACTCGTTATTGTCCTAAAATATAAATGTGGTTCTAAAGCTAGAATACTGGCGTTCCTCCGAGATCAATGGCAAGATCCGTGAGCTCGGGAATCTGGAGCTGTTGAAGCAACGGCCACACTAGCTCGTCATCGCCTTCGTCAGCATAAAGGCGCCGAAGAGAGGCGTCGGCGAGATTCTGTGCGGCGTCGACCACAAGCGCAAGCGGCAGCGAGGAACGGCCTGCAAGCGGCACCGCGAAAAGCGCCTCGCGCACCCGCGCAAGTGCGGCAAGCAGGGCCACTGCTGGCGGGTCCAAGCGCGTCCGGATATACTCGAGTGCGCTGACAGTTGTGACGGGACGAGCGCGTGTGCTTCCACCTTCGAATTCGTTTGCGATAACGTCTCGACCGCCCTCTTCCAGACCCAGTTCATTGGTCTCTTGGTCGTAGTGTCTTATACGGTCTGATTTACGTGCTTCGCGTATTGCCAAGTCCACTACTGCCGCCAAAATCTGCCCTCCGTCAAGGGCCATGCCAAAATGCTCGTGGAGCAGAAGCACCACGCCAAGTTTGCGCGCGTTCACGCGGCGATACATGTCGGGCGGAACACATACACTGGCGCGCGCGGGAGAGTACTGTAGCACGCCGAAGCGGGCCGCAAGTTCTCTTTCGGCGCGGATGCGGCCAGGGTCGCTCGACGAATCGGTGGGTTCATTGTCGGCGCCGTTTTCTCTCTGGTGGTTCTCGGTGTCGTTCCCCAAGCCGCCTTCTGTTTCCGAGCCTACTGGAATTTCTCTCTGCCTCTCTCTCTCTCTTTCTCTTTCTCCCTCTCTCTCCGCTTCTCGTTCTGCGTCCGCCCCTCTCTGTTTGAGAACATGAAGGTGGAATTGGAGCAACCGCACACGCTGTGCTTGCTCGCTCTCTATAGTTTCGGCATCCAAAACGAGCGCACCCCGCCGTGCAACATGCTCCACCGTTTCACTGGTCACCAACCGGAGACGGAAAAACCGCACGTCTATGGCCCGTGGAGTGGCCCCGATTACAGACAAATCTTCCTTTGCGCGTGCGCGAGCCTCGTCGTCTGGCGCGAGGCGCCGCGTTCTCCTCTCCACACGCCTCCGCCACTTTTCCACGCCGACATTCAACGGCGACGAGTAGTGGGCTCCGACTACCATGTCAATTACCCAGGGGCGCGGATGAGAAAAGAGCGAGTGCATGCGGCGGTTGGCAAGATGGAGCTGGTTGCACTCGCCCACGCCTACATGGCAGAATATTTGGAAAAGAAGGTCCGGCGGAAGCGACTCGAGCGTGTGTTTTAGGGCGGGCTTTCGCGCGACCAGTGTTGCGCGCGCTGCCTCCGTTCGCGTTTGTGCGATAGCATTGGCCGGCGCGTGTGCAAGCGAGGCGGCCGCGCTGTTCTTGGGGTGCAAGGGCGCCCGGCGCCGCGCGCGGGAAAAATGACAAAAGCTCCGCTTAGTGCCGTAATCCGAGTAAGCGGCTCCAGAAAGAAGATAGCCCATGAAAGCGATTTGTTGAGAAGTATGAAAGTATGCAAATGGTGTATTGAATGTAGGAAGATCTTGGAGTTCAAGATCGTTGGATGAACAGGAAAGAGCGGGTTGGAACCGATGATACACGCGGATGATGTGAATGAACGATGGTTCGTTTGGACGAAAGCCAGATGAAATGCAACAAGTGTGGTAAATGGTGTAAGCAGAAACTTAATGTCTAGTCAAAGAGGACGTCAAGAATGCATAGGGAAAGCTGTTTCTGTTTAGTTGAGTTTGACGCTCCTAAGATGAGAAATGTACAGTAGTGCGATGAGACATATCCGGCTCAATACCTATCAATCACTATTATAGAGCAGTTCAGGTAAATCCGAATTTTTTTTCGATATTTTCACTTTTATTGTAATGGGCCAAAGATATACATCTTCCTACTAGAATAGTCTTTCTTCAGTCCACATGGATGGTCAAAGTGTATGAGGCGAGAGGAAGTATAGATTTGAATGCTTCAACTACTCTAGGCCAGAGAGAAACGTAAAAGCGAATGTGGCATATTTACCATCATATCCTTCCATGAACAAATTATACAGCAGACTTACTAAATATCATTAATATTAAGATTGTTACGACAAAACAACAACAACAATTGCGTACCAGAATTGCGTGGTTGGATACATACGATTAGTAACTATTGAAGAAACAAAATAAAACCAAAGAACAAAAATATGACAGCTTAGATTGGAAACTTAGCTGAGAAAGAAAGATTTTAATTCCAACAGTTCATGCTTTAAGTATAACCTACTTGCATTCAAAAGACCATATATTGGTAGCTATTCAGACATCACAGATGCCAGGTTTCTAGAGCTGACTTACAACTTGCCCTTTTCCTTGAACTGCTCCTCAGTCACACCAGCACCCATAGCAGCAGTCGAAGTGACACCACCAGACACCATACGTAACAACAGGTCAATGTACTCAGCACCAGACCACTTTTGGTGCTTGACTACTTCAACACCGCTCTCGATTTCAGGCTTTTGAACCTGTTGGCCATAGGCCTTCATACCGATCTCAGCGTAGTTCTTGGCAAAAGTGTCCACGGCCAAAGCGGTGGTATGCAAGCCCGCCAAGGTGATGAATTGCCAGACGTAGCCCAACTTACCGAGACGCTGGATGTAAGTCTCCTGGTCTGCGGCGCTCATAGCCGAGTTCCAGTTGAAAGATGGAGACAAGTTGTAGGCAAGCCATTGGTCAGGGTACTTGCTCTTGATACCTGCAGCAAACTCCTTGGCTTGGTCGTAGTCTGGCAAAGCAGACTCCATCCAAATCAAGTCAGCGTAAGGAGCGTAAGCTCTTCCACGCATCACAGCACACTGGGTTCCACCAATGTAACGGTAGTATCCTTCTTTAGTACGGGAAACGTCCCAGTTGAAGTAAATGTCCTTGCCCAAAATGGAGCGGGCAATTCTTCTGGCCTCCTTGTGCGAGGTCTCTGACAATGGGTTCACTTGGCGAGTGAACTCGGAAATGGCCTTCTGCTTGTCTGGCAAAGAAGACTCCTTGATGGCATCAATCACAGCCTCAGAGAACAACTTGATGTTGGCATTTTTCGTCCAGTCTGCCTCGATAGCAGCCAAACGCTCGCCATAGATGCCCTTGGCCTCTGCCTCGGCCATCAAAGTGGCCAAGTCTGGGGTGTCTGGGTTGGTGGAGCCAGCAATAAAGTAGTGGTCTCTGTGGTCAATGGTCGAGGTGATCAACGTGGCAGCTTCCGAGTCTGTACGTGCCACAGCCAAGAGGTCCAGCCCACACATGTCTGCGCTCGCACGGATCGCCACAAGACGGTTAATGTGCTCCTGAACAGGGACCAACACCTTACCACCCATGTGGCCACACTTCTTGGTACCTGGAGCCTGGTCCTCAATGTGGATACCAGCAGCACCACGCTCAATAAACAACTTGGTCAACTTGATGATGGCAGTCAATCCACCGTGACCTGTATCAGCATCAGCAATGATGGGACGGAGAAAGTCAATGTACGGCGTCTTTGCTCTTTGCTCCTTGGTCATGGACAAACGCTCCGATCTCTGCTTTCTGTCGTGGAAAAGTTGCGCAAACCACAAGTGCTCGGTCTTGTTGGGCACAGTGTCGTATGGGTAGTCGGCCAAGTCAGGCGAAGGCTCGTTCGAAGTGGACGCAGTCGATGAACATTGCCAACCAGAAACGTAAATTGTGTCCACGTACTTGGCCATTTGCGAAACATGGATAGGGTCCAAAGCACCGAAAGTGAAGGACACGGTCTTGGTGCGGTCACGCTCTTCGAGAGTCGCGTACAACTTCTTCGCTTGATTCGACGAAGGGTAGTCGATTTTGAGAGTTCCTCTCTTAGCAGCAATCTCCTCGGCAGTATAGATCCGCTTGGTTTTCTTCCAGCGGGGTTGTGCCCACCAGCGCTTGATTTCAGCAACTTGGTTTTGGAAGAACTGTTCTTCTTGATCGACGTCAATCTTAGTGTAGGCCATGTTTGATGGAGAAAGAATGAATGAAAAAAAAAAAGCTGATGATGGGATGGGGGAATTATGGCTTTTTTATACTCTAGTGGGAGGTAATGAAAATTACCCCAGACTTCCGCTCGCCCTTGGCGGCCTCGGATGTGCGGACGACGGACATGGCGAAAAACCGAGGGCTGTGCACTCGACACAAATGTCGTTCTAGATTATTAGCTCTTTGCAAGCAAGACGACAATGTCCTCACCCCCTAGTATTTTCTGCAATGTCTCTGAAGGGTGTCCCATGTCTCGCCGAACCTTGCGCAACACATGCTCATACTTGCAGCCACCCCAGATTCTAAGTCACAGGAAACCGCAAGTCCGGGGTAATCCTGCATAAAACAATTTTGCATACAACCACCCACCCACCGGAGTCGGCGCCGAAGCTTCCGTGCGTCCGGCCACTCGGACTTAGCTCACTCCGGCCGTGACTCACAATCATATTGTGGAACGACATTAATTGATGCGGGGGCCAAATGGAGAAGCCATCTGGAAGTTGAAAATACTGAGTCACTTTTTCAAAAGAGCCTTTAGTGTGGTGAAAGCATATGCAAGCACAGGTAATGTACCGCAATGTCTATCCCGGATCTTCCAGGCGCAATTTTAGCACCGGGAGAATGCTTTACAAAGCCAGGAAATGACTAATAGGCAAGAGGATCAAAAAGTTTGAAGAGTGCAGAAACAGTAACTTCTCAAGAATCGCCCATGGAGAGAAAAAACTATACAAGACGTTTCAATGGGTGAACTTAGATTGTCATTTACGTATTCAAGATTGGACCAGCATTCCAACAGCCAAGACAAATGTCTGGACCGCATATAGGATCATCAAAGATGCAATCGAGGACTGTTCTCTGTATTCCCATTCATGGACAGAAAGGAAAGTCTGTGTTTTGATCCAATTAAATGTGCACTATGGCATCCACAATGTTCTCTCTACTACCCAATGATAACCGACCCTGTTGATGGAGCAGCCATGATAATTTTGGCAATGACGGACATTCTACAAACTGATAAGGGTTTGTGTAGAGCAGGATAGCGCATATGGCTGAAATCATGAGTCGAAGTGATGGTAGCTGCCAGTAACCCGTATGTTAAGCTGGGACGACCAAGTCTACAGTTTTGGTATTTCAAATGGCTCGTGCAACGTAGAATACGCAGAGTTCAAGATTTTTCACAACGAAACAACACGAAGATTCTCCAAGCACTTAAACACAGACATTTCGACATAAGCAACTTCGGAGTTTGGGTGTATGTACATGGCTGGAGGCACCAACAAGAGGTAAAGGCACCGAAAAATGGTTGTGCGTGGGCCAAGTAATACAAGTGTACATGCTAGGGTGAATTTGTATATATGCTTGGGCCAAGTAATACAAGTCTACATGTTGGGGTGAGTACACATAATAAGCTTGGGCCAAGTAACAAGTCTACATGCTGGGGTGAGTACATATAATAAGCTTGGGCCAAGAAATACAAGTCTACATGCTGGGGTCAGCACATATAATACGCTTGGGTCAAAGACATCCCATCCACATCCGTTTGGCGCATCGTGAACGCAAACTTATAGTCTCAGGCGGAATCGAGTAGTCGAGTTCCCTTCATCCATCAGCAGAAGCCTCACGGAAGAAATTGCAGTGCCTTTCCGAGCCGCGCCACATAAATGTCAAGATCGGGCAACATGCTCGCCTGTATGAAGCGATCCGTCAAGCGCGAAAAGTCGCTCCGCCCCATCTCCATCGCCCATCGCTCTGTCTGGTTTCCTTTCCCATGCTTCTGGCCGTGATTCCTCAGCAGTACTGGCCCGACATCGATCCGGCGCTCCTTCGGGCAATCGCAAACGTCGCCATCTCCCTCACCCCGCTCTACACTTATGGCACCGCTTGCTATTCGATTCACCGCCGCCGGCTGTCGGCTGGCTTTTCCATTGACATTTGTGCCACCATGCTAATGGCGTCCATTCTTCGCATTCTCTACTACTTTGTCACGCCCTTCGAGCCGCTGTTGCTTCGCCAGGCGCTTGTCATGACCTTAGTGCAGTGCGCTTTGCTCCGCGTGCTGTTGCATCATCGGCCCGCCACATACTCGCCCGACGGATTGGCGGCGCGCCCGCCGCTCGCGCCCAACTTGGCCGCGCCGCGCTTGCTGGGCCCGCGCTTCTACCTCGACATGGCGCGCGCTTTGGGCGCACACGCCCTCCGTTTGTTCGACGTGCACTTCCGCCGGCCCGGCTGTTTCTGGCAGTGGCGCGAGGAGGCGCCCTACTGGCGGTTTCTCGCCGTCTTCAGCGCCGTTTTCGCCGTGCTCACGGGGCTTTTCCGCTCGAGCCCCTGGTACGGTGCCTTCATTGGAACCTTGGGGCTTTTCATCGAGGCCTTGCTCCCGCTCCCTCAGATTCTTATGCTCCAGCGTCTCGGCACCGTGGAAAACTTCAAAGTCATTCTATTGGTGTCGTGGCTCGGCGGTGATTGCTTGAAACTCAGTTACTTGTTCTTTGGCACCGATAATGTCTCCAGTATCTTTGTGGCGGCTGCCTTGTTTCAGATGGGGTTGGACTTGATCATCTTGGCCCAATACTTACATTTCTGGGCCGCCGACCGCCGTCGCGCGTCTCTTCCAATGTACGAAATGGAAGCCCTTCCGCCAGTTTCATGAACATACACAAAATATCTTTCGTTGAATCCGCAACAGAGCAATGTCGGTCGGCCTTACCTACAAATTGCAACTTGCCTTAATTGCGACTTACCTTAATTGCGACTTGCCTTATTTCCGGCGTTACACCTAATTTACCAAGCATTCTACATATTGCATAAGCTTGCATCTTGCAGTAGTAAACTGCAACCTGCAAGCATGTATACACTTCATTCGTTTATAGACATCAATTATACCGTACATATCTAAAAGCAAACAAATCCACATTGCAAACACAACGCATCTTCAAGTACTCCCACGGCCCTTACTGAAATACATTAGCTATTTACAGAGTGGATCTATGCCGCAGGCGGCGTAGAAAAAAAAAAAAAAAAAGTTGCTTTCGCTCGTTTAGATCGAAACAAACTCCACATTCTCCTTGGCTTCATTGATCAAATCAACAGCCTCCTGGCCACTGAGACCATGCTTGACCTTGATATGGCGCGACAAAGCGTCTCCTCTAGAAAACGTCTTTTGCTTACCGTTTCCTGTTCCACCGTTGTATCTGCCTTCACAAATCACACAACGGAAAATCCTCTTCTTTGATGCATGTATCGTCTCCTGGTGTCTGATCAAGTCATAAGGCCGACTAAACTGCTTGTTACAAGGTTGACCGCTGGATGGATTTATCAAGTCGCATTGGTGGTTCGGATTGGTGGCCGTGATCTCAGCTGCACTTCTATGGTAGTCAGGTGTTATACGCAGCACTGGCTGGACGTTCATGGAAGCAGGCGATACCTCCGCCTCTTCCATCACCACCTCCATTTCATTGTCAACTGGAGAGCTAGTGTCAGCATGTGGAACATCCATTTCATCCGCAAGCTCTGGCTTCGCACCCTCATCCATGAAGTCATGATTCTCGATAGAAGGCAAGTTTAATGGCATAAACTTCTCAGTCGATGGAACTTGGAAGTCAAAACCATTATTCATGTTGTAATCATCAAACTCATCATTTTCATCTTGGAAGTAGTTGTCATCATCAGAGTCATCACTCAAGTCTTCGGCATCCTCGAAGAAGTCATCCACTCCAAAATAATCGTTTTCAAATCCAACAACAGGAACGCTCGGAAGGCCCTGGCCATTCTTAGGCGTGTCCAAATCACCGTTTGTGATGAACATGGAGTTATCTAGGTAGTCCTCTGTGTTGAAGTAGTTTCTGTTTGTCATTAACTGCGAGGGCTGGATATCAGTGTTAAATAAGTAATAGTCGTCGTCCTTTGATTGCTTTCCAGTTTCAGGTTGGTCAAGAGTAGTTATACGCCCCCGTCTAGTAAAGGGCATATTAGTTCGTAACTGGTCTGGTTGGATATATGCGGGATTCTGTTGCTGTTGCTGTTGCTGCTGTTGTTGCTGCTGTAGCTGAAGCTCAGGGTTGGCATATGCATTAAAGGGGTTGATCTTGGTAGCAGAAGAGTCTCCGTTGTATGTGCTGTAATCATTCGAGTTGTCCAAATATAGTGGCGGTACACTGCTGTTTAAAGCAGTATTCGAGCCATTCACTCTATTGTAGTGTTCGACAAATGAATCAGGGATATTAAGCAAGTTGGAGAGAATCGTGGACGTCGTGTTTCCATTCATGGCAGGAGAAGCAGCTGCAGGCCGCAGCTCGAAAGCCGGGCTTGCCGGGGATTGATAAAGCTCCTCGTCCATAAGATCGGTTGCAGTCCTGGTCAAAGCGGGTAAGACAGCCAAAGAAGTCATTTTGGCTAAGTAGTCTTCGAAAGATTGAGGGTCTTGAGGATCCAAAATAGCAGTTTTCAGGCGCTTGTGCACTTTTTGCAACAAGGAGCCCGGGTTTTTAAAGGGGTAGGCGTGTTTCAAGAATAAAACTAGCCTGTTTCAAGCCAAAGATAGGCTTTGAGAGCGGATGTAGGTAAAAGAAGCGGGTAACCTAAGCGAAAACTTTAGAACCTGTAAAAACTTGATGGAAGCGGTAGATGTATGCGCTGATCAAGTGGAAATGAGGTAAAAAAAAACGGAAAGATTTGAATGCGGTCAATCTGATGGCAAACGGTGGCAATATATACGTAGGCTTACTAAGCGCGGCATCCCTGCACATAAACAGACGGGGTTTACTTTCTCCTAGAACGAGAAGGGATAAATTTGGGCTCGTACATGACAGAAATGCACCTAGGGATTTCCCATGAGTCACATGTGTTTCAGTCATTCAATTTAGCACGTTTTTAATCTTATTGTGTTGGCCCTATGCCTTGTAAAGAAGGAGTTGCGGCCGCGAAGAACGAGAGCGAACGCCACCGAACGTAGAAGAGAAAAAAAAAATAAATAAAATTAAAACCCAAACAAAAAACAGAGCTAAACGTTCTGCCCAGTAAAGCAAAAACATGCCTTAGATCGTCCCTGCAAGAATTCTCACACATTTTGTGCCCTCGCCCAATCGTCGATCTATGTTAAGCCGTTTCTGCGCGCCGGAGTAATCAATATCTCCGTCCTAACGCCGCGGGAACATGACTTGTTGACATCACCGATCGGGCTTCGTACCGACGAACTTCACGTGCAGTTTTAAGCCTTATTGAATCTTCGTTTACAACTAGTATTTATACCTCTTTGCAAAACGTGCGTTTACAACCACTTTTTTTACAGCCAACTTTTAAGTAGCCAGCTTTTACAGCCATATTTACAACCAATTCTCACAAACATTTATAACAGCCATGACTGCCCTTTTAAAGCCATTTAAAGCTTCGCAAATAATATATTTTGACAGCCACTTTAATTGCTATATCCGCTATCGCGGACCCTGCATTTTCTTTTTTTCCGCCACAATTTGTCCCCCAAAATTTGCTCGTACGTTTTTCGTAGAGACGGATTTACCTTTTTTTCCCTCACGTTTCTTGCTCACAAAAGAAATTTGTCTTCGCGAGTCTGGGTTTCAGACAGAAGATTTTCTCTCTGGAGATATGCCCAAAAAGGCAATTCGTGTCATTGCTAAAACACCGGAATTTGCGCCTCTACGGCCTCTAGAACACTCCTTATCATAACATTAAACCAATAACATTACACCATCCTACAACCTTTCATCTTCTAACCCTCTCAATGCATGGCCGAATTTATTTCGCATATTTCTCCTTTCCCCTTACTCCTGTGGGCCCCTGATTTATTTTCCTTCATCTCTTATCTGAAGAAGTCACGTGCAAGGAGGTTCCAGCGTTAATGCGAAACCTTTTTAGGCAATCAATGTTGAAGCAGCTGTTTACTATATTGCCATATTGCTTTCAGTTGTTCTCTCCTCATGTTATTAGAAGATATCAAAACTCACGTCTTTATGAGGTTAGACTCACGCCTTTATGAGGTTAGACTCACGTCTTTATGAGGTTAGGCTTTTGGCCCAATTAATTAGGGTAACAAGGTAGAAGTTGTGAGATCGACTAATTGTTTCATTTACAACTTCTGTTGACCCTCCATTGCCACTTTAGCCATGCCCTTTTTCGCCAATTCCTCATCCAAGTAGTAGTGTGGCCGCGCCAAGTGGCCATCTTGGTCAAGTTCGAAAACAAGCGGCACACCTGTAGGCGCATTGATTTTGCTGATGTCTGCATCGCTAACATTATCAAAATGCTTGATCAAACTGCGTACGATTGATCCATGCGTCACCACCAAAACGGTTTTATTTTCAGTCAAGAGCAGCTGCTCAACAATCTCCTTGGACACAAATGGAATGAGGCGTGCCATGGTTAATTCAAGCGACTCGCCAGTTGGGATTTCGGACCGGTCTAAGTTAGCATACCGCTCGTCCACCGAGGTATCTTCGTCCACATCCAGCCTAGGTGGAATTGCGTGGAAGTCTCGTCTATAGTACTGGAATTTCTCTTTCCCATACTCATTAAAGACTTCTGTCTTGTCACGGCCTTGAAACAGGCCATAGTGGCGCTCATTGAGCCGCCATGTTTTGATTTCCGGAATCCACAGCCTGCCGAGCGTTTCCAATATGATATTCCCCGTTTTGATCGACCGCTGGAGCATCAGAGTGTACATAATGTCCGGCTTGATGTTGTACTTTTTGATCAACTCGCCTGCGTGCTGTGCCTCTTGTTCGCCTTTTGCTGAAAGAGGGATGTCAATCCAGCCGCAGAAGCGATTTTCGTGGTTCCATTGCGATTCACCGTGGCGAAGGACAATAAGTTTATGCGCCATGATTATGAAAAGAGTTTGTGGTGGAGTGTGGATGACTCTCCGGACGTCAGGCTACCATAATCTTTCGATGCTTGTCACGTGCACGACAGTGCGCACCTGACGTATGTTTCAAGTATGTTCTTGCGAATGCACTTGCACGTAAGGTTGCTGTGAAATGAGATGACATCACTTTTGCGCCGTAAGGTATGCTACTAGCAGAATAAGAGAAGGAGGAGAACTCCAATGGCAACCGAGGACTATGGGGATGAGCCCCATTCATCAAATTTTCTCTCAGTGGCTTTATGCACGTGACACAGTGCACGTGTATATTTCCTTATCTCTAAGAATGCGCTAGATTTAAACTGTGCAGGAGACAGAACTATAGTGGGAGCCGCACAATGCAACCTCGTTCTCATCACTGCAACATGGATTCATGCCATGTTGCACCAGTATATTAAGTGGCTCTGCTACCGGAAAATCTGATATAAGGTGTTACCCAGTCATCCCCAACTTATTCCACATCTCACCTAATGTCCATCACTGTATCAAAGAAACCGCTCACCCAGATTGATTGTCACACGACCGCCCACCGCGTTATAAGTGGCATGAGCATTAGCATTATCCACTCTCCCGATATGCCTTCTGCTTCTAAAGTCTCGGAAAGGCCCTTTACCTGGGCAGAGGTTCGGGATATCGTCAAGTATAACGACTTGGAGGCTCTTGCACGGTCGCAGAGCACCACAGAAAAATATCTCTCCTTCAAGAAACAATTGCGCGAGGCACATACCACCGTGTTTAAACATCTTGTGGTGGAGACGTTAAAGTGGCGCACCAAAGAACAAGTCCAGCTGCTTGATGACTCGGAGATCGTGGTTCCTCGCAGCGGTAGCCCCTTGTTCTGCAACGCAGAAGATTTGAAGATCGTTCTCAATGACTTCCCTTATCACTTTGAGGACGACGTAGTACACTTGTGTGTCTGGACAAAGAAAAGAATAGAGTCGGATCCCAACAATCTGTTTGGCGACATCTCTCCACGGATGAGAGCTCATATCGAAAAGTACGTGGTCAAGACATTTGTCGATGGCTTAGGCATCTCCCGGGAAGATTTAGTTTGGTTTCGGAACTGGGATGCACTCCAGAGTGTTAAGGAGATTAGCCATATTCATGTTGTAATCAAGGGCATGACACTGGAGCAGTTGCATCAGGTGCTTGGAGGACCAGGTGTTCCGTTGGACGAACTGGAAGTAGATATGACATTGAACTAGAGTTCTAGAGATTAAAACGAAATTGAGCAAGGCAATACACGAGACGCCACCCCCAACCTGGTCATAATTGGTCATCCCTAACCGGGAAAGAGCCGGCTCTAAAATATTTGCATCATCGAGAGCAAGCCGGAAACAGCCCTCGATACCTCTACTGAACATTGACTAACTGCAATATCCAAACGCCCATTTAGCGCCGATTATACCCGCAGCCAACTACACTTGATCTCATCAGACATAAATTATTAATATACAATCCCTAAGCACCAGCTTAACCACCGAAACCGTACAAGGTTCTACCTTGTCTCTTCAAAGCGTAGACGACATCAAGAGATGTGACAGTCTTTCTCTTGGCGTGCTCAGTGTAAGTAACAGCGTCTCTGATAACGTTCTCCAAGAAGGACTTGAGGACACCTCTGACTTCTTCGTAAATCAAAGCAGAAATACGCTTAACACCACCTCTTCTCGCCAATCTTCTGATGGCTGGCTTTGTAATACCTTGAATGTTGTCTCTCAAGATTTTTCTGTGACGCTTAGCACCACCCTTTCCGAGACCTTTTCCACCTTTTCCTCTACCAGACATTGTAAGTAGTTAGTTTGTTAATAAATGTAGTTAAAAAACTATGAGAGAAAAAAAAGAAGAAAAAAGCAAGGGGCGCGGGCGCTCTAATATATACCAATGTTGCTCACGCAATTCGGGGGCAAATTAATTTTGTCTCGGTTACTCCCCTTTTTTTTCCCTCACTTTACTTTGGCTACTTTCCTCACCTCGTTCGCATTTTTTTTGTGCACTTCTCAAGGTGAGAAAAGCTCTTTAGTGAGGCCAAGTTGGCGAAAAAACTGCTTTTTGGCGCGCGCGGAGAACCTGGAGGTACGGATCTATGGCCCAGAAGCGCGACATTCATGGTGCTGCGATTTACCCAAATGCGTCTGAATATCACAGCACGCGAACCAAGTAGCTTTTTTGGCGGAAAAGCGAGGCGATAATGTCGGGCTGCAAAAGCGTACATGCAGAATATCTTCGTTGCAGCACCCACTTTGATATATAAACATGCGAAGTTTCCCTGTAGGCTAATCTTTCTTCATTATCTACATTGAACAACAATGGCTAGAACCAAGCAAACCGCAAGAAAGTCCACTGGTGGCAAGGCCCCAAGAAAGCAATTGGCTTCCAAAGCCGCTAGAAAGTCTGCTCCATCTACCGGTGGTGTCAAGAAGCCTCACAGATATAAGCCAGGTACCGTTGCCTTGAGAGAAATCAGAAGATTCCAAAAGTCCACTGAGCTTTTGATCAGAAAGTTGCCTTTCCAAAGATTGGTTAGAGAAATCGCCCAAGACTTCAAGACCGACTTGAGATTCCAATCCTCTGCCATTGGTGCTTTGCAGGAATCCGTCGAAGCTTACTTGGTTTCCTTGTTTGAAGACACTAACTTGTGTGCTATCCACGCCAAGAGAGTCACCATTCAAAAGAAGGACATCCAATTGGCCAGAAGATTGAGAGGTGAGAGATCTTAGGTGCGCTAAGCTGGTTTACTTCTCTCTTGTATTATTTAACCCCTTGTATATTAGTAATGACATGATACCGATACACTATGTAACATTTCGATAATTTTTTTTTTCCTTTTTCTTTTTTTCTTTTTTGTTTGTCGTCTTGAGATGCTTCATCTCATAACTAAGCGTTATTTCTGTTACTTGTTCGGCTTTCTTAATACTCTCGGTAATATATAAAATCTCTACATTCGTCTGTTAGGGGATGCGTCAGATAAATATTTCTTAGAATGGATATACTGAAGGTTCTGTTTCGGGAACATATCCTCTCTTCTCTTGCTGCTCGGCTTTTTCTTGCAAGTATGGCAAAAGAACATCCTTAAACTTCTCGTAACCACGGTACTCGCGAACATCGTCGCTCCAACTCTCCACTGCGTTAAGGAGTCTTCTGGGTACATGTGGCTCTTCAACTAGCTCTGCCATTGGCACGAAGTAAGTACGAATGGTGAACACGACTGCACCGGTCTTAGGCAACCGCCGCAAACTTTGTCTTTCACTGCGGTAGTACAACTGCTCCGGCTTTACAGCTGGCTTTGCCGTGTACCATCCGACAACTTCAGATTTTTCATCACCAATAGACGAGGACCAGCCCAAGTCACTATCGGTCTGAATGAAATAGTTATTTCTAATAACCGGCTTATCACATGTAAGACGAGTGAAAAATTTCGCCATTCCACCGTGGAGCTTCTCCTGATACTTTGGAACGTCACCAGAAGTGTGGATTGCGTGTAATGGCATACCCACTTTGTCCTTGAAGCGCCAAAATCCTGGCAAAATGATGGCACCAGCCTTCAAGTAGTACACACCGTCACTGCCTTCAACCATGATTGCCAAGTCATCTTGCACCATCAATGCTGCCATCACCATTGGGTCTTCCTTAATTTCATCACGGTTGCAGTTGCGGAATATAAAGCGCTCGCCTGTAAGCAAATTCTCCAAGCCTGAGTCAAGCTGCCTGAAAAGAGTGGGGTATCTATTCGGAAGATACAGCCAGAATTCATCCAACAACTCAAAAGCAGCATCGCGGGCTTCGGGGTATGTTCCATGAACTTCGTCTCCCTTCTCTTTCAAACGATCCAACTTCTCCTGGTGAAATTTCATCCATTCATTGTCCAACTCAATCCAACTGTCCCATTCCATATTGCGGATACCCATTGTAATATTGTACTTGTGCTTGAAGGCACGGTAAGGAAGTGGACGTGTCTTCTGAGCATCCCAGTGTGGGTAGGGACGTGGTACTGGGGTTTTGAACGATTCAGGTGTCCAAGTACCAGGTACTCTATTTTTGTTCGAAACCACAGGCTTTTTAACCTTGCGTTGTGGTTTGAGCACATATGCCACAGCAAGTGCCACAAATAGCACAATATAGACGTAGTGCTTTGGTTCCAAAGTCATTGTTTGGCAATAGATGCGAATAATTAGCAACAACCGATGAGGAAGCAGAATAAATAAGCTTGCAGTTGAAAAATCGAAAAAGAGTTGCGATTATTCACGATTAATAAGCAAAAGTCGCTATTCGATAGCAAATGCAAAATCAAAGTTATGCCTATTTGTGTCCTTGGGTGCACCTTATAGTGGTGAAGCGCTTATCAGCGCGGGTGCGAATTCCTTTCTAGGAAAAAGCATCCACTAGGCTGGTGGTAAAAACGCACCAAACATAGCAGTCTGGACCGCGCACCACACCACCATGTACGCCATACACCAACGTCCCCAGCGAGCACCTGTAAGCCCCTTCTGGGTAAAAAACCCGGCCATAAGCCAGTACACGCTAGGTAAGAAAGTGTGAATACGCGTGACGATCTGCACGTGCCAGAACAACACCACCATCATGACGAACAAGCCGTTGACAGCCAGAACAGCCAGCACACGGTCCACAGGATACTCATATTGGAAATACCGAATACTCACCACCAGTAACGTCACCACAGGGATCGCAAACATGAAGTTCGGAATGTTGTTTGCACTCCAGTAGCGCATGAAACCTACGTTCCAATAGTGGGACTGAGCATAGGCAAAGAGCGATGGCACCACTTGGTCGCACCACTCACCGCGGCCGAGGGAACAAACTGAAACGTAGTTGGCTACATTGGAGGCCACGAAAGAGGCGCCCAATATACAACCAGCCGCCAACGCCCATATGCGTCTAGCTGTTAAACCAGGGCCCACCAACACACCGGCCGTTCGGGGCCAGGCCACATCCCAGAGATAGACACCGCCCAACAACAAGCAATTGGCACGCATGCCGTAAGCTAGAGCAGCAAAGATGCCGCTAGCCACGTATAGAGAGCCCACGCCTTGGAGCGTACCACTCTCGCGCAAGTACAAACACGCGAAACTGCAGAGGGCAGCGGCCAGCTCGGCGTACGGTGCGGTGAGAAAAATGCCTGCGGGCGAAATCACAAACACAACTTGGGCCGCGCGCGCCATGCGCTGGGGCGAAAAAAGACGAGCGTCCTGAAAAACAAGGCGGGTGTAGGCACCAAGCACAAGTGTCGCGGCATAGTGGGCGGTGCACGATAACAATGTCGCGCACAAAAACCGGCTGTAAAAATTATGGCAGCCAAGCTGGCGGCTACAAAAACTCACGAGCCGCCACCAGAGAGGACAGAAAACATTTTCATGCTCATAGGTTATCCCGTTCGTGAAAAGGTGGCTAAAGTAAACCGCATCCCAGACGACTAAACGGTCTACAACGCGAGACAAGACAAACTCTGCAGCCTTTTGTAAAGGAATGGGAAACGCTGAGACAAGGGCATATTTTTCAGGACGATGGTGGGATAGGAGTATCTGCGACGAAGTATCAAATTGCGCAGGAACAAGCGAAAGAAGCACGAACTGGGCGGCTTTTGACGCGAGGAAAAGCGAAAGAAGCCGCATGGTGATGAGAAGGTGTTGAAGTGGTGATGTTGGAGCAGAGCGCGAGTAATTATGCAGGACGTGTACCATTCGAGCCTCTCCAAGAAGATAGGACAGAACACTGTAAGGTGGGGGACTTAATGATGAAAGAAATGCAAAGAAGTTGGCAGAGGAAAAAACTTAGTAACTGTTCCCTTTTTAATCTATGTGGGTTAGCATAATGCGTCATTACATTCTTTGAACCAAAGAAACACTTTGCTAAAATCCCTGTTTCCTCACCACATAGCAAATAATAATAGAATATATTTATACATCCCACTTATAGGTGCCCGTATATTAGGAGCATGGAAGGACGCGAACGCCCTGAATGTCTAGTACTTACTTCTTGCCAAATTGCGCAGCGAACGAGTCAATGATACCCGCAACAGATTGTGGGTTAGCCAATGTCAGGATGTCACCCAACTGGTCAGCTTCATTTGACGAGATCTTACGCAAGATACGGCGCATGATCTTACCAGAACGTGTCTTTGGCAAGTCCTGGACAATGATCACAGACTTTGGTGCCGCAAATGGTCCAATCTCTTTACGAACCACCAACACCAACTCACGACGCAAAGCGAACGCCTCCTCAGAAGTCTCGTTGCCATTGATGGCATCGGCAACTTCGTCCTTCAACGCAACAAACGCAACAACAGCCTGACCGGTCAAGTCATCATTGATACCAACCACAGCCGATTCAGAAACACCGTGGTGTTCGATCAAAGCAGCTTCAATCTCGGCTGTAGACAAACGATGTCCCGACACATTGACAACGTCATCCACACGGCCACGGATCCAGTAGTAGCCATCATGATCACGCGCAGCACCGTCACCTGTGAAGTAGTAGCCAGGGTATGGTTTCAAGTAGGTGTCCATGTACTTTTGGTGATTACGGTACACAGAACGTGCCATAGATGGCCATGTGTTCTTGATCGCCAAAACACCCTCTACATCATTGCCCTTGACTTCGTGGCCCGACACCGGGTCGATGATGCATGCGTCAATACCAAAGAGAGGCAAAGAGGCCAGGCCAGGCTTGTTGGGTGTAACACCAGCGAGTGGAGCAATGAAGTGCGAACCACTCTCTGTCTGCCAGTAAGTGTCCGAGATGTGACACTGGCCACGGCCAATCTTTTCATGGTACCACTCCCAAATGTCTGGGGAAATAGGCTCACCGACGGAACCCAAGGTTCTCAACGATGTCAAGTCGTACTTTTCAATCTCGTGTTCGCCAGCCTTTCTCAAAAGACGCAACGCAGTAGGAGCGATGTAAAAGTGTGTTGCGCGGTGCTTATCGATGATCTGGAACAAACGACCGTAGTCAGGGTAAGCAGGTGTACCTTCGAACACCACCGTTGGGACACCCAAAAGGAGAGGACCGTAAAGGGCATAGGTGTGGCCGGTGATCCAGCCAACATCACCTGCAGTAAAGACAACATCCAGGGAATGCACATCAAAAACGTATTTGGTGGACATAGCTGCACCAAGCAAGTAACCACCAGTAGTGTGAACCACACCCTTTGGAGAGCCGGTAGAGCCCGAAGTGTACAACAAGAACAATGGGTCCTCAGCGTTGACAGACACAGGTGGAAGATAACCTGGGAACTTGGCAGTTTCCTCATCCCACCAGAAGTCACGACCAGCAACAGTCGCAATGTCAGGGTTACCTGTTCTGCGGTGAACCAACACCTTTTCCACTGATGGGCACGATTGCAAAGCCTCGTCACATAACTTCTTGATGTTGATGGTCTTACCACCACGCTTACCCTCGTCACAAGTAATCAAAGCCTTGCATCCAGCATCATTCACACGGTCGCGGATGGATCCAGCAGAGAAACCAGCAAAGATCACCAGGTGTACAGCACCCAAACGAGCCACGGCCAACATGGCCACAACAGCGTGAGCGTTCATAGGCAAGTAAATGGCAACATTGTCGCCTTTGGTAACACCCCAGCTCTGCAAAACACCAGCAACAGCACTGACCTCGCGCAAAAGTTCACCATACGTGAGGGTACGGGAGTCCTTCTCATCATCAGCCTCGTAAATGAGTGCAGGCTTGTCTGGGTGAGCATAGGCCCAACGATCAACACAGTTGTAGCATGCGTTCAATTCACCACCGATAAACCATTGTGGATCACCATGGGCAAGACCGCCAGCCTTGACCTTGGTGAATGGTCTATCCCAGTGCAACAATTCCTTGGCCATGGGACCAAAAAAAGCCTCTGGGTCATTAATGGATTGTTGGTACATCTGTTGGTACTGCTCCAAGGACTCAATGTGGCCCTTGGCAGGCTGCCGGGCATAAAACTCTTTTGGAGTGTGACGTGGGGTGACGCCGTTGGCCTCGTGTACAACCGTATGGGTCATCTGCTTGTTAGTGACGAACAAAAAATAGGAAGAAAAGGGATTGGACTATGAGTCATGGCAGAGGCAGAGGCAGAAATATCAAAGGCCCAAGACATCGAAAGACTTGCAACGTTACGGCTTGATCGAGTTGCAAGGTATGGGGATATGCCCAAGAGAAGATAAGGGCACAAGGAAGTATCCAAAAATTTCTCGTGACATCGTCAGTGCCCAATTTCTCACTATAACTCCTCAAAGAAAAAAGAAATAGGAGCTTCCAGCACTTGGAGACAATCGCCATAGCCGATTGTTGTCGCAGCTTCTTGGATAAATGAACCTCACCTTGTTCCCCGTCTAGTATTGCTTCTATTTCCCAATGGTCCTGAGCACCGACTTCAAGTGTTGCAAAATTATTTCTCGCAGTGCTCGCTCTGCCCAAACAATGACTGTCATTAGCTGCCAGAGTCAGAGACCCAAACAACAGCTCCAACTGTCCATGGTGGCCAGCACTTGATGTTCCAGCACTTTCTGAACTTGCCTGAACCATAGACATAGGCCAATTGGGGACATCTATACGTACTGTGAAAGAAATGTGGTGTGAAGAAAAGGTAATGCCGACTTTTTCGTTTTTTTGGGTGCGTCGTGGGTGCACTACTGATATGGGGTACGATTTTTTTGGGCGCACTAATAACGCGTTGGCGATTGGTAGATTTCTCCTGCTTTTATAGCGTCAGACACATCGGGACCCTATCCCCGGCGATTAGACATAAAATGCGGGCAACCGGACTTGGAGGCGGGTCACCGGACTTTCGGAGTTGGCCCCGGGACCAGCGGAGGTGGGCGGGGCACGACACTAGCCCTCCCACCTTCCAATGGGGTATCAAGTCCTGTGAGGTGGAAAACAATGTCTCAATTGAGCGCCAAAAGCATTGAAACGAAACAATTGGAAGAAAAAGAGGCGTCTGCTAAGATGAAACCGCCAACTGAAGTCGGGCGGCGCTTTGGGTATGGTCACGTGCAGCGATACGAGCACCAATTGTTGTGTATGCGCGATACACTTTGGGTTGTCCATCTCATGTTGTGTCTAGGCGAGAGGACTAACGTCAGTGCGACATTGTATCTGTGCGCGCGACATTATGCACGACTTGCGCGACATGGTGTCTTTCACGACTAGGAGACACAAGTAGGAACACTTTATCCAACAGATATAATCAGTTTAGACTGCCGTAGTTTTTTTCCTTGGATTCTTAAGGGATTCGGTAATGTCCTTTGATTTGTTCTATTTTGTCATTGTCTTCATTTTTGAACAATTCGCTATTGTTTCTCTGATGTGTCCCACTGGACTAGTGTGTCATGTAAACTTTCGACTTTCGTTCTAAACCAGTACAACGTCTTGTTCGTTCAATAACATCACTTTTATATTGGGTAGAAAACTCCAGATCTTGGAAATCAAGCAATATATATAGCCAAGCATATATTCTCCTCAAAGGATTCGACCCCGCACTCGGTCTCGGACATTGTCCGCGACATTGTCGCTGAGGAGGAACGAAATTGAAGGAGACATTTTTGGCGACAATCGGCACAGCAATGATTTAGAATCGCCAACTAGGAATTCAGAAACACGTATCAAATTGTTCGGCATGAGAGGCATACATAGCAGTATATTCAGACCAATCTACAATTGTATTATCAATTCGTTTTGCATTACCCCATTAATCTATCGTATATAATATGATCTAGCTTGCTAAACCGTTTAGTCGACTTCCTCAACAGTAGGACCGTCGTTAGATGGAGAAGGAGCAGAGCCTGGAGCAGCACCTGGGAATCCGCCTGGGGCAGCGCCACCTGGAGCAGCACCGGCTTGGTAGGCCTTGGCCATGATTGGGTTGGCAACGCCTTCCAATTCCTTCTGCTTGTCACTGTATTCTTCGGTGGTGGCAGCTTGGTTCTCGTCCAACCAAGTGATGGTCTCGTCAGCAGCCTTGGTGACAGTCTCGACGTCAGCAGCCTCCAACTTGTCAGCGAAGTCCTTCTCGCCCAAAGTGGTCTTCAAGGAGTAAGCGTAAGACTCCAAACCGTTCTTGGCTTGAACTCTAGCAGCTTCCTTCTCGTCCTCCTCCTTGAACTTCTCGGCCTCAGAAACCATTCTCTCAATGTCTTCCTTGGACAATCTACCCTTGTCGTTGGTGATGGTAATCTTTTGAGTCTTACCAGTACCCTTCTCCAAGGCAGAGACGTTCAAGATACCATTGGCATCAATGTCAAAGGTAACTTCAATTTGTGGAACACCTCTTGGAGCTGGTGGGATACCAGACAACTCAAACTTACCCAACAAGTTGTTGTCCTTAGTCTTGGCTCTTTCACCTTCAAAGACTTGAATCAACACACCTGGTTGGTTGTCAGCGTAGGTGGAGAAAGTCTCAGACTTCTTGGTTGGGATGGTGGAGTTTCTTGGAATCAACTTGGTCATGATACCACCGGCGGTCTCAATACCCAAGGACAATGGAGCAACATCCAACAACAACAAGTCTTGAGTCTTAGAAGAAGTGTCACCAGACAAGATAGCAGCTTGAACAGCGGCACCGTAAGCAACAGCCTCATCTGGGTTGATGGACTTGTTTGGCTCCTTACCGTTGAAGAAGTCAGAAACCAACTTTTGAACCTTTGGAATTCTGGTAGAACCACCAACAAGGACAATCTCGTCAACCTGCGACTTGTCGACCTTGGCGTCTCTCAACACCTTCTCGACTGGGTCCAAGGTGGATCTGAACAAGTCTTGACACAATTCCTCGAATCTAGCTCTGGTGATGGAAGTGTAGAAGTCAATACCCTCGAACAAAGAGTCGATCTCGATAGAGGTTTGGGCAGAAGAGGACAAGGTTCTCTTGGCTCTCTCACACGCAGTTCTCAATCTTCTCAAGGCTCTTTGGTTGGTGGACAAGTCCTTCTTGTTCTTTCTCTTGAATTCGTTGACGAAGTGGTTCACCAATCTGTGGTCGAAATCTTCACCACCCAAGTGAGTGTCACCGGCGGTAGACTTGACTTCGAAGATACCGTCTTCAATGGACAACAAGGAAACATCGAAAGTTCCTCCACCCAAGTCGAAAATCAAAACGTTCTTCTCGTGCTCAGACTTCTTGTCCAAACCGTAAGCAATGGCAGCAGCGGTTGGCTCGTTGATGATTCTCATAACGTTCAAACCAGCAATCAAACCAGCATCCTTGGTAGCTTGTCTTTGAGAGTCGTTGAAGTAAGCTGGAACAGTGACAACAGCGTCGGAAACGGTGGTACCCAAGAAAGACTCAGCAGTCTCCTTCATCTTGGTCAAGATCATAGAAGAAACTTCTTCTGGAGTGAAGACCTTGGTCTCACCCTTGAACTCAACCTGGATTTGTGGCTTACCGGCCTTGTCAATGACCTTGAAAGGGAAGTGCTTGATGTCACCTTGCACTTCAGCGTCAGTGAACTTTCTACCAATAAGTCTCTTAGCGTCGAAGACAGTGTTGGCTGGGTTCATAGCAGCTTGGTTCTTAGCAGCATCACCAATCAATCTTTCAGTGTCGGTGAAAGCAACAAAGGAAGGAGTGGTTCTGTTACCTTGGTCGTTGGCAATAATTTCCACACGATCGTTGGCAAAGTGAGCCACACAGGAGTAGGTAGTACCCAAATCAATACCAACAGCTTTAGACATGGTTGTAGTTATCTATAGAATTAGTAACTCTGTAGAGATTGAAAAGGAAAAAAAAAAAGACCTCCAAATGTCGGAGAAATTAACCTCTTTATAGGGCACATTGCGCCGGACGCCATGGAATTTTCCATTGAATTCTACGCTAATCGCACTTGGGCTTGCGCACGTGACACTTCCACTGATTTCTTTGGCCTTCTGTGGCTGACGTAATCCGGCATTCTAGAAGAGACTAGAATGTGCAGGAAGAATCTATTTAGCGAGGGCAAAAAAAGAGAGCCCGATGCGGGGCTCGAACCCGCAACCTTTTGATTGACCTTATGAAGATTAAGAGTCAAATGCTCTACCGATTGAGCTAACCAGGCTTCTTGTTTTCGTTATTTTACCCGTGTACCTAAGAGAGAGGGTGAAACTAGATACATGTTCATGTCAATACTATCTGAAGTAATGGCTGTCCTTGGGTAATTAGAGAATTGAAGTATGGCAATGATATTTCTCTAAAGATGAGGTATATTCTTGCAATACTTTATAATAGCAAATTCCACTGATAAAGTGTATCAATGCTTACAACTTGTCATGTAGCATGATTCTTCGTGGATCGAAATCTGAACTATTGTGTCCATGTTGAGATATATATGGTCATTCTATATCCTTGGCTTCGTCCATAAGTTTTTGCTTTTATCTCACGAGTAAATATCTATGTTGCCGTATAGCAAGCAGGTACATTAGAACGAGTTTTTATTGATGTTGTTAGGTTCTGAATACAATTGTTGGTGTATATTCTGGTACATACTTCTTGGTTCCCGGCTTCTTATAGACGTATAAATAGGGGTACGAGTCTTATCTCATACAGTGAAGCTTATCACCAAATCGAGCCAGATAAGCCACAATGCCTTATCTGAAGGCTACCATAGCCGGAAACTGGGATACCCCCAGGTTCCCCCGTATGGTCGTCCTAACAGATGTAAGCATACAGTAATCATTTGCTAATAAATTTGAACACCATTATCAAGAATGACCTGATGTTTTGACAGGCTCGTTATGCGAGCTCGATATTGTCCCCTTAATAACTAAAGTACATATATCAACTAACAAGTAGTGACTCCAATTCGTAGCAGTAAAATACATAAAGCATAGTAGTAAAGCCTTCTAACCACCATTAAAACTTACAGACTGCAGACATGTTACAATATTCAATTACTAAGAATAAACGACTGGGCCATCAGATAAAGCGACCAGTGCAAAACAAACTGAGCCATATAATGCATAGGATCTGAAGCTACGCGGGCCAAATCTAAAGCCGCACGACAGGCAAACAATCCATAGCCTTAAGTGGACTTCTCCTTCGTGTAGTCATGGGCCACATGAACCAAAGCCACCTTGTGGAAAACGCCCTTGACTTGGATCCAAATGTCCTTGGCTTTAGGGTTGCCCAAGCTGTTAACAGATGATTCGACACGCATCTCAAGAGACTTGAAGGCGCTTCTGGTGAAGGCTGATTTCTCAAATCTCAACTTGATGAATACCACATAGAGCAAGAATGGGATCACGGAACACGAGCGGAACGTGAGGACACGCAAAAAGAGCCAGCCCAAAGTGGCGACTTCCAACAACGCAGCCCATTGAATGGAAGAAGCATTGTTAGCCGCCACAAAATTGCCGATTTTCACGCTCACTGGATGCGTTTCAGGAATGTTGAGCACAGGCAACAAGTAGTGCTTGGCGTAAGACAACACATGGAAAGTGGAGAACAAAATGTACACAGTCAAGGTCAACAAGACGTATGGGCTGAAGAAGAAGAGGCCCAAGCCCAAAAGCAAGTAATGCACATTGTCGTCGCTAAGCAAGACGGAAAGCTTAGCACCATTCTTCTTGACAGACTGGAAAACAAGGATGCCAAAGCTCTCCACCACACCAGCCAAAGCCAATTTGTACCAGAACTTGTAGCTTGATGGGAAAACACGCAAGTACGTCAAGGCGTACATGAGTGTCGCCACAAATGTCACCACATGTCCGACAAACCAAGCAAATTGCAATGTCTTGACAAGATCAGCCAAGGTTTGTTTGGGAGGCGTTGGAGTAGCCTTCTTTGGGGTGCTTTGTTGGGCGTCGCTCATGAAGAAAACAATAGGTGGGAGTTTTTTTTTTTGGAGATATTTTCTTGTATTTCTCACTTGCTTGGAACTTCGCAGGTTCCGCACTGTGAAACGTCACGAGAAATTACAAGCATTAAGACGCACCCTGAGATGTTTCTACGAAGCAGTTCCTTACCTAACTACGACATCGTGTTACTCTTAGTATCCATCGTGGTCAATCGATTGGGATACAAGAAGTGAACGGAGATAGGTGCAAGACTGCATACAAATACGTTGGCTATCTAATCTTTGGTATCGTGTGACAGTACAGAGAAGGAAAACAGGGATTGTTAGAAATGTTCTGATCCCAAACGCATTTACAAAAAAAGATCAGTAAAGAAACCAGGGTGTTCGTGCTGGAATTGCTGAAAATTGCACAATTGAGTGCATGATAATGGGTTTCGGTGCGCAATCTAAAGTTTATCATCATGCGTGTGAATGCAAGAGAAGGAGAAGGAACAGGGACTAAAATAAACGAAATGATGCTACGTAGTACAGATAAGAATAGCAAATAGGAACAGAAAAAGGGAATCAATGAATTCAGAAGCCAAAAACGAGTCTGCACATCAAATAGGACAAAGTTACGATGGAGCGAACAGGGCTGAAGAATGAGGCATGCCTTAAATAAAAATATCAGTAGATAATCAATATGAACACAAGTCGAGTGTTCGTGAGTTAGAGATGTATCGAATCAAACAGTATTATTCACGTTTTAAACGAGAGGTAACATTGAACCGCTATTTTTACTGTAGAAGACTCAATTACTTCAAGAGAATGTTCGCAAAGATAAAGCGAAACAGAGCAAGCGGGACAAACAAGTATTCCCTAATGAAGTTCCACTAGTGTGGTTTGGAATCATTTCTTTTCTCCGGCAGAATATACGCCTCAACATTTTTCTCTAGGCTTTTTTCGTACTCGTTTAAGAATAGATACATTAATAATTTGTCGGTGCTACAGAATATCCACAACATTTGTATTCCCATAACTAACGCAAGAAACCTTTACGCGTCTTCTGTGGCGCAGCGGCCGGTGGATCCAGTGGCAAGCTCTTTTGCTTCTCCAACTGGGCCTTCTTCTCTTCCAATAACTTGATTTGCTTGGCCAACTTCTCCTTCATCTCCTTGTGACGGGCAAATAAGTCCGCTTCGGATCGTTGCAACTTCTTCTCCTTCTCGCTAACCTTTTGCTGGAAGACCGCCTTCATTTCAGCTTCCATCTTGGCCAACTTGGCCTCATGCAATGCGCGCTCCTCTTCTTGCTTGGTCAACGGGTCAAATTCCTTGAAGACGGTGTTGTCCTGTTCGATGCCCATGGAAACCAACTTTTGCGTTCTGTAGTGCTCGTACAATACATCCAGAGTGGTGTCTTTCAACTCCTCTAAGTTGTTGCGGATCAATAACTTTCTCAATTTGATGAAATCGTTGTGCTCTTCATTGTCCACTTCGATGATACCCCATGGATATGCTCTTCCGCGGACACTTCTGCCGTCTGGCAAGTGCACATCGGAAGTCGAACCAACCACTGCGAATGGGAAAGTATCAATCAAAGACTTAGAGTCTCTTACTGCCTCGTCATCGTCATTGTCGTATGTCTGGGGCTTGAAAATCTTGATCTTCTGGTGGGTAAGATCAGCTAGAATACGTGCTTTGAAGTCGGCAATCTCTTCATCAGTCAAGGTGTCTGATTTGGCAATGATTGGAATCAAATTGACCTTCTCATGCACCTGCTTCATCACCTGGATGTCCAACGCCTTCAAAGAATGACCCGTGGGCTCGATGAAGTACAACAATGCATGAACACGGTTATCAGTGATTGTCGACCGGTTGACTCTGCTTTCCGCCTCCAAGTAGTGGTCAAACCGCGTGTTGATTTCCTCCACAATAGGTTTCCACGAATCCGTGGAGTCGAGGTTGTCGCCAAATCCGGGTGTAGTGATTACTGTCAAATTTAACTTGACGCCGTCCTCTTCAATTACTGAAGTAGTCGTTTCGATGGAAACGCTTGGAGTTTCATCATCCTCGGAGTTGGAGTCGGATTCCACAGCTTTCTTGGTCAAAATCTCTTTGTTGAACAACGTGTTGACCAATGTTGTTTTTCCCAAACCTGATTCTCCCACAACCATGAAATTGAACGAGAATCCTCGTCTGACAGACTTGCGGTGCCATTGTTTGGGCAAGTTGGCGAATCCAACAAAGCCATCGAGCTTCCGCTTGATGATTTTGACCTCGGGTTCGTTTGCAACTCCGTTAACTGGACGTTAGTATGCACATGGCAGAAAAGGCGAGAACAGGCACAAAAAAAGCCGATGAGATACTTGGTCTCTGATACCTGTTGAACAAAATAAACATACCTGAAGTCATTATGGCGATGTAGCTTGTACTTTGATTCTGTAGCTCTACTAGCACCAGTTGTTTTGGTGGATTTGTGTCAAGAGGAAATTATTCGACGTGTCGCGGGAGTGCAGGTTACAAGTCACATGACAGCCATATATAGATACAAATCTATTTAGATCGAGGATGCAAGCGGAGGGTGAAGGAGGATAGGGCATAACAAGTGGCAAATATGCTTTGGGATTAGCTTTTCTTCTCCTTTAGAGTTTCCGGCAGAATTTGCAAACACATATAGAGACATGGGAAACAACAAACGTGCAGGACTATTGGAATGTTCGCTCGTGTCTGGACCTTACTTGAACTTAAATTTGGCTGTGGAGAAAATATCGAAAGTTAATTGTAAACAGACTTTATATTACACGAAGTATCAAAGAGGAGAAGTTAGAAAAAAAGAGAAGGTTGAACCCTGACAAAAATATTTTGTGCCAATGTTTTGCGATGGCCATTGGAGCATGTCTACCAGATTTGAAAGCACTGCTTTAATGAGTGAAAGTTGTGACCAATTTGCAATGCAGAATGTAGACTGTTACATACTTATGGCATTTAGGTTTCAGGAGGAACCCCTTCCAGGTAATGATTCAAACGCGTAGGACTGCAAGATCTACGTCAAACTGATCGGTTCATAATAGTGTAAGACAACTATTTTTACATCATCTAGAATACCATTATTTTTCTTCTTTGAAACATGTCACTATCTTGATGATAGACCCTTCGCAAATTATTCAGGATACATGTAAGTGGTGGGGTCGTAATAAATTTGCCAAAAGAGGAGCGGCTTCTAATTGAGCGTCAAGGCCAGTCTATCAATGCTTCAGTCTCTGCGGTCAGTACTAACAGTATTATCGGTGGAAAGTTGAATCACACCTTATTTTCTCCCTCAAGACAATCTAACAAGAACTTCAAACCCTCCAAAGCGAACTTCTCCATGTTGGCTGCTCTAGCAGAGCTTCCAGTGACTCGGCGACAAGAAATCTCACCCTGGGGCCCGCTGAGACCCAAGAATACGGTTCCGACAGCATCTTCGCCCGAACGATCGGAGCCCAAATGTAGCGCTGTCGAAGGACCAGCAAAACCTGTTTCAGACAAAACATAGGTCAGGCCCAACTCATATTTGGCAGTTCGAGCCAACTTGAGGGCCACTTGTTCCAGCGGACCCATGTAAGAGCCGATTTCGGCATCGCTCCAGCCCGACAATTTGAGCCGCTGCCGTAACAGGTAGACTAGTTTTCCACCCAAAAAGAAATCGGAGGCGCCTGGAACTGAAACCAAGTACGCAGAGAGAAGACCTCCGCAAGCTGCTTCAGATGTAGCTAGCGTTTGGCCTCTGGAACGAAGAATTTCTGCTATACGGGCCACAAGAGACTGAACAGGTTGTGGAGGGAAATCGCTTTCTGCATCGGAATGTGTGGGATCCATTGTGCCAGATATGGTTGTGTGACAAATGAGGTTAGGTGCAATTGGTTCTGATCCGGAAAACCAGTGCGTAATACACAGATTTGTAAAGCTTGTAAAGTTAAATCGCCGTTGCGTGAGAATGAAGAAGCTTGGGTGCGATTTTGCATACATAATGGCTTTACCAAGGCAAGTTATGTGCACATACTTAGGAGGTAGACAAATGATCAGTTTTTGGCCTGAATCTGCGCTAGAGTGAAAGAAACGCAGCATAATCACGAATGGAAGACAATGGAAAACGTTGGGGAACAAATATGGAAAAAAGTATGTTGGTAGAAGAGTTACAATTAACACTTTGGCACAAAAGTTGCAGTCAAATGACACAATACTTACATAAACTGAAATTTAATACACACAATGTAGTGGCTTCTATGGCATAGATAAGATATTACAAGTACCATTTACCTTTGATAAATGTAGTAAACTCCCGAACTAGGGACTTATAACTGTATGTGGCCGTATTGATCCTTCTGATGTCTCCTGTTTGTTGAAGGTGTACTTCGAAAGAATCCTTCAAAATGGAATGCCAGCTTTACATTATTCGAATCGCTTTATCAAATACAACAGATACATTTATTGCCGCTTATTAGCTTAGCTAATTGCAATCTCGCACCCAAACTTATTGGTTCCTTTACATTTCAGGTACACACAGAAACTGGATGCCGCCTTTGCCTCCATTCTTCTCCTCCGACGAATGCGTTCTTTCTCCTCTAAATGCGTTCTTATTCTCATGAACTGGCTTTTTTAACTCATACGGCTTTCGTGAACTACGAGCATTTTCGCGAACTGGGCTTATGCTATTCCTACTCTTTGATGATTTCCACTAAAACAAAAAACGTCAGAGCACCAGCAAAAAAGCCTTTCGTTTGAACAGAGGCCTCGCGTAGCCACAAAACAGCTCTTTATAGATCTACATTGATAATGGGCGGCAGAAAGAATCGTGGAGAAACAAAAGCTGGTCGCACATTTTGGTCGTGCCCGCGCCACCAGACGTTGCTTTCGAGCCTCCGCTCGAATGTTGGCGCCACCATACTTCTTCTCCCTCATGAGCATCACATTCAACGCAGGCAAAGTCCAGTACGACGAGGAAACGAAAAAGTGCGTTCCTTTGCCCCACAAAGGCACTGTGACCATTCGCCCGTCTGCAGACGAAGAAGGTTTCTATGATTTTGTGTGGGCGCCAAAACTGGCGGGAATCCCAAAGGACGAGCTTTTGATCATTCCGGGCGACGCGACATTCCGCGCTGTCCAATCGTGCAAGACCGGCCGTGTTTTCGCCTTGACGTTCTTGAGCTCGGGCGCTAAAAGCTTGTACTGGCTTCAAGATGTGGGCGACGACGAACCGGGGCAAATGACCCCCAAGGACAAGGAGTTGTTGGCGTCTGTGCAGGCGCTTTTGGCTCCCAGCGAGTAAGTAAGTGCAGCGCTCTTCCCCGCAGTATTAACAGCAGAAATGAAAACGACAGCGAAGTGGAAGCGGCGGAAAGTACACAGAGCGTGAACAGCGGACGAGGCGCGGATGAAAGGGCCGGCAAGACAGACACCGCGGGCGAGGCGAATGCAGGCGAGGCCAATGCGGGCGAGTCGAAAAGCGCGCATGGCACATGGGGTCTGTTCATGCCACAAGGTGAAGGCGGGCTGGGAATCCACAGTCTCCGTGATATTCTCTCAGACGAGCGAATTGCAGCCCATTTGGCTGCCATGCTGCCCGCGCAGGCCGCGCGCTATGCCTCTTTGTTGCCTCCGTCGGTGTCCCCACAGGCTTCAGACATGCTCCGTGTTGTGCGCAGTGGCTTTTTCCACCGCGCGCGCGACGAATTGTCGAGCGCCCTTTCGCACCACAATGTGGGTGCGCTTCTTGCACATACTTGGGGTTATCCTTACGCGGGCGAGGGCATTGAGCCGTTTCTTCGAGGCCTCCGCGCGTCTGAGGTTCCAGAAGAGGAACCTCCAAGAGAAACAGAAGTGGAAAAGAAAGAGGAGATGTAATATCCGCGAGGTGTATGGCAGGACACGTTTCATTTTGCGAGTTTGTTGCCCGGAAAGGGCACTTTTGTCAAATAATGCTTCGGAGAGCAACATGCAATAGATAGAGGGAACAGTTAACCGATGTGACATAAGCTGTAGGATGTGTTTTGGATTTGAGTGCGCTAACTCCTTCCATCGTAGTATTGAGGTGTGCAGCGACTTCCTACGACCGTCAGATAATTATCTTGCTTCTGAATGATGGAACCCTAGCATGAAGTAAGCAAGGAGGAGAAGATAGAATATAAACGGAGACGTCTGCGAATACTTCCAAGACGCAGATACTTCTTCCATGAGCTTGCTAAAGTGAGAAAACAAAGTGGGTTGAATTATATCTGAACATGACAATACAAGAGTACATGTCATTATACCTTATGATACGCGACGCTAGCGAGTAAGTGAAACATTTATTCGTAGACGTATGTACATAATATTGTATTAGCCATTTGAAGATACGTGGAGATTAAGTATCGTTCACATTAAAGTAAATTAGAAGAATTTCATTGTTGTCCTCACATGCTTACTAACTGTTTGTTTCCAGTTATCAGCAGTTTAGTATGTGCAATATGGATCTACTTTCAAGCTACTCACAGTTTATAGATTATGAAGTCTTCACGGCGTTAGCGAGTGAATATTTCACCTCACCAAGATAATGGACGGGTGCACAGTTTTCACCAAGATAATGGACGGGTGCTCAGTTGTGCAATATAAACAGCACATACGAATGCACATGAGCAGATTGATTTACAGAGTTCCGCCTTCTTTCATGGCAACAAAGTGGATGACCTTCAAGGATGGAAAGGATGAGGCACCTTGAGATCGATTTACTTGTTTCGAAGCTACTCCGTTTTTATTACTGAGTTAAGCAGTAATTGAAATATTAAGCTGGTTTGCCTAAGTGTTGAGTTTGAAGAGAAATCGTGTCTTGAGCTCAGTGGAGGTGACTGTGCTAGCCTTATTTTTTCATTCAAGTCGCAGTGACATAACATGATCATAAACGCATAATACGAACATACAGTAGCCTCATAAGATAGCCCATTCCACGTCTATCACTAACTTTTGGATCCGACAAACAAACACAATTCGTACTGATTGGAAAATCCTCACCATCAGACAGGGCTGATTTTCCGTTCTAGAACAATTCGTGTATGCAATCGCTCGACTAGTTGCACAAAATAGTCACACTATCTACAACTTCTCGACCGCACCATACTATACACTCCACTTACCCATCTTGCTTGCGCACTTATCCCCAACACTTCTCCTCCCCAAACCCAAACATCCCATGCGGCCCGACATTGCTAATGTTCTGGGGCCCACAACAGAGGTGACGCTCGAACGAGTCCGGTCGCGCCTGCTTCTGCCCGAGCCTTCGTTGCTTGGAAAAATGGCCACTTTGCTTCGGACGCTTTCGCGCGACGGAAAACGGAGCGGCCTTGAGAGAGAGCATCAAATGGCGGGCGAGCGCAACGACGAAAGTCTCGACCAGCCGACACCCAAGTCGGCCGAGCGCCAGCGGAAGCTGCACTTGAAAGATCAGGACAGCGGAAGCGAGCGTCTGAGCCAGCACAAGAGCGACAACCAGAACATTGGCGATAACGACAACGACAAGAGCGCCAACCGCAGCAAGAGCCAGGACAAGCAGGCCAAGCAGGCCAAGCAGTACGACCAGAAGGATCATGCCGTGAAAGATCTGGATCCACTGGGCCACGTCGAAGTTACAGACCTCCACCGCCAGATTCAGAATCAGCAGACACTTGGACAGAGTGCGGTGGGCGACGCCGAGACGGGCAGGCGCGAACTGCGCCATCTGCTTTCGAACGGGAGTTCGTCCCGTATGAATGGCGTTCTCCATCGGACGCCTCCTGTCTCGCCAACGCGGGCCAGAGAACAACCGAGGCGCGAGCAGAGTTTGGCCCACTTTGTCGCCCGACAGTCCACGCCGGCGCCCAACGGGTCCAGCGACGCCCCATCGAATGGCGCCTTGAATGCTGCAGCGAAAGGATCCGCGCTAGGCACGCCCATTGTCAGTGTCTCGCCTGCGCTTGGACCCACTGTGCCACTGAATGTATTGCATTCGCCGCCATCGTTTGGCACTTCAGCCAATGTATCGCGGTCGTCGCTCGTCCCGGAAATACCTGTCAAAGAGACCCGCCACGTGTCACTCGAGTATGACCCGATCACGCGGCGTAAAGTGCTCAACACATATGAGATCCTCCGCGAAATCGGCCGAGGCGAGCACGGCAAGGTCAAATTGGCCCGAGACTTGGTGCACGACGAGCTTGTGGCCATTAAGATTGTGTCACGCAAAAACAAGCACGAGCGCCCACGCCTTCGCCTGCGGCCAACAGATACGGCTGTTTTTGATGCCGAGGCCAAAGTGCGCCGTGAGATTGCCATCATGAAACGCTGCCACCACAAGAATATCGTGCGCCTCCGCGAGGTGCTTGACGACCGCAGCATGTACAAGATTTATCTTGTGCTCGAATACATGGACCGGGGCGAGTTGCGGTGGAAGCGCCGCACCCCGGTGCTCTCGCCCCAACCACGAGCGCCGCCCGACGCACCTATCGACATTCGTATTCCCTGCGGCGCCGCTCGCGCGAGCGAGGACAGTGATCTTCTTTCGAGCGAGTACTCGCCCAGCCTCACATTCCGTCAGGCTCGCCGTATTTTCCGTGATGTGGTGCTTGGCTTGGAGTACCTCCACATGCAAGGCATTGTCCATCGCGACATCAAACCGGCAAACTTGCTCGTGGCCCATGATTATCTGGTGAAAATCTCCGACTTTGGCGTGTCCTTTGCGTCGTTCTTGAGCTCTGCAGACGACGGTGTGAGAGTGTCGGAGATGGACTTGGCCAAAACCGTGGGAACTCCGGCGTTTTTTGCCCCAGAACTCTGCCAAACAAATTTTGCGCAGCCAGAAGCTGTGCCCCACGTTACCCACAAGATTGATATTTGGGCCCTAGGGGTCACGCTTTACTGCCTTTTATTCGGCCGCGTTCCTTTCAACGCAGACTCAGAGTTCCAGTTGTTTGACGTTATTGTCAACCAACCGGTACAATTTCCATCATCTGCAGATGGATTCCACTCGCCGCAGGAAGTTACAGATGTCGAGTTTGACTTGGCTCAAGACTTGCTCCGCAATATGCTTTGCAAAGATAGCAATGCCCGCTATGATATTCTTCAAATCAAGTGCCATCCTTTTGTGTTGATAGATCTTGAGAATGATCTCGACGGCATCAACGAGTTTTTCTTCCTCAACTCACCGGATCTCGGCGCAACTGCTTTTGGTTCGGCAGATCAGGAACTTGATCCCAATGATCTCGATTCCGCTGTAGTAGGCGTGGGTGCCCGTATTAGAAGCAGCTTAATGCGTTCGATGCGCTCGCTGGATCCTGACGCACTCAGACGCCTATCAACCAAGTTAGAGCTTTCGCTCAGTGGTGCCTCTTCGAGCGACGACTCGTCCCATTTGGGTTCTCATAATAACTCATGTGCTCAACTCCACAGTGATAAGAGCGATTTGTCAGTCATTTTATCAGAAGCGCAGCAAGTGTCGTCACCCATGCCATCTAGACTCCACCTTGAGACTAAAGCCCGCACTAATTCGGCTCCGCCACTGCATCTACCACTGTATAGCAATTTGGGCCACACAACTCATTTACCAACCAATTCCGGTCTTGCCACTATTAACCTGTCTATTGGGCAGTCAAACATGAACATTCCTCTCGCCCAGCCGACAATGAGTTCTCCACTAGCCCAGCCAGTCACCACGAGTTCCCCTCTAGCTCAGCCTACAATCAGTTCACATTCTTCACAACCTACGATGAGTTCTCCTCTTGTTCAGGCAACTTTAAGCTCAACTATCGCCCAACCTACCGGCAACTCATCGCTTAATCAACTGAACCTACTGAACATTTCACAAACTCCTCACAAACTATCCATTAGCAGTGGGCGCAGCAATTTAATTTTGCTGGAAGTCTTGGAAATAGCCAGTCCTACAGCCAGTAGAAAGGGCAGTTCAGCAGGAATAATGGAAGCGCCACAAATTGAAACGAAAAGAAATGTGGTTGGTGATGTCTATTTGAAAAACCAGTCTGCTATCGATGCTTTCAAAGATATTCAACAATTGGACCAGAAACGGCGAAAATCAAGTGCATATGCCATTCTTGCTAGTAACAACAGCGCTTTGGGTTCGTCGAATCCCCCTACACCTCGGACTCTGGGTAGCTCACCAATGGCCACAACTATGGACCACAGCACCCTGAGCAAGATAAAGGTCGGTCCTATTAGCATCAATAACTCGCGTCGTCCTTCGTCAGTCATTTCTCTTCCAATGACAGAAAGTTTTGCATCTTTGGATAGTTTCAACGACACATATCTTACACACAAATATGAGGAACTTCGCAAGAAGAAACTAACACATGATGCGACAGTTCCAGCATCCAATGACGGTTTCAAACAAAGGGCCAATGACAAGTTTGATCAAATTAATGAGAAGTTTAGCAATTTCAATTTGGGTTCTCTGATGACCGCTAGACATGGTTCCAGGGATGCAAGTGCAGAGGAACATATTGCGCCTACATCAACCACATTCGATTTTGGAAACTCTAATGATGATGCATCAGAGTCTTTGTCTTCCTCATTAAGCTCTTCCTGCTCCTCTGGTAGTAGCAGTGAAAGTGACGGGGAAGAGGGCAATCTCACTTTGAAGTTCACCTCAAAAGTAGCTCCTAGAACAAGAGCTCCATTCCTTACTATGGACAGCAGAGCATTTTCGCATGACTCAAATCTTAAACGCTTGGTCCATCAACCCCCAAGTTCAAATTACTATCCTGTCATTTTCAACACTAATTCTCTTGATGTCGAAGATGTTCCAGTAGGCTTAATGAGTGGATCACCTAGCCCTACAAGTTCTAGATTTGAAGCTACAGATATGACTCCCACTGCTTCTGCTCTTACGTCTACTTTATCTTCAGCCACTATTACCCAGGAAACTGGAAAGCAAAAACTTTCCATAAAACCTCCTATGAAGAGTTCTGGACTAAGGAAGGAGATTTTTCCTAGCTCGCCACTGGATCTGCTTCCTACAGATAACCAAGATGGACCAAAGTCAGCAATTGCAACAAAGTTTGCTCCTAAAAGTGAAATGAGTTCTGCCACCATTCATAACGGCTACTACAGCAATCACTACAGGAAAGAACCCCAACAGATGGAATTTCCACAGTCAAAGCATTTAGATAATGACAGGGAGAGCAATCATAAGCAAGTACAGAAACAGAAGTTGCTTCTGAGACCAAGCTTTAACCGCTCAAATTCTATTGCCATCGGATTATTGCAACACCAAAGGTCGCTGAAAGATGTACAATAATTCATTCAAGCACATTCAATGCATTAGTATATATAAGATAAACAGGAGCGGACAACATTATTCACCATTCAATGTCATCCAATTTTACCCTTCAGGGCACAACTGTAAATTATAATTTCCCAATATCACCACCCCTGATCCGTAACCATAAAACCAGATAAAAAGTAAAAAAAAAAATAAAATAGTAAGTGAAATAAAAATTGAAATTGAGGATGAAACTCGAGGCGAAGTCACACTTTCAAGCCCCCATAAAAAAATCAAGCCATCCTTCTTTAAATGCAATCAAGTTTGCGTTTGAGTACGGACAACCTGTTACCGATACTCACGATGAATTTCTCCACCATTGCTCTATCCTCATTATCCAATCTTCCTTCGTCCTTTTCACCTTCATCTAAAAGGGCCTCTAACATCCATATTGCTGTACTGTAAGCTAGCTCGCAGCCTTTCAAGTCCTCTTTAACAAGTTCATTGACAGCAGCATTTCTGGAAATTTCCAAAGCACGATCGAAGATCAATTTCTCGGCCACAATTCTATCAGAAGCGCCTAAAGAAGCGTCATTTTCATCAATAGCAGAAGAAGACTCATGTACTGATGCTTCTTCCGTTTTGCTGATCAGAGCTATGGCTTCTTGAAGACGTAATTTTATGAACTCCGCTTTTTCCAAGCACTCATTAAATTTTTCTCTGATCCATTGTACAAGCTCATTGATTTTTATTGTTGATTGGATGTTGAATGGCTCAACAAGATACTGCTCACCAGTGGACTCCTTTTTGTCATAGTGTGCAAACCACCAGTCACTGGCGATCGCCATTCCTTTTGCAAGAAGAGATAACGTTTTCACATAGAGTACGACACCTTCCTCACTGATGGTTTTAACTATTTTGGGAGGGAGCAAATTGTTGTGCTGAAAGTAATCATCATCACTGCCATTTGAAGAAGGTGGCGAAGGAATCAATTGGCTGAACTTCACATCGGCAAAAAGATTTACTGCATGAGACTTCGTTGCAATGGACTCGAGTTGACGGAGGACTTTGTCATCTTCCGAAGGGGATTCACTGATATCACTTTCGTTAGGTCCATTGGAATTCAATATAGTTTGCGAAACTGGCAAATTCAACTTGTTGAGCAACAAATTGTTAGCGAATTCCGGCTTGAAAACGACTGGTGACTCGTCCTTATTAGAGTCGGAAAGCTGATTTACTTCCTCACTTATAGCAGCTGGCGCATTTCCGAATAGTCTGTTTGAAGCCAACGAGATCGCCTTTCCCAACGCGTTGGAAGGTGAAATGGATACAGAGATGCGCCGGTCAAATACAGGTCTAGGAGAACCCTCAGATGAATTGGAGCGTTGGGAGTTTCTGCGCGGGATAAGAGCTTCTCTTTCGTGATTCGCTGCCAGGCTGCGACGTCTAAAAGTACCTCTTCCCACGCGAGCCAACTCATCGGCAATAGCATTAACCTCTACAGCCCTCTTCTCAACAACCACGTAGTCCCGACCCAAAATAAGCTCATCCTTATTTCTGGATGCAATCGGATATTGTTCACTGTATCGTGGCTGTATGGAATGTGTCGATATATTAGGATCTGGGCTGTTTTTGGTAATGATTTGCTTAATTTGCTCGTCTCGAGAGTTCTGACTTCCTATAGGGATAGATGACAGTGAGGTCGAACTCTTGTGTTCCAGCTCTTCAGGAGGTTCCATTTTCGTAGTTTTCTCCTTCTCCTGAGTTGTCAAAGGAGCGACGGCTTGAGTCAACTGGGCACGATCAGAAGCCTTGATCGGGGAAATATACTCACTGATAAATAGGTTCTCGTCCATTTCAGACGTATCAAGCGGCTTGTCAACACTCTCCAAATCATTGACGATCAATGGGTCACTGAAAAACTCGTTAAAGGACATTCGTTCTGTTGGGTTGTACTTCAACAAAGACCTGATCAATCTTTTCAATGGCTCTGGCACTTGCGCCGAAGAAGGAAACTTGATCTTGTCGTGAGTTTTTTCGATATTCTTCAACAACTCAATATGATTGGCAGCACGAAAAGGAGGTTTTCCCACAGTCATCTCATAGAACACAGCACCAACAGACCATAAGTCCGCTTTTGCATTGTACTTTTCATATCTGAGAATCTCCGGAGCCATGTAGAGGGGCGATCCACACAAGGTTTCAGCCATAGACGTGGAGGGCAAAAAACGAGCAAATCCGAAATCGGCGATTTTTAAAATGGGCAATTCCCATAATCCCACATACTCTCCGGCAACAAAGTCCAGTTTCACATGGACTGGGGGGCAGAGCAACAAATTTTGCGGCTTGATGTCTCTATGAACTAAGCTTTTACTGCGCAAGAATTCCAAAGCAGAACTGAGTTGTTTCAAGAAATGAATCACCAATGTCTGGTGCAAACCATGGGAACCTTCAGGGGAAGGATATCTTTGGAGCAATGAAGAGATGACAGGGTGAGTTTTCATTAGCTGGTCTCTCCGGCGAATGAAGTAGGACAAATCACCCATAGAACAGTAATCCATGACAAGATGAAAATGAGTCGAGGTCTGCGTGTAGTCGAGCAAGCCCACGATATGTGGGTGTTTCATGGATTTGAGAATGGAGATTTCAATCTCCAAATTCTCAATGAGCTTCTTGGATTTGAGTTTGGAGCGCACAACACTCTTGATCGCCACGGACCGGTTAGTTTTTGTATTGACTCCTTTGTAGACCGTGGCAAAAGAGCCCTTGCCAATTTCGGGCCCGAAGTTGTAGACGCCAATGGACTTGGGAATGTCAGACATTTTAAGCTAAGGAATAGAAGAACGCGAAGCGCGATGTGGCCAAGGAAGGCAAACAAGAAACTGCGACGGTTAAAGATAAAGTCAGCACTAACACACCGCCATAGACAGAATGCTAGGGCTAGACAATCACAGGGACAAGAGTAAGAAAGATAGAAGCTTTCTTCTTTTTTCTAAAATTTTCTTTTAAGGTGGATTGGCAAAGTAAAAAAAACGCTCGTAGTTGTGGCGTTTCTTAACTGGGGCCAAGGGGTACAGGTAAGTGCGGATTAACTGTAAAGACTCGGAGTGTACGCACACCAGTAGTCTCTTCACTCGTGGATAGCTGACTCTGTGGCTGCAGAAAAATCAGCGGCGGCAAATATACTGTTTCCGAAAATGACGGGCCGAAAGGCGGTTTCGCCACTAAGCGTTAAGAAAAGGCCGGAGCGAGAACAGAAATGAAGCAGTCAAGGCTCGGGAACTGACTCGCACAGAGTGCAATCGGCAGACGGCGAAATGTGAGCGAGTAAATAGATTTGGTTCCAGAAATGGGCTGGAGTAGATCTACTGCTTTGTAAGGAAAAGACTGACAACGGATAGAGGCGAGCGTGATTCACAGATAAGATAACCCAGGCGGCACGTGACGTGGTGACAAATCGCACCTAAATAGCCACCATGCACAAGCTGCGGCAAGGCTGGGACGAATATGGAAAACACAAGCCAAGGAATATAGAAGGGCTAAACAAAAGGGGAAATTCACCAGAAAAATTGGCAGAAGCAATGAATTCAGTCGTTTCAGTTTCCGATCTTTGAAACGTTTTTTTTAGTTGCGGATGGAACATTACGAAAACCGTAGAGAGACTGGGTTTCGGCTCTTATTCATATGAGCGCAATTACATCTGTACACTACGGTATTTGCAAGAACCCGCAATGATTGTATTACTGATATTGGAGACTATTGATTTGTCTTCAGAGTCGAATAATACCCTAGTGTAGCCCATAGTTCAATGTCAAGTACGGGAGAGATAAGCACAAAAAAAAAAATATGCACACTTTTCCAGATTTGGCAGATATCCCCACTTCTCTTTTATTGACGTGGTGTGGTTACATGGGGTTGCTTTGGGCATGACATCAGATGCTTTGAGTAGGTGCGGCACGTGAGAATATGGGGTAACCGCGTCACTGATAAGCATCAATTAGGAAAAATATACAAGGCTGCAGTACGACATCATGCTGGGAACTACCTATTATCACAATACAGTAGATTGTGGTAGTTCTATCGAGTAAAACCAAGGCAATGAAGTCTACACAAGTGGGAGACCATATCTAATATTGCTTGCTTAGTGCACCTGACGGAGTTTTAATTCTGTTTTTGGCACAGTGCGACCAAAAGAACAGAAATTAACAAAGAACAACACCGATGAGAAAAATAAACGGAGCCTAAGTTTTCAGGCCAACCTTTTGCATATGGAGACAAGGTTTTCGATTTGTGCTATTCCAACACCTCCTTCATTAGTGCAATGATATAACCAGAAATGGAGAGAACTCCAAGACATTTTCTAGCAGATACTCTGTATCATACAGCAGAATATGACCTGAGAATCATCTCATGGGTATCTACTCACATTCCTGCTATATAAGTTGACCAACTGTAGTTATGGTTGGAGGGACCTGAGCGGATTTCTACGGGATAAGAATACAAGTGATTCGAAATCGACTACCTTCGTTTCGGGAAAAATCTTGTTAGATGAAATTACTATTAAGACTGAAACGGTTTGATGTTATATTGCTACTCGGCGGCTAAGATTACATCTATCCTCTCGTTCTAATGATTTGGTCAAGCGCATCTTTAAACGCTGTTTCAACTGGAATCCATTCGATTCCAACTAATCTAGTGGTTTCAGAGTTATCAAAAGTTGGAGCTGTCTTTCTGGCCTCCTCACTGCTTCCTGGATTTCCTTCAGGCAAGTCTTTTGCAAGTTCGGGGTAGTTTTTTTGAATAAATTCCAATAGAATTTGAATGTCCCAATAAGCAGAACACGCGATCAATCTCTTTCCAGCAAGATTGTCATTTTCAATGGCAGCGATGTGCAATCTTGCCACATCTTTTACGTGCACAGCTGAACCTTTGAAGTCCGGTAACTTCCCACCCTTTTTGGTATTGAGAACAAGGGGAATTATAGTCGAGGTTGAGGAGAAAGAATTCGTTGCGGCATCTTCATCAAAGGCCAAAGGACCAAAAGTAAACACAGGACTGACGGTAGTGAGTGTGAAGGAGGGTTTTTCTGACTCAATGAATTCCCAAGCAGCCTTTTCAGCAAAAGTTTTAGAACCCTGGTACAATCCATTAGGCTCTGTTTTAGCTGCTTCGTATGTAATGGGATTCCACAGTTTTTCGGTGACATGCGCCGCCTCGCTTAAGTGGTGCATTGCGGCAACAGACGACGTATATACGAACTTTCGGATGTTCGGTCCGTACTTTTGCGCTGCTTTCAAAGCATTTTGAGTTCCCTGAATCGCAGGCAAAAGCACATCATTTTCAGGGTCCTCTGATTCTAACACGACAGGAGAACCAGAATGCAAGAATGCCACCACTTCCGGATGCTTCTTCAATGCCTCATCAAAAGCACCTTCCCCGATAAAGGAAGGAACAACCTCATAGGTGAAATTTTCACCCAATTGTCTCTTCAACTTGTCGCCCTTCTCAGCCGTCCTAACAGTGCCAATCACTTTATAGCCTTTTTCAATGAGATTCTTCGCAATATTTGCTCCGATGAAGCCATTTGCGCCAGTAAGAAATACTTGTGTCATTTTAGAATTGTTCAAAATTGGATTCAAATTTTGTTGGACTCCATTGTATGTGGCAAAGCATATATTTTATATGGAAGCGTACTACCACGTAATTGCTTACTAATTAGATTAAATGTAGCTCCGAATACGCCCGTGCTGTTTTATGTGCGGACATAAGAGCATAGTGGAACGTGCTTTATTGTTCGAAAGTACAATCTAACTCGTATCAGACATTCACTGCGCATCGTTTGGTTAAAACTATTAATGCTCCATTACATCGAAGGCACATTCTTTAGAAGCTATTTGCTTTGCCAGATTAATATCTTTCTGAGCAAATCCTCTCTTCAATTACTTTATTTTGCTATACAAATAAGTAGGGTAATCGGCCGCAAGGTGGCGAAATACATTTGCGATTATGCTGAACTTCATAAATCAGTGCGAATTCCACCGAAAATGGCTATTTCCGAAATAATTGCTTTCAAACGCCTGTTCAACAAAGGATCACACCATATACGCTGATCGTGTTACACACTCCTACATGTCAATCTTGGTCCGTGATTTGACGTGGAAGACTACTTAAGCTGGTATCAACTCTTGTAACGGAGATTAGTACTTTACAAATTGTACGCGAACATGTGCTGTCATGTTGACACATAGTCGTGCAGCATTGACCTCGAGGGAAAGATTCTATTATTGAAAAGCTTATCTCTGCTACGATCAAAGGTCCTCGGAAAATACATTGACGTTTGTCAATGTCTCATTTGAATTATAACCAATGGATCTGACCAGACCTCAGTTGACCTGAAGAACGGAGCCCAAGTTTTCAGGCCAACCTTTTTGCATACGGAAACAAGGTTTTTGATTTGTGCTATTCAACGTCTCGTCTCCTTCATTAGAGCAATGAGATGACCAAAAATGGAGAGGACTCCAAGACATGCATTTTCATCAGTTACACTGTATCAAACATCAGAATATGACCGAAGCATCATCTCACGGGTGTCGGTCTCAACTCACATTCCTCCTATATAAGTTGACCAGCTGTATTCATGGCTGGAGGGACCTGATGGGATTTCTACGGGATAAGAATACAAGTGATTCGAAATCCACTACCTTGGTTTCAGCAGAAAGCTCGGTATATTCACTATAAAGACTGAAGCCATCTGAAGTTACGTTGCCACTTGGGGGTTAAGATTACATCTATCCTCTCGTTCTAAGGATTTGGGCAATCTCATCTTTAAACGACTTTTCAACTGGAATCCATTCGATTCCAACTAATTTAGTGGTTTCGGAGTTATCAAAAGTCGAATATGTCTTTTTGGCCTCCTCACTGCTTCCTGGATTTCCTTCAGGCATATCTCTTGCAATCTCGGGGAAGTTCTTTTGAATAGCTTCCAATAGAATTTGAGTGTCCCAATAACCAGAGCGCGCCATCAATCTCTTTCCAGCAAGATTGTCATTTTCTATGGCAGCGATGTGCAATTTGGCCACATCTCTTATGTCGACTGCTGAACCTATGAATTCCGGTAATTTCTCACCCTTTTTGGTATTGAGAATTTTGGGAATGATAGACGAGGTTGAAGTGAAAGAATTCGTTGCGGCATCTTCATCAAAGGCCAATGGACCTAAAACATACACAGGGTTGATGGTAGTAAATGTGAAGGAGGGTTTTTCTGACTCAATGAATTCCCAAGCAGCCTTTTCAGCAAAAGTTTTAGAACCCTGGTACAATCCATTAGGCTCTGTTTTAGCGGCTTCGTATGTAATGGGATTCCACAGTTTTTCGGTGACATGCGTCTGCTTGCCTAAGTGGAACATCGCAGAGACAGATGATGTGCACACGAACTTTCGGATGTTCGGCCCGTGCTTTTGCGCTGCTTTCAAAGCATTTTGAGTTCCCTGAATCGCAGGCAAAAGCACATCATTTTCGGGGTCGCTTGATTCAAAGATGACAGGAGAAGCAGAATGCAAAAATGCCACCACTTCTGGATGCTTCTTCAATGCCTCATCAAAAGCTCCTTCTTCGACAAAAGAAGGAACGACCTCATAGGTGAAATTTGCACCCAAATGGCTCTTCAACTTGTCGCCTTTCTTAGCCGACCTAACACTGCCAATCACTTCATAACCTTTGTCAATGAGGTGCTTCGCAATTTGAGCTCCTATGTAGCCATTTGCGCCTGTAAGAAATACTTGTGTCATTTTAAAATAGATTCAAACTTTGTTGGACTCCATTGTATGTGGCAAAGCATATATTTTATATGGAAGCGTACTACCTAACTGCTTACTAATTAATTTAAATGTAGCTCCGAGTACGCTACTGTCTCATGTGCGGACATAAGAGCACATAGTAGAACGCGCTTATTGTTGGAAAGTACAATCTAACTCGTATCAGACATTCACTGCGCATCATTTGGTCAAAACTATTAATGCACCATTAGATCGAAGGCACATGATTTTAGGAGGCACTTTGTTTGTCAGCAAATCTTCTTTTCAGTTACAACATTTTGCTATGTAAAAAGTAGGGTAATGGGCCGAAATGTCGCGAATTGATTTGCGATTATGCTGAATTTCATGAATGAATCCGAATTCTGCCGAAAATGGCTATTTCCGAAATGATTGCATACAAATAGCGGAGTAAAGCCTGTTCAAGAAAGGTTCACACCGTATACGTTAATCGTCTTGCACACCCCTAAATGTCATACGTGGTCCGTGATATAACATGGAAAGCTGGTACATGTATCAACTCTTGTAACGGAGATTAGAACTTTACGAATTGTACGCGAACATGTGCTGTCATGTTGACACATAGTCGTGCAGCATTGACCTCGAGGGAAAGATTGTATTACTGAAAAGCTTATCCGCTGCTACGATCAAACGTCCTCAGAAAATACGTTGACGTTTTGCAATGTCTCATTTGAATTATACCCAATGGATCTGACAAGCCCTCAGCTGTCTTGAAGAATACTCGAATGGTAATACCCAATACTCAAGCGGAGTTAGTAGTGATTGGATTGCAGATAAGCTTGGTCAACAGTGATCTAGTCTAATTCGTGTGGTAACATGTACCTCTGGGATTTAGAGCCTGCTTTAGTACCTAGAAGCAGTTTCAATTCATTTCGATGTTTCTTCAAGGAAGAAGACGCCGATTTAGGCTCAAGCTTCTCCTTTTTCTCATTCCTCCCAATGTGTCTTATTGCGCACATTCTACTTCTCAGACAATCGTACAGTAGTGCACACTGGCCCGCAACCATATATTGAGGCCAAGTTAACCATTCTCCTGCTTTCAACCACCACTGATCTTGTCAATTACGAAAAATGTTTGAATCGGTTGTGGCTACGCTTCTCAATCGGTTTTTAGGTTCTTATATCGAGAACTTTGACACAAAACAACTCAATATTGGTATCTGGAGTGGGGATGTGCAATTGCACGATTTGCGCCTTAAGAAAGAGTCCTTGGACAAGTTCAAACTACCACTTGACGTCAAATTTGGCCATTTGGGCCAGCTCACTTTGCAGATCCCCTGGTCAAACCTCAAGGGGAAACCAGTGAAAGTGATCATTGAGGACGTCTACTTACTTGCGTCTCCGATAATCATAAATGATTATGATGCGGAAGACGATAAGCGCCGCCAGCAAATCTTGAAACAGGAGAGGCTCAAGGATTTGGAGGCACTTCAAAGCGCAGCAAGCGCAGGCGGCGCCTCGGACTTGCCAAACAACGAGTCATTCACCGAAAGTTTGATTACAAAAATTGTTGACAATTTGCAGGTGACTATCAAGAACATCCACATTCGCTATGAAGATGACTCTGTGCTCACAGAAAATCCTTATTCTTTGGGCCTTCTATTAGAAGAATTGTCTGCAGTGTCTACAGATGAAGGATGGAATCCTAGTTTCATCTCAATCACCCAAGAACTCACTCGCAAATTGGTGCGTTTGAAGAGTTTCGCGTGCTACATGGATACAAACTCATCTTCCGTATATGACGAAGATAAGGAAAAGCTTTTGCGCACACTCAAGCAGATATTTTCGGACCCGAAGAACGCACACCAATATTTGCTTAAACCTGTCTCTGGAGAGGGTCATTTGTCTATTCATAAAGCAGGTGCTACACTGTCACATCCTCATATTCGAACAGAGTTGTTCTTTGATGAATTTGGGGTGGATTTTGATGGTAGTCAATATAGAGATGTGTTATGGACTGCCTCGAAATTCCACTGGTATCAAAAGACATGGAAATTCAGAAAGTTGCGGCCTAAAATACCCGTGGAGGAAGATCCGCTTGAATGGTTCAGGTATGCGGCTAATTCTGTTTTGAATGAAATTCACGAGAAGAATTACAAATGGAGCTGGGAGCATTTCAAAAAGAGAAGAGACCAGAGAAAAGCCTACATACCTTTGTGGAAAGAAACGTTAGTCAAGCATACATTGAGTGCCGAAAACGCATCCAAACTAGAATCGTTGGAGAACGAGCTCTCATACGAAGATATAAAGTTCTACAGGTCTCTTGCCCGTAATGAAGTGAGGAAGGAAAATCTCGTTACTGCATCCACTGATACACATTCAAAGAGTAAAGAGGGAGGTTGGTTTTCATGGTGGGGAGGAGGCTCGAAAGAGGCTCCGAAATCCCAGGAATCAGGCCTTGATATTTCTTTGACCGATGAACAGAGACAGGCTCTCTATGATACAATCGACTACGACGAAAATCAGAGTGTGAGTAACACAATTGACATTCCACGGGATCGCACAACGATGGAGATATATGTGACAGTGAAGAAGGCAGGAGTTTCTCTCAAGACTCAAAAGAATGGTGCCACGTTGGCCGAGGTTGCGGTAGAAGAATGCACAACGCAATTTTATCAAAGACCAGACTCGTTTTTGGCTAAGTTTCAAATGCAGGAGCTTCGGGTTGAAGATGGGTCGGAGAAACCGTTGTATAAGCACATTGTTAGTGTTAAGCATTCACATTCCAGCTTGCACATCGATGAAGGGATTCAGACACCGTCATCTTCGACCGAACCATTCTTCCAAATTTCTTTCGAGGATAACCCATTAGATGGAAGTGCAGATTCTCTGATCGTTGCAAAATTGAAGTCAATGACTATTTTCTACAATGCTCTTTTCATCGAAAAGGTTATCCGGTTCTTCACTCCTCCCAAAATTCACCTCGATACAGTGGGAGCAATTATGAATGCTGCCGAAGCTACCATGGAAGGAATCACCTCTCAAACAAGACTCGGGCTTCAGTATGCCTTGGAGGAACACAAAAACAGTCAATGTTCAATTAGATTTGCAGGCTCCGTTGATAATTATGCCAATTGATCCCACAAATTGGAAGTCTCCAGTTGTCATTTTAGATGCTGGTCATATAAGTGTCAACAGTGACTTGGTTGACAAGTCTATTATCGAAGAGTTCAAGTCTAAAGATACTTACAGCAAAGAGGATCAGAAAACTTTCAACACCTTCATGTACGATAAGTTCAATCTTCATCTCCAGGATGCTCAATTCTTGGTTGGCCCAACAATCAAGAACACTATGGAACAACTTCATACACGAAGTAAAACCATGTCCGCTGTTGTTCTTGACAATTTTGACCTTAAGCTCTACCTTGGTATTTCTATTCTTCCAGATGCCGTAAACTTGGCTCGTTTTAAAATGGGTGGAGAGATTCCTTGTGTTAATGTCGCTCTTAACGACTTTCAGTACAAAACTATCATGCAGCTTATTGATGTTATTATCCCAAATCCCGATATGCAAGAAACGGAAGAGGAAGGTATATTTGACACCTTTGGCAACAGTCTGAATAACAAGGAAATTGAAGATGTGGATAATAATACCAAAGAGACAAATAAAAGTCCTCGTCCAGATGTGGTACAACATATGTTCGAAATGGACTTTAAAGTTGGAGCAGTGAACTTATACTTGTCAAGATGCGTCGATGCGGTGACCTTAGAGGCTGAGCATTTGGTTGACTTAGTGGGTGATTCATTAAATTTCTTTTTTTACAAGACGGATTATGGCATGCATGTGGATTTGTCCTTAACAGATATTAACTTGATCGATCACATTGAAAAATCTGGCATTCCAGAATTCGAGAAGTTGCTTTCATCCAACAACTTTTTGGAAGAAGAGGCAGTCAGCAGAAAAAATTCAGAATTGTTCAAGGTCGAGTACAATCGTGAGCAAAGACTTGTGGAGTTCAATGGCAAAGAAATAGAGCTATTTGACCAAGATGTGAAGGTCGACATGTCCGCTGTCAAATGCGTGGTTTCCAGAAAGTCTTATCTTAGTATTTTGAACTTTATTCTCAACACGTTCACCGATCCAAATGCAGTTGCAACTCCAGCTGATGATTTGAAGCACAATGATGTGGCAGGAGAAGCAGCACCAGAGAAGATCAACGTCGATGTTAACTTGGACAGTATCATTGTTGTTTTGAATGAAGATGGGATAAAATTGGCCACTTTGCAACTCAGTACTGCGCAAATTAATGTATTTTTGCTCCCTGAAGAGATGGAAGTGAACTGCAAGTTGGGCGCTCTTACATTGCATGATGAGTCAAATCAAGGATCTCCACGTAACTCTATCTTCAGAAGTTTAGTCAGTATTGAAGGTGATAATTTGGCAGAACTCACATATAAGACTCATGATATGGCAAAATCAGATCAGCCATACCAAAGCTCGATTGATTTTGTTACTGCTGCGACAAAGATTAACTTTGTTGAAGATGCTTTTAGCAAAATTTTCTCTTATCTCAACAAGTTCCAAAGAATGAAAGCAATTTATGATAGTGCCCGTGATGCTGCGATTAATCAGGCAAACCAAATCAACAATGCAACCAACATGAAAATGAATATTTTGGTGGGTGCTCCCACCGTATATTTTCCCAGATTGATTGATCAAAGAAACGATACGTGTGATATGTTGGTGCCGAATTGGGAGAAATCTATCTTGAGAATAATTTTGAACCAATCAATGGCATCCTTCACAACAGGATAAACGCAGGTATAAGAAACGTTAATCTCTCTACTGAATTCTACTTCGGTGAAGATGTTCGCCAGTTTGGAAAGTTGATGGAAGATTTCGATATCTCCTTTGCAATTGATCATATTGAGGAATATAACCCTGAATTTCCTCATTTTACAATCAAGGGTAAAATGCCTGAAGTTGATATGAAACTCACAGAATTGCAATTGAGATACATCAATAACTTACAAAAATCTATTACGAAGGTCTTCGATTTGTCAGTTGATGATGACTCTTTAGATGATATTGAGGAAGATGCAGAGTACGCAAATGCAGTGATGAGACATAATAACAAAGATAATCAAAATGGCAACGATATCGAAAAGTCGCTGGATGGACAAGAACAGGAGTTACCAATTGCTCATCCCGATCATACGAATATTAATTTCAGTTTTGAAATCCCTAGAATTTCATTGACTCTTTTTAACAAGACTACTAATCTCAGTGACTTCAGCTCGAAGCAACTTACCTTTTTGGCAATCAACGACTTCTCACTTGATTTTAACATGAAGGAAGATTCCACATTTTCTTCAGAAGTGTCTGTTAATTCATTCACGATCAAGGATGTTAGAGAAGGAACAGAAAACAAGTTCACAGAGATCATCCCCCCTCTAGATGACAACGAAAAACAATTATTTGTGGCCGCTTCTTCTTCCAACTCTGGAAGTCAACAAAGTATTGCTTTTATGGTAACAGTCGAAAAACCAAGGATTATACTAGCACTTGATCACATTTTTGAACTCCAAGCGTTTGTTAACAAAGGGTTGGAACTCGATGCTCCTATATCTTTAGACAACGAGAGCAACTCTGAAGAAATGACTCTTCTTGAAGATGTATCTAATCTAGATCAGGAACCTCAGCAATCTTCAGCTAATATTGGATTCTCAGTCAATGTAATTGAGCCATCTATAATATTGCTAGCTGATTCTGCCAGACAGGATACGGAAGCCATTGTATTCAAAGTGGAGCAGGTGATGATCACCAGTCAAAGTATTATGTCTGTTGCTGCCAACAACATCGGAATGTTTGTCGTGAACATGGATAATTTTGCAGATCAACGATTGAGAATCATTGATGACTTCTCAATTTCCTTCTCCTTAGATGAAAGGCAGTCAACACCTTCAAACCTACTTACGAATATTGAACTATCCGTGGACGCATTGCTTCTAAGAATCTCGCTTCGTGATATCAGGCTTGCAATGCAAATATTTGGCCGTGCGAACAACTTCTACAATATTGCCCATGGTATTAAAGAACAAGAAGAAGACGCAGAGTACAAGATGTCAGAGAATTTCAAGGCTAAGTTATCTAAGTACGCGCCAAGCATCGTTTCTAGCCTTTCAGGGCAACACCCCAAGCGTCGGAAACTGTCTATTGCAGCAAGCCTTACGGTGAAAGGTGAGGAATTCAATGGTAACTTTGGAGGAGCACGGCTTGTCTTGATTGGGGACGTGCACGAACTACCCGTCCTAGACATGAACGTAAAACCATTTGAAGTGAAAGTATTGAATTGGTCCAATGACATGAGCGCTGAAACTCATCTTGAGTACTTTGTGAACATTTATAACTACGCGAAGTCAACATGGGAGCCACTTTTGGAACCGTGGCCAGTAGCTATTTATGCTTCTAAACGGCTACTCCCGAAACCAAGTATGATGATTGATATTGTCTCAAGACAAATGGCAGAGTTTTCAGTTTCTTCCCGTTCTGTGGTTTTGTTGTCCCAAATATTCTCATCTATCACAACGGAAGGTAATTCAAAGCCGCGAGATGAAGTGACCCCATATGTCATTGTTAATCAAACAGGATTTGACTTAGAAATTTGGACTGATCTGCACGATGGCCTGAAAACAAATAAGAAGGTGATCCCATCCTTGGGTAAAACGAATTGGGCATTTGAGGATTGGAGAAAAATTAGAGAGAATCTTGACACTGATAATGTCCTGGATGTTTTGGGGGTTAAGCTTCTTGGATCATCTTATAATGAAGTCAGCGGAATTTCTGCAAGCGGAGTGGGTGAAGAAGTTTTTGTCTTAAATCCTCCTATTGATGGTGTTCATAACAGACTTGCTTGTGAGATCACTTTGGGTGTGGACAATGTTAAAACAGTTGTTTTACGTTCAACAATGACGGTAAGAAATAAATCCGATACTGCCCTCTCAGTGATTGCTGTCAAAAATAATGGAGATACCAGCGCTGAAATCACAGTCCAGCCAAATGAAACAATTGCTTTGCCTATTGATTGCGTTTACAATGATAGAATCAAAGTGAAACCACAGCTTCAATCGCGTTTCAGCTGGTCCGCAGAAACTATTACATGGAAAGATTTGATGAAAAAGGGTTCGCCCATATCATGTTCATCGCTTGATTCTCCAGGATCATTGTACTATTTCCAGGCCGAAGCTAGATTTGAGCAAGAAGAGCCATTAACTAAGGTTTATCCTCATCTTTCCATTGTAATTTCGGCCCCGCTTGAGATAGAAAACCTCTTGCCCTTCGACTTGAATTTCAGATTGTACGACAAGAGTGCGAAGAAGGATTGGAGTGATTCGGTGTTGAAAGGAGGAAAAACATATGTGCATATCGTGTCTCTTGAAAGCCTTTTACTATTAAGTGTCGAGCCTGTGGGATGCGGATTTGGTAAGTCAGAGTTTGCGATCATAAATGCATTAAATGATAGCGAATTCCGCAGGGAAAAATACATGAGCATGAAGACTGATGATGGTCAAGTTGTTAGACTCAAGATCCATTACCCAAAGAATTCTGCTAGATCTGGTTTGAAGATTGTCATCTATTCACCTTATGTCATTCTCAATAGAACAGGTCAAGATTTGCTAATCAGCGAGGCCCGAGCAAAGGTATCACCCATGAAAACAAAAAGGCGAAAGTGAAAACATCCCTCATTTATTCTCTTTCGACAAAGATGAAGATCCTCTGAACAGAGCGTTAGCTAGAGTGGGAGATTCGGTTTGGTCAACACCTTTGAGTTTTGATGCTATTGGACAAAATATTGGTGTGAAGTCCCAAGTTCAAGGGAAGCAAAGTGAGATGAATTTTGGAGTGAGTGTCGCCGAAGGAGAAGGAAAATATAAACTTTCCAAAGTAGTTACCTTTGTGCCTCGTTACATTGTGCGTAACAATTTGAAGGAATCAATTTTCTTGGTTGAAAATGGTTCCACTCAGCAGTTTGAATTGGCTAGTGGTGGTATCACTCCTCTCTACCAATTACGACGCCTCGAAAAGAAGTCAATGATGTTGAAGTTCAGTCATGGAGGCAAATCGTGGACCTCACCTTTTGGTATTGATGACATAGGTCAGTTATTCTTAAAAGCACAGAAAGAAAACTATGGGCAGGTTCTCTTGAAGGTAAATATAATTACCGAGAACGCATCTATTTTCATTGAAATTGAAAATGCAAATAATGACTGGCCCTTCTCAATCAGGAACTTTACAGATACAGAGTTTTATATTTACCAGAGTGACCCCAATAAGAATCTGAATGGTGAGGTTGTGAAGAAGGAAGTGGATTACAAACCAATTTATTACAAAGTTCCTCCAAAAAGTGTGATGCCGTACGCGTATGATTACCCAAGTGGTGTGGTTAAGGACCTTATAATACGCTCTCATGGTAGAGAGAGGGCCGTTAACCTTGCAGAAATCGGCAATCTTCGCCCATTTCGTTTGCCACCGACAGAAAGAGAAGGTCAAGTAATCGTTGATTTAAATGTCGTTGCTGATGGACCTACCCAATCCCTTGTGATTTCCAAATACGATCCGTCTGTTAGTTTGTATAAGCTACAAGGCGAAAGCGGGTCTTCTAACAGCTTATCCCAACAACAATTTCAGGTTATTGAGAAAGACGAGAATTATTACACCAAAATTGTGACTAGATTTGAAGGTTTCGGGGTATCCTTAATTAATACAAGGAACCAAGAGCTCTGTTATGTGACAATGAAGGGCATTGAGCTCAGATACAACGAGTCTGACTTGTATCAGAATGTCAGTGCTAAGATAAAATGGATCCAGATTGACAATCAGTTATATGGAGGGATTTTCCCTATTATCATTTATCCTACTATTGTACCTAAATCAGGGAAGGAAATGAATAGTCACCCATCCTTCAGTGCGTCAGTGTGCAAAGTTAAGGACGATTCTCATGGTGTGGTATTCATAAAGTATGCTACATTATTGTTGCAAGAAATGTCTGTTGAAGTTGACGAGGATTTCCTCTTTGCTCTATTGGACTTTTCAAAATTCCCTGGAGCCAGTTGGAATGATCAAGTTGAAGACAAACTTTGCGATGACGATCTTCAGATTCCAGAACCGAAGAAACTCACCGAGGCGAACGACATTTACTTTGAGGCGTTGCACTTACAGCCTACATTGATGAACTTATCGTTTGTGAGAACAGAGCGAGTCAATGCAGAAGATAGGACGTCTTCTCAGAATACATTGATGTTCTTCGTCAACATGTTAACAATGGCTATCGGTAACATTAATGACGCACCAATCAAGTTGAATGCATTGTTCATTGAAAATGTGCGTGTGCCTATTCCTATCTTGATGGAATCCATTTCGACCCATTACGGCCAATCATTCTTCTACCAACTTCATAAAATTCTTGGTTCAGCAGACTTTTTGGGTAATCCTGTTGGATTGTTCAACAACTTATCTTCCGGAGTCATTGACATCTTCTATGAGCCATACCAAGGTTTTGTTATCAATGACCGTCCACAGGAACTTGGAATAGGATTAGCTAAAGGTGGATTGAGCTTTCTTAAGAAGTCTGTGTTCGGCTTTTCTGATTCGTTTGCTAAGGTCACAGGTTCGTTGGCCAAAGGCTTATCTGTTGCTACAATGGACAGAAAATTCCAAGAACGCAGAAGACTCAACCAGCGCAGAAACAGACCTAAGCATGCCCTTTACGGCTTCACAACCGGGGCAAACTCGTTCTTTGATTCCATATCGTCGGGTGTCACAGGAATCGCCCTGGCCCCTCTTGAAGGTGCTGCCAAGGAAGGAGCCGGTGGATTCTTTAAGGGCCTTGGGAAGGGTCTTGTTGGGCTTCCTACCAAAACCGCCATCGGATTTTTCGATTTGGCTTCCAATGTGAGCGAGGGTATTCGCAACACAACTACCGTATTTGATGCTGATGGTTTGGAAAAGGTGAGACTTCCGAGATACATTTCGTACGATGGAGTGGTAAGACCATACTCACAAAGGGAAGCACAGGGACAGTTCTGGCTCAAGTCAATTGATGGAGGTTCGTTTTTTGACGAGACATACTTGGCTCACTTGGTCATGCCAGGAGAGGAGCAAGCGGTGATTGTGACGTTCGGCAAAGTGATTTTATTTGTCATCAACAGCATGAAAGTGACGTGGATTGTATCCTTCGACCAGATCAAAGCACTTTCACTTGAAAATACAGGCATTGCAATTTTGTTGAAGAGACGCAATGGTCCATTCATTCCTATTGCTGAGAAACAAAGCCGACTCTTCCTCTACTCCAGGTTTAAGGTTGCGGTTGATAAGTACAATGCTCGGTGCCAGGTTACCTTATAGTATCCAACACCGTGTATTTGATGAGTGGTTTTTGTTCTGTTCTGAAATTATGTACATGATATATGCGCAGTTGTTAATAAAGTTTTATAATGTGTAATGGCATGTTTACACTCTATGGCCTGGGAAGACTCTCAAAGACTCTTGGGGTCTCGCCTGCCCTTTTTCCTAGGCGTGCCATGAAGGTTTCGGGGTTCTCTTCCGCACAGTACTGGAATTTGAGAGAACCCACAGAGACAATGCCGTCGCCAGTTTTAACGAGTATGCGGTTTCCCAGGAAGGCAAACTCGCCTGGTAGAGCCTTTTCCAATATCGACGTGGTTTCATGTTCCCGTATATCGTCTAAGATCACCTTATAGTGTTGATGTACGCGTTTCTTTTTCTTAATAATGTCAACCATCTTGAAAGTATGTAACGGCCCAAGGGCGTCCGATAGCCGCTTAATTGTCCGACTGGAAGCTCGCCAGTCGATCTGAGAGGTTTCAGGCAAGATCTTCTTAGCAAGCGAGTACGCATATGGCGACTTGATAGGAGATAGAGGAGGAACGTACAATTTTTTTTCTAGCACATGTGCCAAAAGATCTGCGCCAACTTCAGACAATCGTGCTTGCAAGCTGTGGTAGTTGTCATCTTCAAGGATAGGGATGGGAGAGGTCTGCGCGAGAATAGCACCTTTGTCAAACTTAGTGGGATGTAAAGTTTGAACGGAAACCCCAGTCTCGGACACATCATCCATGAGCGCATGCTGGAGCGGCGCAGACCCTGAATACATTGGGAGGAGCGAGGGGTGGACATTTAGACCGCCATGCCCCATTTGAGAGAGATACTCAGCCGGTATAAGTTTCCCGTACGATACAGCGACAGCCATATGATTCGGTCCACGGGGAGCTATATCTAGAATTTCTTCCGCTGAATCAGCACGCCATAGAGGAAGTCCATGACGGGTAGCAAAGTCGCCTGCTGGCAAGTCAACAAAGGTGGTCAATTTGCGACCAGTCGGTTTGATTCTTCGCGTCACCACATCGATAGACGAGATGAGGGAAGGATTTTCGTGATGAAGCCGAAGAAGGCGAGCAAGTGAGGCCACAGAGAAGGCGTCAGACCCGAAAAAGGCGATACGAAGGGACATAGAAGGAGGTAAGGCGTAAAGTGGATTGAACGTGGGTATGTGCGAAGCAAAGTCAGAATGCGAAACAGGTGTGGGCAGCACGGATTATTATTCTAGAGGAAAAGGCACATCAGAGGCGAGAAAGCAAGCGGAAATGCAGAAGATGAGCAAATGCAGAAGATGAGCAAATGCAGAAGATGAGCAAATGCAATATGAAACAATGTAATTAATATGGTGTGCTTCTTTTCTGATCCTGATGGAGACGCGCGCATTCATACTGAAGAATTAGAGTCGCAGTCCAACAGAATACGCAAAGGTTAATGGGACGAGATATCAGCTGAGTATGTATCCTATTAGGATCAAGTCACTATCTTCAAAGTAAGTAGATTTGAACCACTTGGTTTTTTGAAATGCCGTATCTAATGATTTTACTACTACTAATGCACAGTCCTAGATGCCCTAAGCCAGGCACCACGTAGTAAACAATGCCAAACTAATGTAAGAATGAGTTTAAACGTGGATAAAAAACATCTGGAACTTTAAATTTGGCTGCCTCATTTTCGAAAAACTACGACCTATTGCATTCCACGATTGTGCAAGACTACTTACCATAAGCCTCATAATCCGTCATTAGATTAATACAAGCGATTGATAGTTGATCAATAAATCGCTTTGTTCGCTTTCACTGTGGTGAAAAATAGTACATGTGTATACGTAACTAATCCGATACCTTCTATCTCCACACATTTCTCCACACTCGGTGAACAACGCGACCCTTGTCTATTTTCGCGCAACGTGGATTGTCCGAACACCGAAAATCAAGACAACAAAGCGTCATCATAATACAACATAGCGTATGCTGCTACAGCCTTGAGGATTTGCATTTGAAAAAGACATCTAATCAATTGGGGAAAACAATTGCCATTATCTCCCATCAAACCTGGTGCGATTGTCGCTTACATTTCCAGACACAATAATATTTGATCTGCCCTCTCATACTCCAGTGTTCCATCGAGTTGTTGATTTTCGAATTTGATAACCGGTCGTCTCCCATACATTGCATTTGGTAATCACCAGCATATCGCCATTCACATTTTTTCAGCATGCCTTCAACCCTACTGCGTGTTGTTGTGCTCGTGGCTTGCACTTTTCTTGGCCTTGTGTGCGGAACGCTATATCTCTACCTGTCTTATGGCCCCCAATTGGCAATCCGACTCAGCTACTCTGCTGCCGACTCGTCCTCCATTGGATTGTTTGGTAGCGTGGGTATAGCGCTCTCTGGTCCGATAGCTGGAGTCGTGGTGGATACCTATGGATACACCGCTGCTCTCCTGCTTGGTGCAGTCGGCATTGTATCCGGATACGCATGCCTCCAGAGACAGTACGATGCTGCATGGGCCAGTGTAAGTGTTCTGCGCCTGGCTCTTTTCCTCGTGGGATGCGGCTCGACCTTCATCAATCTGGCATGCCTCAAGTGCTGCGCTGTCACTTTCCCGCGCATGCGAGGCGTGGCTACTGCCCTTCCTTTGGCGCTCTACGGTTTGCTGGCAATGGTTTTTTCTGTCGCTGGTAGCATGTTCTTCTCGGGAGATCCCCTGGCATTCCTCGCCTTCCTTGCTCGCGCCCTGTTCGGCGTGTTTGTGGTGTGCGCGCCCGCAGTAATGCTCCGCGACGGCGCAACGACGCCAGGCCAGACAGAGAACGTGCCCATGGTGGATTTGTCGCGCGCGCGCCTGCCGCTCCACGCTGTGTCATCTCATCCTGTGCGGGCCTTGTCACCGCCGCGCCCTGCGGCTGAAGTATCGGGCGCGCGCCTTCTCCGTTCGCCCCGATTCTGGCTTCTTTTCATCACAACGGGCGTGTTGGCCGCCGTTGGCCAAATGTACATATACTCAGTTGGGTACATGGCGAGCGCTCTCTCAGTTGCGCAACTGGACTCAGTAGTCAATGCGGAACAAAACCAGCGCCTACAGGTGAGTCTTCTTTCTGTGGCCAACTGTGTCGGCCGTCTCGCTGCTGGTATATCGGGCGATATGGTGCATCTGTGGCACTGCCCACGACGTTGGCTTCTAGTGGTCCCAGTTATAGGGCTTTTGGTTGCGCAAGGGCTGGCACTTGCTGTTTCGGCCCCTCATCGGTTGTCCCTTGCGTCGCTGCTTACGGGCTTTTTCTACGGCTACACGTTCTGCATAATGCCTCTAGTTGTGGGCGACGAGTTTGGCCTTCGTCATTTCCTGGCTAACTGGGGCTTGGTAGGCCTTGCACCAGTGTTTCCGTCGTATTATTTGACGTCCTTGTTTGGACAAGTCTACGATCTGCGAAGCATAAACGGGGTGTGCATGAGTGGGAGAGTCTGCTACGACTCTGTCTTTTACGTCACAACGCTAGCAGTGCTTTTAGCGGCCGTGCTGGTAGCGCTTTTCAATCTCACCGGTCGCATGCGACACTGAGGGCATAGATAGGGATAGATATACAAGTTATAGAGACGTGACATTGTCACTAACATGGATAATAGTTTGCCTCGGCCAGTTCAGATTGATGTTAATCAGCCAATTTAAAAGGTGAAATTCAGTTTGTGATTCATCATGGTAGACATTCAAGATTTTACCTTTTCCATTATATAGCATAAGACTACAAAAATAAGGGTTCTCGAATTGTGGGACCATACCCATCACATATATCTTGCCAAGTGGCAAATCTCCTATTGTGGCTTGTATGTTTTGAATTTCGCCATGGTGATACTACTTTGTTTGTCTGTGTTTCGCACTGACTTCACCGTGTATGTGTGAGTATGTCCCTGAAGTACCGTCCGCCAGGATTACGAGAACGAACCTTAGAGCCAGGATCTGGGACAACCTCTGCGTCACGCCAAGGGTCACAGAGCAACCGAGCCCGAAGGTCGCGGTCCACTTATCAAGGTTCTCGTCCTAAAAGTCTGACCTCTGATTCAGAGTCGCCCACAGTTGAATCTGAGCATCGAAGTCAGAGCCAGCCACAAGCTTCCCGACCGGCGCAACCGTTGCAACATGCACGTTCCATACCGACTTCCAGGTCCTCGCGGTCTCTACACTCTCGGTCATTCCCTCCTCCTCAGCCTCCTCTTGTTCGCCCATTCACCGCGCCTTCGCGCCCTGACCCGACCGAGCATAACCAGCGCGAGCCACAACAAGAGGCCCGGTCGGGCAACAGAGATGAGGCCGCACTTGCGCGGCAGGCCCGTTTTTCGGCACCGCCTGCCCAGCCGTTTGGGTTTGCCTCCCGCGGTGACCTGCGCCTACAGAATAGTGTTGCCGAACAGCGGGCATTTTTCGACCGCACGACGGGCGCACTTCTGGCCGGATCAGACATCGACGCTGTCCTTGCCGACTTGCGCAAACTTCGAGAGGCCATGCTTCATGCCGGCCCATCCCGTTTTCTCAAGAAGGTGTTTCTTTTCTCTGTGCGTGTTGCTGCTCCTGCTGGCCGCTATCAAACTGTGGTTCCATGTCTGACCTATCTTTTGGAGCTGCGCGCGGCACTGTTGCTTACGGGCGAAGAAAAGCTCGAGCTCGTATCGTTGCTCGCACTCCACATATCGCATGTGGCGGGCGATACACCGCGCGCTCTCGCATTATTCTTCGCTCACACAGGGCGAGATCAGGCGCCGCGCCTTTGGGAGACTTTAGTTTCGTGGGCGCGCGGGGATTACTATACTTGGCTCCAAAAGTACAACTCAGAGCCGGACCCTGCTACTTTCCGCGCCATGACGAGCGGACTAGGTGATATAATGCGCCGGATGGTGCATAGCCTAACCTGTGCATATTTTCAGATCTCCCGCAGCGAGTTCGAAACAAAGTTTCTCCCGGCTGGTGTGACCTTGGCAACTTTCATGGAGGAGTATGCGCCGCATTGGGAACTCAAAGAAGATACCATCGTGTTTCGGCGCAGATCATAACGCCCACAGGCTTTACAAGATGTATAAATTGGCAAATTTGCTCGAGATCCAAGAGTGGGTTGATCAATCTGTTTGAGTATAATGCGATCATTCTCTTCATTGCATTGGAGACTTGGACTGGTTTAAGTGGTCCTACGTAGAAAGTTGTAACTAGCCGTGTGTTGTTACTTTTTTTAAACTATGTAATGCCCTTGAAATGAAAAAACAGGCTCCGTCGATTTCCCTAGCCACCCTCCTTTCTCTGAGCCTTCAACTTATCTGACCTTTGATTTCCATAGACTTACGCATGAAGGACTGGCATATGGCCCATAATCGGCGCGCGCCTAAGTTAGCCTCTCGCTTAGTTAGTTTTGCTCCATATTCTTCACTTGCCCCGTTACTCTGCGCTCAGATCAGTTAACCCACAGACACTACCATACACCAACGAAGAGTGGAAAATGTCATTATCAAACTACACGCAAAGTCCAGATATCGAGATCATGGAGCTCGATTCGCAACCTGATTTCAACAAACCTGTTCCCACAACGCTGAATGAGCTTCCTCAAGTGCTCAAAATCGACGACATTACCTCGGGCAAAATCGACCCCCAAGCGATCTACAAAGAACTCGACCGCCTAAAAGTCGAGGTGAATATCCTCCGCAACGACATGTCACTTTTCCTCCGCGCTTTGGCGTCTGCCTCTCCTTCCCAAAGTCAGCAGGAGTATCGTAAGCTATTAGCGCAGCGACTTGAGGCGGTTAACGTCTCCATTCAAGACTACTGCCGGCAGTACAACCGCCTTCTACCGGTGATCAATTTGGCACAGATCCGCTTGGGCCATGAGGTGGAGGTGCTTCCGCCGAAAGCAGGTGTTTCACCCGCCAAACGCAAGTAAATGCCCTATCAACCCAAATACCAAGAGGAATATCAAATATTGCATCTGCTTTAGGAGTGGAATCTCTCTTATTTACACACATTACGCCAAGTTTCTTTGTGATTTGTGCGACTTCACTCATTGACCTTTGACGAGGTTCAACTCGCGTACCCACCAAGAGATATGTATTGTCTCATGTCCCTGACTCATTGCAAGCTACACACAGCCAGTTCTTAGCATTAATCAATAGCATCAATCACTCTACTAATCTTGCGGGGGTTACCCTGAACTGACTCATAGCCACATGCACACTAGACATATAAAGCGCGCGAGGTAGTCGACTTCAACGATATCACCAAACAGAAATGTCCGCTTCCTTAAGAGAGACATTTGCAAGATGCAAAAAGGAGGGCAGAAACGCCCTCGTCAACTTTATCACAGCCGGCTACCCTACTATCGAAGACACAGTTCCCATCATGCTTGGCATGCAGGAAGGTGGTGTCGACATCATCGAGTTGGGTGTTCCCTTCTCCGACCCGATCGCCGACGGCCCTACTATCCAGGTGGCCAATAACGTTGCCATAGACAACGGTGTCACTGTTGTCAAATGCTTGGAGTTGGTGGCGCAGGCCAGAGAAGCTGGTGTTTCTGTTCCCATCATCTTGATGGGTTACTTCAACCCAATCATGAAGTACGGCGAGGAAAAATTGGTGGAGGACGCTGCCAAGGCCGGTGCCAGCGGTTTCATTGTGGTGGACTTGCCGCCTGAAGAGGCTGTTGAGTTCAGAAGCACATGTGCCAAACATGGTCTCTCATACGTTCCTTTGGTTGCGCCAGCAACTACCGATGCCCGTTTAGCGGTGTTGGGCGATATCGCTGACCTGTTCATTTACGTGGTCTCGCGTATGGGCACCACCGGTTCCAACACTGCTGTTTCCAGTGGCATTGCCACTTTATGTGACCGTGTGCGTAAATTTGTCGGCGATAAGCCCTTGGCCGTTGGTTTTGGTGTGTCGACCCGTGAACATTTCTTGACTGTGGGTGCCGCCGCCGAAGGTGTGGTGATTGGCTCGAAGATCGTGACGCTTTTGGGCGAGTCTGCTCCCGGTGAGCGTCGTGAAGTGGCGTTCCGCTTTGTCCGTTCCATCTTAGGAGAGGACTTTTCTCGCGCCGAGCTTCCGCCATTTGCCCCTTATGCCCCACCTGCGAATGCTTCTGTTCCCAAGCCGCTCTTGCAAGAGAGCCACCAGTACAGTCCACGTTTCGGTGCTTTTGGTGGCCAGTATGTACCTGAAGCTTTGCACACCTGCTTGGCCGAGTTAGAAAAAGGCTTCGAGAGTGCCGTTGCTGATCCACAGTTCTGGTCAGAATTCAAAGCTTTGTATCCTTACATTGGAAGGCCATCTTCTTTCCACAAGGCTGAACGCTTGTCTGCGCACGCTGGGGGTGCCCAAATCTGGTTGAAACGTGAGGACTTGAACCACACCGGCTCGCACAAGATCAACAACGCCTTGGCCCAGGTTTTGATCGCACGTCGTTTGGGCAAGAAACGCATTATTGCCGAGACAGGTGCTGGCCAGCACGGTGTAGCTACTGCTACTGCATGTGCCAAGTTTGGCATGGAGTGCTGTGTCTTTATGGGTGCTGAAGACGTGAAGCGCCAAGCGTTGAACGTTTTCCGTATGCGTATTTTGGGAGCTAAAGTTGTTGCTGTGACAAACGGAACACAAACTCTTCGTGACGCCACGTCGGAAGCCTTCCGTTACTGGGTGTCCCACCTAGAGTCCACACATTATGTCGTGGGACTGGCCATTGGACCTCATCCGTACCCTACATTGGTGCGTACCTTCCAAAGTGTTATTGGCCAGGAGGCAAAAGAGCAATTCCAGGAGTTGTCAGGTGGCCGCTTACCTGATGCCGTTGTGGCTTGTGTGGGTGGTGGTTCTAATTCCACCGGTTTGTTCTCTCCTTTCGAAAAGGACACTTCTGTGCGTATGGTTGGAATTGAGGCTGGTGGTGACGGTGTCAACACCGACCGCCACTCTGCTACTTTGACTGCCGGTATTCCAGGTGTTTTCCACGGTGTTAAAACGTACGTTTTACAGGACGCTGATGGCCAGGTCCATGACACTCACTCTGTATCTGCAGGCTTGGACTACCCAGGTGTTGGACCTGAGTTGGCTTATTGGAAGAGTACGGGCCGTGCTGAGTTTAGCGCTGTCACTGATGCGCAGGCTTTGGAAGGTTTCAGATTGTTGTCGCAGTTGGAAGGTATCATTCCGGCTTTGGAATCTTCCCATGCCATTTACGGAGGTGTTGAGCTTGCCAAGACCATGAAGCCTGACCAGCACATTATTATCAATGTTTCCGGGCGTGGTGACAAAGATGTGCAAAGTGTTGCTAAGGCCTTACCAGTTTTGGGCGAGCAAATTGGCTGGGACTTACGTTTCGAGGACGATCCTTCAAAGTAAGGGTTATTCACCTATATAGGTAGACGAATATAGTCACTTGCCCAGCTGAGTTGTAGATTGTAGGTATTTACTTCGTTTTTTTACCGTTGAGACTTCTCCTTCTGAATGGGCTAGTTATCCGTGATTCAGAATTGTATTAAATGAAAGTGTTCACGGCAACATAGCGGGAAATGTCAGTCGTACGGCTTCTCAACTTATTTCAAAATTATTACCTTTTTTTCCAGTATACTTCCAAGATTACGAACAATGACGGCGTAAATCATGAATACGAGATACAAGAGAGAAGAATGCCCAAGTTTTGACGAGTCTGTATTCAACTGCGATTTTTTTTTTTTTTGAGTTCATGATTGTATGATTTCATTCAACAATGTCAGAAACTTTAAATTGCATACAAGATAACAGTTTGCAGAGCCTTAAAATGATAATAAGCATATATGATAATTATAGAGATTAAATAGTATATTTAACGCAGAGTCACGTTTATTAGTCTTTATCAGAGAGCAGATGCAAAGTTCGCGCTCCGTACACTCCACAACAGTTTTCAAACACCACTGTTTCCAATGTCCCAACCAACATATTTCACAGAACTTTCAGCTGTTTTCGGCGTGAAAGATATTGACAATACCACTTTACAAGTTTGCGCCAAGCTTCTCGATCTAGGCGTAGATCCGAAGAAGTTAGCGCAAGCGGTTCGCAGTATCCAAGACCAAGCGAAAATTGAGTAAGAAAACCCACAACAGAGTGGAAACAATGACATCGAGCTATGCAAAGCCTCCCTTCTTTTTCTTCTTCTTTTGACTTGCAGTTTGCAGACCAAACCTCTTGAGCCCTTGCGAAGGAGCAGGCGACCGTGTTTGAGATTGCGACCGCGTGATTGATATTTGCGATGAAGAGACAACTGGGATAGATGTTAATGACTGCGAAGGAGCTGTTTGAGAAGGAATCGATTGAGAAGAACGAGGCTCAGATTGGACTGACTGAGGCAGCGAAACGTGGGACGAAAACGAGTGAACGCCTTGAGAAAACTGTGGTTGGGAATTGGCAAGGGCAAGACGACGAAGCTCACGCTTGCTTTTCTTTGTCTGCTCTAGAGGAGGTGGTGCTTCTTCCCAATCGTTAAAAATCTCCTGAAGCTCTTTGGGCGCCTCTGCGTGGGCGGCTTCAATGCTGTTATCTAATTGTTGAGGAAGGTCGTTTCTTGCTGCGCGTATCAGACTCGTGGCAAGAAGCATCGTCGCCTGGCGGATATTAAGACGGTTGCGCGAAAGTTTGCCGAGCGCTCGGGCAAGCGAAGCCGCCGAATCGACTGGAAATGAGATGCGTGCAGCAGCACGCTGGCGCTCACTTAAAAGACTCGAGATTTGGTTTTCTACCGCAAGCCCGGAAGAAGCATAATGCGAACGGAGTTGGAGGGTCATGGCGTCAAAATGGCTCCTGTTGTGCTCAAACTGGGGAATGTCCCCGCCTAGTGTAGCCAACGCATGCCATGTGGGTGCAATGTCTTCTTTGGCAGCCGCACTAAGAAGGCGCGCATATTGGCGAAGGGCATCAGGACCGGCCAAAACTCGTGCTTCTTTGGAGAGCGGAGTGCGCGAAGCCAAGGCAGCGAAATGGTGCGGGCCATACATGTAAGCATCATGGACATCTATACTCCAACCGTCAAGGTTGTTAAGGTCCTCCATTTGTTCATATAGAATTTCCGAGCCAGTAGTTGGTTTGAATGACATTGGTGATGGCAGCTGTATCCAGTATTTGTAGGACTTTGATTGCGATTCAGAAAATTGTACGGACACACTTGCATCCTGACGCTTCATCTCGAGCGGTGGAGGTGGCGTACAAAAACCGCCATGCGGGCGGAGAATAGAAAAAATCACGCCCTTTCCGCTTTCGACAAGCGTAAGCAGAGGGTCGCGCCCGCACGAAAAAGGAGCCGGTGCCACAGATAAGTGCGAGAGGCCCCGAAACAGCGCCCGTAAAAAGTATGGGTCGCGAACGCTGCAGGGCCGACCCTCAACCTCTGCAAAGGAAAAAACGACAATGAGCGGCAGCCGCGCAGAGAAAATCGCACAAATGTACTGGTTACCTTCATGCGAAATGGTCATTCGCATCAGCAGATCAGAATTGTCCAAATAATGCTTCCAAGATACAAGCCGCCGAAGAGGCATGTCGTCTTTGGTGCACCAGATGATCTCCTGCGTCGTCAATAGAAAAATGTACGGCGTACCTGCCACCGTTTGCATGTCCTGGATGCGCGACCACATTCGTGCCAGAATAATCGTACTCACTTTGGGTGTGGAATCAGAAACACGCTGCTTTTCCAGTAGTGTCGGCACATTGATGTATGGCACTTTGGGGCTTGTCTCAAGCTGAAGCTGTATTAGTGACACGCCTGTGCGCGAGGCCACAAGAAGTTCGCCTGCGCGAGAGAAGCATGCGCGGCGCCAGGCAGAAAGCTCTTGCGGCTCGGGCACCCGCACCAAATGGTCGCGCCCAAAAGTCCACCGTGCGCCAAATTCGAAGTGGAATACTGCTACTGTCCCGAGCAGATCCACCACAAGAAAACGATCGTCTTGAGCAAACTCCACATGCACGAGAGAATGGCCGTCAACATCAGATGGTGATATAGCGGCTTCGATCCGCGAAACCTCAAGGCCCTTGGACTTGGGATCGTTATTCCACCGCACTTCCAAGAACACAATGCGCGACGTTGTGCGCACTGCAATGAGGCGAGAGCGGGCCGCGACAGCCACCTGAAGAATGCGCGCCTCAATATCGCACAGAAGAACTTTGCGCGGGTAGGCGGCAAGCCATTTTGATGCGGATTTCTTAGCCGGCCTTTCAGAAACTTCCCGACCACCGTTGTCGGCTTCTTTTTGTCTCATACGCTCATCCAGACTTGAGCTATTGTCCTCACTTTCACTGCCGCTCTCACTGTTGCTTTCACTGCTGTTACCGTCTCTTTCATTGTCTTTTCCGCTCTTGTCTTTGCCATTCTCTGCAATGTTCTCATTTTGATCGTTGCCACTGTCATTTCTACTTGTATTGCTTCTCTTCTTTCCGTATGGCCTCTCGTCTCCGCCTGTTTGCTCTGCTTTGAGACGCTTCTTCACTGGCATCATCACCAGCACATTGAGAGTTTCCCCATCGGCCCACGCCACGGCGTGTACAGCCACTATATTTGATTTACTCTTAAGAAAACGTCTTCTCCCCTCGATCCGTACCAGCAGCGCATAAGCTCCCGTTCCAAGCTGGAAAACCGCTGATAGTGCTCCTACTTCTGGATCGTATTTTTCCTCATCTAGCGCGTCTGCCTCAGCAGCAAGGCTCAGGACTATGTACTGAGGAAGAAAGGAAGCATCACGACTTAAGGTCAGTCGGTGCCCCCTAACTTGAGGCTTTGGAGGCGAAAGAACAAGAGCTGATTTCTTCATACGGCGATATCGTGCAGCGTGATCTCGGAGACGCGGGAAGCGGAATTCAGGCACGTATGTGTCTGTACGATTCCCCGTAGTGGGGAACAAGATGCCAGGGCCTGAAATTCCATACGTTAGTTGAACGCCGGTTTCTTTTTTTGTGGGCCACATTCAGATGCGATATGCAATTAGTTGGAGCAGATGTGAGATACAACTGAAGATAAGATCGGCTAGCACAATGTGAAGTACGTGATTCTTGAAACGACACCCGTATATGTGCAAGGAACTCGAGAATAAGACTCTAAGGGGAGGCAAGTTGGAAATTTAATGAATGACAAAGGTTCAAATCACACTGTGATTATGTCAAGATGCAGAATACCTGAATTGGTCGCGATGGGTGCGCAGTCCAACCACAGAATACTGGACATCAGAAAGAATAGGCCACGGAGAACAGTAAACAAGAGAACTATGCAAAGGAATAGGAAAGTTAATATCTGTCGCGTACCAGTATCTGAGGAGTCAGGAAACCCAATCATTGGCCGCACGTACGTTGATGCGTCTTAAGTGGGTTTTATGTATATGTTTTCGCATACTCTGCTTAAAGATCCTTGAGGTAAGTAAGGGATGTATTCTGAATTTCATAAGGCAAGAATTCATGAGAGTCACCTCTTGACTGAATACGTATTCGCACTCGAACGAGTGCCAAAGCCGGTCACACTATATTTTTGATTTATCGGTGTCATTATTCTCTCCATGAACTGACGTCGACTGGATGACATCTTTTTGACTTTTTGAAAAACTATTGGATATTAAATAACTTTAACTATTAAACACAAGCAACTACATGGTAGGGCATTAGCAATTTATGCCTGGTATTTATTGTATTTATTGGGACAGTATTCTCTGCACTAATTAAATCAGGTTTGAGGAGGCTAATAGATCGTTCTTTGTTCCGTTATGTTCTCAGAAAAGTTGATGTGTCACATTCAAACAACGAGAAGTCTTCATTGTTGTCGTATGACTTCCTTATGGCTTCTGAAAGACTTCATCAAGCAGCAAGACAGTACGCTTCTGACACAGTATCCCAAAAATACTGGTACGAATCATCATTTGATAGCCATGAGTTACCCATTATAAAACCATTGTTGTAGCCATATCCGATAAAGATTAGTAGAGTAAAAACTATCCACCTTTCTAACCATTTATCTGTCAAGTACAAATACAAATCGGTTTTCCCAACCTTTGACAATAATGATAGTCTGGGATACTATAGACAAGAATTTTTCTCTAGATAATTAGCTCTCTCATTCCGGAAATTATTGTGTACTCATATGCCTAAGCCATCACCTTCCAAACTAATAGTTCATTCATGGCATTTATTGCAGGCTAGGCATATTCCCTAGTAGTACTGAATCACAATACCCCACCGCGCAGCTGAGAAAGAATTTCATGCAGAATTACGAGGTTCCCGGCCGTTAAGTCCACACGAACCCTTCAACTCCGTCTGCGAAGCCAGATCGTCAAATAGGAGCAAAATCAGAAAATATGGAGAGTTGGAAGTCTAAACAAAAAAAACTCGCGGAGAATTCAGCAATTCTCTTACTTGTGCGAGGATCCAGAAGACTGATAAAAAATATTCTCTCGCACTACACTAGATTGAAGTAACCTCCAAAAGTAGAGTAAACATTAACCAGAAGAATGAATTGGATTCACTGTCTTCGACTTGCTTTAACTTATCATAAAAAGAAAGAGTGATATTAAAACCCTCATATGGCCATTAAAGTAAGAACTCCACAAAAATTGTCGAAGTGGGGCCATTCGCGTCTTGTTTTCACTAGTTAATAGTTCTGCACACAACTAAGAGCGTCCGATACATGTACACGTAACCTTTTAGCGTTTTCACCAATCTCAAAAAGCTCCATGGCCAAAAAGATCAACCAAAAAAGAGACGTAGGTCTCGCCTCGAACAAATCGAGTTTTGTGTTGGACTTGGATACCGTGCCTGAACCGCAATATGCTGCCGGATCTGCCAGAAGTTATCTTGTGACTTCTATTCCTGAGAAAATCACAAAATCTAGAGGTGTCTCCTCCAAAGATTTGCTTCTCATCGCAGCTCTTGTTCTTCTGTCGGCCCTTTTACGTTTACGTGGCTTGGAGAAGCCTAACTCTGTGGTTTTTGACGAGGTCCACTTTGGTGGTTTTTCGCAAAAGTATATCTTGGGCACTTTTTTCATGGATGTGCATCCGCCATTGGCCAAGATGTTGTTTGCGTGGGTTGCCCTGATTGGCGGCTTCAAAGGTGACTTTGACTTCGCTTCCATTGGCGACATCTACCCTGAAACTGTTCCATATGTGTTGATGCGGTTCTTCCCGGCCGCATTGGGTGTTTTGACCGTTTTGCTTTGCTACTTAACCTTGCGTTCTTCTGGTGTTCGTCCAGCTGTTGCGTTTGCTACGGCATCGTGCCTCAACTTGGACAATTCCTACATTACCATCAGCAGATACATTTTGTTGGACTCCCCACTTATGTTTTTCATTGCTGCTTCCATTTATGCTTTCAAGAAGTTTGAGGTGCAACAACCTTTTTCTTTGGAGTGGTTCCGTTCTTTACTGTCATGTGCCATTGCTTTGGGACTTGCCCTCTCTTCCAAATGGGTTGGCTTGTTTACCTTAATCTGGATTGGTCTTTCATGCGCCGGCCACATGTGGTTTCTCATTGGCGACTTGCGCGTTTCTCCATGTGCCATTGTTAAACACGCCGCTGCTCGTGCCACGATGTTGTTGGGTATTCCAGCAGTAATTTACTTGTTCTGCTTCTCCTTGCATTTCCAAGTATTGCCCAACGAAGGTCCAGGATCTGCTTTCATGACCTCCGCATTCCGCGCTGGCTTGCGTGGCTCACCTGTGCCTAAATCAACTACGGCTCAGGTGGGATATGGTTCTATTGTCAGCATCCGTCACCTTAACACACAAGGTGGTTACTTGCACTCACACAACCACCTCTACCCTGCAGGGTCTAAGCAGCAGCAGATCACCTTGTACCCACACATTGATGTCAACAATGAATGGCTCATTGAGCCCTACAACATGTCGATTCCAGATGAATTCACTCCTATCACCGACGGCACTAAGATTAGATTGAAGCATATCATGACTCATAAGAGATTGCATTCTCACGATGAGAAACCTCCTGTTTCTGAACGTGACTGGCAGAAGGAAGTTTCTTGTTATGGATACGAAGGATTTGGAGGTGATGCCAATGATGACTGGGTGGTTGAAATTGTCAAGCACAAATCCGAAAAAGGCGAGGCCCAGGAAAATGTGAAGGCCTTGGGAACCGTTTTCAGATTGAGACACGCCATGAGCGGCAACTACTTGTTCTCCAGCGAAGTCAAGTTGCCATCTTGGGGTTTCGAACAACAGGAAGTCACTGCGGCAGGCCAAGGTGCCAGACCATTGACCCACTGGTACATTGAAACGAACGACAATGACAGATTAAAGGAAGAGGAAAAGGACATTGTTTCGTACCCAACATTGACATTCTGGCAAAAGTTTGTCGAATCTCACAAGACTATGTGGAAGATCAACCAAGGTTTGACCTCTTTCCACAAATGGCAGTCTGACCCACAAGACTGGCCATTATTATTACGTGGTATCAACTACTGGGCTAAGGACCACACTCAGGTGTACTTCCTTGGTAACCCTGTTGTTTGGTGGACTGCTTCCGCGTGTTTGGTTGCCTTTGTGATCCACGTGGGTATTTCTGTGTTGAAATGGCAAGCTGGCCAGACTGTGGCCCAAAATAAGAATGTGTTCAATTTTAACGCACAAATGCTCTCCTACTTTTGTGGGATGGGCATTATCCATTATGCGCCTTTCTTCATATATGGGTAGACAGTTGTTCTTGCACCATTACTTGCCAAGCAATACTATTTTGCTATCTTAGGACTTGGTCATGTTTTTGATTTGCTTGTGTCGTATTCGAAAAAGCTTAGCCAGACCAGCCTACGGAGCCCATAGTGCTTTTTGTTACTCTCGCTTTGGCGATGTATTACACGCTTTCTCCATTGATTGACGGCTCTCAATGGACCAAAATCGCAATGCCTTTCATCCAAACTTCTCTCGAGCTGGGATTACGATTGCAATACCTTCTTTGAAAGTAAGGAAGAATATCTTTCATATACCCCCCGAAGCTGCCAAACCGGAGGCTACTTCCTCAGTGAATGTAATTAACGAGGCCTCTCCAGTGCCCGTTGATGAACAACCTTTGAAGGCTGACATGTCCGGGGACGAGGAAATGGAGGCCCCTCCAGCTGCTGAAACTCATTACGGTGATTTGCCAGAGTATCTTCAAGAAGCTGAAGAGGAGACTGAAGCTGAGAACGCGGCTGACGTTGGCAGCGGGGCTGATGTGGAAAACGATGTTGAAGTTGAGATTGAAGGTGACAGCGTGGAGTATGTTTCGGCTATTGATGAATCTGAACCTGCCGAAGCTGAAGATGCAGTAGTTGAAGAGGCATCTGTGGAAGCAGCTGAAGAACCTTTGCCTCCAGCTGAACCGGAGGTCAAAAAGGCTATAGCCGAGTAGGGACATATACCGAAATAAATGAACAAGGTGACTACGATAATGTTGTAGCTTTTTTATTCCTGTCTTTCCTGGACATCATTAAAGTCCAGAAATCTCTTACCCTAACGGAAACCTGCAAGAAGACGTGAATCGAGCAGGAACGATTTTGCAATGAAGTAAGGAAATTGAATGCTGAACAGTTGGCTTAACCAAAATGTCTAGTTCATCGAAATGTACACTCATCAACAAGGTAGGAACTAAGATTTGTGACTACTGCCCTTTAATCAACTACCATTCAAAATGCAGTGAGTTGGAGAGTACATTCAATTTTAAAAAGAAAAAAATTCAAATCCAAACTCCCGTTCCTATCTAAGGATACTAATTGGTTCCTAAGGAACGATAAATCATGAGGAAAGTGCTACACTTACAAAGTTAAAGTTTTTGAGAAATGGTACAGTGAATTTGACGTCCATTCCGGGACCAGCAATGATGCAAGGGAGATAAAGTAGGAAAATACAATGATGAACTGGTTAGTGCTGAGGATGGCAATTCGTTATTGCAAAACCGCTTCCAGCATACCAGTTTGGTGTGCATACAAGAATATGCTTAACTTGGTTACTGTAAGTAGCCCTCTGTATTACATTAACTTATTCACAGTACTTCATCCAGTTGCACATTTATCAATCCATGTCCAATCCAGTATGTCCGAAGTAGACAGAACTTGCCGTATTTGTCGTGGTGAGGCAACAGAGTCCCAACCTTTGATTCATCCTTGCAAGTGCCGAGGGTCCATCAAATATATCCATCAGGATTGTTTGATGGAATGGCTTAACCACACCAACAAAAGCACCAAACAATGTGATATTTGCAACACACCATACCGATTCCGCACGATTTACGACCCAAACATGCCGAAGAGAGTACCTTTGAAAGACCTCTGGAACAAGATGCTTCAGTCTTTGGGCTCTTGGCTTTTTCGCCGTGCTTCCATCTTGCTCTACTCCGCCTGTGCACTTCAAGTGCCCATATTCTGGAAGTTTGTGGGCCGTATCCTAACATACACGATTGATGGCCGACTTCCTTCGCCTCATTTTAGTTTGCTCCATGCTCTATTATATGGCGCATACAACTTGCGCTCTCGAAGTGGACACTTGTTGACAGGGCCAGAAGCAACAATGTATGATAAGGCAGAATCTTTTTTGCTCAACACTTTTGCCAGCGGTCTTGTCCACGTTGTGATCTTTCTTATAGTGCTCGTGGTCATTTTCATTGAACACGAGTGGGTGGTTCGGGAGGAGGGTTACACCAAGCTGCTTTTGCGCCAGATCGGAAAAGAACCTCGTACAAAGCTAGCAGATTTGCTTACGCTGTTGCTTCTGGGTGGTGACGAGAACGATGCCAGCAGAGAAGTTATGATCAACGAGCTTTGGATTATTTTTTAAATGTGTCTGATGTGTACCGCAACGAATCTGAACTTCTCAGATCCTTTATCTGAAAGAG